CGCATCCATTAAGCACACTTGATACATGCACAAGTTGAGGTCAAATAAAGATCCCTACCCACATTTCTAGCTTAACTAAAAATAAAAATGCCTTAGCCTATGGCAAATCCAGTACTCCAACGCTCAATTCTTCACCGAAAACAGCACACACCAACTTGATAGACATAGATGAGCATGATGTTGAAACTCCTCTTAACATAGAGTCGTCATGTCAAACAGTACTTCTGGGTGCTGAACCATATTCGGGGCTGATTAACGAACTTAAATACTTCAAAGGCTACTTCAAATATCATCTTTACCTGATCCTCATAAATGCTAGATCTGTTCTAAATAAACTACCGATGCTCAGAGCACTCATAGTAATATACAAACCCCCTGTAATTGTCATCACTGAATCCTGGTGCAATTCGAACATACTGGATGAAGAGATAAGCTTAGATAACTACACACACTTTCGGTGTGACAGGGAAGGTGGTAAGGGAGGGGGCTGTCTCATGTACTTTCTGAATGCACTTACCGTATCACAGCTAGAAAGTAGTACACTTAACATGCCTGAGACTTTATGGGATAACTTAAACTTAAATAACGCAATAGTATTGATTGGATGCACCTACAGAGCACCTGGTACCTTTAGTAATTACGAGACCCAACTTAATAATACTCTGGAACAATTATCCACCCTACACTTCTATCATAAGATCCTATGTGGAGACTTTAACTTACCAGAAATCAACTGGGATATACCCACAGGCCCAACTAAACTTGATTAGTTCTTAGGCACACTGGATATACTTGGCTGGAAACAAACCGTCACTATCCCTACAAGAGGTTATAATGCACTAGACTTAATCTTCTGCCACAATATAAGTCCCCTTTCTACCCTAGTAGGTTCTGAGTTTTCAGGGAGTGACCACAAAACAGTGCTGTGTGCACTGCCACTTCCGCCAAGTAGCAATGCAGCCCATACCCCTACTTCACAACAAATAACATACAGGAACTACAGTAAGGCAGACTGGACTCTAGTGAAATCAATGCTAAGATCCTCAGAATGGAGAGAGTACTTCTATACTGATAACCTCTGGAAAGCTCTAGACATCTTTTACTATAACTCAAACACATGCTTAGACGCTGTGATCCCGATGCAAATAATAAAAGCCTCAAAATTTAAGAAGCAATTTATTCAACCAAAAGATCGCTGAACACCGAAGAGACTGTCAACAAGTTACTTCAGACGACACGACTTTAGTACACTAGGGTCAATACTTAGTACTCTTGGCTCTGTCTCGCAAGCTCATAACTTGCGTATGAGAAATGAAGAATGCACCCCACTAGCCAGCACCACCAGAGTAGGTGATCTCATAGAAATCCTAAAGAAACGAATGAATCGCCAAAGCCGTAAAATTTCTCTTCTTATAAACAAGGATAAACTATACAGCAACCATGCAGATATGTGTGAACTGTTTAACGAGACGTTTGAAGCTAAAAACCTTAAGCCCATAAGTCCACTTCTCGGTTTACAATCTACAATAGAACTCCCTTGTTCTTCAGCCCAGAAACAAATCAGTACAGTTCATTTCACTTATTCTAATATTAACCAAGCCATTAAGACCCTTAAAACCTCTAGTAGTGCTGGAATTGACGGCATACCATCGTATTTTTATTAACACGGTGGTTCTGACATTTCTTTTTTATTACTTAAGATCTTTACAATGTCCCTAGAAAGCCAAAACTATCCAGATAAATGGAAAAACACATTCATAATACCCAAACTCAAATGCGGATCGAAAACTGAAGTCAACAACTATAGGCCAATCAATATTACACCCATAGCATCTAGAATAATGGAAAGAATAGTTAAAGGTGATATCCTCAAACATATGCTCAGCTGCAATATTCAAAGTCCCAATCAACATGGATTCCTAAAATCCAGATCATGCATGACATGTCACCTTGACTTCTTTAACTATATAACTAGCAGCCGAGACAAACAACAACTAGTACTAGTCATCTACTTTGACATCTCCAAAGCCTTTGACCGCGTTGACCATTTGCTTCTAATAAATAAGCTGAACTCCTTAGGAATAAGTAACCCATTATTAGGATAGATTGAATCATTCCTTAACAATAGGTCCCAAGTAGTTAGACTGGGTTCTGTAAACTCTAAACCTAGTCCAGTCAATTCTGGAGTAGTTCAAGGCAGCGTCTTAGGCCCCCTCCTATTCACGCTATGTGTCAACGACATATGCAGCTGTTTCTCGCTTGGTAAACCGTTCATCTTTGCAGATGATCTTAAAGTAGCTTACACATTCCACTGTGATGACTTAGGATACTTTCAGAATGCTGTTCAGAAAGAAATAGATAGAGCAACTGCATGTCCATAATCATAAATTAAGTGAAACTGTAGCGGTAAAAAAATTGCCAGTATCGTTAGCCTTCAGCATTTGACACTCCTTACCACTAACTACACAATTTGGAAAAAATGGAAACCAATCTGGCGAGTTCATTCTACTTCACTTTTGTTCATTGGCTATATTTTTTACATTTTGGATTCTTTTTACTGTGAGTGAAAATATGCCTAGGCTCATTCGCATAAAACCAATTTGTACCTTTTTCCAGCCGATTCACTTTTTGGCCAGTCAGTTCAGAAACCCGGTTTCTATACTCTGAGGCCAACATGCATGAATGCAGGGACACTGACACACATTTACAGTTCACTGCTGCCGTACGCTCTCCGTCGAGAGAATTAGGCAAATAGGTTGCCAGGTATATGCTCACCAAAGAGGTAGGCAGCCTCTTCAAGAGGCTTAAAGCAGGTATTCTTGGGAGTAATTATCTCTGCGACTGGCAATACCTTGATGAGCTTTATATAATGTTGAGTTTGAAGTTTATTCTGCCCTACATATGCTTGCGAGAGTGCAAGATTTTGCCGGCAAACGTGAATTCGAAGAGGAATTCTTCAGAGAGTTGTCACGGCCAATACAGACTGTGACTGTGGTACCTCAAGGAGTTGTCACTGATGGTTTAGCTGCTTCAGCCGATGGAATTCTTGAAGTATCGCGGCTGCCAATTACTGAAATATTCGCGATCAGTGAATGATCTTTGATTGTGGAGTTTGAAACGACTGAGTTTTGTGACTCTTAAGCGACTACTATGGTTAAGCAGCTTTCGCATGTACCCAATCGCCTGCGTCAATCACCCCGTGGTCACTCGAAATCTAAACCACGTTGACCTAAACACCAGCACAGGCTGTAAGTGGAAAACCTCTTGTAACCTTCGGTAGGAAATACGTCCACCCGAACACACGTTTACGTAAACCGATTCGGTGAGTCTCCTAAACATCGCTGTCTGCTCTTAGCCATCTGCCATCTCTGACTGAAAGGTGGTATGAATGAGCTATCTATTAAGGGATTTACCTTGGTATGTCAAAGTATTTCACTGGCTAAAATGATCATAGTCGACCCAACCTTCTTTTTAGATAGCAGCAACCACGAAGACTATGGTAGTATCAGTCCTATAAGACTTAACCCAATCCTTCCGCTGGCTACCCCTGCGGCAGAATGCCTGCTAGTTCACAGAGACGTAGATGGCACCATGAAGGCAATAAAAGCCTCAAGCAAAACATTGAGTGAAACACGTTTTACCAATGGTGACACCATTAGTTTCCTAATTCGGCTGGTTTTGCCAACGGTCTGCTCGGCCCTACTAGGTGGGGAGAGTAAGCTGCAGCGGTAAATAACTTTTCAAAATTATTGGCCTGCAGTCTTCACAAATATTATTGGAGGCTGACCTATACTTTAAATCAACTCATGAAGCTGAAGGCCTGCGGCCAAGCATCCACACCATTCGGCATGTCATCGATGTAAGTCTGTTCGTTCACCCATATTCCCTGGCTAGTTAAGCATTCAGCAGCGCACTGCAATGTTTATTCACTTCTGCTCTACGTAGGACAAATACTGTAGGAGTTGTGGGTACAAGAACTTGCGCTGGTATGCGTTATCCCCTTCATCTCCTGAACTGCCCTCGAAACGACACTCCCTAGTTACTGCTGTATAACTGTGTTTTACAAAACAAATTTACATAATATTAGGAGCTTATAAAACATGAACTCTACTGTTTTAGTAAATCAGCCATAAAGGCAGTTATATTTCACCATTCTCTCATCAACTCATTAGGTCACGATATGCCTACAACGTCTAACGAACATATAGCAGTAAGGTTCACTCATTCGCCTTCAGAAGATCATAGAGATTTACATATTGGTGGGTTGTACCTAGATACTTACTGTCGGCAGATATGTTTGCAGTTTCATCTGAGACAAGTGAAATGCAATAGGACAAAACTTTTAAGGGATCGAAGTGAAATCAGTTTTATTTATCTCACATTCTCCACCATATGATACTCAAAGATGATTTGGGTAAGAGTTACTAGAATGCCGTCAGTATTATGTCTGAAGGTATCGGAGAATCAATTGAAATGTCGTCCGAAACTTAGTTTTGCAGATATGCTGGAGTTGTCTAATGTAACACAGTGACTAATAAATAGAAAAAGTGAGTCGAAGTAGATTGACGCGCACCATGGAAAACTAACGAAGAGAATGCAAAGAAACTGATTAAGTCTACATATATTTTTTCGTACGGTTAGTTCTGGAGCCCATTGCTGAATTATAATCTCCTCATGACAAACAGTCCATCAGTTTATTTACCATTAAAATGTATCCATTTTAGTGAAAATTACAAATGTAAACTCTTGGGCGTGACTGCCAGAGCCATCTATATTTTTCGTTTGATCAGCGTCCATTTGTGTAGCCATTTACTTACTCCTGTAAATAAATGGTGTTAAATGTTATTGAACATTGAATCTCCAGATTGGGAGCAGAAGTCATCTGCTGCATTCATATTTCACAGGAAACTAAGTAGTTGCATTTCCTGGCAAATATCACGCACTGATAGTTTTTTCGAAGCAGTATTGCTACAAAAGTTGACGTTTTAATCATTGAACCTGCTAAATTACATCCTGTTCAATTGCTCGTTCAACCATTGACCATTCAAATTCGACCTAGGATTGTCTCTTGAACACGGAGATTCAGAACATGATATTGAGCAACAAGGTTGCGCCTGCGACATTTGATCATCTGGCTTCTGGTGGTGAGTTTGTTGTTAGGGTATATAGTCAACAGGACCGTGTAGCTTAAACAATAAGAATGAAAGTGAATTGCTTATTTCAGTTTCCTTGTCGCATATATGGAATTTCATTTTCCATATGCAGCAGCTTATAAGGTGTTTGGAGTAAATCAAAATTTAAACTTCAGTTCACTCCTCAGACTTGGTGGGGGAGTGCACTGAGTCTGTTTGACTAGAGTTACCCGAGTATTTTGCCTGCAAGAAAAAGGTGTTTGATCAACTAAGGGCCATTTTTATGTGATTTCAATCACTTTTGTTTTCTATTTGTTATCTGAAATTATCTAATTTTTTTCGAAAGAACTCCCTTGATGAAAATTAGCTGCTACTACAATTTCGTGTCATGGATATAGTTAAGGTGTTGGTTATTGGGATTACTATATACTGAGAACTAGAGGTACTTATCATAATTGTACTTCCAGTGATTGGTATCAACTGTTTCCAACTATCGATGTAAAATGATTGGCTTGAAATGTTACCAAGTTCAGAAATTTATTGTGTAAACCATGAAAACGTAATCAGAAAGAATCACTCCATTTCGCAACCTGTATACTGGTTTAAATTGTCACAGATATTATTAGGGTTGGGTGTCTTACTCTATGTTTCCAAAAGTTTACTCTAATTTTATAAGTCTTTGACATCAGAGCTAAAGATAGTGCAGAAGTCTTCATGGGAACTGGCATTCTGACTTTACCCACCGCCCTCAGCTCTTAGTAAAACATTAAAGCTTAGTTTCCTCTGAAATTCATCTGTTCATCGATTTGTAGTTGAAAAGTTTCTCAGCCGTTGATGCCAAACAAAACTGTCAACAGAATTATTAGGACTATCTTAAATAAAAACCGACTCTTGCAACCCTTAACTACTTTCTGAGAGTTTTTCAAAAACATCACCTTCATATTCATGTAAAGAGATAGGAACTATGTGCAAGAAAGGCAAATATCGTCAGGTGTCTAGGAATGTGCTCGGTTATGCATAAGTCGTTTACTTAAGCATCAGTCTTTTAATTTGCTTAGTGGTGCAACCCTCGTATTTAACAGCATCATAAATTTACTGCAGGTTACAATTAAATACACAAGTTGGCAGTCATACCTCTGATTACTGACGAAATCTCAGTACGAATGCAGAACTCTTGAGTGGTATCAGCCAAATTAGGTCGGGCATAACGTAGACATGCATGACTGTTGGTCAAAAGGATGTGCATATTGCACAGCAGTTCCCTCCTTCCTACCGTTGAAACTGAATAATATGAATGTGCTGGCTGTCTTTGACCATAGGCATCTGTGTTGTCTTCCTTACTAAGTGATATAATACAGTGAGTAGTATTAAGGTTATGCGTAGTGTTGGGTAAGTAGAGAACATCAATCGATGAGGTCAGGATGCTTTATCGATTGAGATGGATGGGTCACATGTTGGACGTACAACGGCATCCTCTTCGTCGTCGAGAATAGTTACATGACGTAGAATAAGGTTCAAAAAGTGTCAAACGCCATCAAAGCAAAATTTGGGATCTGTCCATGAAGTCTTTGGCTGTTGGTGTGAGTCACGTGGAGAGGTGTAAACTGAATGCCTGGGTCATCGAGAATCTAAGAAACAATGGCTTGGGATTGTTGGTGATGTGAGTAGAAATCGTCGTCAAAGGTGTAGATGCGTTCACCCTGTGAACTAGATCCGTCCAATTTTCGTTATTCCCCACCTACTTATTGTTTCTGCAGTGAATTTGTGTTCATTACAGTTCCTCTGGATTTTTTCCTCTACCTTTATATGCTGTATGGCGCGTAGCAAGTTGAACTTTGCTCTTTTGTGCAAAGTTCTGCGTCAGTTTAACTAGTATCCTCTATTATTATAGTACGCTAGACAGTGATTTGCAGTCTTTTGTGAAATACATTCAATTTCATGGCCAAATACCCAAATAGTAGCATAACCAATTAAAAACTTGTTTCAGTTTGTATGACTAAATGTATTTTGTTCCCTTGATCATTTCATGAAAAATGTGTGATTTGGGTTTCTGTTATTCATTTCTTGTTTTTTTTTGCTTTCTAAAGGTATACGAATAATTTATAATCAACAAGATAAAACATTTGCACAGCACGCAATTATTAATAACCACGGAAGTATTCATCAAGAAGGTAAGTAAATGTGTTCAGTATACTCGTAAGTTTTGGTAAGATTCATATGGTCTTACCGAAACAAAATGAGTCATTTTGTTGGATGAATAAACAATCAGTCCCCACTTTTTAAAAGCCATTTAGATCCCATTTCGAAACTAAATTTGGACATACGGCTTTATGGCAAATATCACATTTATGTATCACATTTCGCTCACCCCCCAGCTAAATATCTTAAGCGATCTCAACCAGATGCGCTTGCCAGATATTGTAGTGCTTGCTGAGACCTTGAGTGTATAGTTCGGGAGTCAAGACTTAGAGGTATTCATTAGAGACTAAGTGGTTAAAGGTTATGTACTGAGTGGCTTAGTTCACAAGCACTTTAAATCACCAAAACATCACCGTTGTGTTCGTTGTTTTTCTCTGTATTTTACCTAGACATAGACACATAGATCACACTATAATTAGTTACCGATGATGGGGGAGCACATTGGACTGCCGTTCATCTGTAAATAATTATCTGGACTTTAATGACGCCTCATTCTTCTAGACTGGTCATGTGTTTCGGTCATCGCCCAAACCATGTTGACGTAATTCACTTGTACCTGTTACAACCAAATATCAAACTCTAGACTAACTAGTCACTCCATAAAGTTATAGAGAATTGAAAGCACTTAGCGGATGCTAGAAGAGCGGCGAGTATAACCATTTGTGGGCTTGGCTGTTCATCAATAATAACTAGACTTTTATAGTCTTTGTAGCTTTCTAATGTCTGTTGGTGTATTCTATCCGACCGCAAGTACAACAGTCCACATAAAGTTCGTATATGTATATTCACATAAAGTTTACTAAAGAGCTGTTAAGTGTAATGGTTAAAAGGCAATAGTTAAGTAGTGATATCAACTGCATACGGGAATAGTTGATTTTAAGAAGCTCAGTGTCTGTGAAGTTGTGCGGCCGAGAGTGCAATAGTTGACAAATTTCTAAACAACTGTGCGATGCACTTTGAAAAATAATCTGTCTGACCTGCATAAGCAGCATTGTTTACTTTGAAGTGTAAGGCCTCATTGTTTAGTAAACACCGACTCACCTGGTGGAATGCTGATCCTTAAAAGAACTGAAGCACTACAGCGTCCTCACGTTACTCATCTGACTGTCAAAAGTCAGTTTCACAGCTCTTTGGTGCATACAGTCCTTCAGCATGGTTTATGACACTTGGCTCCACCGTCTGAATGTTTTCGAGGTGTTCTCCATTAGACTGTTGGCTTCCGGCGAGAACACCCTGTCTATGATTCTTACGTTCGAACGAACGTGTTCTAGGAAGTGGGTATATTCTTTCAAAAATCGATATCATTATATAGGTAGTACTTGTGATTCATGTCGAGCCACCTCTCCTCGACAAGCAATATTAGCTGTCATAGGAATAAGTTAGTAGACGGATTAGGGGTGGTCAGACCAAAACAGCACCGATCTATGAAGTCTTTGACTAATGGTGTAAGTCATGTGTAGAGTGCTTGACTGGGGTTCTCACAATGCTAAAAGTAAACAGTTATAGGCTGTTCATGACATGGCTCGAAGTTTTTCATAGTGGTTCACTCCTTATTATCTTCCAGAGTCTTCAAATCCCTACTAGTCTCCAGCTAATTCTTCTTCCTCCCAGATGTTTTCACCCACTGAAGTTTTACATTTCTTTAATTTACCTTTCTGAGTGCTTTCACGAATTGTGGCAATCTTAACTGATGCTTATTTTTGCAGAATTCAACATTGATAAGTCAGTCAGTCAATTGGGTTCATCCAAGTGGTTACGCGACTCAGTGATTTGAGACTTTGTGGAAGTTAGCTTTACCATCAAACTATAAGTGCAGATTAATCGTCAACCAAACTAACAGTTATGTTTCCAAATCTTCTAATCAAGACTGACTGTTTTTGAAGCTGCTGTAAAATATAGTTTTTAGAAGTGGCAAGACTAAAAACATGTTTCTTCTGACGTAGAACTTTGTAATGAGTTTTTGGAATAAAGTGTAACACTGAAATGACTTTGATGATTCAAAATAACCAACTTTGAAGATATCTTCGGTAATATAAAAGTTAAAGGGGGTTATATATTTAATAGGCAACGGAGTCTTTATCAGAGAACATTAAATGGTAACAACAGTTGCGTTCACATGGTTTCTTTGATAAATTTCAGTAATTGTGAAGTAATGGTTTGCAGGGACTAGATTGGTTTCAAGTTTGATCACAAGTTGACGTCAGTCAGAGAACCATTGGAAAACCTGAGAGTACTGGACAACTACTTTGTCCTAATTCAGGCCTCATTGTCAGTACGCCCCCACTGAGGTTCTAACCCAGGGCCTTCCACTTACAAGGCGAGCTTGTGGATCATGCAGCTACTGGGGTCCGATCTAATGGCCCATGAATTCCAACTTCTACCAGTTCGTGAAATATATAGCGCAACCGCCAGCCAATGTTATAAGTAACTGTGACTTAGAATTCGTGGGTCACTTGATCGGGTCCCAGTGGCTGAATGGTCTACCAGTTCGCCTTGTAACAGGAAGGTCCTGTATTCATACCCCATTGGTTGCGTATTGATATAGAGTCCCAAAATAGAACGAAGCAGCTATCCAGTAGTCCCAGGCTCTCTGACTGGTGTCAACTCATGTTAGAACTTGTAAATTTCAGTAAGGCAAAGCTGATCAAATTTGGAGGATATGTTATACATCAGGGGAGTAGCTAGTGTTACAGTTATATGCTCTATGAAATGAAAGGTTCAAGAAGTTCATGTAAACGAAAGAGAGGAGGATGACTGGAAATCACACAACATTTAAAATATTGTATTTTAATTGGCTTTTAAACTCAAGTAGGAATAAAATTTTCAAGTCCCGGGTTATGAGCCATAATTCTTAAATGAAGACTAGTGAAGAAATGCAGTCTTTTAGGCTGAATTAGGTAGAGCAGGACTCGAGCCACTGCCTGGAATAATTTCTACTAAATCACAAGGTAGTTGTTAAAATTCATGATTTTCACTGTTTTGTTTTTGTATTCTATCTATCCCAAAAATTGGTATCAGTACCAAAATAAATGAAAAAATGCCATTATAGACTTTATTTTATGTTCTATGGGTCGTGAGAAATTGATTAAATTCAATTCAATCAAGATTGATTTTCCATAGTATGCATTTCACCTGAACTGATACTGCTGTCTATCCGCGATCTTATGATTTTGCACTTTGTAGGTATTCGAATTTGCGGAATTAGTTACTAGTAGGCATGTATGTTTCCGAACAATTAGTCGCACAAACTAAATGCTGATACTTTTAGGCATTCACGATAATCACAATTTGTTTGAAGAAAACTGAGTGTCTTAAATTCTAATTTTGCTGTTTTCTACATCTTTTTTTCAATAACCACCGGTGTCATTTATTCTAATAATTTACGCATCCCTACTTATTTTTTTACCAATCTGTCACAGATATCAAAGTGTTCTGCACACAAGCCCAAGGAGGGTATCCACAACAAACTATTTTAAATGAACGCAAAGGTGGTAAAGATTATGGTAAGTGAGGTTTCAAAATGATTCAGTGATATTTGGATTTTCTTTATGAGATGAAATTGTCTCACATTATTGCAGGTTTGTAAATTAGTTTATAAGAATTATTAAGTTTTCAGGAAAAGTTATATATATATATGTATATATATATGTATATATAGTACTACCAGTCTACTCAAACTTAAGTAACTTCAAACTAGTACGGTCGCTTATAGTTCTGAACCATTTTGTTTCCTTGCCTAGACCCTGTGTTTCATAATTCTGAGCTGTAGTCTGTGATAAAAATATACCTATCATATAATTTTGTAGAAATTGACTTCCTTTACTTATTACAAAATCTGTACGTAAGATCAAGATAGTTCGGAAGTTATAGCATGAGCAAGCAATATTGTCGATGCATTTGTGATGCACTACCTTTAAAAATAGAACAAAAGGTGCTGAAGCACTTAAGTAGAATTATTCAACCGTTCTTACGTATCTGTCATAATTAAGTTAAGCGATTATATATTTGTTACGTAGGCACTGATACTATTCTTTTGTGAAATGCTTTAGACTTCTACCCAGGAACTCTTATTTGAGGTTCTGTTTATATAAAATTAAGCTAGTTTTTATCAGCAGTCTCACACATTTGTGTGATTGAATGGATCTGCTTTCGGAGTGGAATATATTGCTAGGGCTAAATGTGGTTTATGTCTGTGTCTCCTCGGAATTGAGCCTGGATCACACACATGCCTGGTCAGCGAAAATCCTAACACTGAAGCACAGACGCACGAATTAATTAATTTTTATTCCCTTCACGTTCCCCAGTGGAACATAGGGCTTCAAGCTAGTGGCTTGAAGTTTCTGTAGCAGTGTTTATTTTACAGGATGGGGTTGCTAGCCTCATGCCCAACCTTTCCTCTTCACCAGCGTTATTTCTGGCTTAGCGAGGTAAGGGAGTGCGTCGGCCGGGGATCGAACCCCGGACCATATGCATGGTCGGCGAGCGTCCTAACCACTATGCCACCGACGCACAAATGATTTCTACTAACTCACTAAAGAGTAACTGTGGTATAACCTTAATTTTCTTCCTTAATACTTATTTGTCTAATTCATTCAGATTTCTGTATATTTTCAGTTAATTCTTGAAGGTTGATGAAGAATACTTGCACGGTTATCAATACCATTAGTTTACTAAGATTGATATATTATTTCGATAAATTTAACCATCACTTAAGGAACTTCCAGATTTTGATAAATACACTATAAATCGACACCTGTCTATATGTCGTAGTAATGCAGTTTGCATTGGTTATTGTGACTCCATATTGCTAATATGGTCATCAAAGTACCGAAAATTCATTCTTTCACTGTATGACATCATATATAAAATACCAGCACATCTACGCTTTACTGTCATATTTATTATTTATTTAAACGCAGAAAAACTTGGTACAATATGGCATCAAGAGAGATGCGCCACACAATAATAATAAAACAACATAGATTAAAAGTAAAAATATAAGTAGAGAACGGATAAAGAACTTCATCTGGAAGGAAAACAGTCATGTTTAACAAGTTCAAACAGTATTCGTTAACTATCATCAGGAAGGGAAGAAAGAAGGAAATTGCAACACGACACAGATAGGTTAGGAATCCAGACAAAGGCGAAAGGCTGTCGAAGGTTAAGAAGTTAAGGTGAGTAAAGGTAAAATACAGGAAACTAAGTATAAAAATAAAAGTAAGGTTGGAAAGAGATGTGTTACTTGAGACATCATTATTGCTTGGAAGCATTGTTACGAGCGCGCGATAAGTTCCACTGATATTTTGTTGCTTTATTTCATTCATTGTGTCAACAATAGTGATGGTCAATTTATAATATTTGTTAATGAACTAGTATTCAAAAGCAGCTTTATCGTACCTTTGTAATTCATCTAGTCTCATCTCTCTTAATATTTTATTTCAGGAAAATATTTTAAATGTTCATCATGTGATAGAACTTTTACATCAAGGTCAGGATTATGGTATCATGTACAGCTTGTTCATGAAGGTAATTTCTTTGTTGTTGCTTAATTTTCTGTGTATTAGAAGATAAATTGTTAAGATTTATATGGTCAAAAAACTAACTGTGACTCTGAATACAATTTTCAAATATGACTAGAGTGTAAATATTCGAAATATTCAAGTTGAATTTGATGCGTTTGATGCCATCCAGTTGGGATTGTTCTGTCCATGATTATTTTGCTGGTTATAGTTTACAAAGATTTGTCAAGTATAGAATTGCTTCTTTTTTAGTTACGGACAACTAATCACCTTTAATACAAACATTAGTATGCACTGTCGTAGAATCCATTCTGTACAATATTCTTATCATTAGCAATTCATGTTTTCAAAGCATAAGAATTTGGCGAAATATAGGATAAAAAAACACTATCTAGTGAAATACATGAAATAGTCACATTATAGGATGGAATACGGTAATTGTTATAAAATTTGATAGCGTTAGTCAAAGAGAAAGGTTAGTCGGTGAATCTCCATTCGTTAACTTATTGCCAAACACGTGCAGTAACACAATGGGGGTACAAAGAAATCTTGTTATCAATGACAATAATTAGAGGCACTAAATGATGTTCGAAAGGTCGCCAGTAAGTGTAACTGTATCACAGTGTGCTTTATTAAACAACTGAATTCATTATGGTTGTGACATGGAAGAGATCATGTGAGTGGGAGATGAGAGCCTACGGGCAATTGTGTAGCCAGCTAAAAACGCCTGCGGAAAACAGGATGAAGTGGAAATGTGCTATTAAAGCCCTATGTTCATCTCGGGACTTAAGGGTATAATAATGATGATTATAGTCAAAGTATCTGATAACAGCTTGAATTCCCAGTTATTCAGTATAATCAAACTGTTGGTCTCTTAACTTTATAATAGGAACCTGTATTTTTGATGGAGAAAATGGTTTTCTGAATTTGTTTTGTTGAAAGAAAAGTGTTACTTTTCTGTTTTAGAGAAGACTTTGAATAAAGCCATACTACGCTTGTTCGTAGTTTAAAAAAATCTTAAATGCTTCTATAATAGTCCAATCCTTTTTTTTCTTTTTCTTTTCTAGTACAAAACTATCCCTGTGATCACTGTTCAAGAAGCTTCAGATTGAAGCAATATCTCATTGCACATGTGCAACAAGTACATGAAAGTAAGTAACCGAACTGTTGGAAAGTTTTTCGTGTTTTTGTGTTCACTAAAGTTATATTAGAAATAGCATAAAAGATATAGTTTGAAGGTGAACATAAAAAAGGTAGTGAAGACAAAGGTGATGACTATACCTGACTAACAGTATGAATACCAGTGGGAGAGATCTGACACTAACAATGATTACGTACGCCTAAACAGTTTTGTAATGCTTGTAATCTTACCATGCATATCTGTGCGGTGCATCACCTTATCATCTATCCTGCCTCTTATCAGTATTCCTAGTCTGCTACGCTAGTATAGGATGATTGAATTGCTTACCCACACTTGTGTGTCACAGCAGACAAATGAGACACTCTATCCTATTTTTCGTCATTTAAATCAGTTTCCTGTCTCTCACTGTATAGGGTTGAGTCTGTTGACTTGTTTCCATGCAGGCTATTTTCACTAATATCTTGTTATTTCAGCGAGTTTTATTTTGTTTTTTTATAACTAACACTGAAATCGGGGATTAGTGATTTATTTTCTGTCTGAGACTCGTGTTAGATGAAACTCTGCAGTCCAGTTTATCTGTTCCGTCCATTAGGCTATTCATTTCAACTTTATTTCGAAAAACCTTACGTTAGCAGACATATATATCACATTTTCTTAATAGATGAGATCATCTCATTCTGGTGGTAGTATTTATTCCTTTGTTGATATCTGGATGGCTGGTTGGTTTCAACATAGAACTTTGCACAGATGTGCAGCAGTTCAAGTCACCACACTTCATTGTTGCTATCTAAACACAGTGGCTTCTATAGTTTCTTTATTAGCAAATATGAGACATTATAGAGCAGAGATTTCAGTGAATGTCTTTTTGACAGATAAGTAGATGTGACATATATAAAAATGTACAATATGCCAACTGTGTAGAAATGATCTCTCAAAAATACCCGTCAACTAGTCCAGGTATTTGACCATGTTATCCTAATCAAAACATGGAAATAAACCCACTTCATGGATGCACCCTGCTTTATTGGTCTAAAGAATGTAGTGTGTATAAGCAGATATATCCAGATTTATTCATTTCATCATCCACTTCACAAAGTCGGTTGAACTGCTGAGTGAGTTCATGAATAAACTTTTATTGCTGATAAAACGTTTAACTGGAAGTTTTTCTTACTTAAACAACAACAACAGTAAAATTGTAAACTGACGTTGACACAAGAATTCTATCACCTCAGTCAGCGTCATTATTTCACAAAACACATGGAATAACTCGAAGGAAGTGTTAAGTGAATGAAGAAATAAATTTCAATATTCTAATTATACTAATAAACTCTTGTCCAAATGATATTACCCTTTTGGTTGTAAACACTGGAGAAGTCTTGAAATTAGTAAAAATCTGAATTAGAATTTAATCATAATGGAGAAAATTTCATATGTTAGGCATTCCGATATTAAACTAAGCTTATGTTAGCTAACTTTCTTTGAGGGATGAAGTCACTTTCTCAGATTATACTCTCACTTCCAGGATGATCAATCATTGCATATATTTTTTTGTTTACCATGTGTGAAATGAAGTTACTTGCTATGATAGCAGGTTATTCGATATATATATATATATATATATATATATATATATATATGCCTACCCATTAAAAGACACTTGGAATTAGTCCTACTGTAGCTCATTGGATTAGATACTCTACTTTTAACCAATGGATCAAACTTTTCAAACTTCACTTCTTTAGCTTTGATCAACAATTAGTATCAGCGTCTCAGGAATAATCAGTGTGGTTATCAAGTTCATTAATATCCATGCAATTGTTTATTAACGCACATTTAATGTAAACTAAACATAGGTCTTCTTTCTTCATTCCTTACGTACCGAATGGAACATAGGGACTCAAGCTGTTTGAGATTTCAGTAGTATTTGCGTTGTTGTTTTTACGGCGTGGGATTGCTAATCTCATTTATCCCGGCTTACTAGGTCAATTGGGTTAGGTTTTAGCAGCTTGTCAGTCGGAATTCGAATCCGGACCACGTGTGTGTTTGTGGTTGGCGAACATTCTGCCAATGAAACACTGAACTACATTGTTTTTTTCCAGTGGAACATAGTGCTTCAAGCTACAGACTTCAAGTTTCGGTAGCAGTGGTATTTATTTTTACAGGATGAGGATGCTAGCCTCATGCCCAACCTCTCCTCGTTACCAGTCTTATTACTAGCCTAGCGAGGTAAATGAGAGACTACATTGTTACTAACCAGCAATCATTGTATTGTGAAATTAATTTGTCAGTTCTATTCTCCCTATCGTTTGTACAATTAATTCATGTAAAACATTTTCATGCATGGATATGTAAATTGTGATTTCCCTTTACCACTTAGAAATTAGAATGTATTTTAGGTTATTCAAAAAGCATTTATTGAATTTTCAATGTGTGTTTCAGCAAGTGTGATATATCTTAGACAAGACACTTTTTTCACCCAAACACTTCTCAGATTTTAATTCTGTTTTGATGTACCCTTTGTTTGTTTTTGTTTTTAATAGAAAGATTAGCGAAATGTGAAGAATGTGGAGCGACATTTGCTTCTTTGGGCAATTTAAAGAAACATGAGAAAAGCATACATGGAGGTAAATATTTTTTAGTTCATAGTGTGGATAGATCATATAATGTTTAATCATTTAACACATTTCTATGAAGTTGATGTATGATTTATATCTTATCTACATAGTCGTCAGATCAGCATGGTTACATTACTCACAACTGTAGTAGTTGAAGTTCCTATATTTCGGAGCACACGAAATGTAGAGAACTGAAAATATAGGAATGCAACAAAAGTACTAATAATCAAATGCTGTCACAAATGATGGCGACTAAGTCCGTCTTTGATCTTGCGTATTTTGAAGTAATATGTGATAGGTTTTAAATCTCCTCCTATTCACACTCTTTTTGCAAATAAAAAAAATTAGAATTGAACCGTATATTTCTCAGTAGAGTAGCCGAAGTGAAACTGTTGGATTGCATTTCTTATCTAGTCTTTTCGTGTTTCTCAGTGATAAAGACTATCTTTTTCAAGCTCAGTTACGTGCGACAGATATCTCATGTGTCAAGCCATACTTATCATGTGAGAGTTGATGATACTACCTAGTTTACCCAGCCCCGTTGTAGGGGACCCATGACTTATTGGCTCGAAACCGAGCAATTAAGTCAATGAGTCGCATATCCATTATTCGTTAAAGTGTTCATTTATAATGCATTATTTTTAAATGCCTGTATTGTAAAATCTCCTTCCCAATTATTTCAGTTATAAGACTTTTGTCTCGAACTAACATCATTTAGAGAGATCATTGAAAACCAAGGAGCACTGGACATCTGTTTCGTCCTATTTCGGGACTCTTCATCAGTTTGCGCCAACGACATTGCCTTGGGTCGAACCCCGTGACCTTCGAGTTACGAGAGCAAGCTCTTAGATCTTTTGGCCACTTCGGCTGCGATTCAACGACCCATAAATTTTACCTGTATCACTTTGTGATATGACACTGCCCATATCATGTCACGATAGAGTGTGGATATTCATCGAAGGCAGTGGTGTTGGCAGAGCCAAATTACAAATTGACGAAGTTAGAATTTACGGATCGTTTGATTTCAGCAACAATTGATATTAATCTAAAATCCCTACAAATCCTATAATATGCATTTCCAATTGTTAATGGTGTTAGTAGTAGTAGTAATAATAGTCTCATGACTGTCTTATGTCATGAAACGTTAGGTAGAAGTTTCACATGGGTGTGGGTATATTATTGTAAGTGATAGCTTTCTTTCGTCGTCAGTAGGCCATTGCAATTAATTTTATTGACTAGTCTTAGTTGTAATCGATTGACGACATTCTTAAGCAAAATAACAAAATATAATTAAAAATCTTTATATCTATTAGTTGTTTTGTTTCTTCTTCCAAATTTCACCTTTACTTAACCAGTTAATAAAAATCCAATTAAGTTGAATAGTAGGAAAACCGACATTTCAACAGATAATAACTTAGAAGTTTGTTTGTAGTCTATCGAATTTCAACAGATAGTTCAAGTTATTTGCTTGGATTACTTTTATTTTAGTGTAGTAATACTTTTCGTTTTCACAAAAGTAAAAGTGATATTCTTGAGTTTTCTATAGTTTGGTTTTTAAGGGTTAGTTATGTTTTTACGAGTTGATCACGGATTGATATCAGTTAGAGAACCATTGAATACCAGGGAGTACTGGACAGCTGCTGTTTCATCCTAGTTTGGGAATCATCGCCAGTACGCACCCACTGGGATTCGAACCCAGGACCTTCCGGTTACAAGGCAAGCTCGTATGCCATTCAGCCACTGGAAGCGATTCAATGGCTCATGAATTCTAACTTCTACCAATTCGTGATTTAGCGCGACCCCAACCATTGACGTTGGTGGGACATCCATCCACACATGTGACATCTAATCGGACCTCACTGGTCACGACTTCTCACTAGAACTCCAGGAAACTCCATCCTGTAGCAAGTCACTAGCGAGCATCACATTAATTTTCTATAGTTTGGTTTGTAAGGGTTAGTTATGTTTTTACGAGTTGATCACGGATTGAGACTACATGTAGTTAGTGTAGAATTAAATTAGACAAAAAGAGAACAAAATTTTCATCGGATGGCTGAATGACTGACAAAATAATAAACTTTGCTTAGAATTTCATTAGTTCAAATCTCCTGTCTTCAAAGATGCACACATAAAAGTGGAGAAAAGTAAAGTAATAGGAGTGGAAATATAGTTGATTCATGGTTGGTAAGGATTTTCAGAATTTAGATGATCATTAGGAGTGCATAAATGTGCGACAGTGTCAACCATTTGGAGATGCGTTATTAATAATATCCAACCATGTATTCTCAGCCTACAGAGGATTTCAGTCAAACTGTCAATACCACCTTACATGGCTCAAATCAAACGTCGTCATCGACTTCATGGAATGATGTTATAGTTTGTTCTTACAACCTGTAACTTTTCAATCTTATCATACTTCAGCTAACATTGTCTTAGAAAGGGATGGCTCGGTAAGCCTAGCATAACACTTATTTGGACACCTCTGTCTGTCTGTCTGTCTGTTTTCGACATAGAACTTTGCACATATGTGTGGCAGTTCAAGTTACCACACTCCATGTAGCACACAAAGCAAGAGAAGAAAGTAGAAGAAATGCATAATATAGACAGTAAACAGAGGTGTGAGACAAAGGAATAGTAATAACGGAGAACAAAACAGTTTCATTGGAAATCATAAGTCACAAGGAGTGGATGCATCTGCACAAGCCATTGAGAACGATTTTGAGCCATTTCACCAATTGTTTCCAACCATTGGTTTTTACCGTCCTGAGGACCCCATCCAGTCAGGAAGTCTACACCTTCCTACGTGGCTTAGACTAACTGTTGTAGATTTCATTGACTGGTGCCATGTTTTGGTTTGACCGCCGCTCGCTCTTTTCCAGCCTGACCCTATGTCAGCTAACATTGCCCGGCGAGGAAGGCGATGACTAGGCATACGTAACACATGTCCTAACCATCTCAGTCGATGTAATTCCACAGTCTCGTCTATTGATTTCCCCTCCTTACCTAGCACTCGACGCCTAACCTCAATATTGCTCACCTTATTATACCACTTCACGCGGGAGATAGAACGCAGACACCTATGATCAAAGACAGCTAATCTTTTCATGTCTTCCACTCTTAATGGCCAGGTCTCACAGCCATAAAGGAGGACGGAGCGAACTGTTGAGCAGTACACACGCCCTTTGGTCGATAGTCGGATATCACGTCTACGCCAGAGACGGTGTCAACTGGCATATGCGAAACTAGCCCTCTGTATTCGTCCTGAGATTTCGTCGGAGATCAACCCGTTGGGGCTGATGGTACTTCCCAAGTAAGTGAAGAGGTCAACGTGCTCTACCACTTCACTTCCTATTTCTAATCTAGGGGTCGGTGTAGTCCAATCCTGCAGCATCATCTTACATTTTACAGGGGCGAATTGTATGCCAAACATACGAAGATTGCAGCTCAAGGTGTTCAGAAGACTCTGCATTTTGTCAGAGTCCTCGCCTAGTAGGACTATATCGTCTGCATATTCTAAGTCAACGAGATTATTCCCTGGTAGCAAGTCAATCCCTGAGTCTCTGAAGTGACACCTCAGTTGGTGAGGATCCACAACTTTCTCTGTCAACTTCATCTTTTTATGTATTATTTTGTCTAGGCTCGTTATTACTCGTTGTGTTGCTGTATCTAGTGGAAATGATTCAATGAAAACATCCATATTCTAAATCTTTTCAATATTTCCTTGTTTTCTAGCTTCAACCGTCATGTCTTATAGTCACAGAGTAGGACAAAGTGAACTGTTGTTCAGTTCAACCTGTTTGATAAGTAGCACAATGTCATACCTGCGGGAGAAAGGACTCAATTCGGTAAATGCCAGACCTGGCCTCTGTATTCATGTTAAGATTTTGCCACTTACTAGTCAAATAAGGCTGGTACAAATTTCTGAGTAATTGAAGTTGTCAACGTTATCATTAAGTACTTCATCCCAGTCTTGTAGCATTTCACATGTGATGACACCATGGCAATAATTCTCAGTTTTCTGTTCAGGGTATTTGAAAGATTCAATCGTACGACAATTGATTATCCTGAAATCTTCAATATTCTTAAATTGAATCTAATGTTATATCAACTTAATAGATATGTAACTCGTTAGTTAAAAAACTTGCCTTTCAACAACTAGTGTGTCTCAATTTCCAATTCCACTGCATCTACTTTATACTGTGTGACTGTGTAGTATTATCAGTCTTCACACAATAAGTGTGGTTCATAGCCTTGTATATATAAAAAAATCTGTCCAAGTTAATTTATTTCTGAATAAGATATGTTAACTTGAGTTCAAAGGTTTCGTCCAATTTACTTACAAATTCGAAATCTTTAACATGCATTCAAATAAAACTATCGTCCTATAGTAACTTTATTGAAATACTAATTTTAACTTTCCTGAATTATTTTAGGCCGGCTTTTCGACTGCCCTTCCTGTGATCGTTCCTTCACTTCTAGATCTGGCTTGTGGTACCATATTCATCTTGTTCATGATGGTAAGTTATTTCATTAACATATATGTATATATATTGCTGTCTTACGTACTGGTTGCAAATAAAAATATTCTGAATTAAAAGAATCATACAAAAGAACTCCGCCCCGAACCAGCTGGGTTCAGGGAAGGCAAAATATGCGCTGTTCAAATTACAACTCTAAGTACCATCATCGAATGAAATGGCAGTCAAACTTTTACTTCAGTTTCATCGACTTCGAAAAGGCCTTCGGCAGATTGCATTGACCGGGAAGTAATTTGGAAACTCCTTCAACACTACAGCATGCAATTCCCGAATGTTTATCAACCTCACTCAACAGCTGGCTATATGACAATTCCACATTCCAGGTGATCCATAAAAGAAAACTCAGCGAAGCTTTTGAAGTGAATACAGAAGTAAGAGATGACTGCCTGTTATCACCGATGACATTCCTAGTTGTGGCGGACTTAAGTGAGAAGACAGGAATATGCTCGAGAGATAAGAAGAGTGTAGAAATATGGATTCCGTGCGTGGATGATTTATGTCTAGCGTCACACAAGCTCGTAGACTTGCAGACGAAAACCAACAAACTGGCAGAAGAGGTAGACAGAAAAAACAAGACTCCAGGTGAACATAGAGAAGACGCAAGTGATGAAGATAACTAACCAACGGAAACAACAACCAACACCAGTCACCATCAACAGGAGAGATGTAACAGAGGTTACCTTCTTCACTTATCTAGGCAGCCAGCGTCGGATTTTCAGTACAAATGTTAAGTCAGTTTTTCTAAATAAGTCAGAAACTTGGCCTGTGGAGGTAAGCATTTCCAACAGATTGCAGAACTTTATCAACATCTGCCTTCACTGCATATTGAAGATCAAATAGCCAGCCAGAAGGAATTAGTAACAAGAAACTCTGGGAACGAACCAACTGGCGATAACCTATCGCTAAACAAATATGTAGGAGAAGATTGAGATGGATCGGACACATGCTGAGGGGACTGTCGAATAACATTTGGTGCTAGGCCATAGTAGAACTGGATGAGTGGGTCGTCCTAGGGTGACATGGAGGAGATCGAGAGAGAGGGAGATGAGAGATTAAGGGCATTTGGGCGCCGAGCTAAAGAGGACAGCAGAAAATAGAACAATGTGGAGATGTGTTGTTGAAGCCCTATGTTCCATTTGGAACCCAAAGGAACAATAAGAATATAAATAAGTGATAGTTTATTAGTGCTTGAACGAGCGAAAGGCTTTGGAACATCGGTTCACTTTACTGTCTTTTTCTTATTACTACCCTACCTTTAAACCCCTATCTCATTTCCAGCCCATCCTTAATTTTCACAATGCTTTAGACCAAACATTAGATGTTACTATGTTCATATTGTGTACTAAACAGATAAACAATAAATTTGGTTTGGGACCGAGAATTTTTCTGAAACGCTCATGTATAACCCACGATAATGGAAATCAATTGTTCCATCAATGCAGGTGTAAAAACAAGTATGCTTATCTTGGGATTCGTAAATAAATGTTGCGGAAGTATAATGCAAGAACAAGAAGTATGTTGAAACGATTTAATATCAGAGGCTTTTTAAGGAAGCTAACTGAATTACACGTTTAAATAAGATGCAGGCGCAATAGGTAATTTTACCAGACTGTTATCATTCTTCGTTTATTCCAGTTTAATTATTACCTTAGCCAACATAGTTTCTGAAATGTTAAAATACTTGATTACTAGAAACTTAATTCGGACTCAGAAACAACAGAGCTAGGTGCAATGTAAATGTTAGGCACATTTTAAATGGCTTATATTGTCCATAAAGTCTGATTGTCCATGTATGTATACACAGTTACATGCGCATATATATGCTGCCTATATTTTACCAGACTAAGATTGGCTATTCTTGGTACGTTTGCATTCTCCTTGTCCGTATAACCTATAATCTTGTTTTGTATATTAGAAAATATTGTAAATGTTAAATGCCTTTAGTGATTCTAAACGTGTTGCTGATCAACTATTCATCTGTATGCCTTTCTTCGTCTTTGCAGTACAATCCTTTCAATGTGATGTATGCTCCAGAACATTTGCATTACGAGTTTATCTTCACGCTCATGTACAACAAGTTCATGGAAGTAAGTTGTTTTGTCGTTTTTGTAGAAAGTATTTTTACCATGAAATGCTTATTTTATCTGCATGTGATTATATTCTTTCAGACAAGTTTTGGCGTGTAACACATTAGCCAGGTACACATACAAGTTTTTGCACTGCACAATAAGTCAAACTCACTACAACGATTCGTATTCAATTGTACTTGGCCATCTTAACTATATATAATATAGATTAAAGTTTGAATAAGTCACTTACAAGTCGAAAGTCGATTATTAAAATTACTAAATCAGTTGCACATCGCTAATAGCTAAACTTTCACTCCAGTATTTTCTACTCATGAGCCTATCTATAAAGTCAAACATCTCTGTCCTATCAGTGGCAAAAATAAGTCAAAATGAGAATGCCTATATGATAAACTATCTCCTCTGATATATACCTTCTTACCTCAATTTTGCAGTGTTTAACTTAAACCTGTGACCAGTAAATAATCTCTCTGTGAAAACAGATGAAGTATTAACTTCATCATTGTGTCATCCCAATGTGTGACAAATACAGTTGGCGCGGGTTTTTTTCCAAGTTTTACACTGATATGTCAGTTAACCAACTTGTGTGTGTGTGTGTGTGTTATTATTTAATACGTAACATGGATAACTGAAATCTATGATGTATAAAAATTTTGGGCATATGTATACATCTTTGTCGTAGGCTTCATCACTATCTTTCTTGGTTTCTTTGATGATTTCTTGATTCTTCACCTTGTTTGTATATTGGCATACATCTAGTATTACTGTTGAGTCCACATGAAATATTTTGATCAATTTGTTGTCTGTCAACAAACTGGAGGTCATTCAAAAATTTGTTATGCATAAAATATCAATAAATGCATGTAATGCTACTAGCATTGATCTAATACACTCCTACGGTCAATGTATCAGAGTTCAGTCTCTGAGTTGTTTACATTACGAACCTCCATTACTTGAAGCGGCATATGGGACGAATTGACCTAAAAAAAAGAGAGTCAAGTTGACAAAACTGAAGAAGTTCAACATGAATATAAGTTATTTAGCCTGATTGCTTGTCTTCAATGGACTGACTCCTTAGTCAGACTTTGAAAGATTAAGCACAATCTTCATTTATGAGATCGAGTTGCTTTACAGTTTCTTCTTTTTGTCCTTTGTTTGTTGAATGCATTATTTTTTTTATTTATTTCATACATCTTTCCTTGTAATGCCTAATTGTGTTTTTATAGTTTACCAACATGAACTAATCATCACTTATTTCAGGTCTATTATTGATCACTTAGTAATTATTAACACATTGTCATCTTACTATATATTTAAGGAAATTAAAGTGTGATCTTTCCAGATGCAATACATCATATACAGTGAATTTTTTAATTTCTGTTTACAAATTCAATTTTACTACACTCAGTGATGATCATACTGTTGGCGTTGTTCATAATTTAAGTATACATTTCTCCATTACATTTTCTTTTGTGTGTTCTCTTTTTTTATATAGAAAGAATGGTTAAATGTGAACAGTGTGGTAATTTTTTCTTGTCTGGGAGTACTTTCAGAAGACATGTAGAAACTCAACACAAAGGTTAGTTGGCTAGGTGACAGCAAGCATATTCATGCGTTGTGTATAACAAGTAATTTTACCATGAACTGGTCGACTTTCACGAGGAGGTAATTTATTTTGCTACATAAAGTAGCAGGTAAATTGGATTCAATTTTTCTTGACTTGGTTGTTGTCTTTTTAAAGTTGGTTAATCTAACCTCTATACTCGTATTGTAGTTTCAACAGTACTGCTTTTATCCACAAAGCTGGTATCAAGTATAATTCGAATCCTTAACTTATTGACTGGAATTCGGTAGTCTGTGGTAATTAGATAGTCATCCATTTTCTCTACTGTAGTAATAATCGGAATAAAAATGAGGCTGTTGCTATAGTTCCAAAAGGAAAGCGATATATATATATATATATATATGTATTATAGTTAATAGACAATATTTATTCCAAGTTAATTTCCCATTTCCCGTTGATTGACTACTTTGGACCAACATTCTTGATCTCTACTGATATATTGGCTCCTGATATAGACGTCTCAACGATGTCCGTGGATTAACGTGAAGTTATTGTAGCTGGTGGTGACTATCAGTGGAATCTAGGATGCTCATTACATCCTACCTGGGACTCGTCAGTCAGATATATACCTGCATCCTCAGTGAATGGTGATATTCCCACTGAGACTCGAATCCAGCAGCCATCGTTTCAAGCGCCAAATGTTATGTTTCATGCCACGATTTTCTTCGGACTGAATTACACAGAACAGATTTTGCATGTACCAGGCTAAGAGCTATACTTATCCTGTAACGACTGATGATACTGTCCATACTGAAGTCAGCAGTACTCGAAGCCTGTGACCTATCGGTTAGGCGAAGAAGTGGATAACACGATGGAGCACGATGTACTTTCAGCCCTACACCTGCCACGTTGAGCATTTTTTGCTTAATCACTTTTAAGATGGCCATTATCAATCTTGAAGCACTCATTGGGGAAGAAAGAATATTCTTTTCGATAACTTCTCCAAATTCTACAGTTATACATCCATTTTAGTTATGGAATAGTTGGTAGTGAAAACATTTATGTTTTTTTTAAAATAACATCTAATCATTAAGATAAAAAAATCTAGTAGGTATATGTGAGTAAATTGGTACAAGATTACAGTTCTAAGCACGTATATGTGATGATATACATGAATATGGTATTTAGCTGAACATCAAATATTAAAGTAAATTATCATGAATGACAGTGTGTGCATATAAGTGAAGGTTCATGATTAGTGCTCAAAATGGATTCTATTCAGTCAGATTAAAGGTTATATATATAATATGAGCAATCAAGGTTGAATTAACAAAATAAAAGGCTTGTTCATACAAGTATAGTAATAAATAAGGTGTAAGGGGGATTTATACATACAGGGCAAAGGTCACACCTAAAACACATGCCCTAATACAGTATATATATATATATACCTATAAATTCCTACTAGTGTACATATACATAGGTGACTGACTGAGTCATTAATACAGCCAATAACAACTATTCCTCAACTAATATAGACAAACAACTGTAGGACCTCAAAAAGAAGTAGTCGTAGGGAAAATTTATTGAAAGTGTGGAATTCTGACATCTTTTTTGTTTTTGAGTCTGCAATGGCTTGTTTTACAAGTCAGAGACAGTTTCAAAAAACTGGCCTGAGACAGCATCATTTGCAATAAAGTGATAAGTGCAAATTTTTGTATTACTTTGTATACTATATCATCTTACATCCTGTTTTATTAATATTACATTACAAAATATAAGTAATAAGTAGTAACTAAGTCACCGTAATTCGTCATGAGATGGTAATTGTATCATTTGTATGAACAAAATTTGGAGTCGTTTACCTAAACCGTATGATGTATACTGCGTCTCATACTGTGTCTCTCCAATGGTTGGTTTAATTGCTAAGCACAAAGCAGAACTGAACAAGACTTTGATGACATTTTCTGCCCGGCTTTTATTTATTTCTATCACTGACATAATAAAACATAATAAATTCAGAGAAACTTGTCGACAGTCACATTTAGGACAAAAAAGAGTGAGTAGTGTACGAGATTAAATAGTTGGACGACTGTTGTTTCTGAATGCTAAGGCCAATAATTGAGGAGCACACATCACCACAAAATAACTCTTGAAGAACAAATGTGTATGTAGATCTTAGGAGCTGTGGTAGTATGTAATTTTGTATTAATTTGTTTGTTGGATATATCATAAAGTGAGGACTATGGCAGCCCATCTGACGAAATGATTTAGTTTATATAATATTATTAAGGGATTGTTAAGTCAAATACATAGGTCAGAGTTAGCCGGGGTCAATTCGATTAATGGTGTACAAAAGCCTGACGAAATCTTGACTAGTAGAACCTGATAAGATAAAAAACAACTAAAAATAAACTCATCTTTCGCGCTACGCGCAGTTAAACACAACCATACCCTATGATGAGACAAGGGGGACAGTCTAAGAATCTAATTTCAGAATGTAGACGTGGAGATTCATAACTGAAGCCTTACTTATCGATTCAACTGAGAATATGTACTGCATGAGTAATTCATCGCATATCCCAGACATCTGGAAAATTCTGGTACCCTTACAACAAATGAGAAGCAAGAATGAGAGCTATGGAAATTGAGTTTTAAAGTTGTATAGTTAAGTATGATATGATTATGAAAAGTAAATTGTGTACGAAAGATCATCCAGTAAATAATACTGTGTCGTATAACTGATGTAGAAATTAATGTGGAACTCTTGAAGGATCAATAATCAATTACTATCTAATTGTCACCCTTCTGTCTTCATTATCCTTCTTCGTGTATTATCCTCTTGACAAATCCACATAGTGCTATCTAGTTTTCAATATTTATTATCCATTAATATAATTTGTAGTATTTTCGTAAAGCTACGTAACTCTTATTCAGTAAATAAGGAGGCATGCAACAACAGTTTTATCCATGTAACTTTTCTACCTCCTGAGATTCGTAGAATATTTAATGTAAATCAGACTGAGTCACACATTTCCTGAAATATTTAATTTTCCGTTGTTTTTCTGTAAAGCCTTTAATTGTAATATTCAATGGCCAAATAGTTACCATTGTCATGTTGACTAGTATTCACGGCTGTTCAAGACAATATCTACTTGCAATCCTGTACAGTATTTTTGCCGGTAGTTGCTTGTTAAAGATACTGGGTCGTTGAATTTGGTTTTATTTAGTGTTGTGTAAAGAAGACATGTTACTAGTGTTTTGTAATATGCTTATCCGCTTATAGTCTGACCTTGGCTAAATATTAAAGTCATCAGTTCAACTGGTTTGTATTTTGTACATATCTTTATCTTCTATTTTAGGCGTGAAACTTCCACCCAGTAATAATTATAACTCTCCAGTTGATCGGAAACCATCTGGATTAAGACCACCCGTAGGTAAGCATTACTAATACACCATCAGTTTGTATACTGTGGTTGTGAATTAATTTTTGTCCTATGAATATTTATCATTCATTACAAGCCAAGTTTGTCTGTTTTTTTGATACCGATTCAACCATTATAAGGGTATTTCATATAATATCGATTTCTTTTACCATTAGAAAATGTTTTAAATGTCAATCAAACTTTTGAAAATCGGAAGATGATTACAGACTGGTTGCACCATTCTTTCTGTTAATAACTTTGACTCATTATATGAGTCAATTTCTCTGTCAGTGGGTTTTTAAAACAGGATTTCATCTGTTGAGCCTACATTCCTATATAGGTCTAAGTACAGTTGTCAGGACCTTCATGGTTTATTGTTATGTCTTGGTTAGATGATTCTTAGTCTTCCTCCTGTGTGTTTATGCCTTCTCTGGCTTACTTCTTGGTGAGGTCGATGGTTCGACATACCCTACCCTGGTCACAATGTTATCTCGTCTTTATTTCAAATTTAACACACCGTACCACCCACACGAGACTGATGTTTTAAGGTAGTATAGCAATAGATAAGTGGTCGAAATACAAATCTAATAAAACTCATGGTAATAAAGAAGATTTGTAGCTCAGGTGGATGATTTGCAATTAATAGTGTTCTCTGAGCTGGTTGGTTTGGTTGCGGAGCTTTCGCCGTCCCTCTGGACAACATCTTCAGCGCAATATTTAGCATAAAGTGAAATGATTTAAATTTCTTCATGAGTGATATAATTGCGTCTCCTGATAACCATCTTTACATATGTTTTGACCGTTTTCTATTGACTTGAATTTTAAACCTTCTGGTCACCTGATTTACTTTTTATTAGTTGGTATATTTCGTCTATATTAACGTGTTTGTGAATTGCATTTTCGTTTGAGTACCAGGCTTCTAGGAATTCCCTGACTGCATTTTTGCTGTTTCCTCTGTCTAAGATTTTGACATTATCCCAATCAAATTGATGACCATAATTATCTATATGCATTGATATTAAAGAATACATATCGTGTCTTTTCACGGCTGATTTGTGTTCTTGGATTCTAATTCGAAGGGGACGCCCACTTTGGCTGATGTAATGCTTGTTGCAGTTCATACAATTTATTTTGTCATGGTATCTGTACTGTTAAAGATAATTTGCAGTGCGTTAAATAAATTTCTTTTTAAGTTGGAAAATGAGCCAGTCAGTTTGTTGATAAATATCTCTGATTGACGTGTATCAGTTAGTCTTAATTATTATTTCTGCAGATGTAAAAATTCATCATATATTGTTCATTTTAGGCGAAGTGATATTCAAGTGTGCCAGTTGTAACAAATCTTTTGCTTCGAGATCTGATGTCGCAGTGCATTACAGACATGTACATGCTCGTAAGTAGAATTGGATGTATTGTTAAAAATTTCTAATAGAAATGTCGTTTTGTTAGTAAGCCAATTACTGTATTTTTAATCTTTTCCCTTGAGAATTAAATGATTCAGTACGAAGTGTTAGTATGTATTTTTTTACGGCTTGTCCGGGTTTTTGTGCCGATTAGGATCTCTTATCATCATCAGTCTGCGTATTCTGTAACTTGACCAAATTTGCCTACTTCTGTCTAGATAACTGTTGCAGATACACCTTACTGACGAGTACTAAGAAACACAAAACTCAGGTCCAGGGTTTTCCACCAGTTGCCTTCGTTCATCGATCATCGAATCTGTATAGGCTTATAGACTAACTACCTCAGATCAAATTATATGAATACAGTTTATACGAATTTCATACTGTCATAATAATAATAATAATAATGTAAATGCATTTTTGACATTTTTTTCTGATGACATGAAATCTCACCTGAAAAATGTTTATTTTCGATATCAATTTTTGGTTGCCTTTGAAACTTGTTTGATTGTGTTACAAACATCAATTAACCTTTAAAGTGCTCAACAAAATTCATTTGCTTATGTAAATGAAAAGCATCACTAGGAATTCATCCAGTTCATACAGTAGATTACACATCGACCACTTGTGATTGCATGCAGTTGGCAATGAGCCACATCAGTTGTATGTGAGCTAGTGATAGGTAACTAGCTGGTTGGACCTCGGTTGGTAGTGTGAGACTCGAACCATTGATCCCAGTGGCTAGTAGTTGAGGGATTAGTTAGATCAATGAACCACAGTTCTTCCAGTCTATATGGATTCCTTTCACTAAGAAGTTCACTTGTTTACTGTGTCACTGTTATCCTTGTGTTTTTCTATTACGTGATCAACTTTCGGTTGTCTTTAAAATATGAGTATGTTCCATATCTTTTACTAATATGTGCCTTGACGCACTGATACTGGTTGGTGTAATTGGTAGCAAGGGAAATGTAACATGCAAATGCAGTTTTTACCACATGATTCTTCATGTTGACGCTTGGGTATCAGGGTTTGAACTTGTAAGTATAAAACTTGGGCACTGTGGTAGAGTATAACTCCATTATGGATTTTATTTTGATAAATCACACAGTGTTGTACAGTAATATCAACTGATGAGCAATAATTTGTGCTCGAAAAGTCATCCGTTAATATTACTGTACAACACTGTGTGAGATTTATCAAAATAAAATCTTATCCATAAAGGTTTGAACTTATTGACTATGTTGTTAGTATTCACTTAGTCAGTCAGCCACTAGTTTTTAAACCATTTTGAAATTCACTGATTTTCATTTCCAAGGTGCCTCGATGTTGAGACTCAACTTTTTAAAGCGCTTGACTACTTGACGGTGTCTGTCTCTGTTGTGTTTCATCATGCTACACTCCGTATCAGGTTGATTTCTGTGATTCACAACTTGATCAACTTTTACATGTTACAAAATAGGTATGATTGTCACTCATAGTTTACTGCATTTGTGCTTACATATTTCTATTGAGTAGTCACTGACAGGTTGTTTATGACACTGATTTGTTTCGTTTTCAAGTTTTAACTAAGCTCAACTCAATCGTGGAATTATGTTACACCACTCAATTTATTTAATTTTTGCTTTAATTTCTACCCAATTTGTTACGTAATTGCTATCTGAGACCTAAGGTTTTAATGATTTATCTTTGTAAACATCCCTCTGTTGTTATGGTAGTGTGTGACCACATACCTTCAGAATGTTATCTCCGAAAAGAGTGATTCTTCGCTAGACGTCTCTTTAATTTATTCTTATTGAAGACCGTGTGGACAATAAAAGAGGCGCCACATCAGATAGTTATGAAAAAGAAAATATATAAGAGAACAAATGGTAACATGAATTCGGATTAATAGAATAGAAGCATCCTAAATACCTTTTGTGGCTTTCGTACATAGCAAGAGAAAACTCCAACATGTCTGTCATTGTTCTCGGTTCTGAGCCATATCTAGTAATTTCTCGAGTCTTTGAATTGTCTCCACCCAATGGAGTCTAATTGTGCAATAGCAGATGCGAATCCGACTCAACTAACTCACAGTCACTCCTTCGTCTCAAACCAGTCCATGGAGCAGGAAACAGTAAACGGTATAAAAGTCAGTGGAATGACAACTGTAACATGTGTAGACTACTAGAATCAGTAGTCCAACATGTCATCACTGGTTGAAATACAGTCTTCACCCTGTTCACATACACGTCGTTAGACCTCCGAATTATTTTTCGATGCCACAAAATGCATGACGTTCTAGAAAGACAAAGATTGTCAAACATACAAAGTCACCGTACACCCTCAGCCTGGAGATGCCGAATTCCACAAGACCAAACCTTTAACGACTAAACTAATATCACATTCATGCAAAATTCCCATTGTAACATAGAAAATCAAAACAAGTGATTCAGCGAAGAGACTCTTTTCAACGAATTTATCATCAAGCTGTACCATTATATATATATATATATATATATATATATATATATATATATATATATATATAAGATTGTACAGCTTGATGATAAATTCGTTGGAAAGAGTCTTCTCGCTGAATCACTTGTTTTGATTTTCTAATGTCACATTGACGACAGAGGTACCCGCGATTGCAATTTATCGCTCTGACTGTGGCTAGACGATTTCGAATGTCAATCGTCACATTTTTACTAGCACTTACACTTACTGGTATATAAAGATACATATAAAGGTTGTCAAATTCTCTTGTAAGTGCGCGGATATTCTGTGATGGATGACAGTGTTTAAGTATTACACCTCTTGTTCCTACTCTATACCTGTATTAGTTCACACTCTTGCCGAAATGTATTGCAGTATAGTCGTGCTGGCATTGGGTTGTTTTTATTTTAGGTAAATAACTACTCCTTGTTCAAACTGTTCGAATATTTGTGACAGTTATACATGTAGTCTCTAGTAAAAACTTAAACCATCTAATTAGCAGTTGAAAATTAACGTCTTGTTTTAATATCTGATATTTAGTCCTACTAATTTTTAATGACTACAGTGTTATTAGTGGTTTGCTTGTTCGGGATCAGTTAACCTGTATTTAATTTATTGCACTATGAGGAGTTATGTAACGATAGAAAATGAGAGGCTTGGCAAAGGAACGTTGACTTGGAGTTTGGTATCTCAATGTAGCTAAATTATGTACACCTTATCTTCAACACACCATTTGCACAGATCTTTCATGTTGTGCTACTCCTTTGTGTTCCTTTCAGGTCTCCCATATATCTCTGAAACACTGTTTCATTAGCTTTCTCCAACATCCAATCTGTTTGATGTTTTTATGCTAACGAATGTCTCCTTATAATACTACTGATAAATCGTATCAGTAGCACACACCAAAGTTAAATGTGTCGATAAGAAATCACAAAGATGAATAAAATAATTATGATTAGATTATTATCATCATGATTTATTTATTTAGTTATCAGTTGCTTCTTTATATTACAGAACCTACACCTTTCGGTCATGATGTTGATCAAGAAAAAAATTTTCACTTAGTATATACTTATCTTTAAGAATCAGTAATGTTGTTGGCTATTCAACATTGTTTTCTAATACTAAATATTCTATAATATCTGCTTTCTCTTTTTGTGTAGTCAAATATATTAAATGCGCAGAATGTGATCGAACTTTTACGTCAAAATCCAGTTTGCAAAGTCATGTACGCGTAGCACATCCCGGTGAGTTCACTTCTTAGTTTTTATTAAAGTCTTCCTTCACTGCTTCTCAATTAACAACAATATTTAATTACCACGTATTCATGATGGTGTCGTTGAATAGATCGGAAATGTTGATATTCCGGGTTGTGTCATTAAGTGTTTTGAGTGATTCTAAAAGATTTCTGTTGTGTTTAGTGTCAAAAATGCAACCTAATAAGGAAACAAAAAAGTTGGAATGTGTATAATCATAAAAATGACCTTTCGCTTTTTCAACTACCTCTTACCTATTTCCTAATTTATACTGAATTCAAACCACTTGCTAGCACTTAGAATTTACTGGAATGCACTATTGCGATAGGTTTTTAACAGAGGAACCGTTCAATGATTTCTATGCTGACTGGTCGACTGATTGCTAAATTATAAATGTAAGGATAGCGCTGAATTTTTCAAAAATAGGTCGGAACTCTTGAAAAAAAAAATTGGAAATGAAAAAGCTAACTAACAGATTGCTAATGTATAACTGAAACAGAAGAGTTTCATATCTAGGACCGAAATAAATATTGAAAAACGGGCTGACAGACGTTTGAAACAATACTGAATATCTTGTGTTGATTATGTGGATGTTACGAGAAAAGTGTTCTACAAATTAATTTTTTTACGGCGATATTTTGAATGACCTTCTACTTACTTTCCTAAGTAAAATATTGGAGTTAGCTCTCATAGGGGTTTGGAGAAGTGAATATTCACGTTATGTCCTCTTAGTTCTGGTTTTTAGTTATCTCTTCCATCGTTGATTGGGCTGTTTTTTAAATCGATCTGGTCATCTAACGTTGAACATTCATCTTTGTTGGCCCTTTTAATGAAATATGCCCTTCTTCTCTGACTACAGTCTGGTCTAATCATTGATGCCAGATTACTAAATAATCGATGACATCTTTCGTTTAAGTGGTGTATAAATTTTTCTACACATGTGATATAGCTTTACCACGCGACTCAGATGTCAATGGGTTTTGAGTTCAAATCTCAGTCCGTCTACTTCAGACTGGGAAAACGGTTTATATGATAACCTCTCACTCAGTAATTACAGCTCCATAGCTTAGTACTTGAAAAATCTGTTGCAGACAACCAAGTTCTAGAATTAATAGTAAACTATTCTGAAGTAATGCAGTTTTCAGCTTATGTTATAAAGTACTGGAAAGACCCTATCTTACATGTCTATTTTCTTATAGAACAGCTCCTATCACTCGTTTTTAACAGTTTTAGTAATGATTTAGTCAATCACTTATCAGATAAATGAGAAGTTATTATGGATATCAAGATAGAGAGAGCTGTTAAACAGTTTTAAGAATTGGAATATATTGGTCAGTTGTTAATTCACAGTTATTGTGAACAATTAGTTGGAGCTGAAAGAGTAAACAAATTCATTTCACGATGCTAAATGGTTTTAAGATCATTTAAAACAACTACTTTGTGAATCCCTTGAATCATCAGCATAAAGAAGAAATACCCTTAAAAGCGAAATTACAAAAATTTCATCTGCTTTGAATCTTAACAGTGGATTTACTTACCTACAATCACTTGACTTTTGATTTTTTTTTAAATTGTGAATTTAAAAGAATTATTTCTGAGCCTCAAGGTCTTTGTTTGTGGTTTTTTCATTTGAACTATTCAAAGAAAAACACAATCTCAGTTTAAAAAAGTGATGTTACAAACAAAAGACTATCTTTTTCAGTTTGTAATATGGAAAATGTCATAGTGTTTTTTTGATGAGTTCTAACAGAATCGTTGATCATCGATGTGTAGCATCTACTCCTCTATGTGGGTTGAAGCTGCCAAGCATTTTACTATGGTCATGAATTTGTTTCTCTGTTGTACGTTTATCACAGAAAATTATTCACTTATACTTTCTGCGCCTAAGCGTTGTGCTAGCTGTTCTACGAAAAAGAATTCAGTTAAACATCAATCAATCAAAGTCTTTTTTTTATTCCTTTACGTTCCCAGTGGAACATAGGGCTATTTCAAGCTAGAGGCTTGAAATTTCAGTAGCAGTAGTGTTTATTTTTACGGTTTGGGGTTGCTAGCCTCATGTCCAACCTTCCCTCTTTACCAATCTTACTACTGACTTATTGAGGTGTAAAGGAGTGCGTCGGTGGCCAGGGATCGAACCCCGAACCAATCTGCATGGCTGGCAAGCATTCTCCACTGTGCCACCGACACACAATCAAAGTCTTATATTATCTTTTTTAAGGGTATAAAATATTATTCTACAAGTATTACTACTAACCAACGTGTATTCATTTTATTTTTTATTCAGATGATGATGAAGAAGAGGAAGCAGAAGAGGAAATGGTGGATATGCCATTACCCTCTAAAAAATCTCCTGTAAAAACTGTCACTATCCTCCTTTTCCGAACAAATAAAAATCTCCGTCTTCAAAATCCTCCTGTTTCATAAATCTAATTTTGCTATAATGAATTATTATTTCGCAGTGCACATATTGTATTGTATTGTAGATTCTTGTGGATCAGATATTTTGTTTTTATTACTATTAATTTTGATAAATGTATAAATTTGTTTTTACCATTGTGTTGATATTATTGACGAAAGAATGAAATAAAAGATAACTGTATATACTTTTGTAGTACTCATTTTTTTTTAATAATCTGACTCATCAGGCATACCAGAAATATGGCAAATACTACTACCAATCGAGTCAAGCCCTGAAAAATAATGGAATTAAATAAACGAAGTTAGAAAGTTGTGTGAGTAACGTGTTGTGAATACGAGCAATAACTTGTGCTTAGAACATCATAAGTAAATATTGCTGTATAACACTGGGAATTCATCAAAATAAATTTTACCCACAATGGAATTATACTCTACCACAGTGCGCAAGCTCTATTCTTATGCTCAAGAATTTGCTGTCAACAGTCGTGTTTGAGGATTTACTGTGAATTACATCGAATTGCGTCATAATATGATATTGAAACTGGACACAGCGAATTAAATGCATTTCTAATGACCAGTGGCTTGCTTAAAACCCTGAATACCAACAACTTCCACCTCTATACTGCATATATTTTCTCTCGTTGGCTTTGTTTTAAGCGATTAAAATATGACCTCTGATGGTATCATATACTCTTACCTGTATTCAGAATGTTTAAAACCCTCTGATTAGCAGATTCCTAGTAAACTTGAAGAAAGGCTTGATTGCAGGTGGTGACGTCGTGTCCTAACACGTGAAATAACTGTTCTTGAGTTATGTCTTTGTGCTCAAGCTTTACCTTTGAACTTTTTATAAGTGGCTTTCAACTGAATCTCTTGGAGGGGAAAAACTTCACCTCAGGGAGCATTGTGTCACAAGATGTACTGTCAATTTATATTTAATTTGAAGATCCTGTACTAGGAAAAAGTATCATGCAATAAACTCCGCTGAAAATTCTGTGGTCATGACGGCATTTGTCTGTGATTTTCACTACCACGTGCATTGTTTCTTTTATCCAGTATGGCATTAAGCAAACGTTGACTTCATGTTGTGGTGTCATTCTGAATTTCGAAATATAGTTCACAAATCTAGAAGATAGTAATTATGGAAACTGGAGTAACACTTCTTGCCATCTGATCAAAGTATTTTCTTTGACGAAGTCTGATATTGGCATCCTCATTGATTTGATAAGAAGCCTGAGGTTGTGTTCACGTTCACTAACAGTTCTTTTGAGGGATAATAACATACAGTAACTGTATATGCTTAAGCATTTTAACCTGAACTTCACAGTCTCTCCAGATAACCTGTTTGATAAAAAAAATGGTTTAAAAATTATGAGTCACAAGTACAACTTGCGTATCCATCATAGCAACAGATAATTTCTGAAGGATTCAATAATTCCTAGGTGGTCAGGAAATGAATGATTGTTACGATTGATGCAACTTACGTAAAGGTGTGAGAGTAGTAGGGTGCACCTGCGAGCTACTCTTCCACATTAAGTAAGTACTAATTGTAAGTGTTACATTTCAGAAGGACCATGCTCAGTATTTATCTTGTCCCAGTGGATACTGATATCAAGATAATCTGATGCCGCTTGCAGCGGCAGACATTTTCTTCCACCATTCCATGTGACAATGTAAATTCCACTCGTGTCACATCTTCAGCTGTATAGTTTCAACTAACGCACTCCTTTATCTTGCTAACCCAGAAATAACGCTGGTGAAGAGGAAAGGTTGGGCATGAGGCTAGCAACCCCATCCTGTAAAATAAACACTGCTACAGAAACTTGAAGCCCTATGTTCCACTGAGGAACGTGAAGGAAAGAAAAAACAACAACATCAAAATGGATATAATTACCGCAAATTCAGCTGCTTGTCTCATTCTTAATATGATTGCTTCGGTGTGTCGTGAACTATTTTATTCAATCTGGATGAAAATGAAAAGGTTGCACACCTCACACAGATATATAAATTATGTCTATGGATGCATTCTTCGTCAGAAGCCTGATTGTCATAGATTAATTGGCATGCAGTCAATTTAAAAACAGAAAATTAAAAGCCATTCAGAAATACTAAACACTTAAGTATTCCAAACAAAAATGGCAGCCATTTCTATGCGTACTTCCTTTGAGTGAATGTCTTTCCTTACTACAATTCATCTGGGACATGAAAACACTTAGGCAACAAAACGACCAAATTGCAAGGGGATATTGATAACTTCGACTACAGGAGCCTAGAAATAGTTCTATACTTCCTATTTTCACATAAACAGACGATCATGATGCCTCTTTATGCATGGACACGATAACGCATGAGGTTAGCCTTTGTTCTATTTTCTGCTGTCCTCTTTAGCTCGGCCCCAATTGCCCTAAATCTCTCCCCCCTCCATGTCACTCTAGGACCACCCACTCATCCAGTTCTACTATGGCCTAGCACCCAATGTTATTCGATAGTCTCCTCAGCGTGTGTCCGATCCATCTCCATCTTCTCCTACATATCTGTTTAGCGATAGGTTATCGCCAGTTGGTTCGTTCCCAGAGTCTCTTCTTGTTGCTAGTTGCTTGTGGCTGGCTATTTAATCTTCAATATGCAGCGAAGGCAGATGTTGATAAAGGTCTGCAATCTGATGGAAATGCTTACCTCCACAGGCTGAGTTTCTGACCCACTTAGAAGAACTGACTTAACGTTTGTGATGAAAATTCGAATTTTTTCTTCATACTCAGTGCAAAAGATTGATTTATTTCAGATTGATGAAGACCTGCCTTACCTTTCCCATTCTGACTGGCTTTGACATCTTAATTTGTTCCTTCGGCCTGCGGTTGAAACGATGCTGGCTGTCTAGATAAATGAAGGAGGTCACCTCTTAAATTTCTCCCGTTGATGGTGACTGGCGTTGGTTGTTGTTACCGTTGGTTAGTTATCTTCATCATTTGCGTCTTTTCTATGTTCACCTGGATTCTTGCTTTTTCTGTCTACCTCTTCTGTCAGTTAGTTGGATTTTGCCTGCAAATCTTCGAGCCAGGCATAAATCATGCGCGAAATACAGATCTCCTACACTCTTCTTATCTCTCCAACCTATTCCTGGTTTCTCACAGCCTAACACATAATCCACCCCACCGCAGCTAGGGTTATCATCAGTGGTAACAGGCAGCCAGCTTGTCCCATTCTTGTATGCACTTCTAACGTCTCGCTGAGTTTTCTATTATGGGTCACCTGACACGTGACAGGCATTGTCATATAGCCAGCTGTTGAGTGAGGTTGATATAGATTTGGCACTGCACGCTGTAGTGTCGGAGTTTCCAAATTACTTTGCGTCAGCGCTGTCTATCGAAGGCGTTTCCGAAATCATTGAAAATGAGATATAAGTTTGACTGCCATTCTATGCACAGCCTGTTTGATGACGATGCGCACAGTAGCGATTTAATCATCGCATAATTGGTCTTTCCCGAACCCAGCTTGTTCTTGTACGAATCCAGCATATAGTGCGTCTCTTATTCTCTCCAGGATGATGCGACTTAGTACATTACTTGGTGTGAAGAAGAGCGGAAATTCCACGCCAGTTCTTGTGGAGGCGTAAGTTGCCCATGTTTGGTAGCTTACCGCGGTAGCCTTGCTTCCCATTGGTAGGCATCTTCCTTTCCTTCCAAACCCTTTGCAATCATGGCGTTAGTATTTCTGCTGCAGTCTCTGGGCCTGCTTCCAGTGCTTCAGGGTGCAGAGATTCTATGTAGTCCTGCTGCCTTCCCGAACTCTAGCAGCCTGTTCGCGTTCAAGATTTCTGCTATTGCTGTGGAACTGGTGTCCACTGGCAGGCAGCTGTGTGCGTAATTTTGGTGGTGTTGGTATTTTGGAGAGAGTTTCAGGTGACGGTCGACACAAGAATCGTTTGAAGTGATCAGTCCATTGTTTATTGTTTCTCCTGCTTGGTAATTAGGTCCCATGAGCATTTTTCGGTTTTATCATCCGGATATATGTGTAAAACTTGGGTACTGTGGTATTAAGTAGTTACATATTCCTTTGTTTATTAGATGTATCACACAGTGAAACAGTATTATTTACTGGGTGATGTTTCTCATCTCGGAACGATGAAATCAACAAAATAAAGTCAACGGCGATCGATAAAAAGTGGGCTATTAGTCTCTCAACACATATATTAAGTACCACAGAAATAAGTGTATTAGAAAAGGAACTTAATTTCAGTGTAGAGGTAGAGATGCTGAAACCTCAGAATGTCATCCCTAAAATAGAAATAGCACCAAGTGGCATAGACAGAACAGTGGCTGAAGAAGTATGGGCACAATGTGCACTAACATTTAAATGACAAAAACGTGGAAAGCCTAACCTGACAAAACCATGAATGGAAGCCCAAAAGCACCTAAAGAATAACAAGGATATAGTAATCACGAAGCCAGACAAAGGAAATGCAACAGTAATGTGAAACACGTCAGACTTCACAGTGTGTCGTAGAATTATCTTTTGTTTTCCGTAGCACTCTTGCCTCTTTATCCTTTGGGTTATACACTGAACTGAGTTTTTCCTTCTGTTGTCTATCTTAGCACTGAGTCAACCTCTCTTCTACCATTCTTCCCTCCTCTCTTCTATTAGATTTCAAGTAGATATCCATTGAGAGCCATTCCTTGTCTTGCCTCTTCTCTCTTTCTAGAAAAGTTGTGCACGTTTCCTTGAATATCGCCTTCAGATAGTTCCAATGTTCTTCCACGCAGGTGTCCTCGGCGATAACACGCATTGTGTCCGACTTCGCTCTGACCTGATCTGTAGTGAAGGCATCCGTTGTAGTTTTGTCGTCCAGTTTCTGAATGTTGAACTTGAATTACAGTAGCCTGTTTCTTGTTTTCATGAATTTAGCTTCACCCTGAAGTTTCCTTGAATGATGGTGTAAGCCCACATCTGCTCCCCTTCTTGAATTTGTGTCCAGCAGGCTGCGTCTCGACTTCCTTGAGCGACATTGAGATGAAATCTATCTGGTTTGTGGTGTGTCCATCAAGCGAAATCCATGTTGCTTTGTGTATGCCCTTGTTTTTATACACGCTGCCTCTTATCACCAGATAATTGAAATCTCAGAAGTCTGAGAATAATTCTCCGTTCTCATTCGTTTCTCCGAGCCAGATACTCTTCAACCATTATCAGTCCTCTTTCTGTATTGTCCGCTCCCAGTTTGGCTGGCATTCATGTCGCCCATGATGATTTTGTTGTCACCATGTGGGAAGTTATCTATAAAAATCTTCCTTTACTCCTGTTCCGCACTGTTTTTATCACTGTGCGTAGCGTTGGATCATGATGACCTTCCTACGTTCCTTTTGATTTGAATCTTGCTGTCATAATCCTGCAGGATGAAATTGGCTTTGGCTGCTACTTGTGACATCTTAAAAGCCACTCACAGCCTCAGTGTGCTCGTGTTTGTCATCTGGGTGACCAGACCAAAGTAGATTACTGACTCTCCAGTTGATAATTTGGATAGTTCACATCCATTCAATCTTCTCTCGCGACTTCCGAAGACTAATAAACCATATGTTCTCATTTCTTTGATAACCTGGGCAGCTTCTCGGCCTCGTACATTGTACGAACATTTCACGTCCCCATTTTATTGTTACTTTGATCGAGAGATGACACACTGGCTGGCTGACTAGCTTCCTGAAGGCTTTCACTAGACCGATTCATTTCGTCGCTCCTGTTACAGAGAAAAATAATTGTTTTTTCTATATATCTCTTGCACTTTACAAGGTAAGGTTACTAGCTCGACACTCAACCCTCCCGCATTTCTGGGATTTAGGACGGCTAGAAAACTAGCGAGCTGGTGAACAAGGTGAGGTTACTATTTAACGTTTTTGTTAGTGTCTAGCGTTGGTGACTACCAGGGATATTGTTATTTATATGAAACTAGTTAACTGTTTTGTTTAAGATCAAATAAAAGTTTCACAGTGTAGGAAGAGGACCTGGTCAGTCACAGAAGGGGTGTCTAATACCGAGAACATTTTCATCTATGCCACCTAAAATAAAACTGCGTAAATCCACATCGGAGAACTCAAATGACTTGAAGAAAACTCTGTCCACTGTAAAGTCATGCGACGTAAAATCTCCTGGCAGCCTTATCCACATCTTGGCATGTGTCACAAGGATTGGAAACCCAGTGCTTCAAGAGGTATTAACTTCATTACTACACGGCCATATCAAGGCTACTTAATTACGCGAATCTTTATCATGCTACGATTTGTTGTCATAGTATCTAAGTTCCAATCCACTACACATTTTTCGTTTTGATGGTCGTAAGATACGAATCGAACCGATTCGAGGCTTTCCTTTCAAAAATTTGAACTCTTGAGGTATATCAAGCATCACTGGTAATCAATAAATATGACAATTCTGTGAAGTTTATAGGAAACAGAGACTTGTTCGAACTATAGGAGAATTCCGACAGATGCAATAGGCTGGTGAAGAGTCAAAATTCATGGGTCATCGCAATTTTTTGTGTAAACACTCATCAAATTCAAGCTTGAATTATCGGCTTTTGTTAATGTGTATATTGACCAAAGCAGCGCCTCGTTCGAAGTTGGTAGCTGTGGCTGGGACGTAAATGCTCTGTTCCTCTGCTGTTACTGACTCGATGGCGACTTGTCTTAATGGAAGTAATTTAACACTATGAATGTAAGAATATTTAGAATTTCGTTTTATGTGTATAGACGTAGTTTTGTACTATGAATATGCATTACCTATTAATACTATTAGGAACCTAAGCATATATTTGTTCTATTTTTCCATAATACTTCAGGTTTTTACCCTAACTAAAAACTATTATTATTGGTGAGAAAATAGGAGTAGCTTTTTTGCATGGGGGCATTGTGGCGATCTGTGCTCATGCCTACGGTTGTTGGCATTACATTTTGATTTAAAAACTTAGTTACAAAGATGCCCATTGTAGCTCATAAGTATATTTTAAGTTTAACTAATGTGTGCTTAAGGCAAAATTAGGTTACAGTGGACACTCCGCTACATATCCGACCTTCGTGGTGTTTCGAGGGCCATTTATATATCTGATTTCGTCTTTGAATCTATCTTAAAATCGCAATCCTCCAAAAAACCAGTTATTCTGTTGACATTCGTCACATGTATACGCTTTAGTAACTCTGGTTAATTCATTACATACACTTAGCAAAACTAGACCTCCCCGAAACTCCGTAAGCAAAGCCAGAACAATTGGCATTGTTTGATTGGGTGATGCCATGTGTAACTCCCATTGGTTGTCGGAGGTGATGTTCTGGGGTGGCTGTTGTGGTTAAACACTTCATGCACCCAAATAAACATTTATGCCCTTAGTTGAATCTCTCCCAATTATGTTTGGTTCATTTTGTAGCTGATGTTGTGTTGTGGTCCGTCGCATTTCAGTTTATCTGTTAATGTTTTTAAGGATTATTAAGAGTTTGTTATAAAAGTGAGTAAGAAAAAACAAGGATTTTCACCCCCTCTGTATATTAATTTTCCTGCAATGGGTTGTAAACCGTTTACAAAATTTAAGGTCCTGTGCTGTTGCGGTTTTAATCAAGCTACACTAGTTTAAAGGTCTGCGCTTATAAAACTATGCGCCTCATCAATTGTGGTGATGGATACATTTGCAAAAAGTCCGATTCACCTATTTCTGGTCACCACAAATCCCAAACATGGAGACATTGTGCAACCTGACGACCTCTATCACCAAATCAACATTGAACTCAAATAGACCACATAAAGATAGGTTATCGTTGACTAGGGGCAATAGAATAATGCCGCTCCTTTTAGAACATGTGCGCAGACTCCAATTGCGCTCTGGTTCACGCACGTTTATGCTTACAATTAAATGGACAAATAAACTGTTGGCAGTTAAACAGCTACACCCCCGATTAAATTAAGACGCAGTCCTTAATTAAGAAAGAAATAAGGAATAAGTATTTGGGGTTGACAGCAAGACTCCTCCTGAGAAAGCCTGGCACAACACACAGCTGTAAAGGCTGTTAATAACATACAACAAAAGTTTGTAGAAGCCGGTGGATCCACGTCGGTGGCACCAGTAGAATGTTCGCCGACCACGCATGTGGCCCCGGATTCTACCCCCGGCAGGCGCACTCTTTTATCTCGCCAAGCCAGTAATAAGACTGGTAAGGAGGAAAGGTTAGGCATAAGGCCAGCAACCTCATCTCGTAAAAATAAAAAAACCCACTGCCATCTAACTTTGAGCCTGTAGCTTGAAGCCCACTGGGAACCTAAAGGAATAAAAAAAGTTGATTTGTACTACAACGTCCGAACTGAATGACGCAAGAAGACTGATCCTGGCGAGCTCCGAATATGATGAGGAGCATATACTGCTCAAATGCAAACTAACAAGAAGTCTTAACGACTGTGAACAGTGGTGGGCGACAAAACCGAAAGAGGTGGAAAAGGCATCGGGGATTGGTAACACCAGACAACTATTTAGATTTATGAAGGAAACAGGTGGTAAAAGGTAAACGATAAGTAAAGCAATCTCTGAGAAAAATGGCACCATAATTAGCTGACAGTATAGACGACTGGAACGTTGGAAAGAACACTTCGAGGAGCAATTTAACTGGCCTATAGACAAACTCAGCTTACCAGGCATCCAACGCCTCCCCTAATGGGACATAAACACCTGTCCTCCGTCCCTAACTGAGGTTGAAAAAGCTGTCACTAACCTGAAACGAGATAAAGCAGCAGGACCCGATGGAATGACTGCAGAGGTGTTTAAGAACGGTGGAGACACTTTGCTGTCTGCGTTAAGCAAGGTACTAGGCAACTTCTGGGTATCAGAGATAGTCCCGTCGAGCTGGTCATTGGTTATCCTGATATACACAAAGAGAGACAAGTTTTCCGGTGATAATTACAGAAGGATTATCTTGACTAATATGATATCTTAAGTTCTAGGCTCAGTAATAATGCGTAGACTAAGCGGTGCTAGGGAGGAACAGAAACGAGAGAACTAGCCAGGCTTTAGAGCGAGAGGTGGGTGTTTTGATCATATAATTCACCTTTCGACAGCTTCTAGAACGTATACATACTTACCGGCGTCCAACAGTCGTTTTGATCTAAAAGCGACATTCGATTTCGCCGACCGAATGGTACTATGGCGTTGTTTTGCCATGAAGGGAATGCCAAGGAAATACATTGCACTGATTAAAGCACTTTCTCGAACTCATGCAGCCAGGTGAGAGCCTACGGAGAGTTGTCATCTCATAACTGTGGTGACAACCAGTAGTGTCCATCAGGGATGCTCACCGTCCCCATTTCTATTCAATTTCATTATAGATGTACTAATGGAATTAACCCTAACTGACTTCAACGACTCAGGGATTCACTTGTTACCATCAGGAAATAATCTCGTTGACTTTGCATATGTACATGATATCGTCCTTCTTGGTGAAGACGCTGACAAAATCCAGCAATCTTCTGAACACCTTGAACTGAGCAGCAATCTTCGAATGTTTGACATGCGATTCGATCATGCTATGAAATACCAAATGGTGCTACAGGACTCTACTTGACTGGACTAGACTACATTGACTCACTCCTAGCTTGAAGATACACAGGGAGTGAAGTAGTGACTGGGCGTGTTCACCACTTCACCTATCTGGGAAGTTGCATCAGTCAGCCCCAACGGGTTGATCGCTGATAAAATCTCACCACGGATACACAACACTCGTTTCGCATATGCCTGCCAACTTACGCCATCTCTGGCTAAGTAGACGTGATATCCGGCTGTCTGCAGTCCGCTTCGTCCTCCTTCATGGCTGTGAGACGTTGTCACTGAAAGCCGGAGACATGAAAAGGCCAGCTAGCTGTCTTTGATCATAGGTGTCTGCGTTTTATCTCCCGTGTTAGGTGGTGCAATAGGGTGAGCAATACTGAGGTTAGGCATCTGTTGAGTGCTAGGTAAGCAGGGGAAATCAATAGACGAGGTTTTGAAGCAGCTGCATCGATTGAGATGGTTAGGATATGTGTTGCGAATGCACGCCTAGTCATCGCCTTCCTCGACAACGGGCAATGTTAGCTGACGGGATCGATGGATGGATGGATCAGGTTGGAGAAGAGCTAGCCAGTGGCGGTTGTGGTCAAACGAAAACGGGGATTCATCACTCAATGAAATCCATAACAGTTAGTTCGAGCTAGCCACGTAGGGAGGTGTAGACTTCTTGGTTGGGGTCCTTGGGGTGGTAAAAACCGATGACTGGAGACAATTGGTGATATGGCTGTCTCAAAATCGTCCTCAACGGGTGGCACAGATGCATTCACTCTTTGTGATTTGTCATATCCAATAAAAATGTACCATTCTTCCATATTACTTTCTTTTTTCTCTCACTCACACTTCTGTTTGTCATCTCTCTTTTGAATATTTCTTTACTCTCTTCTCTTGCTTTGTGTGCTACATGAAGTGTGGCGACTCGAACTGTAGCACATCTGTGAAAAGTTTGTATGTTGAAACCAATCGGTTAGAATGGCGAAAATGTGATAAACAAGCCCCCGTCCGGGCCTGAAGCGTACCTAAATTTGACGGTTGTCTGTCACGTGCGCCTCCTAGTTAACGCATGATTATGGAACTCAGAAATGTAGATAATATTTTAGTCGAGTTAATCTCTTGGTAATGCTTATCACAGGAAGACTTTTTCCCTTCTAATAAACTGACATAAACAATGATTTGCAAGAACCTAACATGAGCATTCAAGATTTGCACAAACTACCTAAAATCCTGGCTCACCTAAACAACAGTTCATCAACATCACCCTTTTTTACTTCTAGAGTCATAATATCAAGTCTTTGCTCCGCTTCCTCTACACCTTACTAAGGTAGGTGATGAATGACTGTTGTTACCTGCCACCGACGCTTTTTACCTTCGGCTTTTGTCGCTCGTCACTGATCACGGTTGTTACTAGGACTCTTAGTCAACGTGCATTTGAGCTCCTTGTGTTTAGAGGTCACGGAAATCAGTTCCGCTGCATCGTTCAGTTCACATGAAGCAGCAAAAATCCACTGGCACTTACTAACCTTCAGACTTAGGTTATCAGCAGCTCTTACCTCTGCTTCTGCAGCTGACTGGACTTAGGACGAGTCTTTATATCAGTATCAAGAAAGCTCTTAGTTATTTTCTCTCTAAATAGTTTTTTAAGCCCATTCAGTCGTAGTCAAACACGGACCAAAGTGTGATCTGAGTTTAGGCAGGTGTTGCAGAAGGAGCAGCAGTCTTATCCGTCGATAGCCTGTAGGTAGGTGTTGCATTAGAGTTCACTTTGGTTTGTTGATGGACGTGACTGACTGACTGGTTTCAACATGGAACTTTTCACAGATGTGCTACAGTTCGAGTCGCCACACTTCATGTAGCACACAAAGCAAGAGAAGAGAGTAAAGAAATATTCAAAAGAGAGATGACAAACAGAAGTGTGAGTGAGAGAAAAAAGAAAGTAATATGGAAGAATGGTACATTTTTATTGGATATGACAAATCACAAAGAGTGAATGCATCTGTGCCACCCGTTGAGGACGATTTTGAGACAGCCATATCACCAATTGTCTCCAGTCATCGGTTTTTACCACCCCAAGGACCCCAACCAAGAAGTCTACACCTCCCTACGTGGCTAGCTCGAACTAACTGTTATGGATTTCATTGAGTGATGAATCCCCGTTTTCGTTTGACCACAACCGCCACTGGCTAGCTCTTCTCCAACCTGATCCATCCATCCATCGATCCCGTCAGCTAACATTGCCCGTTGTCGAGGAAGGCGATGACTAGGCGTGCATTCGCAACACATATCCTAACCATCTCAATCGATGCAGCTGCTTCAAAACCTCGTCTATTGATTTCCCCTGCTTACCTAGCACTCAACAGATGCCTAACCTCAGTATTGCTCACCCTATTGCACCACCTAACACGGGAGATAAAACGCAGACACCTATAATCAAAGACAGCTAGCTGGCCTTTTCATGTCTCCGGCTTTCAGTGACAACGTCTCACAGCCATGAAGGAGGACGAAGCGGACTGCAGACAGCCGGATATCACGTCTACTTAGCCAGAGATGGCGTATAAATTAAAAGAAATTTTTCTTTCGTGGATATATGGAACATGGTGAGAAATTTTCAGAATTATTTCTCATCTAGGGTTGAATTATGGCGAATAAGATTACAAATGCGGACTTTAACGTAATAATAACAATTAATAGGGAGTTCGGATGAAATACATAATCGTTTAATAGTTATTGATGAAACTGTCTGTTTATGATTGCCATGTTGAAGGCATAGGTTGGACACTCCTTTTGAATACATAGCTTCCGAACTTTTTCATCACTTTGCTAAATATTCAGGAATGTACAGTCTGGTTGGTGACTTCGTCAACAAGCATTATTTCTTCGCTGTCACCGTCTTTTTAATTTTCCCACGATCTGAAGTGAATATTCTGCAGCGTAAGATACTTTTCACACTTTCTCAGTCAGACATTGCCGACGTACCTCTCGGTCGAGGAGGTAGATTAACTTCACATCAAGAAATATGGCAAATATCGGATGACGATAAGTGTGCTTGTCGTTTCCATTAACGCTAGAACAAGATTTACACTTTTTTCTTCCTGTTTTGTCGAAGTATGTCCGTGTTTTAGAAGCTCTCAAAGAGCGGAGCTTCGAGAAGTGCACTGTCACTGAGGTGTGAAACCTTTTTTCTCCGATTTAATTTTCTCGAGCCCTATATACTCTTTGTAGGACTATAGAACCTATGACAACATTATTCAGTGTGATTTCTATGACACCATCGCAGAAAGTTTTGTTCTCGTTATTCTGAACTCAGTAAACGATCCACTCTAGTTTAACGGAGCTACTCAAACAACATTTGCTGCCATGGTGTGGTAGTTGGGAACGCACTTTGTGATAACTTGGCTATTTAGGAAAATTATTCTTCAAGGTCATTCACAAAAACAATCTGTTAGTCACATCAGATGCATCTACTGTCGTGGTGTTGGCGCATATTCTCAACTGCAGTAGGCGATGTTTCGGAAGCACGGAGCAAGGCTGCAAGCACTGAAGAGGTGTAAATTTAACTTCCTGATATGGTTAGAGATTACCCAAATTGGCGTATGCTGCTTTGGCTTTCTCTTTGAGATTGGAAAGGTTGTATCACCATCGGAGACAAATTAAGCTTCTGTGCATCATCAATGGAAAGGATTTAAAAAAATTTAGATTTAAAAATTTAAAATTTAATTTAGTGGAAATTGCCATTCCTACTAGAACACCAGGATGGACTCTATCGTGCATTAGTCCATGCAATTATGTGGCAGATTAAAATTGTGAAGGGCCAGAAACGTCCGAGTTAGGCGTATACCGCCCTGGCTTTTAGTTTGCGATTGAAAATTTCGTGTATCGTGCCTATGTCAGCGTAAATGTGGGTACCCTAGATATGCAAGATTTTTTGATCACTTCTAATGATTCACATGTGTAGATGTGTGCACTTGAACGGTATAAAGCTCATATCGTGTTTACTGACACTGATTGCTAACTGAGTGCGGCTCGTGTACCGTGAGAGTATGTCCCTTACATACTCAGGGTCAGTCTTTCACCAAGTGGCAGATATATTGCATCGCTATCACAACCTCTAGAATTGTTGTCATAGTGTCATCGGTGGCGAAGTTAAGCTAAAATGGTAAGATTGGCGAACCCTGTCTAGTTTCATTGCTTGATGAGAGTAGTTATGGTAGGTGGTGATATGCTCCTCTTTATATAGGGTGTTTTTGTCGAAGCAGCTTTTCTTAACAAGTGATTCCAAAGGACTGTGATATGCCGCATCTACAAATTCAAAATTATCATATGCAATCCCATTGAAAAGTGTATATTTGCCTTGTTGTAGTCAAACAGGGTGGGAGCCTGAAAAATCAGGACCATTTTCTGTAGTATTCCAAGGGTCTTATTGAATATTTCCTGGAGTTACCAATCTTTCTGTTATAGTTTAACTAGATGTTGTTGGACTCCGCATTTATCTTTCATCTACTTAAGAAGAGCTAATCTTCCTATAGCTTACAACTTTTTTGACTTTTCATACTGTATCATACTTCTCAGTAGTAAAGTCACTGTTTTATATCGTCACATTCTATACTTTGTTTCTCGTTTCAAAAAGAAGTCCGGCGGTTGTATAAGTATACTATCAGTAAAAATATCAGATAGTGAAGGCATCACTACGTAAACTATTAAAAATTACATTTGTTTTTACTTTAACTGCATTACTTTTCTTTGGTTTTCATTTCAGTTTTTCTTCTGCAATGTCAAGTGACTTCAGAAGTGCGATGATTCAAGTAATTGCTCAGCTATGTGGTCAAGTTGGCTTCGAACAAATTACCGAAGCCTCACTCGAGCTGCTAATCAGCATTACAGACGCATATTTCCATGCTCTGGTTAAAAATGTACATACACTGATTGACTCAGGTATTGATATTGTCAGTTGATAATTTCCCAGATGGTGGTGCACAGGTAGCGGATGGGTTGTTGGCTTTGCGTTTAATGGGCCAAACACCACAAGGCCTTGCCAATTTTGTAAAAGAAAACAGTCAGTTCTTTACACCAGCACCTTCTATGGCCTGTGGACCTGTGTATGGGAAATTGTGCTTGAATATTCCAGATGAAAATCACCCCGAGTTGGAAGAGCGGCCACTTTTCATTCCTCGGCATTTACCGCTTAATTTCCGTGAGGATTTCGGTAAATATTGCATACTTACCCTTCTAGAGTAGTTTATAGGAAGTGAAACTTTTCCACAGGTAGACCAAAATGTTAAAGAACCAGGTTCCGATGGCTTTTCGTCACTTTCGTTGCCTTGTACACTCTCTGCTAACACCCATTGTGTTTCTGGTTCAACCAATTCAGTTATTACAAGCGTTGCTCGTACACTTCCGGAATGGGCGAGTAGATCAACGTATCGTTTAACATGTGTATCAGTTGATCCTTTAACTAAATCCTTAGTGGAACATTGTCCACCATGGAGACCGTCTGAAATGCTTCAGTCACCGATTCCAGATAGCTATGCAAGTTGTTCTACAAGTAATTTCCTGTCGTCTATTTCGAAAAGAGAACTTACTTATGACTCAACGCCAGAAGACACTAAAGGTGCATATGAATTACCACAGTCACCTGCGAAACAGCGTGGCGCTAGTGATGAACAGTGGGCAGCAGCCTTACAGGTAAGTCACCTACTTATTATCTATGGTGTAGTTTGGTGATAAATTCGAAATTTAAGAAAGACTTCTTTTTGTGAATGTCATTCTTTTAGTTTTTAGAGGTAATATTCAAAGTTATTTGCGTGTAATAATTTATATGAAGAGATATATACATCTTAAAGTTGAAGCGTGTTTGAGGTCAAAAACTTGGTGCTTGTATATTTTCTGCAGTTCCCTTTTTAAACTTGATTAAATAAGGTTAAATGCCAGGCCTGTATTGTGTGTACATGAATATTGGCGTCCTCTGAATTTCCGTTAAATGGTTATCATAATTGTGATTGTTATAACATGTCTATTACCTCTTTCTTCACCAGACAGTATTCGGTTTAATCAAGGCTAGAAGGTGGTGTCACTCAGTAGTCGTTGGACCTTTACTTTTGTGTAAAGTTTCGTTTCCACACTCTATAACAGTTCTAACTGTATTCTTTAGAGTTTGTTCAACATAACTCTAAAGCTGAAGTATCTTTAAATTTTATTAAGAAATAGTCATGGGTATTTTATTATAACATTCTATGAATAGGTTATACTGTGCTCAAAGTTATTCACCTCAATGAATTATGTTAATCATCAGATTTAAATAGTTCTGATGAAAACTATCGATGTAGTAGTCATAATCTTAATGATTGACACCAGTGGTTATTTGATAGTTATGTATCTGGGTCATTTTTTAGGTAATATTTGTGTGCTGTTGTTTGTAAAGGTAAAATTTGATGGAGAATTTGGAATATCTGTATCTTTGAGGAAAATCCTATGTGCACAAAAGTAATACGCGTTGTAAAGTAATCGACCTTGTGAATTTAGTCCACTCATTATATGACCTATGGTCATACTACTTTTCCAAGCGATGTTAGTAGTAGTGTAATGGCAGAAGGCAAGATACGGATGCCAAGGTATATTTTCATTGATCAAACCGCTATTTATATACATATATACAGTTTTATATTCTTTAACCAATCACTGAGCTTGTGGTTTTGGTTTACATTAAACGACATGAAATAGAATGTTCAAGTACATATAGCATTCTGTTACTAATTCAGTATGGAACTGTAGGAGTATGTGAGAATAATACTGCGTTGAAACACATTGTCTGTATCACACCTCTACAGTAGTAGTATTCTGATGATAGTTACATTTTAGAAAATTATTGCAAAAATCGAGATTGACTACTTATTCCGATCGGCGTGATGTCTTACTGCCTTCTTAACCTTTTTTTTCCAGGCAACTCCATCAACACAGCAGCCAAAACGTATTGTCTTTACTCCTAGTCGATTTGATCCTAGTGCAACTCCATCTTGGTCAGGGATCAGACGGGTGTCTAGTTCATCACGTGCCTCTTTATTCTCTAAAAACACTATTGGAGAAAATTCAAGAAATAAACGACAAGCATCCTCACTTGCGTGAGTCTAGTCGCTTAAATATATTTTCATTTAAGCTACCTGTAACATGCAACATAAGTTAACGTCTTGTAATTAATTTGTTGTTTTTTCTCTCCGAACTCAAACTCGAACGTGATAGTGACTGTCTCTTCTAATCGTTTTAAAAGTCAAAAGTGAAGTACCAATGACTGTGTTTAGAGAAAACAGTTAGTTTATCCCTTATTCCTTATCCCGTTGGTGACGAAACTATTTGAAATTAGTATAAAAATGTCCTAAAGTACAAATGCTTGTAACGCGTTCATTCTTCTTTATATTAGTTAGCTCTGTATTTTTTTGTTAATTGGTGTAAGTTGTACTAGCAGACAGTTAATGAAGTTTTGTATATTTTGGGAGCCTTAATAGCTAGGACGTATTCATAAACGATGTAGTATTCATCACCAGCTACAGTGTTTTGTAATTAATAGAAGTCTGTTTGTTTTCAGATGAGAATAATTTAAGTGAGCAGTTGAAAATTTTGAAAATTTGGATGATAACAAGGATTTCTTTTTATTATATATTATCCAGGCCATGAACTGCATATGACGTGCATGTGTGGGCTTGTTGTACCATTCGGAAATAGGTGGAGAAGGGATTCAAAACTCAAACCTACTGATTGAAAGTTGAATATATTGAAACCACCTAAATGGATTCTTTTTTTTTATTGAACCACATTTGTATATATTGTATCAATAGCGTTGGTAACACCAATTTGATAAAGAAACCAAAAGTGTATACACACTTCAGAATAGCGGTGATAACTCAAGTCGTACTAGGGAATTCAGTTAATTATTTTGTTATGTGTTCTTGTTCCATGAAGTAAAAGGTAACTAAAAGGGGTATCAGGTATTATTATATCTAAATGAATGTCTCGACTTATTGTTAATTATGTCGTAGATATCGTTTATACCTTAGACATTAGTCGGTCTCTTCTCTTAAATATAAATGTGTACTTATCTTGCACTGATTTTTGGTTGTTCATTGTATTCTACTTTGGTGCGATCATTCATTTAATGGAGTTACACATAGCCGTGATATTTTAAGTCTTAATAATTGTATCTACTGGTGTTGTATTATTTCATTATCTGGCTTGGTTTGCGTAGTTATATATAGTATTGCTGTTGTTGTCTAATTGTCAGATTTGTAATTTTTTTAAAAACAGTAAATCTTAAAACATATGCTATTTCAAAACTTTTAGTTATGTAACGGCACCAAAAGTTCCAAGACTTTCTACTGGTTGTCGAGTACACAGGCGGTCTAAAACTGGTCGCGGTCGAGCGAGAAGATTGTCAAAACAGAGATTTTCAAAGTCGAATGCATCGAGTTCTCCTATTCTTGAAGAAGCTTCCGATAGTAAAAATATAACAGACCAGTCATCAAATCCAGCAAAGGAAATACCTGATTTTAAAGACGATGTTATGAATACAGAACTTTCTCCGTTGGATTCCGATGTTTCCACTCTATCAAATGGAATGGGTAGGCTGTAATGTGATGCACTGTTTTTTTAAAAAACCCGATTGCTGAATTTAAAAGATATAAAAATTTGTATAGGTTTTTTGTCGTAGGTGGTGTCCTCATACACAGTTACTCCGTCGGTATATAGATGATTAAAAGACAACGCTTTTCAGTTCTTACTCTTTCTAGACTAACAGCACATAAATGATTTAATAGGGATTCAACCGAGTTCTAATGCTTAATGCAAGCCCGACACCGATACCACATATTCGTCGGGTAAACAACAATGAAACGTACTATTGAGCTGATTGGTTGGAAAATTTTTCGAAGTACTTCACTAGAATCTTGCATACCAGGCTTTGAGGTGCAGCATAAATAAATTAATGACTAAACTTTCCATGGTTCTGGTTGATCCTGCTTACTACTGTCTGATTTATATAATTATGTGGAAATTGCACCTTTTCCTTCAACTCTAAGCTGGACGTTAAAGTATCTTCAAGATAAGGAACAAAGTATTCATCATAGTCTAAATAGCTTCATATATGTTTCGGAAATACATTCTATGAGGTGAGTCACTAAGTTGTGTCTTCTCAAATGTGAAGCGTTTCTGAACTCAATTTACTACGGAGTGTTATCCGAGTTGAACTGGGATTAGATTAATAAGAAGCGGAGGTTGGCCATAGTTTCAAGGTTACCGATAAGTTCAATGATTGTTGATCTGAATTGTGTAGCGAAGTGTAATTTGCTTGGCTATATATAATCCACCAAGTAACAGGAATTCGAGGTTTTTTTATTCTCCTCCTTTTTCACTTGTCTTATGCTTTTTCTTTCTACTAAATGTCCAAATACCCGACTTTTAGCCATTTGGTCCTAAGTTCGAATCCTGCCCCATCTACTTTAGCCTGGGCAGCTGGATAGTATCATCAGCCCTCACACAATAACTGTATTTCATAACCTTGCACTTGAAAATTCCGTTTCGGGTAATTGTGTTCTAGCTTTTGTGCCTTACACTTTACGACCTCGAATGATTTTCTTTTCACATATGACTGCCTTTCCTTCCGTTGCAGTCTGTTTGATACGCGTATGGTGTGGTGACTTTGATTCCCGACCGATAGCTGCCAGCTTGACGTAATGGTTGGGTTTGCATATAGCAGCGACCCAACAAGGTATACTGGCTGGAGCTAATATGTTCCTGCAGGTTTTACCGTGCCAGGAAGATTGTTAGGATAGCGATTAGACTAAAAGCAGTTACCGGCATAGTGTAAGGTTTTTTTTACACTATGCTGGGGGTTTGTGGGCAAAGTTGTACTGTTGGAGAACATGGATGTAACAGCAGTGAGGTGTTTCCCTCAGATGACCAGCATGCCAGCTATGCTGTCTCTCCATTCTTGAGAGAGAGGGTTAGAAAAGGTCGATCCCAAAAGTTGTACATCCCGACTTACCCTACGCTAGTCCGTAACCGGCGGTAAGTTACTCATGCGGAACCAAACGAAAAAGCCAGTTCAGATAGGCTGTGTGTGACTGGCCACAACCAGTTGTCCCCTGGGCTCTATGGTCACACAACACTAACTGTCTGTTTCAGATACCCGAAGATTCAGTCAACTTCCACGGTGTGGGCAGCCGGGAAATAACAACCACTCACACACTTCCAAAAGCACACGAAGCCCTCCTGATCATCATCCTCCTTTATCCCTGTCTTTATCCCCTGATGACTAATTATTTATTTGTTTGATAGTTAGTTAACTACCTGGAATATAGGGTATTTGCATTTATATACATAGCTGTGATAGAGGAATCTAAAGACCATAAGAAAAAGCCTAATTAATCTTACTGATACTCACAAGTTCATTACTTGAATTTAATTTCTGTAATAGCTCTGCATGTAAAAGATACGTGCTACAAACTTGATGAATTATCATTTCGTGATCGTTGCTAGAAAAAAAATTGGTACCGAGTTTGAAATCTGCTTTAACTTAATAATTTAAAGCATTGTTATGAAGAGCTAAAAAATTCAAATACTACTGTAGTAGTTTACGTAGTAAGCATTATATGATGATTACCCTACTGACATCGTGGACGTGTACTTTTACATAGTGTAGTCTAAATGTTCTCTGAAATAGCAAGCTTTTTTTCGGTTAGTAGTATTCTTCACTTAGAAATCAGTCAAGAACAACAATAGACATGGGGATCAGATAACTTAGAATGCCTCTGTGTTGCAAGTTACTACGTTCTGGTTACCCAGCAATCAATCAATTGGTTAGAAATTTAGATTCTACTTTACTTATATAAGGTATATGCGTCCGACAAGTGTCACTCAGCTTCATAATCTGCGAGTAGAAGGACATGTGGTTGCTCAGGTTCACTACACTTTTAATATCACGAGAGATAAATATCCTACCTCATTTTATTTTTACTTCCCTCCTAAGTTTTGTCACTTGGAATATGTTGAAACTAATTTTTTTAATGTTTTGCCCTGAGGCGGCGATATTTTCATTTTGATTTGCAAAGCTAACGTATTTTAAATCATGATGTGCTGTATTTACCACATCATAGTGGTTTTTGTCAACCACAGTCAATGATGTGTGTTGGCTTTCCGTGTCACTGATAAATTCTCTCATAATATTGCTCGAACGAGAATTTTGCCAACTTGGATGGTTACCTAATTGTAACTGGTCATTTATAGTCGAATGATTTATGATGAAATGGGTTTGTTAATAAGATTGGAGAATTGCTTAGTGTCTGTGCGTGTACCACCTTTCGACTGTTGATGTCATCTTTCAAGTGACAACACAACCCTAGTTTACTATTGTAAATAAAATGTGTAAAGCTTTTGTTGAATTCACTAACTTAAATTGTCCTTATTATGTTTATAAAGATTCAACTAAATCTATGAACGATACACCAACTACTATTCCTGAAAAAGTTGTTAGTGAAGATCGTGCATCAAATAGAATCGATTCAGAAGAGGAAAAGCAAACTGTCTGGAATGGGAAAGATTATCCTGAATGTGAATCACCGAGTACTCCTCCTTTACGAAATCCTGTAAATAATGACTCATTAATAATACCTACTACTACTATTACTACTACTACTACTGATATGTCACATAGTGCAATCACTTCACCACCAAAGCAAGCTGAAGACTCTAAATCACCAGGTGAAATTGAGACAACTGATTTAAAGGTTTTGGATATACCAGAGAAAAACAATCCAATGGAAAATTCAAATATTGTACAACCTAAACCAACTTATCCGTTTCGGAGAAAAGCTCGTGGTCGAGGAAGAGATAAATACAGAGTATCTGCATTCAATAGTCTGTTTCAGAATCCACTTCGACCGAACAGTTCTAAATCAGTAAGTTGATTCACATTTACTTATGCTGTATAATCGCAATATGAAGTTTTCAGATATCAAAATGGTTTTCAGTTTCATGATTGTATATATATATATATATATTAGCTGTTAAGTATAGAAATAATTATCGTTACTTTAGTTTATCGGAAGTGTTATCACCATAGAACTGCTGTTTACTTTCGATATCAAAATGTGCTACCCAACTATAAACATCAAATTTATCAAATAGGCATCTACCAGTTTATAGAAATTAGTAGGACAGTTAATTTTAACTGCTACCACAAGGTTCAGATAGTCCAATATTAATAGATGAGGCAGTAACTCATCGAAGAAGACATTGCGAAATGGTCGCGCTATGTCGTGAATTGGCAGAAGTTAGAATTCAAGAACCATTGGATCGGGTCCCAGTGGCTCAATGGTCTACGAGCTCGCCTTGTAACCAGAAGGTCCTGAGTTCGAACCCCGGTGGGCGCGTACTGATGGGAAGTCCCAAACTAGGACGAAACAGCTGTCCAGTACTCTCAAGTTTTCCAGTGGTTCTCTAACTGATGTCAGCTCATGATGAAATCCTCCAACCAATCAAACAAAAAAATCCCTACAAAACCAATACTTGAAAGTCCAATATTTCTCAAGAACCATATACAAACAGGTTGGTGTAATAGGTAGTGATTCTGATCTGTTTGCGATACTAAGTGGGTGTGAAAGTGGTAGTAAATAGAACAGGATTCAAGCTTTGTAGATCAAATACCGATTAATACTGAGTATCTGCAGACGTTAGTTTGAGAAAATAACAACAACCAGTTTTCCTTATTATTGTTTGAAACACAATACAGAGCTGTTATTCAAGTGTCACTTTTCCTTTTTCATAGTATAAGTAGTGAGTGATAATTCGCAGTTGGTGAACAACTAAGCATTTGAAACAGTTAGTTCCCTTTAAGAATTTCGACAAAATAATAAGAAGACTTAATTTATCTAAAAGGTGTAATGTGTGTATTTGCGCAGCACATTTCAGACATTCTGATCATATATGTGTGTACTTGTCATACATATTTATATAAAATGTAACAGAGCATGAGAAATCATAATTTTTTAAATCTGTATATATCGAAACGTTAATGAGTCACGATCACAACTAAAAGGTAGGAAAATGAGGTAAGGAAGACTGGAAGTGGGATGCAAGCAAATATAATATAGTAAAAATTATGACCCTTCATGCTCCGTTGCCTTTTATAGTATCGTATATGACCAGAATGTCCAAAGTATGTTGCCCAAATGCATTTTATACGTTTCAGATAAATTACATTTTCTTACTATTTTGTCGAAATTCGACATTTCTCAATTTTCGAGTTTGACCACAGATGGATATCAGTTAGAGAACCATTGAAAACCAAGGAGTACTGGATAGCTGCTTCACCCCATTTTGGGAATCCTCGGCAGTACGCTCCTACTGGGTTTTGAACCCAGGACCTTCCGGTTACAAGGCAAGCTCGTATACCCTGCAGCCACTTAGACCCAATTCGATCGGCCATGAATTCTGACTTCTACCAATTCGTGATGCATTTAGTGCAACCACGAACCAATGTTATCGGTGGGCACTCCATCCTCACTCCCAACTGGATGGATCTAATTGGTTGCGACTTCTCTCTAGAACTCCAGGAAACTCTGTCCTTTAGCAGGTCACTAGCGAGCATCAGATTCTGTCTGTCTGTCTGTCTGTCTGGATTCAACATAGAACTTGGCACCGAAGTGCAGCAGTTCGAGTTGCCACGTTCCAAATAGCACACAAAGGTAGACAGGAAAATGAATGAAGAGAATCAATAGAGTTTTGACAAGTATAAGAGTGAAACAGAATGAGTAATGGTAGAAAGGAGTATGAAAGATTACAGAGACTGAATACATCTGCGTAAGCCATTGACAACGATTTTGAGCCATGTCACCTATTGTCTCCAGCCATTGATTCTTAGAGTCCCGAGGGCCCCAACCCGGATTCATAGGCGATTGAATCGAGTCCCAGTGGATGCGTACTGCCAATGATTCCCAAACCAGGATGAAACAGCTGGCTGTCCAGTACTCCCTGGTTTTCGATATTTGTCTAATTAATATCAGTCCATCGTCAAACCCGAAAAACAAATTGAATCCTTACAAATCAACTCTGGAAAATTTCTTGCCTCTTGATGTCTTCAGGAAATTATCACACAAGTAGATGCAGTCCAGTAATATGGTACTAATCCTGTTTGTTTTCATATCCCAATATGTATATGTATGTACAAACTTTAGGTATTCGATTTCAATTTTAATATTTCTAATGAAATAAATTATGTGGGAAAGCTTTTCACGCATACATGCTTGCGTGACTGTAAATCCCAGAGGACAACTGATTGTAGCAGGTTATGCACGGGTTGTTTGCCGGTAAAATTTTTGGAGTTCCATCCGCAGTAAAAACGTTACCATTGGCTACAAACTACTACAGTCACATCAGCATCTTTGGTATTTATGAAGTCTCATACTGATTAATCTACAACGATAATTATCTCATACAGTTTTGTTTACATAACCACTTGTGCCCTGCCTAACTTCAATCCTAAAAAGATACACTGCCTTATTTGATAACCTCCACTACTAAGCTAATTATGGATATAAATAGGAAGTTATTGATGGAGAGAATCTATGGGAGATTGCTGCACTTTCGGGAGTACTTAAGTTAACTATAATCATGCCGCACATGCGTATCTCTGACTAAAGAAATGTAGGCAGCGAGTAGATACCAAGTCGTCACCTGTTCAGCTTCTTTGTGTTTACATGAAGTGTGTATTTAAAAAGATGAAAAAACATCAATCTGAGTATGATGAAAGTACTTCCCCGGTGCAAGCCTGGTATCATATGTAGTCTGTGGTATGAACACTGAGCAGTGTTAATAGCTTTCATTCATTGTTAGGAAAATGGTAATAGGTGTTTGTGGTGTCGTCTGAACTTGTCAGTGGAAAGTGTCAAGTAGATCACATATTGTGATCTGAATAATTTAGTTTCCAAAAGAAACTACGGTGGGATTTTACCCCTTGAACTGCCGTGCATTGCAAATTGCAAGTCTGCAAGTTGCGAATTTGATTTACGGTGGAAGGAGACTTACCCCAGTGGATTCTGAACATGACAATAAGGAGAGAAAGCTGCTTAAAAGTTTTCTCCACAAGACAAGAAAGGGAAGCAGATAATGATGTTTGTATTTTCGAGGTTTATTTGTTAAAGTGGGTTATTTACAGGCGTGATAATTTTAAAGTGTTTAATCAACCCCACCAGGATAGAGGAATTTTATATTTGGTGTTAATATTTTGTAGTTGCTTTGAATTGTGATTTACCTTTATGGGTTGTTACAATATTTTTCATACCACTTAGTTTTAATAAATATTTGTTTCATTTTCAGCTTTCTGTTAAATCAAATGATGTTCCACAAAGTTTGCCAAATACACCTTTATCCAAACCTGAAAGTAATTTTGGTGATGAACAACCTGTTGCATCTACTCCGATAGGCCGTTCGGATAGTTCCAGGCAAACAAGATCCGTCTTTAAACTTGGTCAAAGATCTGTAGAGTTAAAAGCTGATTCTCATGATATTAAAAGTGAATCTATTGCCATGTCACCTCCTATCGTTAACGAGAATGAGATTATAAACTCTCCAGCATCCGACATAACTGAACCCATGACTTATGCTGAACGGGCAGAACTTCTAAGGATTCCGTTTTCAGATGCTAGTGATGTGAAGGGTATGTCATCTTCTACTGGTGCAACTGCGACGTGTAGTAGTCACTTTTTAAAGTCGGACACTTCTGTCTTCAACAAAGAAAGCTTTGGAAAACTGCAGCAGCATGCATCAGCTGCTTTAAGATCTCTACCCTCTTCGCCATCATCTCTTGATTCTTCTCTATGTTCGTCTTCGTCATCGTCATCAGTGTCAACTCCAAAGATTCCACCCGAAGAACCACTAGCTACGAAGTCGGAAGTAAACGAAACAAAAAGTGATAACATTAAGCATGATATATTTCGATCTAACCAAGATTCAAATAAATCTTTGTTCCCGAATCCATGTATTCAGACTACTGTGGATACGAATCTGTCACCTGTAATCTCACCAAATCATGTACAACCGTCGCCTGTTGTTTCTTGTATTAATACAACCAGTACTACCTATCGTAGTTTGCCTTCACCAATTCAACCTGCAGGTGTTGGCCCACCTCCTCTTCTTCCTTTATCCAATAAGTTAACGGAACAGAAAAGTTGCGTTTCATCCTATCCTGTGACATCCAAAGAAAATGAATGTGTTCCCGTTCTCCCACCTACTTTAGTGCCTGTAAGTTAATTTTACTATTGAACAAATTCCTCATATTATTCCCACAATTATACGACATGATGTTGGGTATTTTAGTATGAGAATCCATAGGCTGTTTCTTGATGTTTTACGGCATCTATTGGTTGTGAAGTATATTTACGTAGAGATACTTGAGTATATGCTTAAAACCTGGACACTGTGGTAGTATGCAATCGAGTATATTATACTGTTTTACTGTATGTAATGTCCAGTAAAGTAACTTAAAATAGAGTACTTAAATATGCTGCATACTAGTGAATTACTTCTAAATAGTTTTTCAAAACTTATTTGCCTATAGTTTCTAAATCTCCTTATTATATCGTAAATTTCAGAGCTTAATTGTTAGGCATATATATTTTTCTATCTTGAAATGGTAAGTTTTCCAGGTCTTTCATTTAAAACTTACATGCAAGTGCAAATTGAGCTTTAATAAACCACTCGCCGAAAGATCAGTCCATACTTCAGGAATTTCACCAGACTTAATGGTAGACTTCTTAACACATATCACATTCTTTACTTTCAGATTTATTAGAGTATAATAAGGAATCTTCCATATAATTAACTAAAAACTCGGAATACATTACAATATCTCATGCATGTTGCGTTACTATTAAAAGTATGCTGAGTACTTTCAATTTGTCATGAATTTATCAGAGTTTATCTCTTTTTTCAGTCATGTACTGTTGATCCGGACTACTCAAAGTTGAAGCAAACCGATTCGGTCACAGCTTCTAGGACCTGCTTCCTCACAAATTCTCAGTCATTATCATCCAAACCATCAGGTGATAATAGTAACAATAATGGAGGATTACGTATCACCATCAAGTTAGGTGGAAGTGCACTAAAGGAGGAACTTGCTTCTTCTCTTTCTCCTACATCTTCATCGTCTTCATTATCCTCGTCAGGGTCTACATCAGAAGATGAAGACACTGCAACTCATTATACACCAGCATTAAATCCAATTCATGCCGTCAAAAAGGAGTCAAATGAAATCTACTTAACGAAGGACAGGTAACTAATTGATGCAATGTGAATTTTCTTTAATTAATGAATATTAATTAACACTGTTAGTATTGAAGATGATGCAGCTCAAGATGCGCTTCTCATATTGTAATAGCATTAATCAAACAATGGGATTGTTGTTTTCCCAAATTAAAGATTTTTCCTAACTTTACAAGTATCTCATCAGGATAGCCTTCCTTAAACTCATTTCTCTACCAGCCTATCCGCTAGTTGCTGTACTATTGTAACAACAGAAGACAAGGGCCAGGCAACAGATCATTTATTAAGGAAATCAAAGCATATTTATATATTTTCATGTACATTATTATAGTTTAGTTAAGCAAACAAACACAGTCTTCTGATTGGTTGTTTCTCACATAAAGTTAATCTTTCATCTCTTTGTGACTGTTTCTTGAATGTCAGATCATCTATATGTTAACTGTATCCGCCTACGCAAAGTCTGCTGTGGTCGGTTTTGAATCAGTCTTTGTTTATATTTTCTCACGACAAATCTTGAGAACGTAAACATTGACGTAAATTACTGTCTACCAATTTGGCTAGTAGACAGCTCTCACCACATTATTACTTTCAACTGCAATCTGGTACATCACAAGCCCGATGATAGTCATTAACTTTTTTGTTTAATTTTTGCTCATATTGCATTGAATTTTATTCAAGAGAATAATTTTAGTCGATATTACATTGACCTCAAAAATAAAGGTGATTATTTTGTTAGCACTAAGAAAGGGAACATATTTGTTAATATCTGCGCCTAGTTACTTTATGTGTTCATGTGCTCATTGCATAAATTCATAAATATATTGGTAGACAACAAAATGGAATGTCCGAAAAACTTTAAAGAGCAAAAGCTGATATATATATATGTGTTAAATATGATGTATCTGTACCAGACATTTACTTGTCAACCTAATCTATATACAAAGAATGAAGAAAAATGAAAGGCCAGTTAAATTGAAGAAAACAAAGGGATTTAAGAATAGGAAGGATAATAATTAATATAAGGATTATCAAATTAGATTGAGTAATAATAAATTGTTTTTGTCCACGACTTCGTCATGAGCTAACATTGGTTAGAGAATCTTTGGAAAACCTGAGAGTAGTGGACAGCTGTTTCGCCCTAGTTTGGAACTTTCCAGCAGTACTTACCCATCACAGGGTTTCAAACCCCGGACCTTCCGGTTACAAGGCGATCTCGTAGACCATTAAGACACCGGGAGGCGATCCAATGGTCTAACTTCTGCCAATTCACAATATAACGCAACCACTAGCCAATGTCATTAGCAGCAAGTATTTGTCCTCACACCCGACCTGCTGTACTCCACCGGTCTCGACTTCCCACTAGAACCTGAATAGGGCCAGTCGTTAGTGAGCATCAGACTGATATTCAAGTGTTGGTTTGTTTTCACACAGAATAGTCGAAGGACTTTTTATTTTACGGATGCCTGTCGTCTGTGTTTCAATACTCGCTGCTGACAATCTTGAAAGAAGTTTTGATATCAATTTTATGATTTATATCAGTTATATGTTTTGCTATAGATAAGTTTCATAGTTTATCGAGGTTTCTGAGTTCACCTGTTTTTCAAGCCATTTCTGTATATGTTTTTCTGCCCCCACGTGCCAGGCGTGATCACTCCCTATGTATGTGTCCACACACACATGCAAATTGGTATACAATATGGGAGTTGACGTAATCACTTGTGCAGTTTTGAGGCTCGTGGTAGGCAGAGGATTTTCTTGGCCTTTTCGACGATAATAAGGCGGGCTGTATAGTGTTTTATGGTTGACAAAATTTAGTCTCTGTTTTAAAATCCTATTGTAAGGTGATTCAATGTAGACATCTTCCTTTAGGATAGAGTAGGTTCAAAAACTTTAATGGATATCCGTTTTCGATTAGAAATACCCATCAGTATTCTGATCACATCACCTATAGCATCAGCAGTACAGATACGCTGAATCCTCCTAAATAAGCCTTTAACCGAGTTTGTCTTCTATTACAATGGACAGAAACTGTGAAAATTTTAATACTGCTCTATTCAGGTAGGCTTTCTATAAGTCAGTGACTGTTTTGAGTTATGCTCTCTCTCTCTCGCTAACTAAAAAGTATGTCTGGGAATGTGGGTTGGTTGCAACATTCTTCGCCATGTGTAGGGTTGGTGTGATTTGCATAGAGTTAAATCTCTCCAGCTATGTGTATATCTATGGGAAGGGATAGATACTACAGGTTAGGTGGAAAAATCAACACTAATTTGGCTTATCTTCGCTTTAATCAAAGAATGTATGTTACATAGGCAGTCCTTTTACTACATCTTTGAATAATATGTACACACCAATCAACAACTTTCTCTCAGATAGAAAGTGAGCCGGTGGTGTTTACTAACCAGATCGAAGTGATGTGAGTGGCATACAACTACTCATCTAAACTAGTCAGTAGTATATAGTTTTAGTCATCTATGCTTGCTGTTTCGACTACAACTTTATGGTATCATCAAGCAGATCACATTTTCTTATCTGAATAATTTCGGTTTGCAAAAGTAACTGTGATGAAATTTCACCTCGAACTGTGTAGATTGCAAATTTGATTCAATGTATTACTAGTTCATTCTGGCAGTTAACCAGAAATCGAGTGGTTTGGACTGATTTAGTTCTCTGAGGTGTGAGTCGAACCGGGCACAGCGCTAGCGAGCTCAGTCCCAAACGGCACTCCAGTGTTTAGATCACCTCAGTTTGACTACTAACAAGCACTACTGGTTGATGTGAGAGTGTGGTATACAACCATTTGTCTCAAGCAATCAGTAGTATACATAGTTTTACGTATGTATGTGGAGAATACAATTTTCCCTTCCTTATGGTCCATTTAGTTTTGAATCCACAATCATATTTTGTTATTATGAAATTTATTCGCTACATACTTATCTCTATATTAAAATAATGATAGGAATTTTCTGAGAAGAATATTCTTCATTCTTCTTCATTTTCCTCCTAGGTGAAGACGTTGACAAAGTGCAGTCTTTTGAACACCTTGAGCAGAATTCTTCGAATGTTTGGCATGCAGTTAACTCCTGTCAAATGTGAGATGATGTTGCAGGACTGGATTAGATCGACTCCCGGTATTAATATAGGGAGTGAAGTGGTGGCTGGACGTGTTGACCACTTCACTTATGTGGGAAGATGCATCAGCCAGCCCCAACGGGTTGATCGCTGACGAAATCTCAGCATGAATACAAAAGACACACCTTTTTTCGTATACGTGATATCCGGTCATCGATCAAAGGATGTGTGTAATGCTTGACAGTTCACTTCGTCCTCCTTTATGGCTGTGAGACATGGTCGTTGAAAGTGGAAGACATGAAAAGGCTAGCTGTCTTTGACTACAGGTGTTTGTGTTCTATCTCCCGTGTTTAGTAATATAATATGGTGAGTAATATTAAGGTCAGGCGTCGAGTGTGTTAGGTGGCACAGCGATTAGGACGCTCTCTGACCATGCACATGGTCCGGAGTTCGATCCCCGGCTGACACCTGATATCAATGGTTGGTCTGCTACCGATATCACATACTGAAAATTCCATATTTGTATCAAAAATATTGTGTGGAGTCAAGCTATACTATATAATGAGTTCATTGACTACTCTTCAGTCTCGTTTTGTAAAATGTATTCATCATTAAATTTCATTTTTAATCGTACTACAGATCTGATGGATATACTGGGTCATTGTCTCAGTCTACAATATCGTCGGAGAAAACACCAAAACTGTAAGTGAAACTTGTAATCTATGTTATTTTTCCTAATGGAAATTGCAGTATTGAGTTTGTAAAAGTGTTCTTTCAGTAAAATTCTGTTTATTATACGGTTACATTAAATGTAATCAAAAATAAATAAATAAATAAACGAAATGTCATAGAACAATCACTTAAAATCCTGTGCAGTTGGCAATAAGCTATACCTATTGTTTGAGGCCTAGTGGCTGCCCAAAACTTCGTAGTTGAAGCGAGGTTGAACCCTGTATCCCAGTTGTTAGGAGTGAAGTTCTCAGGCCAGTAAGCTACAACCCACTCTTTTGATGATTATCTGAGGTTGGAGATTATGCTATGCGATTTCAGTATTCAAATCTGTTAGTTTCATCTACAGTGTAAGTAAGCATAACTTTGGCTTTATTATGATTAGAATGAGTTATTTACACATTTCGTAGTCACCGTAAGTCAATGGTAAACTGGAGCCAATTGGCGCTAAGTACATAGTGGTAGGTTCGCTGCAGAAGTCTGTTGATGTATAACTGAAAATTCCGTTTTTATTCTTATTCTAAATGAGTATATTTTCTATTTCCTGTTATACATTTGTTGTTTCCTTCAAATCGTAGTGTTATTCGCTTTGGTAATGGCCCTGTCACATCTGTTCAATCACAGTCTGTTACATCTTCCCACATCCAATCCGATGCCCAAAGTGTAACACCTCATTCAGAAAATCCCCCTCCACTTATCGACAGGAAGTATCCAACTTCTCTTAGTTCTGCCCCTCCTCCTCCTCTGCAGCTAACCATTTCTCGAGATAGACTAAAGTACAGAGGACGAACTGCTTCACAAGGTAGTGATTCGAATGCATCAAATACCAGTTCTACGATCACAGGAAGTCTTTCGAGTAGTGAAGGAGAAGAAGAGGAAAAAGTGACCGTTCAACCTCACATCAGCCCTACAGGGACCGCAGCCTTACCACCACCACCTTCTTTAGAACGTCTACCTCCCAGATCAGGCCAAAGTGGTCCCCAGCCGATTAAAATCACTACTGAAGGACGATTGCCTCATCGATCTCAGCCGCCGCCGCCGCCACCACCACCTTCATTGACCTCCAGCGTAAGCATATCAAGTGATCTACCACCATTAAGGCAAAAAGTTTCTGTCACTTCAGGCGTCACGAACGGTCCGAATACTTCTGCTACTCACTGCCATCTCCCACCGCTCCTCCCTCTTTTCAATCCAGTTGGAGAAGAGAAAGAACCTGTTTCATCACCTCTGCCTCATTCGGACACAGTTTTAACACATCAATCTTCTTTGAGTAAGCGATCTAAGTCAAGTAAGTTCAATGCTGTGATATGTACATTCCTATTACATTACTATAATAGTATTGAAGTTATGCATATTAGATCTGATAGGAGATAATCTCTTTTTAACAGTTCATTGTCATTCACTATTCTTTGAAGGCCTAATTAATCTGTATATTGTTATGAATAAATTATGACATTAAACCAAATCACCCACAGAATATGAACCTGTCAATCAAATTAGTTTTAGAATATAATTGTTTCAACCATTTACTTAGTAGTCGTATCTTGTTGTTGCATGTATTTGATACAAAATTAAAACATTTTCGGAATAACTTACTCTGTTTTAACTGCATATTTGTACATTTCATACTTAATGCATTAAATGATTCCAGTCATATTTTTTGCGATACTTTTAAACTGAATAACGTAGGAAAAAAATATTGAAATCATAGCAAGATAATAAGTAGCATAGTTGCAACAGTATAAACTTTTTCATTTTAAAATTTGAAATATTTTAAACTGTGAAAGTAAACGCTAATGTTTGTAATAATTTCAGATTCACGGTTTGTTCGTGGAAAGAAAAGAAACCATCCAGATCAAAGCTCACATTTTCCTTTGGCTAAACGTAGAGCAGTGCATCAGTCAAGTAGAAATGTTACATCAGGTGGTCGCACTGAATCTTCAGCTGTTGTTCAACGGCCTCGTGCTACAGTGGACTCTGTTTTCACAGATGATGAAAGTGATGTTAAAAATGATGACCGATCTCCTTTAATATCCCCAGTTTCGTCGATTGAAGCAACGGATAGTCAAAGATCTATCCGTACTTCTAATAGTCGAAATATGTATTTAGCTAATCCTCCTTTAGATTCTTTAACATCCCTGCCTAACTCCATTCCTCCTCCCCCTCCCCCTCCTTTGAAAACCCAACCAAGGACCAAACACACTAGTTTATTTAACAAAAAATCCTTATATCGTCCAGCCACAAAGTCATCTCGAACTCCTAGTACTAAAAGTAGTTCTACATTAGTAAAAAGTGAAAAAAGTTGTGGCCAGATCAAACCAATACCTGTGTCCCCAGTTGCAACTCCTCAAGTCATCACTTCTAAGATTGTACCTCGTGAAACTGCTTCACAAATTGTCGTTGAATCTGCCGGCAGTTCATATTATTTCGTAAGTGAAATGGATCATCATTCTAATTTATTTTTTAAAATTTATTTATTGAAATTCATTCCAGTTGACCATTTTTTAAGCACTCACGTTTTTATGATTCATCTTGCAAATTACTTTATGCTACGGAAATTGTGAACAGTTTTTTGATAATTTTTCTAATAACCTAATCTACTTTCTAGCATTTTCAATTTTGATCTTTTCCACCGTTAAGCCAGTAACTGATTGGTGAATTGTTTCTTCCCTGTTAGACAACAGTATCATTTGGCAGTAGGGCAGAGAACATAATATTTTAATATTTTGAACACATGATTAGTTGTAACCTAACTCTCTTCTACGTATAGCTTAGATTATGGATGCTCTGACTGGTTTCAACGTGGAACTTTGCACAGATGTGCAACAGTTCGAGTCGCCACACTTCATGTAGCACACAAAGCAAGAGAAGAGAGTAAAGAAAGATTCAAAAGAGAGATGACAAACAGAAGTGTGAGTGAGGGAAAAAGAATAGAAATATGGAAGAACAGTAAATTTCTATTGGATATGACAAATCACAAAGAGTGAATGCATCTGTGCCACCCGTTGAGGACGATTTTGAGACAGCCATATCACCAATTGTCTCCAGCCATCGGTTTTTACCACCCCAAGGACCCCAACCAAGAAGTCTACACCTCCCTATGTGGCTAGCTCGAACTAACTGTTATGGATTTCATTAACTGATGAAACCCCGTTTTCGTTTGACCACAACCGCCGCCACTGGCTAGCTCTTCTCCAACCTGATCCATCCATCCATCCCGTCAGCTAACATTGCCCGTTGTCGAGGAAGGCGATGACTAGGCGTGCATTCACAACACATATCCACACCATCTCAATCGATGCAGCTGCTTCAAAACCTCGTCTATTGATTTCCCCTGCTTACCTAGCACTCAACAGATGCCTAACCTCAGTATTGCTCACCCTATTGTACCACCTAACACGGGAGATAAAACGCAGACACCTATGATCAAAGACAGCTAGCTGGCCTTTTCATGTCTCCGACTTTCAGTGACAACGTCTCACAGCCATAAAGGAGGACGAAGTGGACTGCTGAGCAGTACACACGCCCCTTGGTCTACAGACAGCCGGATATCACGTCTACTTAGCCAGAGATGGCGTAAGTTGGCAGGCATATGTGAACTGAACCTTCTGTATCCGTGGTGAGATTTCATCAGCAATCAACCCGTTGGGGCTGACTGATGCAACTTCCCAGATGGGTGAAGTGGTCAACACGCTCAGTCACCCCCTGCGTATCTTCAAGCTAGGAGTGAGTCAATGTACTCCAGTCCAGTCAAGTAGAGTCCTGTAGCACCATCTTACATTTCGTAGCACGAGGGAATCGCATGCCAAACATTCGAAGATTGCTGCCCAGTTCAAGGTGTTTAGAAGACTGCTGGATTTTGTCAGTGTCTTCACCACGAAGGACGATATTGTGTACACATGCAAAGTCAACGAGATTATTTCCTGATGGTAACAAGTGAATCCCTGATTTGCTGAAGTCAGTTAGGGTTAATTGCATTAGTACATCTATGATGAAATTGAATAGAAATGGGGACGGTGAGCATCTCTGATGGACACTACTGGTTGTCACCACAGTTATGAGATGACAACTCTCCGTAGGCTCTCACCTGGCTGCATCAGTTCGAGTAGATTGCCTTGATCAGTTCTGGTAATTTTTGTTGCTTTGCAAACTTGGAATTTTATTGTTAGTTTAAGTTTTATCTTCAGTTCTTTTTCATAAGGCGGTAAATTTTGCTGATATTCAGAAGAAATTCTTTAATATTACTTATGGAGAATGTACTAAATTTGCTTCTGCGTCGTTAACCACTTCTGAAAGTGACATCAAAAGCCTTCAACAATAGCAAAAGAATTACCTTACATTAAGCATTATCTCGTTGCTTATCGATTGTATATACTCGATTTCTGAGTATTTATTAATATTTCTTTGCAAAAGAAATAATTTTTGAGAAATCATTTACCTATTTATATCCTTCAGGAGTTGAATATATTCTAGCGTAGCTAGCGTTAAAACAAACAAAATTTCAAATCATAGTGAATTTAGTCCATTTGCAGGAATGAAAAAAATGCCAAAAATTAAATCATGAACAAGCTGTGTAACGAGGGAAACAGTGTAGATTTATAGGGAATTTATTACCAGAAGTTAGTTGAATCCTTGGTTTGTTTGTTAGAACAGTCAACTTACAGACATTGGCTCACAGTTTTAAACTTTACTCGTCATACGGTCACACTATTCTACGTGCAGTAGGGATTTAGCTTGTCGGCTTAAGCAGTCGATTTTCACTGACTCCTGGATTCGACTGCTCTCTCATCCAGTTCAGCCTGTGTGACTGAGTAGTCTTATCAACATTCGCAATAAGTATGGCTCAGCCTGATACATGTGATATGCGGCTATCGGTCGAAGGACGTGTATACTACTCAGAAATTCTTTCCGTTCTATCACGGCTGTGAGATAGGTGATAGGTGTCTGCGTTCTATCACCCGTGTTAGGTGCTGTTATATTGATGGGTAATACTGAGGTAAGGAGTTGAGTGTTAGTTATGTAAGGAGGATTAGTCAATCGATGATGAGGTTGTGAAGTTACATCGATTGAGATGTGTTGCACATGCATACCTAGCCATCACCTTCCTCGAAGTGAAGTGTTAGCTGAGACAGGATCAGGTTAGAAAAAGAGCTCTTGGTGTTCAGACAAAAACATGGCGTAAGTCCATAGATTCTTTGAGAGAGTTATTTTGGACTAATCACATTATGAAATGTAGGTTAGGTTCCTCTGGATGGTCAGAACCAATGACAGCTGGAGACAGTTGGTAATATGGCTCAAAATCCATCTCAATGACTGATGCAGATGCATTCACTCTATGTGATCCGCGATATCCAATAAAACACTGTCGTTTTTCCAGGTTACTATTCTTCTTCACATTTCTGCTTATTATCGTTGCTTCAAATCTCTCTCTCTTTTGTCTTCGTTTGTGTGGTACATGGAGTGTGGTGACTCGTACTGTTGCACTTCTGTGCAGAGTTTGTTCTATATTGAAACCAGTCAGTTAGTAAGTCGATCAGTTGTATGAGGTGTCTATTTCTGGTAACTGCATTCTAAGTGTCGTTCATAAGTATGTTCTATACAAACCTACATAGGATTATTGAGTTGCAAGTAATAGAGTTTTTTTGAATCGATTACACATGAAAACCGTTTTAGTTATACCATAATATTTCTACTGTTGATAATGATAGGGTTGTTTTTCAAATTTTGGACACAAATCGGTAGCCCCTGTTTGTATTTTTTATGTATTTGTATAGCGTTAATAATTATTCTTAACACTTTTGTTTCGTATACTTTAACTCATTTTTTTAAAAACCTTTTTATTGTAGAACAATAATGGTGAACAGATATGGTTGTGTCCTATTTGTCTACTAGAAGACGATGGGAATTTAATGATCGGATGCGACAGTTGTGAAGATTGGTACCACAGGTATGTTCACTTACATAAATAAATAAATAAGTAATTCAGTATTTATTATCGCTAGAAAAGTCTATAAATTGCACTGAATATCTTTTATGCAACAGTGAATGATGGTTTCATGTTAGGTGTTAGTATGTGTGTGTGTGTGATGTCGACATTCGCATTGCCTTTATTCACAATCACTCTAGGGCTTCATCGAGTTGCCTATCATTACTCTGAGTTGTTACACGAAGTTGTAGGCATTTTTAAAGCGTAAACTTTTTGAATTGTCTGTTCCCGTTGTAACGATGATGATACTGAATTTGTTGGTTCATTCAATTGTTACTTCATCGCAACGGCAATACACATTATCGTAAATTGCCACTCCAACGCTTGATGACAGCATACTACTGATCAGTCGAACTACTATTCCCACACTGATAGGATACAGACGATTGACTATGAAGGCGAAAATTTACTTCTGCATGCCGAAAGCGATATCACTGCATTTATTTTACATATCAGATAAATTACTAGTTTGAGATATAAAAAAGTGTTTTAACTGAGTAGCTCTTGCAATTGAAACTCTAATGACCTGATCTTTAATCTCCATTAGGAAAAACTGATTCGTTATTTGCCACCTCCTGACCCAACACTGATCAATGTGTTGCTTCAAGTGTTAATGAAAGTGTAACCCTAAGGTCCTGGGTTCGAACCTCGGTGGGTGCGTTCTGAGGAGTCTCAAACATGGACGAAATACCTGTACAGTACTCGCAAGTTTTCCAGTGGTTCTCTAACCGATACCAACTCATGATGAAATCTTGTAACCAACCAAATCTGTGCAAACCAACACTTGAATGTTAACGAATTGTTTATTCATCAGAGTATTATTATTATTATAATATTATTATTATTATTCCCTTGGGTTCCTAGTGGAACATAGGGCTTCAACTGCACGCCTCCACTTGCTTCTGTCTTGTGCTGTACCTTTCACTTGCATCCATGTTAATCCATACTGTTTCAGTTCCGCTTCACACGATCTCCTCCATGTCACCCTTGGACGTCCCACTCGCCGCTTCCCTTTCGGGTTCCACTCGAGCACTGGCCTGACACGCGATGTCACCCAACGGCCTCCTCAGCGAGTGTCCAATCCATCGCTGAGGATTGTCATCAGAGTATCCACCTGAAAAATAATAAATAATAATAATGTGTTCGTAAGGCTTCGCAGTCTATGGTCTGACGTCCAAGATAATATATGAAAGAAATTGACATACTGAATTCGTAGAGTTGTGGTGAACATGTGTGATCTAAACTCATATCGCATCTTGAAACTTTAGATTCTTCATAAAAATCTAGTAGCGTGACCTTTAATCTTTGTTGGAGTCAGATGTCTGGTTTACAGATCACGAGGGAAACACTAACTTTGAATGCGTCTGTTCCGGTCCTAATGGTTCTTAAACAATCGTCATTTGCACTTTGATTTGAAAGTATCCTTCCTGAATGCTGCTAAATGAGGAATATATTTGATCTGTTGTTATAGATTTATTCTCGTAGCTTCATGCTCTCGTCATCATCATCCTTGTTTATATAATTACCGTCTGGATTAGCTATAGTTAAACTTGGGAAAGACACGTCTCAATCATTTTAATGACAGGGAAAAATTAAAGAGATGGTTATATTATATATATTATTGTTCCCTTGGGTTCCTAGTGGAACATAGGGCTTCAATTGCACGTCTCCACTTGCTTCTGTCTTCTGCTGTACTTTTCACCTGCGTCCATGTTAATCCATACTGTTTCAAATCCTCTTCACACGATCTCCATGTCCCCCTTGGACATCCCACTCGCCGCTTCCCTTTCGAGTTCCACTCGAGTGTTGGCCTGACGCGCGATGTCACCCATGAGTGGCCTCCTCAGCGAGTGTCCAATCCATCTCCACTTTCTCCTGCATATTTGTTGGGCGATTGCTTCCTGTTTTGTTTGTTCCCATAGCTTCTTGCAACGAAGAAAACTTCCTTTTCGACAAAGTAGCTTCAATTTTCGGATTGTTAGTGCTCCAGCCATGTCCATATGTCGTGATCTGTCTCCTTTTGAGAGGTTTGATTGGATCTTGTGTAGGACTTTTCAGATGAAGCTGTGTGTTCTGAGTTCACCAGATGTTATCTTACCGGGCTATAGACACCTACGTTATCCCTGTGCCTTGTCAGACTGGATAGTGTTATTGAACGCGTTTACATGTGGACTCATGGTATGGCCAATGTAATTAGCTCTACAGGAGCAAGTTAACTGGTATGTGCACGTTGATGATAATGAACTCAGATTCATAAGATAGTTTATCATCCCTATATATAATTTCCCAACCTAGTTTCGTGCAGTTTATCCTTTGATAGAGGGCTAGTTTCGCATATGCCAGTTGACACCGTCTCTGGCGTAGACGTGATATCCGACTATCGACCAAAGGGCGTGTGTACTGCTCAACAGTCCACTCCGTCCTCCTCTATGGCTGTGAGACCTGGCCATTAAGAGTGGAAGACATGAAAAGATTAGCCGTGTTCGATCATAGGTGTCTGCGTTCTATCTCCCGCGTGAAGTGGTTTAATAAGGCGAGCAATATTGAGGTTAGGCGTCGATTGCTAGGTAAGGAGGGGAAATCAATAGACGAGACTGTGAAATTACATCGACTGAGATGGTTAGGACATGTGTTAGGTTTGCCTAGTCATCGCCTTCCTCGACAACGGTCAATGTTAGCTGATATAGGGCCGGGCTGGAAAAGAGCTAGCGGCGGTCAAACCAAAACATGGCACCAGTCAATGAAATCCACAACAGTTAGTCTAAGCCACGTAGGAAGGTGTAGACTTCCTGACTGGATGGGGTCCTCGGGATGGTAAAAACCAATGGTTGGAAACAATTGGTGACATGGCTCAAAATCGTTCTCAGTGGCTAACACAGATGCATCCACTCCTTGTGACTTATGATTTCCAATGAAACTGTTTTGTTCTTCGTTATTACTATTCCTTTGTCTCACACCTCTGTTTACTGACTATATTATGCATTTCTCTTACTTTCTTCTCTTGCTTTGTGTGCTACAAGGAGGGAGTGTGGCGATTGAACTGCCGCACATATGTGCAAAGTTCTATGTCGAAAACAAACAGACAGACGTGTTTGAAAGTGTACCAAAGGCCACAGATATTTTTTTTTGACAACATATATCGTATTCATATGTAAAAATTATATTTGTAAAATGTCAGCTAAATTCAAATAAGTGGTTCCAACGTTTCGTTCGAACTTCTCTTCAGGTAAATTAATCGAAATTAAAATTCGGATCAGTTTGCTGAATGTAACGTTGGTATTACTTATTTCAATTTCTCTGAGATTTTACAAACATAATTTTTTTCCTGATAAATCTACTTTTCATTTGGAGGAGCCTAATTATTTTGATGCTGTTCAGTCAAATCTTGATGACAGGTTCATATGAATAGATATGGCATGTGTTAATAGAGTCTTTTTAAGTAATTATTAAGGTTTTAAACTTTAGTGATCTGGAGTTAATGTGACACGTTTTATTTGTAGGAGTAATTTATTGTCAACTATGTATTCAGACTGTCTGATTGCTTTTGGATTTCTAAAAAAAAACTTTGAAATGATTGATTAGAATGCACACAAATTAATTTTAATGAGTCTCTCATATATATACTGAGTACTTTTTCTTACCTTTTACTCTCCTTCACATTTTTTTCAAGTAGGCTGCATTGCAACTCTTTCCATTTGTATGGGAATGAGCATCAGTCTAATAGGTGATGTATTTCCAGAAGTATACCGGAAACTTGTTACTTCGCTTAGTAGTAAAGACAAATATGAAGGGATATTTCTATTGCGTGTGTAAATTGTCTACTAAAAGTTGTATTAAGTAGCTTAAAACATTTGCGTGCATATTATAAAGCATATACAATAATAAGGATAAAACTTGGGCACTGTGGTAAAGTGTAATTCCATTATGGATAAAATTTTGTTTTGATAAAGTTACACAGTGTTATGCAGTAATATTTACTGATGACCAGGTTTCGAGTACAATTTATTGCCACTCATAATCATGTCAAGGTACCCACACAACTTTCTTTCTCGTTTATATACATGAGTAAAAAGTTGAATAGACATTTAAATAAAATCAATATAAAGATATCCATGAAACATAAAGAAAGATGAAGTACACTTTCTGACTTCCAGAAAGTTGTGTGAGTACCTTGATATGATTATGAGCGGTAATAATTTGTGCTCGAAACGTCATTAGTAAATACTACTATGTAACACTGTGAGATTGTATCAAAATAAATTTTATCCCTAAAAGTTGGGTGTCTCTTTTGTCCTGTCGTCATTATGATAGTACATTTTTGAATCCTATTTCTAACGTCTCCTGAAATGTAATTTTAAATCAAATGACTCAACACTTGACGACAGTAGGTTTGAGTCTGTACTTAACTAGCGCGGTGTGCTTTCCCATTTCATTTAAGCGTGATTTTCTTGTAGTAATTGTTAGTTTTCAAGTATCCTAAGAGTTGTTTTCGTACAAAATGTTACTAAACTACACTTATTGATGCCGGTTATAAGATTATAGCATTCACTGATCTTTATTTCAAAGCGTGAATATATTTCTAACAGAGACTATGAATAGAAGGCGTTTTTTGATATTTGCCGTCTAATCCTGGTTATGGAAATGTGGGTATAGGAAATAGGTTCCATGACACTGAGTGTTTTGAGATACGATACACGAATCAATACTTTGTCAGTGTAACTAGAGGCTTTAGATATACGTGTTTCTGATACGAAGTTGTTTCTTTCCTCCCTGACGTCCCATGATATATCTTAATCACATACATGCTAAACTATGTGTACAAAAACAATAGACTTCACATTAATGTCACTTACCATGGACTACTTGACCTATTTACATATGATTGATCATTTGTATGTACTTTTGTTTTATATAACTGAGTAATTGTCATGCACTTTAATTTTACAATTGTGAACCATGTTAGTTGTAAAGCGATTGAAAAGAGAAACTACGAAGTAGTGATGCTATCATCTCGTGAAATTTGTCTTCTAAATGCCTCATTCAAATTTATATTTTCAGATTACAATACAATCCACTAGTCAGTCAAATAATTACAAAAAATATACTTATGAGGTCAGCGGAAGATAATTTGAACATAAACAAAACTGGAAAAAATGTAAACATAATATGCGTACTTATCTACCAGTCTAGATATCAGATTCACAATTAACAAATTAAATTAATAATCCCTATTGAGACATAAAAACAAAGAATTCGGAGAAGAAAATACTCTTCTTGATGATTTCATTTTCATAACTGTACAATGATATACCGTATGATTATGTCGTAAAATGGATAGCAGAACTCTTGGAACCACTAAGTTTGTACCTATTCTTTGTATGACACTTTTGAATTTGTTAACTGCATTAATGATATTATGTTATCACTTGACGTATGCTCATTTTTTGCCACTGTTCCATTAAGTGAAACTGTATGCTTCAATTGTTATTACATAGACTTACAGAATGTAAACCTAGGAATGCCCATATACAACCTAAAAGAGCTAATACTTCGATGTACTCTCAATGTCCAATTTCTTTTTAACAATGAAATCTACAGACAGAGAGATCGGGTAGTTATGGGTTAGCTACTTGGTCCACTGCTAGCAGACTTCTTTTTGGCTAGTATGGAGAGTAGTACTCGTACACCTACTACAAAAGGGGCTTACCTTCTACAAAAGATACGTGGATGACACGTTCATTATATGCGATGAGAACTGCGATTTGGATGATATCCTGAATGTATTCAGTGACAGTCATCCTGCTATCCGGTTCACCTTAGAAAAGTAAACTGAGACGAAAATATTTTTCCTTGATGTGCTACTCACAAGGAGAGCTGACAGGTCTTTAAAAATAACTGTCTACAGAAAATCGACGTGGACAGGACAACTGACTAATTTATATATTCATTTGTTTTTGAAGAACCAGGTACATAGGACGAAAGAGATCGTACAAACTGTTTTTCTACATGAAGTTCTGGGTTTTATATTATGTATTGCCAAAGCCTCTGTTATACAAAGCAAATGCACTCGTGTCCCTTTCGGCAAACTTTGTCGAACTTCGTAGACTATATTGAGCGATGTGTCAGGACCTAAGTGGTCAGCATATACAATATGTGTTGCAATATTGATGAATTAATACCTCTACGTTCTTCTTTGCTCAGCCAAACTGGGAGGTGCTCTCAAACGCGGCAGGATATGTTTCTCGACAAACATCCTATGTACCTAGCTCCACAAGAGCTGGTTAACATATAAATACACATGGAATTAGACAATCGAGGCAACATTTCCTTGATATTAAGGTACACCAGTGGACGTCTAGAGTAGGTTATTCGTAAAGTGGCAGCAAAGAGCATTTTTCTCAGTGATCTGGTCAGACGATTTTTAAGTATCTCACTCGAAATCTCACCCGTAAATTCTAATTTTAGATGCAACACTTTTTTAGCTACCTTATCAATCTCTGTATTTCTTCCACGTCATTTGCTATTGACCTCGACGAAGAGTAATGGATACCCGTTCTCCATAAAGGTTTCTTTCAGTTGTTTGAGTTCATCACCAACACAAATTCTCCGGACCCATGTTGAGAGAGAATGGATTAGATTCCTTTTCTGCCTATGGGGACAATGTTGTAAAAATTAGTCAGTTGTCCTGTCCACGTCGATTTTCTGTAGACAGTTATTTTTAAAGACCTGTCAGCTCTCCTTGTGAGTAGCACATCAAGGAAAAATATTTTCGTCTCAGTTTACTTTTCTAAGGTGAACCGGATAGCAGGATGACTGTCACTGAATACATTCAGGATATCATCCAAATCGCAGTTCTCATCGCATATAATGAACGTGTCATCCACGTATCTTTTGTAGAAGGTAAGCCCCTTTTGTAGTAGGTGTACGAGTACTATTCTCCATACTAGCCAAAAAGAAGTCTGCTAGCAACGGACCAGTTGGTGAGCCCAATGAAGCATACAGTTTCACTTAACGGAACAGTGGTAAATAATGAGCATACATTAATTGATAACATAATATCATTAATGCAGTTAACAAATTCAAAAGTGTCATACAAAGAATAGGTACAAACTTAGTGGTTCCAAGAGTTCTGCTATCCATTTTACGACATAATCATACGGTATACGATTGTACAGTTATGAAAATGAAATCATCAAGAAGAGTATTTTCTTCTCCGAATTCTTTGTTTTTATGTCTCAATAGGGATTATTAATTTAATTTGTTAATCGTGAATCTGATATCTAGACTGGTAGATAAATACGCATATTATGCTTACATTTTTTCCAGTTTTGTTTATGTTCAAATTATCTTCCGCTGACCTCATAAGTTTTTTTTTGTAATTATTTGACTGACTAGTGGATTGTATTGTAATCTGAAAATATAAATTTGAATAAGGCATTTAGAAGACAAATTTCACGAGATGATAGCATCACTACTTCGTAGTTTCTCTTTTCAATCGCTTTACAACTAACATGGTTCACAATTGTAAAATTAAAGTGCATGACAATTACTCAGTTATATAAAACAAAAGTACATACAAATGATCAATCATATGTAAATAGGTCAAGTAGTCCATGGTAAGTGACATTAATGTGAAGTCTATTGTTTTTGTACACATAGTTTAAGATGTATGTGATTCGCGGAAAGTGCTACCATCACTTGTGTGAGTACCTTGAAATGGTTATGAGCAATAAACTGTGCTTGGAACGTTATTTGTAAATATTACTGAATAATGCTGTGAAATTTTTCTGAATGAAATTTTACCCAAAATGGAATTATGCTGTACCACAGTACACAAGTTCTTTGCTTATATCACTGCTTCCATCACCTTTAATAACCTTGAATTACAGTTATGTGAAATAAATTTGAAACGATCATTAATATTGATTTTGTGATTGGACATTAATAAGCGCTTTGCAATGGATGATGATGGATTTCTATTCAGATTGATTGGATTAGGATTTTCTATGTGTTTTCATCACAATTAGAGGATTGTATTGCTTCTGCCTATAGAAATGTCACCACAATTACAGGTGGTCATTTGGAAGTAGAGTCCACATAATTTCGTTCTTCAATCGTAGATAGAAGGTTCGAAAATGTTTTGCATGTAAGGGATAGAGATGCGGAGTGGAATGTGCGTTTGATGGCTGATCGAAGTCTTTGAGCTATCAACTACATAATTTGATCATCGTTGAATGGTAGGTTAATAAAGATAGCTTTCTTTGGTACTGAAGCTTTCTTTTCAATATGTAGTCTATCCTTGCTGTGGCAATAGATAAAGTGTTCTGGATAAGCATTAGCTAGTAAAACTGAATTTATGTGTAGAAACTCATCTACCAATGTTTCGCTTGTGCATATTTTGCGGGCCCTTGAAAACAAACATTTCACTTAGGGAGGTTTATACTGGATAGGAACAAAACTGGTGTAATGAAGATATTGTCCACTCCATGTCTGCTTACGAAAAATAGATCGCTTGATCGTTTCATTGTCTCTCCTGCTCTTTGAAATATCCAAGAAACTGAGTTTTTTATTCGAAAGTCACTCGGATATTTCGATAAATATGTTTAAATAGAGTAGTAACAAAGTTTTCAATAGACTTATCATTATAACCAATAATGAGTGAGTGTATCATTCACATAACGTTTATATATTTACTTTTCTTTTTCTTCTTTTTTTAAAGTACATGTCTTGGACTTACAAAAGCACCTGAAGTTCCACAATGGTTTTGTCCAAAGTGTTCACAAAAACCGTTACCTACAAATCCACGTATGAATATTCCAAGTAAAACATCTGTTGTTCCCCCTTCAAGTAAAAGTAATTCTCATATTATATTAAATTCAAGTCATAATTCTAAACATTCAGAACGTGAAATAGGCTCAAAAAAATCTAAATCTAAACCTAAACGGTGATGAATAATGATAACAATAATAATAATAATATGCTAATATATTACTGTTTTTGAACTTTCAAAATCATAAAACTGCCTTTTACTTTTTTCTCTTTTATTGCTGTTTTCTTGCTCATTGTACATATTTGTATATTACATTCAGATAAGAAAAAATATTAATTTTTTTCCTTTTACTTTTTTTGTGTTTTTTTTGATTTATACTCTCCCTTCCTTTCAGACTTGTAATTGAAACTTTTATCCTCCTCCCGCAAGAAAAAGTCCATTACTTTTAGATGGTTTTTATTCCTATATTTCTTTCCATTGTGAGTCTGTGTGGGTGTGTGTGTAGCATAATAATATATTTTAATTTAAAGAGAAATAATTGTCTCTTCATTTGTGATTGGACGCACTAGTCACAGTGACTACTACTAGTGTGCAATTGTGTCTAGTCCTTCCTATCTCTGGTGAAGACTGCTTCCTGGCCGATTGCCTCCAATCATCTATTACCAATTAATTTTCCCTTCATACTTAACACATAAATACATTTTTATACTTCATTTTTATTGAAGGTGTTTAAAAAAGTGTATTATGTGATTGAAATATAAAATAGAAAAAGAGATGTCTTAATAGAAATAACTTAAATTTTGAAATAATTAGTTCTCTTTCCAAGGGTTGTTTTGTAATGATTTGATTTGTTTTTCGAATTTGACCACGCATTGATGTCAGTTAGAGGACTAACTGGTGCATCCAGTCGGGAGTAGGAATGGATTTCCCACCGATGACATTGGTTGGGGTGACAAGAAACTTCTTAGATGTGCTAGAACTTATACACCCCCTCCGTGTTTTATTTATAGAGAAATAAGGGTATTCTCTCTTCACAGCCCACAGTTAAATCTATCTTATCTTCAAGTCTGTTACGCATTTTCTTTGTGTTTTGCGTTTGTTCTGTCCTCTATCGTAGAACTGCAGGTAAGAATAAGTTTATAACGGAAACCGTGGATATAACCAACTGCGGTTGGATGAATGGTAGGTGGGCTGATCATTTTGATTGTGATTTAAGTGTATGTAAAATGTACAGACAGTGGAGTTATGAGATCAAGTGACATGGTTGTAAAGTTTATAATTAACAGAAATACAGTAGACGTCTATGGCTGAATTCGGTAAAGTGTGAATACAAGGAAAAGTATGAAAGCATACTAGAAGTTGCACAAAAACGAAAAGAAACTATTTATGAAGAAACAAATCAAAAAACTTAATAAGCTCATGATAGCAAAAACCACGAATAACATTCAAGGAACTAAAACCAATCGGATTGTAAATATCTCAGACAGAAAGCTAACAGAAGCAGAGGAAAGCGTACTGATGAAAGGGATGAACTTCAATATTAGTAACAAAAGATTAAAACCTGAAGATATACCTGTGATTGAAACAGCGCTCGAAGGACATGACAAGCAAAAAGCAGAAAAAACTGTAACGAAGGAGGAACTAAAAGCACTTCAAGACATAAAAGTAGACAAATCCATTGTCATTACTCAAGCAGACAAAGGAACACATCAGTAATACTTAACAAAACAACATATACTCACAATCTGGACCCTAAACGCTAATGACCAAATCATCAGAAACAATGAGAGAAACAGAAAAGGTAGTTAGACAGATGAAAGAATTAATTGGTAAGTCAAACTGGTTTAAAATTATACCAAAATCATGTAATATACCTAGGATATATTTCAAGATAAAACTGCATAAAGAAGGATATATAATAAGACCGATTGTAAAGTTTAGAAACACACCGACGTATATGCTGTCAAGATTTCTCTCAACAACACTAAGACCGACAAGAGACAACTCAAAAGCTAGAATAGTAGATTCATTTGAATTAGTGAGACGACTAAAAACCACTAAAATAGAGGAAGAGGAAATACTAGTCAGCTTTGATGTAAACAGTCTCTATACTAAAATACCCATTCAAATGGCCATGAATGCACTGAAAACGAGACTAAAAGAAGATGATGGCCTAAAAGACAGAACACAGTTATCCGTAGAAGAGATAATAAAAGGGGTTGAATTCTGTCTGACAACAACATATTTTACATTTGAAGGAAAAATATACCAACAAAATGAAGGAGTAGCCATGGGATCATCCATCTCACCAACAATAGCTGACATATTCATGGATTTTTGGGAAGAGAATGCATTTAAACCATTCAGGTCATCAACAAAATGTTGATGGAGATATGTAGACGACACGTTAGTAATAATGAAAAAAACGATGCTGAGAAATTCTCACACATAAATAGTCATGTCGACTCAATAAAATTCACTATGGAAATAGAGAATGAAATTGGTGAACTGCCTATGTTAGACTGCGAAAAAGAAAGAGTAACAGGTGGTATCATAAAAACGATGCTATATAGAAAAACCACACACTCTGGAAGATTTCTTGATTATCACTCAGCTCATCCACTCAAGGTAAGACGAGGATTAGTACAAGGTCTTGCAGATAGAATACGTAGACTTACAACAACACCAGAGGACCAGCGTAAAGAAATAAACGTCCTATTCAAAATGCTACTCACCAAAACCTACCCAAAAGAATTTATCAAAGATAATTTAAAAAAGAAAAAAAGAGGGTAAAACTGGAGAATGAAAAGATAGAAGAATCCAAAAATACAGTCACAATACCATACGAAAATGGTACATCAGAGGCAATTCGAAGAAACCTCAAAAATATTGGGATTCGCGCGACGTTTAAACCGACGAATAAATCAAATGAAAGTTCCCATAAAAATGATGCATAAAAACAATGTAATTTACAAAATATCTTGTGTCGGACTAAATATGTGGGCCAAACGTCCAGATCACTCAAAATAAGAGTGAATGAACATAAATGCCTAACTAAAGGTCAATCAACAGGAACACAAGCATACAAGAATTTAGAAAAAAATCATCGATAGCTGAACATGCATGGGACAAAATCGATTGGGATAATGTTTGTATTCTAAAAACTAATATGAACAAATGGAATCTATATTCATTAAGGTCACACCGGATACATGTAACAAGGGTGACTCAGTACAACTGTCAGCAACCTGGAATATAATTCTGAATACACTAAAATGAATGAACAAGAAAAAGAACTATATATATGAGTACAAATCATAAATGTTTGAATTAAAAAATAAAACAATTCCAACAGTGGTGTGAACACGGGCAGTAATTTTGCTCGAAATATTACCAATAACAAAACTTATCATTGTTTGTAAACCATTGAAATATAATTATAATTTTTAATTGGTGGATGGTGACTAGCAGTGGAATCCAGGATGCGCATTTCGTCCTACTTGGGACTCGTCATCTGGATGTACCTGCATTTCTCAGTGAGTGATGATGTTCCCACCGAGGCTCGAACCCAGTGCCCATAGTTTACAACGCCAAAGCGTTATCCACTAGACCACTTGGGCCACGAGAGCCACCTCTTGTGCAACGGGTCATATTGATTTAATTGAATTTTAGATTCTTCCCGTCGATTGATTGGACCGAAGTGCTCGGTCTCAGGTTGACATGTCGGCTTCTTGAGCAGATGCTTCGACGATGTCTGGGCATTTAATTAGTATTTAATTGGTGCATGGTGACTAGCAGTGGAATCCATCACCAATTAAATACTAATTAAATGCCCAGACATCGTCGAAGCATCTGCTCAAGAAGCCGACATGTCAACCTGAGACCGAGCACTTCGGTCCAATCAATCGACGGGAAGAATCTAAAATTCAATTAAATAATTATAGTTTATTTGAATTAAGATATATTGTGGTGCGTGCTACTGATAACATTTATCACTGGTATATAAAGAGACGTTCATCGGCACAAAAATAGCAGGGAGATGGACTGGATGTTAGAGTAAGAAAATGATACAGCGTTGTGGAGATACATGGGAGACGTGAAAGAAACACAACATGAATTCCAGAAGTACCACAACACGAAGATCTGTGCAAATGGTGAGTTGAAGATAAGGCATACATAATTTGGCTATATAGAGATACCAATTTCCAAGACTTCGTCTTCAACCGTTTCAATACGTAGTGCAAATTCAAGGGTTGGGAAATAGTAACAACAATTATTTTGTCATGTAAACAAGGCGTTTTAAAGGGTGAGCAAAGTGGATAGCAAAAAGACAATAAAAACGCAGAAGTAGGGACATTATAACGCGTGATACGATACGATCAAGTCCTTGTTGACTCTCTAACTCAAATCTAGTTGGTGGTGTTAAAGGTCTTGCCCTGATATAAACTGTATATCTTTCTCTAAACAACCAATTCGTACTAGTTTATCACAGAAGGCAAATTTTGCTCGATAAATTATATTTAATTGATTAAAATACGTGTAGAGATGTGTGACTATCTTTTATTTTCTAGGCAAAATTATATCATCTCAATCTCCTCTATAAGTATATCAATAGTTCAACGATAGAATGCTCGGCTGACATACACTCTTATACCTTACTAAGCCTGGCAAAGTGAGGATGTTGGATGTGAGACCCGTAATTCCACCTTGTAAAAAGAACAGCACTCCTGAAACTTCAAATCTGAAGCCTGAAGCTCTATCTTCTACTCGGAATGTAAAGGAATAAAAGCACCTCGTTAGTTTTTCTTAATATTTATTCTATATTGTAACGACAAAAGACAAGGGCCAGGCAACAGATCGTTTATTGAGAAAATCAACATATATTTATATATTTTTATGTACATTATTATTCGTTATTTTAGTAGAGAAGCAACGTCTTCTGATTGGTTGTTTTTCTGTACTGCTCGTGATCGTTTCTCAGAGAGTTAAGCCATATATCTGCGAATCCTATTTGCAGACGCTAAGTCTTCTGTGATTGGTTGGTGAGCTCCTCAAGGTTAAGCTTTGTTATTATTTTTTCTTATGACCGTGATTCGGGAGGTAAACATTGACGTCATTTGTTGTCTACAATTTTGGCTTGCAGACAGCTCTCACCACAGTATTACTTATAACAACACAGACTATTTATTGAGAAATTATTTCTCAGTTATTGTTTACTTAGTTAACGACTTAGGTTTCATTTAACTGATGAAAACCTTATTAAACAAAACAATTTTTTGTTACTGTTGTCTATCAAGATTTGTTGTTCTCACTGCATTATTCTACATATCACAGCTGTTGAACTCGAAATAGCGCTTACTGTGTACCGTCTAGAGAATGCAAGCACTTTCAAGATAAGCATTACACCTTGCTGATATAGGTATAACCTAAGAACACATGCTTTAATTACTTCCTCTTGAATAACTCAATCCAATGGCCAGCCCATGAATTCCAACTCTTGCGGCCTCTCTTTTTAACTGGAGGGTCCTGGGTTCGAACCCTTTTGATAGGTGCGTTCTGATGAAGAGTCCCAAACCAGGACGAAACATTTCTCCAGTACTCCCAGGTTTTCCAATGGTTCTCTAACCGATGTCAGCTGATGATGAAATCCCGAAACATATCTATCTTACTGAAGTAAAGTCAAAAATTGATTCTTACACACACACACACACACACACACACACGAAAATATGTATGTCATCAGTAGAACACCATCTGCTTTAGATACTCATATATTTTAATATAATTCAAATTTAAAATGCTTCAGAAATGAAGAAACTTCTAGTTAGATAGATGAAGTATTCATCAATTACTATGGAGTGAATATCATTAATTAAAAATAATAAAATTATTAATTAACTCATATATATATATACACATTTAACACTGTTTATCCTTAGAAGCTGAAAACAATTGTTTTTTATATTTATGTAGTAGTTCATCAATTTTATATCCCTATAATTTAAGAAAAAAAACAAACACGAAAATTCACAGTTAAAATAATTCACATTTATTCAATGTCAACTTGTAAGAAAATGCAAATAAAACAAAGTTAAATTATAGATGAATATTTATTTTTTATATTTTTGATTACAGCTTGATGCCACACCGTATTTTCAGTACAAGTATGGAATTTTCAGCATGGATATCGGTAGCCCAAATTTTGCAGGCCGACCATAGATATCGGGTGTGCGTCGGCAGGGGATCGAACCCCGGACCATGTGCATGGTCGGCGAGAGTCCTAACCACTGTGCCACCGACAAACCAACGCGGAATATCTCACAAACAAGGAATCATCAAATGATGGAGTAGACACGTATTGCACAAGTTAATACCTAATGTTCAATAAAAACATCCATTACAGTCCTATAGGAGGTTAGTCGCGAGACTGAATAGCTCACTGGTAACCTTCCTGCCTGCAGCATTGAGTAACAGGGGGTTTGAATTTCAGGAAGAACATGAATTCTTTGAAGACTGTAGACACACTTTGTCGACTGGTAAGAGTGCCAACAAGCACGAAACCTAGATCCCAGGTCTTCTTGCCGATTGCCTTCAACCAGCTAACAACAATCATTTGTAAATAAATGTACAATAATGTATATTTTTAAGTCACCTTAAGTGTCATCCTTCATACTAGCTTATGGAGAAGCCGGTTTAGACATTTAGAAAGCTAATAAATTTATCAGAGAAATATTAATTACTCAATCATTTATGGCTCTACATTGATATATCACTCATTAACTAAATAATGCATCGAAATTATACAAACCATGTAGTGATAAGGTCAGTAACAAAAATCTGACTATTTTAATTAAGTTCAGAAAAAACAACAGACTGAGCGAAGAAATATATTCCTTTTATCAGTTGGTTCCTCATCATCGGTTCTACACTAATACATAGTTCTTTTTACATCAAAATGTTTTACTAATCAAGTGGTTATTCTATTTAATCAGTTTTAGGCATAGGCGGGGGGGGGTGGAAAGGAAAAACGATAATGGTCATCAAAATAAATAACTTATAGATGTTAGTAACACAATATCTAAACTTTGAAGGACGGGTGAGAATTAATTACGGAATTCAAGATAGGTTGATTCTTAGGCGTTGGCAACAAGTCATTACGTAATCAAGAAATTTGTGAAATAATGATGACTGAAGAATAGGATGACTTAGAATTATTATTATTGTTCCCTTGGGTTCCTAGTGGAACATAGGACTTCAACTGCACGTCTCCACTTGCTTCTGTCTTCTGCTGTACTTTTCACTTGCGTCCATGTTATTCCATACTGTTTCATCTCCTCCTCACACGATCTCTTCCATGTCACCCTTGGACGTCCCACTCGCCGCTTCCCTTTCGGGTTCCACTCGAGCACTGGCCTGACGCGCGATGTCACCCAACGGCCTCCTCAGCGAGTGTCCAATCCATCTCCACTTTCTCCTCCATATTTGTTGAGCGATTGGTTCTTGTTTTGTTTGTTCCCATAGTTTCTTGTTGGTGATTCTTTCCGGCCATCTGATCTTCAGTATAGAGCGAAGACCGTTGTTGATAAAGGTCTGCAACAGGCTGTTGGAAATATTCTTCGTGACCCGCCAAGTTTCTGATCCGTTTAGAAGAATTGACTTGACGTTTGTATTGAAAATCCGAATTTTGTTGTTGATGGTGAGTGACGAAGATTTCCAGATTGGTTTCAGGTTGATGAATGTGTTTCTCGCCTTCCCGATTGTCGATTTGACATCCTCGTCCGTTCTACCTGCCTGTAGTTGAGACAATGTTCCCTAGATAAGTGAATGAAGTAACCTCTTTCAAATCTCTCCCGTTGATGGTGATTGGCTTTGGATGTTGCTGCTGCTATTGTTGTTGTTGGTTGGTTATTTTCATAACCTCCGTCTTGTCTATGTTCACCTGGAGTCCTGTCTTTGCTGCAAAAGGAGTGCGTCGGCGGGGGATGGAACCCCGGATTGAATCCGTGGTGGGCGAGCACTCTACCGCTGTGCCACCGACTAGAAGAATTAAGTAAAATACAAACAAGTTAAGAGAATTAGCTAGAACTGTAAAAATTAACGAAGTCAAAAGATAGTTACAAAAGAAGGAGAAGAAATCTTTTTTTAAAAACTTAATGCATATTAATGTATTTGTCTATGGCAAAGAAAGGAGCTGCATAAATTTCTTTTGAACACACAGATTTGGCTTGTTCAGATGAATTTTGCTTGCCTCAGCTTTATGTAAAAGTCGTACGCGTAGACCATGCGGCGAGAGGTAGGGTGAAATACGATCAATAACTTTAAACTTGTGGGTTTGAAACCCATAAATTGAATTAGAAACAAGCTTTGCCGATTAGAGGATACCATGGAGCCTTTAAAACAAAACAATTTAGTTTATCTAATACCCTGCTGGAATGTTTGTCAGGTCAAATACATAGGTCAAAGTAGCAGAACAGGGGAAGTCAAACTAGCCGAGCATAAAAACCTAGCAAAATCCACATTAATTGCCTCGAATGAGATAAGAAATCTGGAGAATAGTTAGTTCAGCTATAGTACTACATGCAATTACACACAACCATACAATAGGATGGGATAGGATGACAGTTTTAAAATCTTATGTCACAGGGTGGAGGGAGAGATTGATAACAGAAGCTTTGTTTATCGAATCAACTGCAAACACATGTAATAGGAATGATTCAACATCTGTCCCAGATATCTGGAAAATTCTACTACCCCTACGGAAAATAGGAGAGAGCAAAGAAAACTATAAACCTCAAGTGTCAAAGTCGTGTGATTACTATTGATATGATTATTAACAATAAATTTTGTTCGATACGTCATCCAGTAAATAATACTGTTTCACTGTGCGATATATCTAATAAACAAACTAATATGGAATTACTTACTACCACAGTGAACAAGGTTTATACATATGAAATTAGCTAGTATTGAGTTGCGTGTAGCTTTATCAGGACCTTTGCCAAACCAAGATGAAAGGTGTTCAGAAATTCAACGATGAACTTGCCTGATCATACGCCCTATGTAACTAGCTTCGCACGAGCAGTTAAACTGGTAAATACACATGGAAGAGGAGAAACAGGGCAGTCTGTTTTTATTTCTTGAACTAAGTATTGGTTGGTTAGTGAATATACACCATGACTTAGGTGCATTGAAAGTCCTTTTGAAGGTCCTTCTCAGACGTTGTGATAAGATCTCACTATTGAAATCATCCGTGAATTGCGAAGTGAGGAAGACTGATTTTTTGGAAACAGTGGGCATCTTCGACTTTTTATTTTCTGAGTTCATGTGTTTGCTCAAGAATCTAGTTGGATATCCGTTTCTACTTAGTAGATCGCGAATATTACAGGGGTCTTTGTCCAGTATTTCATTTGAACACATAACTCTAGCCAGGTGAACCAGATATGTGACCAGATTATGTTTGTATTGTAGAGGTATGAAGCCCAGGAAGTGAGTATATTGTCCAGTGGAAGTAGGTTTTCTATGCAAACGTCTACATATTTTTCCGTCTATTCGCTTAGTCATTAGGACATCCATAAACGAAACAGGGTCATTTCTTTCCTCTTCTTTAGTGAAGCTAATGCCAAGATGTGCTTTGTTGAATTTATCCAATATGTCCTTAGTATCACTTTCTTTCTTCACAACTATAAATGTATCATCGGCACATCGGCAATAGAAATCAAGACTATGTATTACATCTTTAAGAGCAGCATTCTCTAGTTTCGGCAGGAAAAAATCTGATAGGATTAGGCCTAGTGGTGATCCCATGGCAACACCATCTGATTGTTTGTACATTTCGTTACTGGACAGAAAGTTTATGTTCATTGTACACCTAAGAAGAAGTTCCTTCAGGGAAGACATCGGAATTCCAATCTCTATACATTGCTTCATCAATTCATTACCTATGTAATCAACTATTTCCATCAAAGGCTTATTGATGAATAAGGAAGATAAATCCAGTGACATCACGTATTTATCCTTCACATTTGATTCCTTGGTTCTTTCTACAAACTCAAAACTATCGTTTACACTATTTTCCACAAGTTTCTTATGCAACAGCTGTAAAAGTTCCACCAGCCATTTCGCAGTTGATTGGTATGGCAATCTAGATATGTCGAGGACCGGTCTAAGTGACAAGCCATTCTTTTGAATCTTTGGTAATCTGTATAACTTAGGTGTCACCATACTGATAGGTTTTAGTGTTTCATACCTTCGTATTTCAACTTTTTTAAAGGCTCTGTTAACTGCCTCTCAGTTCTCTCCGTTTTATCTATGTTAGTTGATAGTTTCTGAAATTTATGTGCCCTAGAATATAACAACCACAGAAAAGAAATGGGGATTTATGCCAATAAAGCAATGTAATGAGAAAATGTGAATCACTGACGCTTTCCCATATCTAATCTATCAGTAATAGACCCAGTAATTTCTTACTGAAGAATTATTCGACTTTATTTGCTTAGGAAGTAGCATTGAAATTGAGGCTTTGATTGAAGTTGGTAGCTTTTCAGAAGAAAACTTAAGTTGACTGAACAACAGAACTTTGTCAGCTTCAGCGGTAAATACTGACAAATAAACTAATATTGCTATAGGATAATACGATGGTGAATATAAATTGTGCAATTAGTCATAATGGTAGTAATGATAATAATAATAATAATAGTAATAATAAAATTGGTCTTATCAATAATAAGGATGAAAAAGTGAGGCAATCTGCGATAACACGAATAATGAAAAAAACAGTATGATTAAACAAAAAACTGTTCAGGTGGAAGTAGTCGATAAAGGCTAGTAAAAGCAAATGAACCGATTAAGTAATGTTAGATTGTAAGGGAAGGAAATGAAACACGTTTATAATGAAGAGAAGATTAAGGGATGATAAGAAAGGGGTTGAAAATATAAAGAAAGGGTGGTGTAGAAGTGATTAGTTGGTTATGCCTTAATAGGCCAAGGGAGGGATAATGGCTGTACGAACTTTTTTTGAATACATAGTTTAAGTTTAATAGTTCGAATGCCTATCGCCTCAGCTGTGTGCAATAAACGAATACGAAGTCTATTGGAAAGATTCGGCGGGATACGATGAATTACTTCTCGATTACATGACCACTATCAATTAAGTGTGACAAAATTGAGCTACGGATTGTTTTTGTCTGTCCTTTGCCAAACCATGATGGGAGATGTTCACTAACACGTTGGCTAAGCTGTCTAGTGGTACGCCCAATATAACTGTCACCGCAGGTGCAGTTGAATTGATAAATACACATAGATGTGGCGAAACTATCAAGCTTATCCTTCGTTTGCGTCCCAATCATTCGTCGGCTAGAGAATGACAAACATAGGTGTGCTGCATAAAATGTTCTTCGTATACTCCTTGAAAGTCTCTGGAATAGAATCTCACTTGATAAGTCACCATTAAATTGTAACTTAATAAATAGAGGTTTCTTCCGTGCAGTCAGAGTCTCAGGTTTTTTTTCTGATGTTTTCATATGTTTCTTTATGAAACTACCCGGATAGCCCATCTCCGTCAAGGAATCGTGAATATATTCAAATTCCTTTTGTAAGAGGTCATCCGTACATATCTTTCATGCTCTGCTCGCGAGACATTTAACAACATTCCTTTTATATTTAATGGGCACGTAACTAAGGAAGTGTGTGTATTGCCCTGTGAATGTGCTTTTTCTATACACGCTTCTCCCAAGTGACCCATCTTCTCGCCTACTTAACAAGACATCCAGAAAATGCAGTTTATTCTCCTGCTCCTCTTCACAAGTAAAGGTAAGCGAAGGGTGGATGTTGTTGAATTTCAGCAACAATTCATCTATGTTGACATTCCCATCAGCTAAGATGAATGTATCATCGACCTATCGGTAATACATATCAAACTTTTTGATGATGTCCTTCAATTTCCCGTTTTCAAGTTTAGCCAGAAAGAAATCAACTAATATTGGGCCTAATGGTGAACCCATAGCTATTCCATCTACTTGTCGGTAGTATGAATTATTGAAGACAAAGTGAACATTCATTGTGCATTCAAAAAGTAATTCTTTGAGGCTACACAAGGGGATTCCTAAGTCTAATTGCCTTTCGGTGATATCTGTGTGATATTTGTTTGATAAGTGTTATATATATATATAACACCTGTAATAACTGAAAATAGACTACACTTGAACAGGATGACTTCAAACCTTAAGTGTTATTAAAATTTGATAACTGTGACACTGTCTACTACTGCATTCAATTCTATAAGTAATAAAATAAGAACTTAAAAGATTTCAAATTGTCCAATATAGGTAAAAAAATAAAATTAAACCAGTATAAGTGAGTAGTTAAATATTTCTTACCACAATAGTTTCACACTTCAATTCGGTAAAATCATCAGGATTTCCTAAATTTAAACCAACAGACTCTTCACCAAATGACCAGTTAACAATTTCATTTAACGGATAATGTGCCAGTGATTCCTTTGTACATTGAAGAAGTATAAGAAAAAAAGAAAACGAACATGAAAATAATGTGGCAAATAATTCTAAGTTTCATGAATGTGTGTGTGTCCGTATGTTGGTATTAGATGGTTGGAGGCGATCAGCAGGAAACCTTGCCGGGCCCTAGGTTTCGTGCTAGTTGGCACTCACTAGTCAGCAAGGCGTGTCTAAAACATCGAAGGAACTCATATACCTTCTGAGATTCGAACCCGCGTCACCCAATGCTGCAGTCAGAAACGTTACCACTAAGTTAGTCGGGTTTGCTATTGACCTCCTGTAGGACTATATTAGATACTTTGATTGGGCACTAGTAATTAGTGTGACGTGTCTAGTCCATGATAGCGAGTCACCTAGCATGGTGGCCACATTGCAAACTTGACTGATCGAATCCAGTCTGTATCAAAGATGGGACTACACACATTACACTAGTTACTGACTAGTGTTCAATCAAAAATATTGGTGTTTTTTAAATACAACCAATTTGTTAAGATTAGTGAAATTACAGTTGAAGAAAGATGAATAAGTTATAAATATAATAGTAAATAGAATATCAGATACAATTAAGGAATTGTCTACAACTGATTAAGGATCATTAAAACTTTGATGACCAAAGTAAGGAAAGCGTCTGAACCAATTTATTTTGGATACATAGATTAGACTACTTAATATAGATTCCAACAGTCTTAGTAATATGTAATAGACGAACTCTTGAGGTAAAATTAAGATTAGTTGCTATGCGGTAAATGACTTTGAAGGTCTCATTTACATCAATTTTTGTGTTCTGTATCTACGAGATGAGTTAAGTATAGAACTAGAAATGGACTTTGTTTGTTTCACGCAGGATGGTGTTCGGAAATCCGACGATAAACACGCCTAATGTGGAATTACGTAATATCACAGTGACTAGGTTTTAGACATATATTAATTTCTGATTTGTTGCATGGCAAGAACCATTACCCAATTATTAAGGCTTTATTCAAATACTATTCATTGTCTGTTTGAAATGAATTTTCAACGTAGAAGTTTTGCACAAAATTGAAGCAGTTCAAGCTGCCCCACTTTAGAAATAGCACACAAATAAGGTAGAAGAAAGAAACACAAATAAACTACAATATGCGTGAAAAGTATGCAGGAAATAAGAATTACATGATCAATAATGAGACTTTATTGAATCCGGAAGGTTACACGAAATAAATGCAACTGATAAGTTGAGAACACTTTTGAGTCTCAAAATCCTGATTCTTAGCGTCTTCGGGGATTTCACTCAGGCATTCTCCACCTTTCTACGTGTCTGAAACCAACAGTCGATGTCAGGTTTTGGTTTGACCAACCCCAACTCTTTTCCAAACTAATCCTATGCCCGTTAACATTGGTCAGCGAGGAAGGAGTTGGCTCAGAAATCGTAACTTGTGTCTGAGTCATTTTGATCAGTGTGTCTTTACAACCTCGTCGACTGACCTTTTATATTTACGCTTTGCTCTAAGTCTTAAATTCATTATTACCGATCGTATTATATCACTTGAGCAAAGAAAGAAGATATTGACAGGAAATTAGTCATCAAATACAGCCAGCCCTGTTGACGTACTCCACTTACAAATGCTATTTCTGATAGTCTTAAACTAGGGCGAACATAAATGGTGCTCAGTAAACACGTTCTTTGATAGACACCTGGATATCACACCTTTGACACTGACGACATATACGTGTCGAACTAGTCTTTTGTATCGTTACTGAGATTTCATCAACAATCAGTCCGTTAGGAATTGAGCTCAGAAACTGACTAACAAGTACTACTGGTTGGCATGAATGATCCTCATCAACTCGTATCAGTGATTGGAATACTTTCAAATTCATTTTCAAGCATTCAATAACAACATGATATTGTTTCTACTGACGTTTCGCGATTTAATGCTAATAGCTTTATCAAAGTATTATTAAACCGGAATTTACAAAATCTCAGCATATATATAACAAAGAGTTAAGAGGTGAGAAAATAGACTTAGGTCAAGTTAAAAGGAAATATTGAAAGTTGAAATACCAATGAAGATCACTAAACTAAATAACAAAGGTAATAGTGTAACAACAGGAGACAAGGGCCAGGCAACAGATCGTTTATTACGAAAAATCAACACGTATTTATAGATTTTTATGTACATTATTGTAGGTCAATGTTAGTAGAAAATACAGTCTGTTGATTGGTTGTTTCTCACACAAAGTTAACCTTGCATCTCTTGTGGCCGTGTCAGTTCATCTATATGTTAACTGTAACCGCCTGTCCACCTTGACCTTTGACCTCAATTACTGTCAACCAATTTGGCTAGCAACCATCTCTCACCACAACATGACTAATATTTGATACATGAACATTGACCTCAATTACTGTCCACCACTTAGCTAGTAGACAGCTCTCACCACAATAGTACATCTGTTATGGTATAAAAATAAAGTTTACTAACTTGATCATCAACAAAACCAACATAGACATTAAGTATGGCCGAAAACGCATTCCGAAAACATGGACCTCGATAGTCGTCATTCCATATAGAGCAGAGACGCCAGATGATATCAGACACATTACGAAGCAACCTTGTCCATATAAAAGCCCAGATCCCTAAAGATTCTCTATCTAATTGTGCCTATAAAGTAAAATTTATTTCTTTATTTATTATAGCTTGATTCCACACAGTATTTTTGGTACAAGTATGGAATTTTCAGCATGTGATATCAGTAGCCCAATTTTGCAGGCCGACCATAGATATCAGGTGTGCGCCGGCAGGGGATCGAACCCCGGACCATGTGCATGGTCGGCGATATACATCGGACAAACATCTCGAGAAATCAAAATCAGAAGTAATGAACACCGTAGAGCATCTGTTCGACAACCAAGAAATCCAATTGAACAAGAAAAACTTGAAAAATCATCAGCCATAGGTCTACATGCTATAGAATCAGGTCACAAAATTGATTTTGACAATATTGAAATAATCCAGAAAAACTTCAGAAATCATAAAGAACGTCTAATATCAGAAGCACTTCATATCAAGTGGAATCCAAATTGCCTGAATAGGAATGATGGACTAAAATAGAATCTGACCTGGTTACAACACCTCCCTCCCCCATCAAGTGACAAAATCAACACGAATGTGATATGCAAGTTCACTATGTAAACACACACTGCCTTTATAATTTTAAACACTGATCAAATCCAACAATCTACACTTGATTTTGTTATCTTTACCAAATGACCAACTTGACAACGAAAAATGACCCCAGACTGACGAACGATGATCAAGTTAGTAAACTTTGTTTTGATACCATAACAGATGTACTATTACCTTTGTTATTTGGTTTAGTGATCTTCATTGGTATTTTAACTTTCAATATGTCCTTTTAACTTGACCTAAGTCTATTTTCTCACCCCTTAACTCTTTGTTATATATATGCTGAGATTTTGTAAATTCCGGTTTAATAATACTTTGATAAAGCTATTAGCATTAAATAGCGAAACGTCAGTAAAAACAATATCGTTTTGTTTTTCATTCATTGGGAAATACAAAAACCTTTATTATAATGAATATCATATACCCAATGCCCAAATTTTTTCAAACTGTTAAAAGTGAACTTGGTTTGGACATATATAATTCAATAACAACGATTATTCTGACTAACTACAAGCTAGCGAACGTTCACAATGTGCGTAAGTATCACTAAAGTAGTGTAGCTTTTGAAGTCCGAAAAAAGGTAATAGTATTTTTATGAAATAGTTTACTGTTTAGAAAACATTATTTGAGTGTATAATTTGGTTGCTGTTGCAATAAGATGAAATATAATTTGTTTTATCTAAACATACCTTATTTGTTGCATTGATAATTAAAAGACCTCTTTGATTTATAGCCAAAATAATATGTTCAGGAAAGTTTTGCATTGTTGTTTGCTAAAAAGAATTTTTAATTAATTGTAATGACAGGCTGTTTTGTCATTTTTCACACAAAACTTTAGAGAAAATATTAACATACATTAAAATGACGAACATTGATAGCATACGGCAAAGTTAAACTTTAAGCACCACTAACTACCAATCAGCGAATGACCTTCAACGAACCAATCACATGAAAGAGGCATTTTTGGTTATGGAAACACATATATTTATTAAAAAGGATGCATAAAAACTGCATAAAACTAGTACATAGGGTGTCTTTTTCTGACGTGTGATAAAAACATCTCCCAGTTTAGCATAGGAATAACAAATGAAAAGTTACACCACATTCTATACATATATTCATCTAAATGACTATAAATGACATCTTTCTGAGATCCATTATTGGCTCTAATCTGGTTTTTTAACCTTATTCAAAAGCCTTCTATAGAACTGGTGTGTGTCCCTGTAATAGGATCCACAAAATCATTAGAATGGTTCACTCTGTGATGAAATATCCAAGGGATGACAGGGAGTTATAACTCCTTTCCACTCATCGGTGTGTATTATAGATCCCTATTTCACTAGTCGAGTGATAATAGGTACTAAGGTAGTTGACTTTCTGTCTGCTATTCCCTTGACGAATCCTTCCTGTAGAGAGGTGTCATATAAGCCAATCACCCTAACATTGTTTGTTCGCTCAAGACCACGGTTGTATTTTTTCTTCAATAAGATAGCTCCGTCCACGTATACGACTACACCTTCTCCTCCTAATAACGAAGTAAGTCTCTCCATTTTCCATGACGCGATGTCTCTGCAGTGCTGGTACTACTGAAATGTTAATACGAGGCTATTTTCAGTTTCAGTAGCTGCACCTCTCACAGGCTGTTTTAAAACCCAGTAATTACAAATATACAAAATCTGGGTTAAGGACAGATGGGACCTGGCAAAAAATGTTCCTACGAATTATTAGAACCATCAACTTACCTTCCCTGACAATAACTAGTCTCAAACAAATTACACAACGATGTACATGTCCATCAACAGACCTGCTGAAACTTTTTATGGTCATCACACCACCACATGAGCAAATCCTTTCCTTCCTAAGCAACCCCAAATCCAAGCAATCCTGGAAAACCTTATCTTCACCAAACTGCAAGCGCAACTGCGTTAAAGCAGGCTTTTCACTCGAATCAAGTGGAATAGAAACTTCAACTCACGTGGATAAAACTCATTGGACCATTCAAGATCATTCGCTGATTGGTAGTTAGTGGTGCTTAAGGTTTAACTTGGCCTAGAATACTTGCCAGACACCAGTATAGTCTGGGTTCGATTCTCGGCCGATGTACTCTTAAACCTCGCTTAGTCAGCAGTAAACTCGGTGAAGATGGAGGGTTGGACGTGAGGTTGACAACACCACTCCGTAGAAGTATTGTCATTGCAACTTAAAACATCCAAGGCTAAATCCTTATATTTTACTCGGAAGAAATATATCACAGTGACATATACTAAGCAGATTTTTTCGAACTGTTGGTGAATCACATATCCTAGTTTTCTAAATTACTTAATATTCGTTTTACTGAATTTAACTTTTAATAATTTAAACTCCTGATTTGTCTTTTCTGAACATCTTTTTTAATGAATACTATTTGTTTTTTGGACATAACACTGTGGCTTTTAATCAATAATTCACGTAATCTTCTGAGTAGCATTCAATAATTTAATCGTACTGACATTTATTTTTTTTTGATAAATCAAAGAAGACCGAATTTGTATTTTCATTCCTCTTTGACGTTTGAAACTACAAGTAGTCTGAAACTGATGAAAACCTGCAAAGTAAGGTGATATCCTGTTGTTATTGACACTTTGGTCTGTTTTGCTTTGTCGAATTTCATCCAGGGAACTAGTTTCTCGAAGTTATTTTCACTACCTTTTTTTACTGGATAAGGTTGAAGAAAACTCAATGAGGGGTTGTTATTGTTCTCGCAATTTCAATAGTCCATATTTCAGTCAGACAAGGGTGCTTATTATCACCAATGATATTCCTAATTGTGGTGGACTGGATTATGCGTCAGACAGTGGGAAACGAGAAGACAGGGATATCCTGGACCGACGTGAAGAACCTAGAAGACCTGGATTTCGCGTGTGGATGATTTATGTTTGATGTCACACAAAATCGAAGACTTACAAGCAAAAACCGACAAACTGGTCGAAGAAGCAGCAAAGACAGGACTCCAGGACAGTGAACATAGACAAGACGGAGGTCATGAAAATAACCAACCAACAACAGCAGCAGCAACATCCAGTGCCAATCACCATCAACGGGAGGGATTTGAAAGAGGTTACTTCTTTCACTTATCTGGGGAGCATTATCTCAACCACAGGCAGGTGGAACGGACGAGGATGTCAAATCGAGAATCGGGAAGGCGAGAAACACATTCATCAATCTGAAACCAATCTGGAAATCTTCCACTGTCACTCCTCAGCATCAACAACAAAATTCGGATTTTCAATACAAACGTGAAGTCAATTTTGCTTTACGGATCAGAAACTTGGCGGGTCACCAAGAATATTTTCAACAGGTTGCAGACCTTTATCAACAACTGTCTTCGCTCTATACTGAAGATTAAATGGCCGGAAAGAATCACCAACAAGAGATTATGGGAACAAACGAAACAGGAACCAATCGCCCAACAAATATGCAGGAGGAAGTGGAGATGGATTGGACACTCGCTGAGGAGGCCCGAAAGGGAAGCGGCGAGTGGGACGTCCAAGGGTGACATGGAGATCGTGTGAGGAGGAGATGAAACAGTATGGAATAACATGGACGCAAGTGAAAAGTACAGCAGAAGACAGAAGCAAGTAGAGACGTGCAGTTGAAGTCCTATGTTCCACTAGGAACCCAAGGGAACAATAATAATAATATTTCAGTAACAAATAAATGTCTATAACCCATATAAATGCTACTATACTGTTGACAGAATTATCTGGTATTGTCATAGGAGAAGATAAGAGAAAACATATCATATTTATACATTCGAAGACATGTTAAAGTCCAGCTAGATCAGAGGAGAATAGATCTTTCTGATTGGTTGACAAATGATTCAAGGTTAAACAAGTGGTCCAATGAGATTATTTTATGTCCAGATTTAAGGGAGAGACACTTCTACCTCTGTAGCCATTGACTTAAATTGCCGACTTCAATTTTCACAGCTTCCTATTGATCTGAATCATACCATAGCATGACTTGTTGCAATTTCGTGTTGTTTTTGCATTTGTCAAGTTTTCAAATTGCTGCTAGTCTAGCAGATGTCAACTTCCAGTTAACTTTCTGATGATTACATGTAGATATGCGCCTTGGTGAGATAGTCTATTTGCTACTGGATTGGTTTTATACACTAGTAGTTTTAAATTTGAGTGTCGATTCCAAAATTCTAACTAAAATCCACCGATTGAGAATGCAACTTCTGAATCTATTTTATATTATTGTACACATACATTATCCCATCTATATGAAAATAACTTTAGAATGATGTAACTTTCATTCTCAAAACTTTCATTTTAAAGTACTTTTTAATCTATGCTTTCAGATAACAGGTTATGGCAAAAATATAAGCTGCAAATCATGCATCCAAGTCTTCAATTTTAGACAATTCACTGTCTTATAAATTTACACAAAGTATGAGCTGACTCATCAGGTGGTATATTGTTTTTGTATATGAGAAACATAAATCTGTGCATTCGATCAGTATCAGTGTAAACGAATTCTTAGGATACATCTTACATAACTAATGATGAATGGATTAGGACAACTTAATTAGTACAGTGAATTCCAAAAAGTCAGTTTGCTGAACAACTGTTCTACATTTATGTTGAGAAAGCAGCAGATTTACTTAATGATTTGAAAGTTTATTTCAATTTTGATCACAAATTATTATCCCTACACAACTAATACTTGAAAATTTATCTTATGTTCACCAGCGACTGGCCCTTTTTAGGTAGATAGTTACGTGGGGTTCTAGTGGGAAGCCGTGACCAGTAGGGTACAGCAGGTCAAAGGTGAGGACAGTTACTCATCGAAGAAGACATTGCGAAGTAGTCGCGCTATGTCGTGAATTGGCATAAGTTAGAATTCATGGACTGTCCGTTGGATTGGGTTCCAGTGGCTTAATAGTCTACGAGCTCGCTGGCCTTATAACCGGAAGGTCTTGGGTTCAAACCCCGATGAGTGCGCAGTGATAAAGAGTACCGAACTAGGACGAAACAGCTGACTGTCCAGTACTCCCAGTTGGTTTTCCAATGGTTCTCTAACTAATGTCAGCTCATGATGAAATCCTCCAACCAGCCAAACAAAAATCCCTACAAAACCAATACTTGAAAGTCAGGGAATCATTGAAAACTAGAAAGTACTGGACGGCTGTTTCATCGTAGTTTGGGACTTCTCTGACGTATGCACCCGCCGGGGGTCGAACCTAGGACTGCTAGATTACAAGGCAAGCTCTCAGACCATTCGGCCATTGGAGCCCAATCCAAAGGCCCTGATGGGCGCTCAATGCTGAAGAGTCCCGAAGTAAGACAAAACAGCTGTGTCCATTACTCCCTGGTTCTCTAACTAGCATTAATTCGTGATCAAACTTAAGACAAATCAGATCTCCACAAACCAACTCTTGAAGACGTAAACATCTACATGAAAAAGTGATTGTTGTAGTGTAAAAGGATTCTTAGTTTTGCATTTTCGAAGGTAGTTGTGAAATACAGGAATCACATCTCATCTGTCTAAACATTCTATACATTATCATAATTCCAACAGTTAAGCCTATTTGAAGCCAGAGATCAGATGTCACCATCAAAACCTCCAAAAACCAAATAAAATCACGATATCTCTCGGAAATTTTTAAGTAATTTAGATGACAACAAGAGCTGAATGTGTAAATATTCAAGTTATTCCTTTAAGCAACGTTACACTATAGTAAGAGTTATGAAGTATACAATAAAACAACAGAAGTACCATAATTACATATTAAATTTTATAACTTAAGGTAAACGTTATATAATACCTTGACTTCAAAAAATGAAGAACCAAAAGTTGGATACTCTTTTAAAGATTGAAGAAAATTTGTACGAGCATTGACTTTGTTTAGTTTAATGAATCTTTTCATCGCATTATTTATCCTCTAATAGAAAAGAAAAGGAGTATAAAATCATGCATAAATATGACTTTTAATATGGTAAAAGCAGATTACTATTTTGAAAAATAGTATAAAAGAGCATACATTGACTGGTCACTGGGGAAATTAATCAATATGATGTGTCTAGTCCTTAGTGTTGATGCTAACGGGGTCGTGAGTCACCACCAAACAAGGTGACTGGCCATTGTGGTGACTCTGAATTGATTTTAGCTGGTTGGCAACAATTAACAAGAAACCCAGGACTATATAAGTTTTATGTTGAATATGAATTTTTTAGGTGGTAAAATCTTTGATTGGTTGATGTAAGGGGTTTCAATCTCCTAAAGGACATCAAGTCCCTCGTGGTTAAAGACAACTGTTTTTAAGCTCAAAATCTAGGTCCAGTTCTTCACATCTATCAATAGCATCTGATCAACTAAAATCAGGATAAAAAGATTTTTACTCTCGACTCGATGTTATCACATCTGTAGTAATAATTATTCCAAATTAAGTAATTAATTTATCATTATTTGATTTTCAGAATATGTGATAACATATTTAAATAAGTAAGGCTGTGATAAATTAGTCCTATTTATCCACCAGGATGGCTGATGCGTTTGAGTTACAGTTAGATGGCCAGCTGTCATCATGAGAATAAACGTATTTTCTGAAATTCACCACTGCAAATCATCAAACATTTATAATGAAATCTCTGAAATGTTTCAATTTTTATGAAGTGACCGAAAATTCTGACACAAGCGGTTAGGACGCTTGCCGACCGTTCACATGATCCGGGGTTCGATCCCCGGCCGACGCACTCCTTTATCTCGCTAAGCCAGAACTAATGCTAGTGAAGAGAAAAGGTTGGGCATGAGGCTAGCAACCCCATCCTATAAAATAAACACTGCTACAGAAACTTCAAGCCACTAGGTTGAAGCCCTATATTCCACTGGGGAACGTGAAGGAAAAAAAATAGATACCAAATGAAATTATTGTAAATCTTGACAGCTCAAATTCTACTTGTCTGGCTAAACATTCTGAATATTCATTTGAAAGGATTCGTGAAAGAATCTGTTGAGCCTTGGGGGAGGGGGACTCTTTTTATCAACCAGGTAAAGTTTAATTAAAAAGTGACCAGAAGTTAGAGAAATTTTGACTGCAACTAAAAAAGCATATAAAAACGATAGAAAACATTCAACTTACCATTCTCCATTCACCATCTGAAAGTTGCTGTCTAACTGTTTGTGGTATTATACAGTCCAGTGATAGTCTACATGAATTTATAGAAATTTTCAGAGAATTATTATGAACAAAGAGTACTGAGTAACTTACGTGTCGTCAAGTAATTTATATCCTTTGGCAATTACGATTAGTGCTCCGTATTCCACAGATTTTTCAACTGACGTATTGTAGTAACCACAAATATACTTTGGTAATTCCTGAAAATTAGATGTAAAACACTTATCATATATATATATATGTATATATATATTGCAGTATGCAGTGATGAATACTTTACGCAGTTATTAACCCAAAAGCATCATACTGTTTTCATCAGACAGTTTAAGATCTATTTCCAGCAAGAAGGCAAGAAAAAGGTTGCAAGTGTGCAAACTTGAAATAATGGAGAAGATTTGTAAGCTCAGATACAGATTCTCAGTGTGGTTCTATTGTATTTCTAAACCACATCTTCAATGCTTATTTCAGCGTGAGGTGGGTTTTCCTAGAATCTCTCCATGAATCATATAACTTTCTGCCCTGATAACCTAAACTGTGATGCGTCATCTACAAAAGTTTCTTTATTATAGTGTTAATTCATATTAGTATCCATCGTCCCGTTGACCTGGTACTTAACCTTTTTTGGTAGAAGTGGATGTCACACTCAAAATCGTAACTAAGAACATAAACTAACCGTCAAAAGACATGACATAAGTTCTTTTAAACCATTACACATAGACATCAGCTTTGTGCTGAGAGCTGCCTGCAAGCCAAAATTGTAGACAACAATTGACGTCAATGTTTACCTCCCGAATCAGGGTCATGAGAAAAACAACAACAAAGCTTAACCTTGAGGAACTCACCAACCAATCACAGCAGACAGCGTGTGCAAATACGATTCGCAGATATATGGCTTAACTCTATGAGAAAAGGTCATAAGCAGTACAGAATAACCGTCAGCAAGAAAACAACCAATCAGAAGACGTTTCTTCTCCGCTGACAGTAATGTAAATAAAAATCTATAAATATTTTTTGATTTTCTCAATAAACGATCTGTCGCCTGGTCCATGTCTTCTGTAGTTACAAAATGACATAACAGTAAGCTGCAGGAGTCAGACTTCTCCTAAAGTGGAACTTTACTGCAAACTAAGCAGAAGAAGTCTGTGCTCAACTACTGAGAATAATGGTGTCTGAATAAGCATAAAAATTCTCAGAACATTTTATACTATTAAGTATATCATCGATAAACACCTGTGTCATTTCAAGCAGGTCATTCCCTTCGATCTTGTGAATAGTAGCCGCTGCGTTAGGATACATAGATACTGTCACTACTTCAGTAAATGTTTGTTTTCAAGTCTGCATGTTGAAAATTGGTTGAAGCTGTTATTAAGAATTTTATTATCTCAGTATGATTTGTTCGCATTTTTGAATAATTACAATAATAATAATTATAATATGATGTATAGTGAATACTTACTTACCTGGGGATAATGAAACTTCTTATCTATTTTTAAATCTTCACCTGGGACAATGTCTATCCATAAGTTCTTAATAAAAGATAACTTATACACCGATTTATGATGAACCGCTACAACAACAAAAAAGGATTAATAAGTTATTTTAGCATGTGAGGATATTATTATATATATTATTATTGTTCCCTTGGGTTCCTAGTGGAAAATAGGGCTTCAACTGCACGTCTCCACTCGCTTCTGTCTTCTGCTGTACTTTTCACCTGCATCCATGTTAGTCCATACTGTTTCAGTTCTTCTTCACACGATCTTCTCCATGTCACCCTTGCACGTCCTACTCGCCGCCTCCTTTTCGGGTTCCACTAGAGAGCCTGACACGCGATGTCACGCAGTGGCCTCATCAGCGAGTGTCCAATCCATCTCCACTTTCTCCTGCATATTTGCTGAGCGATTGGTTCTTGTTTTGTTTGTTCCCATAGATTCTTGTTGGTGATTCTTTCCGGCCATCTGATCTTCAGTATAGAGCGAAGACAGTTGTTGTTGATAAAGGTCTGCAACAGGCTGTTGAAAATATTCTTTGTGACCCGCCAAGTTTCTGGTCCGTATAGAAGAACTGACTTGACGTTTGTATTGAAAATCCGAATTTTATTGTTGATGCTGAGGAGTGACAGTGGAAGATTTCCAGATTGGTTTCAGGTTGATGAATGTGTTTCTCGCCTTCCCGATTCTCGATTTGACATCCTCGTCCGTTCCACCTGCCTGTAGTTGAGACAATGCTCCCTGGATAAGTGAATGAAGTAACCTCTTTCAAATCCCTCCCGTTGATGGTGATTGGTGCTGGATGTTGCTGCTGTTATTGTTGTTGTTGGTTGGTTATTTTCATAACCTCCGTCTTGTCTATGTTCACCTGGAGTCCTGTCTTCTCCAGCTGCTTCTTCGACCAGTTTGTCGGTTTTCGCTTGTAAGTCTTCGATTTTGTGTGACATCAAACATAAATCATCCACGCGCGAAATCCAGGTCTTCTAGGTTCTTCACGTCGGTCCAGGATACCCCTGTCTTCTCGGTTACCACTGTCTGACGCATAATCCAGTTCACCACAATTAGGAATATCATTGGTGATAATAAGTACCCTTGTCTGACTCCTGTGTTTACTCCAAACGCCTCGCTGAGTTTTCCGTTGTGGATCACTTGACATGTGCCATTGTCCTACAGCTGTTGAATAAGGTTGATGAATATTTGGAGTACGCCATAGTACTTGAGTATTTTCCAAATTACTTCACAGTCAACGCTGTCGAAGGCTTTCTCAAAGTCTATGAAGGAAGTTGAGGTAGAGGTTTGATTGCCATTCCATAATTATTATTCACATACATTTTGCTTGGCTTTATTTTTCATGATGGGAAAGCAAATATAAAACAAAAAATATTGACAATGAAGTAGTTCCAAAGTGGATTGATGATGTAGATTCATGTAGTGAGTTAGTTACCACAATCAGGTACACACACACAAATTCATTTTTTGAAAGTAGTCAATGTGAAGATTTCAACTGGTTATTCTCTCTGTTTTTCATCAGTCAGTGAGCTGTTGTTTTTTCTGTCATTCTGCTTCCTTTTAGCTGTAAATCCATGTTATAATGATGTTGGAGATTATTATTTAGTTGAGTGATTACATCATATGCCTATTTTAAATTGACTTCGTCTCTATGATGTGCTACAGTTTAATAGTATTCAATGGGAATAATAGGTCAGTTAGATTTATGAGACAAAACACACGAAGAAGCGGTATCATGCAATGAAATGCAAGCCGTTCATAAAATAACGCTTTAGGAGAAATTCTTTCAATCATATTCCAAAACTTTATCTGAAAATATTATTTAGCAGGACATACTTCTTGAAGTCAGCTTCCTAATAGTCAATCTTTAACACATCTAACCGGTTACTTCTTCAAGAAGAGTTAGATGCATAGGCCATTTTTACTAGTTTGGAACTTGTTTTTAGGAATCAAGCAGAGGATTGTAACATTTCGAAGGGATTGTGTTACAGTTTTACTTCTGGATTAGTCTGTTATTATTAGTCCATTATTCTTACCTTCTGCTATTGGTTTGATAGTAAAATACTAGCCAGACTCAGAAGACCCTAAATTGCTGCGCGTATTGGATTTTACAGGTTAACGTACAAGGATTTCCAGACTACGATTAAACTGCTGTTTCATAGTCAGTTTTCTTGACTGTTCCCCCTGTCCAATATCCGTCTATGAAGAGGTCTACCTCGAAAATATATGAATATTGTTTAAGCAATTATTGAATTTATCAGCCAGATCTACAGGATAATGGCATTGGAAGAATCTCGCCTGGTTAACTAACTTGTTAGTTTTCTAGCCTGTCCCAAGCCCGGGTAAAGAGGGAGGGTTGGGCGTGCAGCTAGCATCCCTACACCACTAAACCTATCAAACTGCTACAGAAACTTCAACGCACAGAAGATATATTAAAAATACAAAAACTTCTAATAAAAATATTCTTCTTCCATGGAATCAGAGAGGTAAAATGACACAGCGGGCTGGTGAAAGCCGGCCTTCGGGAAGCCAGTCAGCCAGCCGATGTGTCTTCTCTCGATGAAAGCAAGAATAAGAATGGGGACGTGGAATGTTCGTACAATGTACGAGACTGGGAAGGCTGTCCAGGTAGCCAAAGATATGCGAAGAAATGGCCTAGAAGTGCTGGGTATCTGCGAGAGCAGATGGAATGGAAGTGGATTATCGAAATTGTCAACTAGAAAGTCGGTAGTCTACTCCGGTCACCCACCCAGACCACAACCACGAGCAAACTGAGGGAGCGAGAAGCTATCATGATGTCACCAGTGGCAGCCAGAGCCCTAATGCAGTAGGAACCAATTTCATCCTACAGGACAGTATGATTCAACTCAAAAGGAAGGAAGGAAGGTCACAATTATCCAACGCGGAACAAGAGAAGAAGGAAGATTTTTACAGACAACTACAAACAGTAATGGACAACATCCCAAATGGTGACATCAAAATCATCATGGGTGATATGAATGCCAGCCAAACTGGGAACAGATAATACAGAAATAGAACTCGTCATGGGTGGAGAGTATCTGGCCCGGCGAAATGAATGAGAACGGAGAATTATTCTCAGACTTCTGAGCTTTCAGTGATTCGATGATCGGAGGAAGCGTATGCAAACACAAGGATATACACAAAGCAACATGGATTTCGCTTGATGGACACACCACAAACCAGACAGATTACATCTCAATGTCGCTCAAGGAAGGGGAAACGCAGCCTGCTGGACACAAACTCAAGAGGGGGAGCAGATGTGGGCTCACACCATCATCCAGTTCAAGAAACCTTCAAAGTGAAGCTGAAATCCATGAGAACAAACGGAGACTGGCCACTGTAATTCAAGTTCAACATTTAGAAATTGAAGGACAAAACCACAAGGGATACATTTGTAAAAAATCAACAAGGGATACCTTCACTACCGATCAGACCAGAGTGAAGTCGGACACACTACGTGGCATCACCGAGGACACCTGCGTGGAAGAACATTGCAACTATCCGAAGGCGATATTCAAGGAAACGTGTACAACTTTTCTAGGAAGAAAGAAGAGACTAGACAAGGAATGGCTCTCAACGAATACCTACCTGGAAGCTAATAGAAGAGAGGAAATGAGGATGGTGAAAGAGAAGATGACTGAATGCAAAGATGGAAAACAGAAGGAGAAGCTGAGTTCAGTGTACATTGCAGAGAATAAAGAAGTGAAGAGTGCTAGGAAAGACAAAAGACAATTCTACGATACACTGGCCGGTGACTGAAGCAGAACAGGCAGACCGCAGTTAACAGAGATCTCAGGACATTATTTCAGACAACCAGGTATCTATCCGGGAAGAGATCAACTTAGATGATGAAACAAATAAATGATGTTCAAAGGAACCTGATTAATAAGGAGGAGAAACAAACAAAACAATGGGCTGATCACTTCAAAGGACTCTTGAATCGCCCATCAGTTGCAACTCACCCAGAAATACTAACAGCACACACAGAATTGCCTGCCAGTGAACGTCAATTGTCCCATGAAAGCAGAAATCCTAAATGCGATAAACCTACTGGGGTCTGGGAAGGCAGCATGACTAGACGGAATTCCCCCTGAAGTAGTGGAAACGGACGCAGAGACTGCAGCAGATTCGCTCACGCAAAAGGTTTGGAAAGAATGAAAGGTACCTACAGATAAGAAGAAAAGCTGGCTCTGGATCCAGTCAGGATGCAGAGCTCCGCCTAACCCGGGAAAAAGGTGGCTTCGGGGAAGGCAAATCATGTGTTGATCAAATTGCAACTCTACGCATTGTCATCAAACAGGCTGTGCATAGAATGGCAGTCTCTACCTCAACAGTCTCATCGACTTGGAAAAAGCAAAAACCAACAAACTGGCTGAAGAAGCAAACCATGAAGACAGGACTGCAAGTGAACATAGAGAAGATGGAGGTGATGAAGATAACTAGCCAACCAGCCAAAACCAACAACAATAATAACCAGCAACAATCACCATCAAAGGGAGAAATTTAACACAGACTACTTCCTTCACTTATCTAGGCAGCCAGCATACTTACAACTACAGGCAGTAGGAACGGATCAAGATATCAAAGCTGGTCAGAATCAGAAAGGTGAGATACACCTTCATCAATCTGAAACCAGTTCGGATATCTCCTGCAACAATACAAAATAAACATCAACATTCGGATTCTCAACACCAATGTTAAGTCAGTCAGCCAGTGAGTCACTTCTTCGATATGGGTCGAAAACTCTCAATGCGTGTCGCGAGAAGCATTTCCAAAAGGCTACTGCAGACTCTCATCAACAGCTGCCCCTTTCGCTGGCTGGCTCCTTACTGAAGATCAAATGGCCAGCCAGCCGGTCGGCCGGCCAGTCAGAGAGAATTAGCAACAAGAAACTCTGTCTGGTATAAAACTAACCAAGAACCTATCGTTCAAGAAATTTGTAGGAGAAAGTGGAGATGGATTGGTTACACGCTGAGGAGACCATGGAATGACATTGGGTGCGAGGCCATATCTCGAGCGGAAACCGAATGAGAAACGACGAGCTGGTCTTCGGTGTGAGGGTGACATGGAGGAGATCGCGTGAGAAAGAGATAAGAGATTATGGACAGTCGTGGGTTGAGCTGAAAAGGACAGCAGAAAATAGAAGAAAGTGGAGATATGTTGTTGAAGTCGTATGTTCCACTCGGAACTCAAGGGAATAATAATAATAAATGGATACTACAGTTACAAATAAGGGTGAATTCGATGGTGAGACCATGTTTGGTTGACAGACTGTTATTGAAATAGTGTACAGTGATTTCTAATGAAGTGGACATCTGGGTCGTTAAAAAATTCAAACCAGCGGCCACTGAATTACTAGTCCAGCGTTCTACCAACAAAGCTACAAGATCCAACTTTTAATCAGGTCATCATTTCAATTAATCGGGTGATAAAAGGATAGTAAATTCATTAACTTCCAGGGGAGTTGGGCATTAACGTGGTGATATGAGTGAAATAATGATCTGATTAGCAGTCAGGTGACGTAGATCAACTGTTAGAAAGTCGGACGGGTATAATTCAAAATCCCCTGGTTCGAATCTCACCACGATCTAGATTTTCATAATAGTCCGTATATTGAAACCAAGAGTGACAAGCATCTACAGCTGATTGTTTTTGAATGTGAAATTAAGTAAAATTTAGAAAAATAAAAAGGTAAATAATAAACAAACCTTCTGTGGGAACATTTTGTTCTTTTACAGAATCTGTAAGAACGCGAATAAAATCGAAAAAGAAAAGTTGATCTGGCATAGTGTGTAGTTGATCCTTAATAGATACTGTAATTGAATAAGCAGTTGGTGTTTTTATTTCCAAAGTTTTAGTGATTTCTTTCAATAAATCTTCTACTTTAGTACTTGAATCCACATACCTTGTCTATTTAAGTTTATAAAATAAAGAATTCAAGAAGTAGTTTGCAATATTGTAAAAAATTTATAATGATATGCAATCTTTTTAATTGAAAATTTAATATCATACTTCATAGGTAAAAATGTGCGTCCATGGCATAGCGCTCGCCGACCATGCACATGGTCCGGGGTTCGATCCCCTGACGGCGCACTCCTTTACCTCGTTGAGCCAGAAATAATGCTGGTGAAGAGGAAAGGTTTGGCATGAGACTAGCAACCCCATCCTGTAAAAATAAACACTGCTACGGAAACTTCAAGACTCTAGCTTGAAGCCCTATGTTTCACTGGGAAACGTGAAGGAATAAAAAAATAGTTAAAAAAAAATCAGTGTATTACACTAGTAGAGTTTATTAGCAGAAAGCTCTTTATCAGATTTAGGTTACGCTAGTTGTTGACAAATTTCCTATTTGATGAATACCAAAAGATTCAGTTGTTATCGACAGTTTATGATTTTGATGATCATTGATGTACTTTTGATAATAGATGGAGGCATGACTTTTCCCAAGGCTACAACCATGTCTTGCTGAATAGTACTAACATGCTTGAAAGCAAGATTATTTAGGCTTTTCTGAAGTTTCACTTTTAAAATTGAACACCAAAAGTAAAAGTGCAATATGTTATTTTGGTTAATGATGGGCTAGCAGTGGAATCCAGGAGGCATATTTTGTTCTCTTTGGCTTACTGGGAACATCCCATATTAGGGTTTATGATCTCACGGATATTTCAGTTATCATAAAGAAATAATTAAATGTTTTATAAAAGAAAAGACGTTCAGCAATCTAACTCTCAAGTTGTACAATCGCGCATATATATATATATATATATATATATATAAAATTTTCTTAGAAACAAAATATTTCCAAATGTGTGTCATTGAAATTGTAAATTTAAGACAGAAGATTACGTAATATATTTAATATTAATGTACATCTATCCGTTCACCTGCTCGTGTGTTGGTCATACTCAGCGTTTGCTATCCAGACGTATCATTTAACACTTATCCTCATGGTCTTATAAAGGAGAAAAAAGATCCCCCCGCCACAGCTCTATTCTAGAAAACCTAGTCGAATCTGGACACCAAGCTAACCTATAAACCAACTTCAAAGTCAGCTATAGAAATATGTGAGAATCTCGCTAAAAAAAACAGTACAAATCAGACTTCCTCAAGTTGCAGAAGCAATCGCAATTCACATTCAAAAGAAGTTTGTTCAATCATTAAATCTAAAATGGACATGATCTGTCTTAACACTTGATACGTAATTTTTTGTTTTCTGATTTTTAATCACATTGTTTCTTCTCATCACACTTTTTTACAACTTAACCGTCGGTGAATTTTAGTTGAGTTTCACTCAGTCTCATCAGTCACATTGCGACACTCAATTTGCTTATTTTATTTCAGTTTAGTTTCTACCAGATTGATGCCTTTGATTTTACGTAAACTTTTATATTAAATTCACAATTCCAGTGACGTTGGTTGGCGTTGGTTGGCAACTGAGAAAACAACTCATTAAATATAAGGAGGAACTTGTTGGCGCATGCCAGCGTTGTCTTCATCTCCGTCACCATTTTCAAGACTCTATCGTCATGTCGTTCAACAAGACTTCTTTCTTCAGTCATTGACAATTTGCCATTTTAATAAGTGGATAATTTAAACCGAGAAATGCTCACAACTGACCAGGTGAACTCCTCAATCTGCAACGTTGCCAAGAAAAATTGTTTCCGTTATTTTTCTAGCCCTTTTTTTGTAGAGTAGGAATCTGACAATTTTAGAAAGTGATAAGCCTTCCCGTAGACACTTCATTTGCACAACTATTTGTATCTAAAACGTCACTATTTTAATAGGTGTTTGAATGGCATAATGAACCAGGGAACTCACTTTCACAGTGAGTGATTTCGAAAAAAGTGATGGTTGTGGACCAGCGGCAAAATGTATTTTAAACAAAATGATCAATATAAATGGTGTAATAATATAAGCGATTATTTATTTGCATTAATATATGGGTGAACTACGTTACACTTCATTGACACCGTTGACCTTCATAGTTTTTCAGTTTCACACTCTCCCCCCTACCTCGCAGAAATCCTCTAGAAACCGCCCAAATTTCCCCAAAATATTTTTATTTGAGTACCATATTTCAGTAATTTAAAAGTTTATGATAATGACAATAGAGCATAAATTACTTCAAAAAACAACTAAATAACTCACTAAATGTGACCCATCAGGAAAACATATTTTCTGTGGCATTTCTTCTGTATCAGACTGGATGGCGATAACTTCACTTTCATACGGTGGATATTGCCGTCGCCCTTGACTTAAAGAATAAATAAACAAGTAAAACCTTATTTTCAAATATTGGTTTTGTAGGGATTGTTTGTTTGATTGGTTGGAGGATTTCATCATCAGTTGACAGCAGTTAGAAAACCATTGGAAAACCTGGGAGTACTGGACAGCTGTTTCGTCAGCCTAGTTTGGGACTCTTCAACTGTGCGCACCCACCACAGGGGTTCGAACCCAGGACATTCTGCTTACAAGGCCACTGAGCTCGTAGATCGTAGATCGATCCAATGGCCAGACCATGAATTCTAACTTCTGCCTATGGTTCTGTAGCTGATGTCAGCTCATGATGAAATCCTCCAACCAATAAAACCTTATTTCTGAAGTACTTTATTGATGAGCATTTAAGAAATTCTTATATGATTTTGGCGGCCTGCTTAAATCAGTGGGCTACCTAAATTTCCTATCCACCTAAATGTATTGTGCTTACCCCCATATCACATTGTTTTAATCATACAATTATGTCTAAGAATTACATAGTGTACTCAGGCACATTTTCAAATAGGTTTTAACTCTTCACTACGAATTTTCTGATGGGGATGGAGGGGAAATCTTGTAGATTATTGCATCCTGCCTCCGATAAAACGATATCACTTCATTTGATACATTGTCGTCTATAATATTACTTGAAGATTCTGCACAAGGAGTAAATACCTTACAATATGAAACCTGATGAAAATTCTATTTTGTGTATCAACGCATTTTATGGAATAAAGCTATTACTACTATTTCAAAGCCTAAGTAGTTTGAAAAATAATCCGAAATGTTTTAGGAACTGATTTGTAGAATCTTTTTTCTTCTAAACAACATAGACAGTTGGTATTGTGAAATGGTATTAATTGTCAAAAAGATTACCTGTTATAACCTCATTTTTATAGTCTGCTGGTGATGCGATCAAGAACTAAAGATAAAACGAAAACTGATTTCACAAGAGAAGTCTAGTTAAATCTGATTACTGAAATGAGGCCCGTGATATAAACTGATAGCCTCCGGCGTACGCGAAACTAATATCACTTTTTTTGCTAAGTTCAGGTAGTGTCTAAAAAATAAGATGACAAGCTTTAATTATCGAAAGGTTCTGAGAAAACAATTTGACGATTACCTACCTCAATGTCCTTTGTAAACGCAGAAGACATCGTTTTCCAAAATTATCTTGACTAGAACGTAAAAATGCTTTCAATTCTTTCATTAATTCACTACTAGGCGTTGCGAGTCCTGTTGCTAACCATAAAAGTTGCCAACCTCGTCTAATACTCAAACTAAAGTATAAAAAGATGGAAAGGGTAGTAGTATTTAAAAGAATAAAAAGTATAGGATATGTATCTCATAGGCCAAAATATGTATATCCGGTACTCCATGGTTATCAATGGTTCTCTAAGTGAAGTCAGTTAATTTTTTTATTTTTGGTTACAGCTTGATTCCACACCGTACTTTCAGTACAGGCATAATAATAATCAAACTTCAAAATCAGTTAAATCCATGAAAACGAACACTTGAAAATAAAACTAATTCTTGTGATATATCTATGCCTCATATCACAGAGAGTCCGTATGAAATAATTACGAATTATGATATTCCAAATTGTGATAGACTCTATTATGCTTCAGACTTGGCACATGGAGTAAGAAGACGGGAATACGTTGGACTACCGATAAAAAGACTCTAGAAGATATGGATTTCACAGAATGATATGTGTCTAATGTCACACAAATAAAAAACGCACAGGCGACAACCAACAAACTGGCTGAAGAAGCAGCCAGAAAAGACAGGACTCCAGGGGAAGGTGGTGATGAGGATAACCAACCAAACAACCAGACAACAGCAACAACAACACCCAGCACCAATCACCATCAAAGGGAGAAATTTAACACAGGTTACTTCCTTCACTTATCTACGCAGCCAGAATCGTTACAATTACAGGCAGTAGGAACGGATCATCATGTCAAAGCTGGTCAGAATCGAAATGGTGAGATACGCCTTCATCAATGTGAAACCGGTTCGTATATCTCCTGCAACAATACAAAATAAACAACAACATTCGGATTCTCAACACCAATATTAAGTCAGTTAGTCAGTCACTTCTTCGATATGGGTCGAAAACTCTCAATGCGTGTCGCGAGAAGCATTTCCAACAGACTACTGCAGACTCTCATCAACAGCTGCCCCTTTCGCTGGTGGCTCCTTACTTAAGATCAAATGGCCAGCCGGCCGGCTGGTCAGCCAGAGAGAATTATCAACAAGAAACTCTGACTGGGAGAAAACTAACAAAGAACCTATCGTTCAATAGATGTGTAGGAGAAAGTGGAGATGGATTGGTTACACGCTGAGGAGACCGTGGCATGACATTGGGTGCGAGGCCATATCTCGAGCGGAAACCGAATGGGAAACGAGGAGTGGGTTGTACGACGGTGATAAACACGTAGGTAAAAGGGGATTGGCTGTTAATGCGCAAGTGACTGTAATAATGGATAATTCAAGACCAATAAAGAAATAAAAGTTTTTTTCACAGGTATAAGGTCACAATGATGTGCGTCGGTGGCACAGTGGTTAGGACACTCGCCGACCATGCACATGGTCCGGGGTTCGATTCCCTGTCGACGTACACCCGATATCTATGGTCGGCCTGCTAAATTTGGGCTACCGATATCCATGCTGAAAATTCCATACTTGTACTGAAAAGACGGTGTGGCATCAAGCTGTAATCAAAATAAATAAAGTATTTGATTGAAAAAAAGGATGGATCAGTGAATATACAGGTAGGATCACAGGTCACATTTAAAAAGTATCGTGTAATACAATATTTAGGAGTTTACAGATTCCACAAGATGTCAAATTAGCAATTGTAACTGGACTTGATTTCCGTATAAATAGCTTAAGCTATTTCAAGAGAATTCCTATGGCTTATAAGGTGTTTAGAGTAGTTGGTTTGTATTAACTTTTCGTATTTTAAGAGCACATGATTGATAATCCTTTCACCCAAGTACATTGATAAGTGTTCCAGGATTATTATTATTCCCTTGAGTTCCGATTGGAACATACGACTTCAACAACATATCTCCACAGCGGTAGAATGCTCGCCAACCACGCCGCATGTGGTCTGGGTTTCGATCCACCGCCACAGAACCAACAATAAGACTGGTAAAGAGGGGAGGTTGGGCATGAAGCTAGTAACCTCATCCCGTAAAAATAAATACCTCTGCTAGTGAAACTTCAAGCCTCTAGCTTGAAGCTCCCTATATATGTTCCACTGGGAACGTACAGGAATAAAATAAATAAAAATGATAATAATAACAATAAATTCATCTTACTAATTGTTATTATGTGTCATTTGCTTCACTAATTGACAGTAAATTTCATCGCACAAAATTGGTGAGTGAAGAAATGATTGAAAAATAAAATCAGTTAATTGAAGCGATTTTTTAACAGTTGGCACACCACCATCCATGTATTGCATAATTGCATCAAATGATTTCACTGCCATTTGACATACTTCCGTATCACTTTGTATCTCTTGTAATAATGGCATACTGATTGGTTCATTTGTATACTTCCAAATAATGTTGGTAGATGTAATTTTCCTAGAGTACAGAAAAAAAATGATGTTTGTGAAATTAAGTCTCTTAAGTCAGAAGGAAATAGACTAATTTTATTTATTTATTTTTTCAATGAATTTCACTGCTACTTAATGAGAACAAGAAACTGTGCTTAAAAAATAAAAATATCTTCCAGATAAAAGTATTACTTCTACGTTTTACTAAGTAAACCCAATTCAAATATGCATAAATAATATCTGACATTAGTAATGTGGTGACAGCTGGCTGCGAATAAGCCAAAATTGTAGACACCAATTTACGTCAATGTTCACGTCCCGAATCGGGGTCATGAGAAAAAAACAATAATAAAGCTTAACCTTGAGGAACTCAACAACCAATCACAGAAGACTTAGCGTGTGAAAATACGATTCGCAGATATATGGCTTAACTTTCTGAGAAACTGTCACAAGCAGCACAGAATAACCTTCAGCAGGAAAACAACCAGTTAGAAGATGTTGCTTCTCCACTGACAGTAATGTAAATAAAAATCTATGAATATCTGCTGGTTTTCTCAATAAACGATCTTTTGTCGTTACAATATGAAATTATTTAAAGTCACTTTTCTGTGGCCCTCTAAGATCATTGTAAAATAGTTTTATATAACCTCTGTATATAGGCAGAAACGGAACTTTTTTTATTCCATATTAATTTGTTTATTAGGCATATTACACAGTGAAACAGTATTCGCATTTTCTGGGTGACAAAGTTTTGAACTCAAGTTTGTTGTTGTTCATAATCATACTAATTATAATCACACAACTCCGAAATTTTCGTTTAATAGTTTTCGCTATTGTTTCCCATTTGTCGTAGGGGTGTGGTAGTGTGATACAGACAATGTATGTGTGCCAATGGAATATTATTCTCACATATTCCCACAGTTCAATACTGCACAAACAACAGCATACTATATATATTTGAGCATTCTGCTTAATGTGCGTCGGTGGCACAGTGGTTAGGACTCTCGCCGACCATGCAAATGGTCCGGGGTTCGACCCCCTGCCGGCGCACACCCGATATCTATGGTCGGCCTGTAAATTTGGGCTACCGATATCCATGCTGAAAATTCCATACTTGTACTGAAAATGCGGTGTGGAATCAAGCTGTAATCAAAATAAAATAAATAAAAATAATCACACGCTCAGTGACTGGTTAGAGAATATAAACTATATATATCTAAATAGTGGTTTGATCATTTGAAAATATACGTTTGCTCCCATGTCTCGCCTTCTGCTTTTACAAGGGTAGTGGGAAGGTTCGAAGTTGTATGATTATAATTAATATGATTGTAAACAGCGACAAATTGTGTTCGAAACTTTGTCATCCAGTAAATACTACTAATATTGTTTCACTGTGTGATATATCTAATGAACAATTTTATATGGAATTACATGCTACCACAGTGCTCAAGTTTTAGACATATATTAATATGACGTATTATCGTCCTGTTTGAGGAACTTTTTTTTATTTTCAAGAGTTTGGTTTGTAAGGATTAGATTTGCTTATACGAGTTTGACCACGGATTGATATCAGTTAGAGAACCACTGAAAACCAGGGAGTACTGGACAGCTAGCTGTTTCATCGTAGTTTGGGAATCATTGGCAGTACGAACCCACTGGGGTCCGAACCCTAGTGAGAAATCGTGACCAATGAGGTCCATCCAGTCGGGAGTGAGGATGGAGTTCCCACCGATGACATGAGTTGGTGGTCGCGCTAAATCAGGGATTGGCAGAAGTTATAGTTCATAGGCTAGCCAATGAATCGGGTCCCAGTGGTTGAATGGCTTACCAGCTTGCCTTGTTACCGGAAGGTCCTGGGTTCGAACCCCTGTAGTGAGTGCGTACTGCCAAAATAGGTATATCTTTAGAAACAAAGTCAACAAGTTTTAGCAAACATTTGCACAGCAGCTCATCATAATGAGGTTGAATGCATAAATATTACCTCAAATTCAGCTTATCAGTAAATGAAGAGTCCTAACCACTGTGCGTCGGTGGCACAGTGGTTAGGACTCTCGCCGACCATGCAAATGGTCCGGGGTTCGATCCCCTGCCGGCGCACACCCGATATCTATGGTTGGCCTCTAAATTTGGGCTACCGATATCCATGCTGAAAATTCCACACTTGTACTGAAAATACGGTGTGGAGTCAAGCTGTAATCAAAATAAAAAAAGTCTTAACAGTTCAGATTTTAGGGGAACAGAAGAATGTATGAAATGTTGTTCTACCGATTGTATTTCAAGTTAAATACTAAAACATGGATTTAAATTCCATATTAGTTTGTTTATTAGATATGGAATTACTTACTACCACAGTGCCCAAGTTTTGCACATATATTAATGGATTTAAATTGTTAAATTGTTCACCAACTGCTATTTTGTTTTTTTCCCTGGCGCATTTCAATGATTATTGCGTTCAAAATGTTTAAAAGTATAGTGCACATTACTGAACAGAGAAAATCGGAATCATTCTTTCTCTATTTCATATTTAAAGCATAATTAATTTAACATTGTCAACTGTTGTCTTACTAGGTGTTAAAGTACCCACTGCATACAATCTTAGTTGACTATCTCTCTGTCTACGTGTACATGAGTTAAGAAAAGAAACAGGAATAAAAATGCCAAGTATCTTTCCACGCATTACACCTTATATATTTCGATCATAGCTGTTTAGCTTCACAGTTAACTTCAGAGTATAGTATATAAAAAGACTTACACTTCTAAGCCATAAACAACTGTCACAAAACAAGACTGCAAATCCAAATAATGATTGGAAAACCACTGATTCATAAATTTTTCTAAAACATTTAATCTCTCTTAAGAAAAATGCCTTGCACTGGAACTCAACCACAATTATCTTAAATACGATTATAACACTGTGTAATTATTTCAGTTAACTATAGATGTCTATAACAAGTTGCTTTAACGAAAACTCCCGGACTGCTAAAATCTCTCATGACCTATTAGAAAGACAATGGTAACTACAGCAGAATTCAGAAGCCCTAATCATACTGTATACTGCAAACTTGCTACAGAAAACACTTTCCTGTCTTTCATATATGACTAAAGATATATCTCCCACAAAAAGCATTTCTAACAGGCTTCAGACTTTCATCAGCATCTGGCCTTCACTCCATGATGAAGATCAAATGCCCAGAAATGATTAGCACCAAGGAACTTTAGGAACGAACCAGTCAAGAACGTATTGGCCAAGAATTATGCCGAGGAAAATGGATACACTATGAGCAGACTGTTGAATGAAATCATGCGTCAGACCATCGAGTGTAACCTGAATAAGAAACGGCAAAATGAGTGTGAGTCCGAGGGTGACATGGAAGTAATCTTGTGTACAGAAGATGAAAGCTTATGGACGATCGTGGGGCCAGCTGAAGAAGACCTCAGAGAAAAAACAGAATGGAGATGTTCTGCTTAAGCCCTATGCTTCACTTGAAACTCAAGGGAATAATGTTAAATAGTATGAAAATCACAACGTAGCCCATGCCCAGATGAGAATATATCAAGGTATCGAGATAATAGTTAACAAGACTTATCCTATTATGAAATGATACACGGATATATATCTATATATATGTACAAAATATGTGACATAAGCTTGATGAAAACTTATTTTTACACATCACTAATATTGTACCCCAAATATTCATCAACCTTATTCAACAGCTATACGACAACGGCACATGTTAAGTGATTCCCAACGGAAAACTCAGCGAGGCGTTTAAAGTAAACACAGGAGTCAGACAAGGGTGCTTATTAGCACCAATGATATTCCTAATTGTGGTGGACTGGATTATGCGTCAGACAGTGGGAAACGAGAAGACAGGGGTATCCTGGACCGACGTGAAGAGCCTAGAAGACCTGGATTTCGCGGATGATTTATGCTTGATGTCACACAAAATCGAAGATTTACAAGCGAAAACCGATAAACTGATCGAAGAAGCAGCAAAGACAGGACTCCAGGTGGTGATAGACAAGATGGAGGTTTTGAAAATAACCAACCAACCAACAACAGCAGCAACACACAGCGCCAATCACCATCAACAGGAAGGATTTGAAAGAGGTTACTTCTTTCACTTATCTAGGGAGCATTGTCTCAACTACAGGCAGGTGGAACGGACGAGGATGTCAAATCGAGAATCGGGAAGGCGAGAAACACATTCATCAACCTGAAACCAATCTGGAAATCTTCGTCACTCAACCCAGCATCAACAACAAAATTCGGATTTTCAATACAAACGTCAAGTCAGTCAGTTCTTCTATACGGATGGATCAGAAACTTAGTGGCGGGTCACAAAGAATATTTCCAACAGCCTGTTGCAGACCTTTATCAACAACTAACTGTCTTTGCTGGCTCTATACTGAAGATCAGATGGCCGGAAAGAATCACCGACAAGAAACAAACTATGGGAAGAAACAAAACAAGAACCAGTCGCTCAACAAATATGCAGGAGAAAGTGGAGATGGATTGGACACTCGCTGAGGAGGCCGCTGGGTGACATCGCGTGTCAGGCCATCGCTCGAGTGGAACCCGAAAGTGAAGCGGCGAGTGGGACTTCGAAGGGTGACATGGAGGAGATCATGTGAAGAGGAGTTGAAACAGTATGGACTAACATGGATGCAGATGAAAAGTACAGTACAAGAAAGAAGGAAGTGGAGACGTGCAGTTGAAGCCCTATGTTCCACTAGGAACCCAAGGGAACAATAATAATAATATAAATAATTATAGTAAATTACAGAATGACTTAAAATCATAAACTGATCAGTCATTTGAGACTAAAATAAGCCTAATTTCTGATCAAACGAGTTATCGAATGTGTCAATATTCTTTTCTAATTTAAATGTTATTATTATATATCTGAAAAAATACTATAACACAACTAGTACTATCACATAAGTAATGATATCACTGCTCATTTCACAAATAATCGCAGTGGTATTGATAACTGTTGTAATAGTCATAGTAGCAGTACTAATAATGGAGAAGTAGGTTTTTGACCCGGACTCATAATTATTAAAAGAATATTTAGTATACTTACTGAAAATGACGTGACGCATATTCTTCAAGTGTATGTAGATGTGTCCTACTGGAGGTGGTGTCATCCAACAGACAAGACATATCCAATTCTATGGAATTTCGAAATAGTGACGGCAGACTAAAATATGATTCAGTGGAAGTCATAGGTTTAATGCGCATATTTTGTGATGGTACAGAATTCAATGCATGGTTATTAGAGTTATCATTGTTTAAATTAAATAATGTCATTATTTCATTTGTTGGACAAGATAAACATGGTAGTATGTAAACTTGTTTTGCAAGAAATAAACCTTCCTTTCCATTTGTTTTATTCTTTCCATAACACCAACCATTTTTGTCACCAATTTGTATGAATTGTTCATGAAGAAATGGTGAATCAGTTTTACGTTCACAATGTAATGGAACATCTGTATTGGTAAGAATATCTTCTTTTTCATTTTCTTTATTATATTTATGAATTATAATTAAATCACCAGCTTGCATTGGCAACAGTTTATTAGATTCTGTTAAAAAAGGAATACATTTATTTAAAAAAAAACAGAATATTTAAAGCAATTAGTTCCTGTTATGAACATCGACAACACCATAAGAAGACGTAGTTTATCTGAGGCGTGTAATGTATTTGCGCAAAACATTTCGGACATTCTGACCACATATGTACTTGTCCTACACAGGGGTGATCAACATAATCTGGCCACTAAACAAAGGTTGAAGGCGTCAGTTAACAAACTCCCCATGCAGCCAAACTTATCTTCATAGAGAAAACGAGAATTGTGTTATCCTGTACACCCTCACATCTCATTGTGTTTATCAATTTACGTGTACACACGTACAGAGGGAGGACCCATTGATCTCTGCAGGTTAGAGGTAAATGACATATTCCAAAGTGGCTACAACAACAAACAAAATCACAGAATACAACTGATCCCGGAAATAGATGTACAACATCATCTATAGTGAAGCACGTCATAGAGACGATTTCAATAATGTCTTTAAATCCATATACAAAACAAGGTTGGGTCACATACTTGAATTCGCTGAAGCCTTGGCCATGAAAAGGCTTAAACCTGTCTTATGTGTCCAAACATTATTTGTTATGACTTTGAACCTGACTTGGTATTCCAATCTAGAATCAATGTTCAATTTACTTCACAATATTTTCACTCCTTCCCTTAGTTGTTTTCTCCCTTCTTTCTTACCCACATCCTTGCGTTATCTCCCTATCCATTCTTTTTGACCTTCACCTGTACACAATCTGACCTGTATTGTAATGATTCCTACCTTTTTGGCTTCTATAAAACTGTATATGACAAGTATGCGTGTGATCAGAATGTCCGAAATGTGTTTCGCGAAAACATTACACGTTTCGGATAAACTACGTCTTCTTATTAAGTTGTCGAAACAACAAAATATTAGTAATTCATTGGAAATGTGATTTTTTTAAAATTATAATAACGCTGTTTAGTTAGAAGTGAGTTAACAGTGAAAATGTTAATGAACAAAAATGTTCAGAAAAACAATGTGCTAGTCAAATGTTTGGCTTTAAAGTTTTGATCATGAGCTGACATCAGTTAGAGAACCATTGGAAAACAAGGGAGTACTACAGAGCTGTTCTTTCTAGCTTGGGACTCTTCAACAGTACGCACTGACGGAGGTTCAAACCCAAAACCTTCCAAATACAAGGCGAACTCATAGACTATCCAGATACTACGATCCAAGTAGTAGTTCATGAATTCTAACTTCTGCCAATTCACGATATACAGCGCAACCCTCAGACCAGTGTTATAAGCGAGCAACTTTTTTCTTACCTGACTCGATGGACGCTACTGGCTACGACTTCTCACTAGAAGTCCGGAAAACTCCCTGTATAAAGCCAGTTGTTAGTGAGCATCAGATTAATTCTCAAGTGTTGGTTTTCAGGGATTTCACTGGTTACAGGTTTGATTGCGAGCTGACCCCAGTGGGTTCGCACTGATGAAGAGTCCCGGAACGGGACGAAACAGCGATTTAGCAATCCCTGGTTCTACAGTGGTTCTCTAGCTGATGTCAAACCTGGTCTAATCTGTAACCAATCAAATCCCTGCAAATCAATACATGATAGTTTAGCTTTTATTTCCCAGTCATAGCTGATCGCCTGCTTAAAACATTGTGCTACATAATTTGCAACAGAGCACAATGAGTCAAATTTACTCAAATGCATTTTGTTTTAACTATCTGTTTACACTCTCTGGAACCTATCTTGACTCATGCGCATCATACAACTGTAAAATGTGGATGTCAGAAAAAGTCCTCCATACTTAGTGCATTATTAAACAAACTACCAAACTACGTTTTTTGTTTATTGGCTGGATTCATTTAGTAAAATGTCTTCAAATCTTTAAATATTCCCATTTATAATATTAGAACAAGACATATAAGCGAACAATATTGTTTTCAATTAGATCTTCTTCAGGCTTTACTCTAATTTACATAGATTTATATATAAAATTTTAACCAATGACGGTGATTTTGGAAATCAAATAATAATCTTAATAGTCTTAATTATAATAATAATAATAATGCCTTATTCAAATGTGATAAATGTTTTGAACGTAGTTCATAACGATGATTATAATGATAACAAAATATTGATAACAAGGTTTATGCAGGTGATAAGAATAACAAAGATAGTATATGTATATAAGTGTATAAATAAATTGGGTCAAATCTTAAAAGGTGAAGTGGAACGATAATCAGAGTTTAAATAAATATTATAAAAGTACAAAGGAGGTGGAAAATAAGAAAGGGTGGGAGGGTTTTGACTACAGTTCACCTAGGCCAAGGGAGAGACAAAGGTAGAACAAACTTCTTTTGTATGCAAAGACTAGGATTGTTCTCTCGAATTCCCATAGCTTCGGCTAGGTGTAAAAGAAGGTTTCTGATTCCATCCGAAAGACTCGATGGAATACGATAGATAACTTTGAAAACACTATTTTTGTCCACTTGGTGACCGCTATCAATCAAATGAGCCAAAATAGAACTTCGTATGTAAAACAATATTGTTCGCTTATATGTCTTGTTCTAATATGTCTTCGATCACGTTTTCATACTTCAAGGAATATATTAGCAACTGGGTATCTATAACCTTGAAGAAACTCATTCACAGACTCACTTCTTTACCTCGCTAAACCAGTAATAAGACTGGAAAAGAGGGAAGGCTGGGCATGAGGCTAGCAACCTCATCCCGTAAAAATAAATACCACTGCTACTAAAACTTCAAGCCTCTAGCTTGAAGCCCTCCCCCCATGTTCCACTGAGAACGTGAAGGAATGAAAAAAATTGTAGCCAGAATCTGTAAACTCAGGCAAATATATATCATGACAGTTACAAGTGGAACTACACTATGTACTTAAACGTCTATATGACTGGTAGCCAGTATATATATATATATATATATAATTCCTTTAGGACCGCGCTTTTCGATAACTGCGCTAAATTTGGATAGTTACCTAAAACTCTGATTTTTGTGGAATATCTTATCAAAAAGTTGCGAAAAACTTTTACAATTATTTGACTTTGAAACACTGAATCTTTGGATATAATATTGTATATCAATAACACCTATAACTATCTATTTGCCACTCTGTGCTTGATTAACACTAACTAATACCTATAATTGTATATATATTGATGGATTTACATGTTCAAGTTGGCTCAAGTCAGTGAGTCTACGATTTTGGTATCATTTTGGTTAACTGTAATTGACTGTGATATTGTTATTATGTCACTTTTTACCCTTCTTGTTGTGACAGCGTCGATCTAGAGGTGATTTGGAAACTACTTCGCTACTACGGGGTGCCACCGACAATAATACATCTCATCCAACAGCTATACGACAATGCTGCATGCCAAGTAATCCACAACGGGAAACTTACAGAACCCTTCGAAGTGAGGACAGGAGTAAGACAAGGCTGCCTAATATTGCCAATGATTTTCTTGATGGCAGTAGACTGGATAATGCGACAAACAGTGGGAAATGAGGAAACAGGCATAAAATGGACTCACACAAAAAGAGACTTTGAGGATCTGGACTTCGCCGATGATATATGTCTGATTTCCCACAAACTGGAAGACATGCAAACGAAAAGCAACAAGTTAGCAGAAGAAGCATCAAAGATAGGACTTCAGGTGAACATAGAGAAAACAGAGGTAATGAAAATTCCTGGGCAACACCACCAACAGCAACAACAACAACTGATAACAATCAGCATAAATGGGAGGAACCTGAAAGAAACAACCTCTTTTACCTACCTGAGAAGAATCGTTTCAACTACAGGCCGACGGAACTGACGAGGATATCAAAGCAAGAATCGAATAAGCAAGACAAGCTTTCACTACTCTCAAGTCTGTGTGGAGGTCAACAACACTCAGCATCAAAAATAAGATCCGGATTTTCAACTCCAATGTGAAGTCAGTCAGTGCTACTCACGATACGGATCAGAGACTTGCACAGCGCGTCATAAAGAGTATCTCAAACAAACTACAGACCTTCATTACCCCTTGTCTTCGCTCAGTACCACTCAAGATCAGATGGCCAGGAAAGATCAGCAATAGAGATCTCTGGCAATGAGCGAACCAACTCAGCAGGAACCGATTGTGAAAGAAATAGGCAGGAAGAAATGGAGATGGATTGGCTGGTCATACTCTGAGGAAACAAACCATCAAGTGACATCACTAGACAAACCATTGCTCGAGTGGAACCCGAATGAAAGGGAAGCGGCGAGTTGGTCGTCAGTGAGAGGGTGGGTGACTTGGAGGAGGTCATGTGAAGAGGAGATGAAAACGTGTGGGCAGACATGGGGCCAGGTGAAGACTCTAGCAGAGAACAGAACGCAATGGAGACGCACGGCTGAAGCCCTATGTTCCTGTAGGAATTAAAGGATACAATAATAATAATAATATATAATGTTAGGATAAGCTTTAATAATTAAATAGTCGTATTACACTGTATATTTAGAACATACCGCATTGTTCTTGTGAATGTTCAATAGCAATAGCATACATTGAACGTTGTTTTAAACCACTAAGGAATTTCATTGTTAAACTTTGGATATTATCAGAATATTTAGATAAAAATGTGTATTCAACTCCTTTCACTGTAGTCAATGTTAACACACTCATATTTGATGACTTCGAGCTAGAATAATGAAAAATAAAATAATAATAATAATCTACTTTATTCCAAAAACAGTACTTATAATACAGAATGGAATTCTCAGCATTTATCACAATATTGCATCTGATTTATATATACATATATATATATATATATATATATATATATATTAGAATAAGGCATTTAGAAGACAAATTTCACGAGATGATAGCATCACTACTTCGTAGTTTCCCTTTTCAATCGCTTTACAACTAACATGGTTCACAATTGTAAAATTAAAGTGCATGACAATTACTCAGTTATATAAAACAAAAGTACATACTAATGACCATTCATATTTACATTGGTGAAATAGTCCATGGTAGACGAAGGTTGAAGTCTATTGTTTTTTGTACACATAGTTTAGGATGTATGTGATTAATCCCCCAAAGTGTTTCCATCACCTTCAATAACCTTGAATTAGAGTTATGTGATGAAATAATTGGAAGCAGTCATTAATATTGATTTTGTGACCTGACATTAATAAGTGCTTTGCAATGGATGATGTTGGATTTCTATTCAGATTAATTGCATTGGGATTTTGGAACATGTTCTTTTCGACGACATTGGAACATTCTATTGGTTCTACCTATATAGGTGTCACCGCAGCTGCAGGTGAACTTGGAGATACAGTTTGAAATGACGTTTACAGCGAAGAAAATTTTCTTTTCGACCACGCCATCAACTAGCCTGTACAGTCATGTATTTATAATAAATGGGTAAGAAGGTTCCAGAACTATTTCCGGTCAAAGGTCAAATCAGTAAAGTTATCAAGTATAATAAACAGAAAGATCGGATACAGAATATGGTAAGATAGATAGGTTCTAGAAATATTTCGGGTCAAAAGTCAAATTAATAAAACTACAAATTGTAATAAAGGCATAATAAGGTCTGCCTCATATCTCTGTTTACTGTCTCTATTTTTCACTTCCTTTTACTTTCTTCCCTTGCTTTGTGTGCTACATGGAGTGTGGTGACTTGAACTGCTACACATTGGTGCAAAGTTCTATGTTGAAACCAATCAGTCAGTCAAAATAAGGTCATAATTCCTGAAAAACTTGACTGTTTGTACAAATTACGGATTAAGGACGTAGTAATAACAAAATAGGTAGGAAGTTTGGATATGTATAAAAATAAAAATAGTAAACAGATCTAGTAATGCAGATAAGAATTAAAAACGTAAAAAATAACAGAAATAAATAGGAGGGTTGGATAAGAAAGGTAATGGGTCGACCATTATTGGTGGGACTGAACCTATCTATCTTATGAAAGATTAACTTTACGTGAGAAACAACCAATCGGAAGATTGTGTTTGTTTACTTAAATATCCATAGTAATGTACATGCAAATATATAAATATGCAAGAACAACAGTGGTTTGTGCAGAATAATATGGTACCATCATTTATTTCGTTGGCTCCTCATCAGCTGCTTACAGCTTGCAAATTTTTTACATGTTGTCAGTTGACAGAAAGTTCCAAAGTAAGTCTGTCAACTGACAACATGTAAAAAATTTGCAAGCTGTAAGCAGCTGATGAGGAGCCAACGAAATAAATGATGGTACCATATTATTCTGCACAAACCACTGTTGTTCTTGCTTTATTTAAATTCATCAAGGGGAATAAATGCATGAAATATAAATATGCGTTGATTTTCTTAATAAAGGATCTGTTGCCTGACTCTTGCCTTCTGTCGTTACAGTTATATTTTGACAAATGTTTAGGTCGACATTTAACGGTGAGGCAATCAATATTGTCACTAGAGTATTTGAAACATACTTTATTAGATGTACACCACTGTGAATTGATGAAGATGGCGACACCACCACCATGTTTCTTCCTAGAACTACACCGGTCTTGTCTGAATAATTTGAAATCATGCAGATACACTAGATTGTCATCGTATAGATCATGTAGCCATGTTTCTTGAAGTGATATGATCCCAGTATTTCGATATATAATGGAAGACACGAGTGATTGAAGACAGTTAATCTTGGCTGGCAGGGAGCGACAATTAGTACTCATAATTGCAGGAACAGTCATAAATTGAATAGGGGTATTTTTTAAGGCTCTTTGCCACCCGGCATGATGCTTTCTTTTGTCTGTTTTATGGTATTTCCAATCAGTAGGTTTCAAGAATTTTAAATACTCACGAGAATAAATAATCCGACTAGAGGACATATCTGAATAAGATTTAATTATTTAAAATGAATTGGAAATGAGCAATTAGATGCAATATGATTTGTAATGTATAAGGTATTTGGTAGCCCAAGATTTAAGTAGGCCGTCAAGGTCAGTTGCGAACTAAGTGCCAATCAATGACAAACTTTCTTTGAAAAATGATTAGTACACGTGTATTCAATCATTATCTTAAGCACAAAACTAACCTAGTATTTAAAATGTTATAAATTTCAGCATATAGAAATATTCGTAATATTTGATCTTCTTCATGGACTATATACAAGCCATTGTCATTTATTGCTATTACAACATATTCTGCAAATAAATCTGGACCTTTAAATTCATGAGCTTCATAAAATTTTGAAAATGACAAAGGCCAATTGGCTTTTGCTAAATTGACAACTTCTTGTCTGATAGCATCAGGATTCGTCGGAGTTTTTGGAAATTCATCTTTTTGTATTACCTCAAAATAAATGAAAATGAAAAAAATGTTGTTATGTGTTGAGAATGTTTTTGTGTTGTCTAAATTTGTATATTTGATCTAATGAATGTTTAATGAATTACCGGATCAATTATTACTGATAAATATGTATAAGAGGAAGTCATCTGAAATATTTAATGCACTAGTTTTTTAAAATTATTTGCAAAAATTGACAGGCGAATGAAAATATGCCATTTGTAAAACTAATCTACCATCTCTCTGTGTATGCGAAAACATCGAATTATTACACATCATCTACTTTGGTAATCCTTATGTGATCACTGGAACCCAGTACACTTCTTTTGAAACGCCAATGTCTTAGCTATCTGTTACATAACAAAGTGCTCTTATGGCCCATTAGCCTGATTCATAACTGTTTGGTGTTTTAAATGACATTATTCCTTTACGTTCCTAGCGGAACATACGGCTTAAACCTATAGCTTTGAAGTTTCGACAGCAGTGGTGTTTATTTTCTACTGCGAGGGTTTCTAGCCTCATGCCCAACCTTCCCTCTTTACCGATTTTACTGCCGGCCTAGAGAGGCTTAGGAGTGCGTTGGCCGGGGATCGAACCCAAGACCAAATGCATGGTTGGTGAGCATTCCTACCACTGTACCACCGACCCATTAAACGATAGGTGCAGAGTTTGAGTCTCAGCGAGGAAAATAATATTTAACTAGGGATGTGGGTAAATTGAGTTAACGAGCCCCAAATAGGACGGAATATGCATACAGGATTCCACTCTCGGTTATCATCAAGCAAATTACATACTTAATAATCTCTACATTAATTTATAGGACTATTAGCTTAATTTTTAAAGCAACATAAGAATAGTATGAGTAATACATTTGCATTTACACAATACTTGTGTTAATTCACGTTGTAACTTACTTGATTTATTAATGTACTCCACTTAGATATTTGTGGTAACTGACGTTTTTCTAACCAGTTTGTTAAGTTTTCGCTTTGTAGAACAAATAAATTATCTTCATTGCGTATATTATTAGTCAGTTCACTAATTATCCACTCACATGCCAACAACTTAGCACGTAAATTCTATGAATTAAAATATTAACCTTATAATTTTAACAAATCCTTTTTAAAATATGCGTTTTTTTTAAAAAAAATTCTCAAATGCATTTATTTTAAAAAGTTACTAATGAAATTTAAACAAATGTGCACAATTAATATTTCATACAAGAATTCCAGTTTTATAAATTTGAACAGAGAAAGAACAAACATCGGTGCAGATTAACACGGATCCATTTTATTTCGTTAGTTCTCATCAGCTGAGTACAACCTATACTCTTTGAATAAAGTAAGTCAGTGTAAGATTTTAACATACTATTGTCTATCAACAGGCACAATGTAATAGCGGCATAGTGAAATATAAAACATCAAGATGATAAGATATCTGAAGCATAACAGTGTATATATATGTTGTATATCTTGTTAGAGAGAAGTTTCTCGAAAAGTAAATTGACAAATTTATTGTCAGGGTGGTAATAAAAATTGATAACAATTACATAGTTATATAAGAGAAGATCAAAATTTAGTGTGCAAGTGGTCAGATGAAAAGACGGTAACGTCATACAGTGAGTAGAACTCAGAAGGTCAAGAAAAATTATCTCCCACGGAAATAAAACGGAGAAAAAGGGGGCAGAGGTGAAAAGATAAGTTAAGGTGGGTACGTACTGCTGAAGAGTCCCAAACTAGGACGAAACAACTGACCTGTACTCCCTGCAGGTTTTCCAGTGGTTCTCTAACTGATGTCAGCTCATGATGAAATCTTCCAACCAATCAAACTAAATCCCTACGAAAACCAATACATGATAAGTTAATGAAATTAGAAAACCAAGAGTTACTACTATGGGATGGGCACACCAGGCTAATTGAAATCCAACGACAGAATCCCTGCACCAATGTTTCTTCTTTCCCTGCACAAACATAATTAATAGCAAGTTTTGTACTAAAAGGTGTTTTTACATTACAAGATAAAATAATGCATTACATAGATTGACTACAGGTAAAGTGTTTTCTTCAACAAGTTTCATTGACACTCAACAGCACAGCGTATCTGCTACCGTGATGAAACATGTTTTCTTTTTGATTGAAAATTTTCATCCAGTGTTAAGTGTAAAAGTTTACTGTGATCTAACGGGTACATGGAGAATACATATGCGCAAAATGTTCACCCTCTGGTCACATACTTTATTTCGACTTCAACTGATGACTGAGGAACAAATGCAGCTAATTTTTAAAAGCTATACACTTGTGACTAAAAATGAAGCTACTTTGTCTAATATTTCTGGCTTATCAAAATTAAAAAGGGTAAAAACAAGATCATTAAGTTTGGTTTTTCTTTTTTACTGAGATATATTAAGAAATGAAGAATATGAGATGATTAAATTTAGGAGAAATTAGGCGGTGACGTCGAGTTAAATGTTTTGGATATCTGACTGAATTTTCAACGTAGGAACTTTGCAATCAAGTACAGCAGGTCAAGTTACATAGGTTAGATTTATTATGGTCAAATTTTATAGCTCCATATATGAATAATAGATATCACTACATGTCATTAGGCGAATCGCTTGGTACTCGATGTATAACTGGAAATGCTTTTATATTAATGTTATGTCTACTCTTCAGTAGATGAGATAAGATGTCATTGTTTCTTGTTTAGTTACTTCTTTTCCATACATGTTCAAGAATGCATAAAGATAAATCCCTCTGAATACGGCGAATACAATTGACTTCTCAGGAGCTATTCAGTTACTGTCCACACATTTAAAGGATATTTATATCTACAGACTAATGGTGTAGCGATGTGTGGATGATCTGCGTCACAAATAGTTGCAAATCTATTATTCATGAATAAATTTACACATTATATATACACATATCCTCAGAAAAGACTTATTTAATTTTTAAAACACATTGAAATTATTTTTATTAATTCTTTAATTTGTTTGTACGAGTTTGACCACGGACTGATATCAGTTGGAGAACCATTGAAAACCAGTGAGTACTGGATAGCAAGCTGTTTCATCCCAGTTTGGGAATCATCGGCAGTATGCACCTACCACTACTGTTCCAGCCCAGAACCTTCCGGTTACAAGGCAAGCTGGTATACCATTCAGCCACTGGGACCTGATTCAGTGGCCCATGAATTGTAACTTCTACCAATTCATGACTTAGCGCCAACACCAAACTCGTGAAAACAAATTTAATCCTTATAAACCAACTCCTGAACAATTAATTCTTTAATTATCCAACTGGACTCGAAGTTAAAACTAACACAAGAAAATTTCCATATCTATGGTTCGGAAATTCATAACATCTTTAGAATCAAGCATAAACCGAAAAATACGACTGAAATACACTGACGATACTTTCTTGGTATTAAAATGGGACATAAATCCCTCATTTTCATGGAAATTACGCAATCAATCCATATAGATATTATATTTACTTAAGGATAAGAATCAAATAACAGCGGCAAAAATGGATAGATCAACAGATATGTAGAAGTTCTACAAGTGGTTATTGCAGTAGATACAAAGCTAATATATTCAATAAATTATAATTATATTTCAGCAGTTTACACACAATGATAAGTTTTTGTTTTTTCGTAATATTTCGAGTTAAAAAAGAAAAAATTCCAACAGTTGGTGTGATCATGGGCAGTAATTTTGCTCGAAATATTACTAAAAAAAAAAACTTATCATTGTGTGTAAACTATTGAAATATAATTATAATTTATTTCATCTATTTCACAATGCTCAAACTATTTACTGATATTAACTGATATATCCAGATCATATTAACAAGAACATATCTAACTGTGGTACAACATAACAAACAACAACTTCGCTTAATATCTGAAACCGTTATGCAATGCTGTCTAGTCCCTTTCAAAATCCATATAATATATGTAACGTGGTCAAGTACCCTTATCATTCACAACATAACCTAACTTGAGGAATTATTTTTAATATGTGTTACTCAACATCTTTATTTTATCCATTTTTCAAGTATTGGTTTTGTAGGGATTTTGTTTGATTGGTTGGGACTCATCATCAGTATGGGCATATAATCTTTTATAATGAATTATAGTCCTTCCTGATGAGGTGAAAAGGGAAAGTTGTGAATAGCGAAGATGCTGAGAATCAGAAAATATGGATTTTGACCATTTCTCACATCAGTTCAGGTGCCTGTCGACTACAATAATAATTAGCTGACGTAGTAGCACACCACTTGCCTGCATCACTGACAACCTCTAATACCCTTCGCAATACGACATGGTCATTTTTGAGTAGCCCGGTAAAGACTAAGGGGAAGCGATAAAAAACAGTAAGTAGGATACAAGAGTTAACAAATTGTGAAACAAGAGGTTGAGTGATACCTATCTGATTGTCTCAACTTCCTAATGTAGAAGGTTAGATGGAATGTTTTCTTAGAAATCAACAAGATATGGGATGACGAAGAAAGATCAGAGGAAAGAAGTATTCTAGTTCGGGTTATCTAATGCTTGACTTGTTTTCTATTCCAGTGTCCCCTATGCTACGCTATAAGCATCATGTGAACTAACCAGCTCCTGGAGGTCACGTTTACTTCTTAAGGTGAAATTAACTGTCTGATGTTTAGAGGGATTTGACATAAGGCCATTTAGCTTAGACCACTGGCTGATATCCAACAAAAAGCTACTCACTTTGGAACAGCCAGATCGGGACGTAACTGTCAACGGAATAGTCAGATTATCAGCATATTTAACGAAGTTGATCTCATCCGGAAGGGATAAGTCATGTTAGGAGAAAAAGGAAAAAAGAGAGAGAACAACACCTCGAGGGACTCCAGCCTCAGTAATCAAGGTAGAGGAAGACTTGCTTTTACATACAGTATACTGCATTCTGTTCGAGAAATAAGAATGCAACCAGTTAACAACAGCCAAGGACTCAGTTTTTGTCATAGAAAGCTTATTTAACATAAAGGATCTCATTAATAATGATGTTTATGAGAATTGTGTTGATTTCAAGTTGCATTTCGTCAATAAATTGATATCAGCAGTGGAATTATTGAAAATTTGCTTTTTAAATTTCTAGCTGATATTAGTTTTTGTAACGCTTATAGCAACAGCACTCAACATCAAAAATAAGACCCGGATTTTCAACTCCAATGTGAAGTCAGTCAGTGCTACTCACTATACGGATCAGAAACTTGCATTGCACGTCATAAAGAGCATCTCAAACAAACTACAGACCTTCATTAACAGTTGTCTTCGCTCATTACTAGTCAAGATCAGATGGCCAGCCAGAAAAGATCAGCAACAGGGAGGGATCTCTGGGAGCGAACCAAGCAGGAACCAATTGCGAAACAAATAGGCAGGAAGAAATGGAGGTGGATTGGCTGACAATACTCTGAGGAAACCATCAAGTGACATCACTAGACAAGCCATTGCTCGAGTGGAACCCGAATGGTAAGCGGCGGGTTGGTCGTCAGTTCGAGGTTGGGTGACTTGGAGGAGGTCATGTGAAGAGGAGATGAAAACGTGTAGGCAGACTTGAAGCCAGGTGAAGACTCTAGCAGAGAACCGAACTCAATGGAGACGCATGGCTGAAGCCCTATGTTCCTCTAGGAATTAAAGGAAACAATAATAATAATGATAATAAAGCTTATAGCTTGTTTTGTAAAATTTAGTTTTGATTCTACAGAATAAAAGAAACTCTTTTATCGTTTTGACTACTAAAATAGGATGAATCGACTAACATTTAGGCAAAGATTAACTTACATCATCATAACACTGATATACACCGTATTGTACACCATGAATAACTTGATGATAAATTAATCTAGTAGAAATCATATCAATGGAAGAATCATGCCATGGATAGAAAATTTCTTTACGAAAATATAATGTCCATTTTTCAGGTAAATCAAGTGTTCCCTGTTGTATAGCATTATATTCATATCGACTAATTGTATCCATTATATATTCTTCACCATCACCAAGTGTAAATAACTGTAAAATGTAGAAGATTACAGTCACAATGTATTCTTAGCAAAGTAAAACTATAAAAAGACATTAAGGCTTAGGAAATTGTTTTTGATCATTAATTTCACATTAACTAATCAACTAATTCATCAACTTTCAAAGCTTCGTGACCGTAAGCAGAAAGAGGAACCTTATATACGCTCTTTCCTCGAGTATTCGGAAGATATGTAGCGAGGAAGTGATTGATGAAGAACTGCATAATCTCAGAGGAATCCTGATGGAAAATGGTTTTCCGCCTAGGTTCATAGACAAGAATCTCAAATCAAAGAAGACTTCCGAACAAGTCTAATCCATCCTGAAGAAGATACTTCTGCCTAATCTAGAATTCAAAGGTGACATTGAAGCAGAAATCCTTCGTTAACGCCTCTGCAAATCTCTGAGGAAAACATACTTCACCGCAAGCCTACGACTGACGTTTTCCTGCAAGAAACTGTTCAGCCAGAACGCGAAAGACAAGCTGTCGCATTGGGTCACTTCAGCATGCATATACCAGTTTACTTGCTCATGCGGAGCTGAGTACATCAGCCGTACCATACGCCAACTTGGAAAACGTACTCGTGAACACTATCCAGCCTAGCTAGTAAAAGGATACCAAAAACGTGTATATAGTTCAGTGACAGAAAATCTGGTCAATTCAGGACATTCAGTGCCATTCGAAAAATCCTTCAAAATAATATACAAGATTCGATCAAACCTATCAAAGGGAGTAAAATTAAGACATCTGGCCATAACCAAGTTACTAGCTATTCAAAAGCTCAAACCCATACTGTGTATCCAAAAGAAATACGTTCAACCCTTGTGCCATTGCCTTTCTTATCCAAACTTCCTGTTTATTCATGTTTTTCTTAATCCCTATTTACACTACCATATCTTTATGTCTGAACTTCCTGTCTGTTTTGTCATTTTATTATTTCTACATATTTAATCCCTAACTGCATAAACAATTATTTGTCACATTAGTTATGATCCCACTAGATTTTTTATCCAAACATCCTGTCTATTGTTGTTATTTCTACATTTCTAACCCCCAATTGCACAATATGTTAATCTTCTCAATAATTATGATGCTACTTTGTTTGAGTTTTATCCATCCACCCCCTGCTTATTATGGCATTTTAATTCCTAATTGTAATGTTTTTAATTTGACCCTAGACCGGAAATTATTCCGAAACTTTCCCACCCATGTATTGTAAATACACAAATGTAAAGCCGAGTTGATGACTTCGTCGAAAAGAAAATTTTCTTCGCTGCAACCGTCTTTCCATTAACTAATCCACTATACAGAAGAACGTATGTTTTAATATGGTGTATTGAGTAAACTTCATGCATAGGCATAGATTGTTTTGTACATGTTGCACATTTCCTGTATCATCCAGTCTGTTCTAATCATCTAAAAGTTATTTTAAATGACTGAGACTCTGAAAACATTAGAACAGATTGACAATTGTCCCAGTTTTGATTGATGTCATAACTTTCGAAACTTGCAAAATGTATTAAGATTAGTTGGAAGATTTCATCATGAGCTAACATCAGTTAGAGAACCACTGGAAAACGTGGGAGTACTGGACAGCTGCTTCGTCCAACTAGTTTGGGACTTTCTAGCAATACGCACCCACCACAGTGGTTCGAACACAGGACCTTCTGGTTACAGGTCCACTGAGCTCGTAGACTATTACGCCATGACCAGTGGGGTACAGCAGGTTAAAAGTGAGGCAGTAGCTCATCGAAGAAGACAACGCGAAGTGGTCGTGCTATGTCATGAATTGGCAGAAGTTGGAATTCATGGACTGGCCATTGGATTGGCGGGTCCCAGTGGCTTAATGGTCTACGAGATCACTGGCCCTGTAACCAGAAGGTCCCGGGTTCGAACCACTATGGTGGGCACATACTGCTGAAGAGTCTCAAACTAGTGGGACGAAACAGATGTCCAGTACTCCCAGTTGGTTTTCCAATGGTTCTGTAACTGATGTCAGCTCAAGATGAAATCCTCTAAACAATCAAACAAAATGTGCCTACAAAAACTAATAATTACCTTGCTTAAGTCTATAAAAATTCAAAATCAAATCAAAATATTCTAGTTATAGTTAAGAAGGAAATTTAAATTTACCTCATCGAATAATTGAATAAAAAGTGAAAATCCAAATGAATCTTTAAGATTTATTTTATTTGAGATCAGCTGGCAGACTTCTGAAACTTTAGTTGCTGAATCAACCACTACTTGATGTATACACCCATCCATAGTGGTAACATATAATTTAAAATCTGTATTATTCTTTATTGTACATAACTCTGTTAAACTTGGAGGTTCATTACGAATTCCATTCCGTAATGTTCTTTGAAGTCTGTCCTTACATAATTTAACAAAATGACTTGAACCGGAATCAATAAACTGAAAAATTGAATTTCTTAATTTTTCTGATGGTGGAAAACATCCAGTGCATAATGCAAGCAGGAACCAGCCTTTAATTGAAACAAATATGTATCGTTTTGTTAAAATATAAAATGTTAACGTGTAATTAATATGAAATAAGTAAATTTTATGCTTAAACTTTATTATTTCTTATTTCTGTTTTATTCCTTAACGTTCCCACTAGAACATAGGACTTCGAGCTAGAGGCTTGAAGTTTTGGTAGCAGTGGTGTTTATTTTTCCGGCTGGGGGGAGTGGGGTTGCTAGCCTCACACCCAACCTTTCCTCTTTACCGGCCTTACTACCGGATTAGTGGGTCTAGGAGTACATCGGCAGAGGATCGAACCGCGGACCACATGTGGCGGGATTGGCGAGCGTTCTACCGCTGAACCTTCGGGATAAAAATAAGTGATGACTCACATTATCACGTTCAGATTATTTTCAGAAACGACAATCATCCATATCCGCATCACATGTTTTTTTTCCTGTCAGTAGTAAACATTTTAACAAGCTTTTTGTTTCACAGTTTTAAGTTGTTCAACGAGCCAAATTTTTGTTTAAAACTCCCTTTATTTGTGTTTGATCACGTGAACATTCTTCTAGAATTACTTCTCAGTCAACCATCTGCAGATAGAGATCTATGCTTCAGGCAAAAAATTAATATATTTTACGGCAGCCTGCATAAATCATTCGTCCACCCAATTTTCTCCATTTCTTTATGTTTTAATTATTGACTGATGTTCTTAAATCGTAACATGTTTTCAAAGTATATTTCCATTGGCCTTTAAAATGACTGCTGTGCATTTCTCGAAAGTGATGGAGGAGGAATATGATAAAGGATCAGTTTTCAAAAGTGACCGCTTCAGGAAATGAATTAGCAGAATTTAGAATTCATGAGCCATTGGATCGGCCTCAGTGGCTGTTCGGTCTAAGAGCTCGGTGGCCTTGTAACCAGAAGGTCCTGGGTCCGAACCCCTGTGATGGATGCGTACTGTTGAAGAGTCCCAAACTAGTGGGACGAAACAACTGTCCACTACTCCCAGGTTTTCCAATGACTCTCTAACCGTTGTCAACTTATGATGAAGTCCTCCAACCAATCAAACATAATCCCTTCAAACCAATACTTGAATATACCGTAAAATATTTATCGAGGTAATACTTCACTTGCGATTAAAATCCTGCCTTGTTGACTACCAGCAGCAGCGAAAGTGAGCAGTTCGTAGTGTTCTCTTCATGCAATGACAGTTGTGAATGCTAGTCTCCAGGCTTACTGATCCCATTTCAGCCTAAATCAGTCGATAGCCGTCGGCGTTCATAACAGTAAAGAAATAAATGGGTGTATGTGTTCATCTTCTAATACATAACTTGAATAACTTCGATAGTATTTTCCGATTCATTACTTACTGTCACTATTCAAATTAATAGACAAAAATTTAATGAGATATTAACAAGTGAAATAAATACAATTTTCTTATTCTGATAGGTTTATTGTGCTCCATTATACTGTCATGCGAAATACATGAAAAGTAGTTTTTCTATTTCTTATCCATTTAAACTGAACTTTAGTCTGCCGGTTTCATTTCAGCTTTCTAAGCAGAAATCATATCAACAGTTAGATAACCACTGGAAACAACGGGGTTCTGGACAGCTACTTAGCCCTAGTTGGGAACTTACCACCAGTGTGTACCCATGAACCCACCACTAGGGACCCAACCTAGGACTTTTAGGTTACGAGGCTAGTCTCGTTGGCTATTCAGACATTCTGGCCGCCAAATAGTGGCCCATGAATTCTAACTCCTGCTAATTTATGGTCCCTAGCGCCACCGCCAACAAATGTTTGTCCTCACACCCAACACAGTAGACAAAACTGATTACTACTGCTCACTAGAACTCCAGGCAGCTTTGTCCTGTAGCAAATCACTAGGGAGCATCAGATTAAGTTTCAATTTTTATTCTGTAGGGAATTGATTGGTTGAAACCATGATGAATAGAATAATTTTGTAATATTGTGGCGTGTGCTATATTATATATATATATATATATATATATATATATATAAAGAAATGTTATCGGCATAAAAACATCCAATAGCAGGGAGATAGATTTGGTGTCAGAGAAAGCAAATAATATGGCGGTGCGAAGGTACATGGGAGATGTGTATTATTATTATTATTGTATCCTTTAATTCCTACAGGAACATAGGGCTTCAGCCGTGCGTCTCCATTGCGTTCGGTTCTCTGCTACAGTCTTCACCTGGCTCCATGTCTGCCCACACGTTTTCATCTCCTCTTCACATGACCTCCTCCAAGTCACCATTGCAGTGACAACCAACTCGCCGCTTCCCTTTCAGTCGGGTTCTACTCGAGCAATGGCTTGTCTGGTGATGTCACTTGATGGTTTCCTCAGAGTATGACTAGCCAATCCATCTCCATTTCCTTCTGCATATTGGTTTCACAATCGGTTCCTGGTTGGTTCGCTCTCAGAGATCCCTGTTGCTGATCTTTTCTGGCTGGCCATCTGATCTTGAGTGGTATTGAGCGAAGACAACTGTTAATGAAAGTCTGTAGTTTGTTTGAGATGCTCTTTATGACGCGCCAAGTCTCTCATCCGTATAGCGAGTAGCACTGACTTCACATTGGAGTTGAAAATCCGGGTCTTATTTTTGATGCTGAGTGTTGTTGACCTCCACACAGACTTGAGAGTAGTGAAAGCTTGTCTTGCTTTTCCGATTCTTGCTTTGATATCCTTTGATATTGTCAGTTTCGCCTGTGGTTGAAACGATGCTTCCCAGGTCGGTTGGTGAAGGAGGTTGTTTCCTTCAGGTCCCTTCCATTTATGCTGATTGTTGTCTGTTGTTGTTGTTGCTGTTGGTGGTGTTGCCCAGGAATTTTCATCACTTCTGTTTTCTCTATGTTCACCTGAAGTCCCTTCTATCTTCCCTTGATGCTACTTCTTTATTTTTATTTTTTATTTTTGATTACAGCTTGATGCCACACCGTATTTTTAGTACAAGTATGGAATTTTCAGCATGGATATCGGTAGCCCAAATTTCGCAGGCCGACCATAGATATCAGGTGCGCGTCGGCAGGGGATCGAACCTCGGACCATGTGCATGGTCGGCGAGAGTCCTAACCACTGTGCCACTGACGCACCAACTTGTTGCTTTTTGCTTGCATATCTTCCAGTTTGCGGGAAATCAGACATATATCATCGGCGAAGTCCAGATCCTCCAAGTTTTTTGTGTGAGTCCATTTTATGCCTGTTTCCTCATTGCCCGCCGCTGTTTGTCGCATTATCCAGTCTACTGCAATCAGGAAAATCATTGGCGATGTGAACACACAAAGAAAAACAATATGAAGGAAGACCGGAAGTAGCACAACTTGAAGATCTGAGCGAATGATGCTCTGAAGTTGAGCATAATTTCGCTATATAGAGATACCAAATTCCAAATAAACATTACTTAACCAAGTCTTTCGTCTTCTACCGTTACAATATTAGCAAATTAGTGATTATAAGTAGTTACGTGACACAAAATTATACGTTGATTATGCTCAGACAATGTATTACAAGCCCATATTAAGTGTATCAGAACTAACAACATTTTAAGAGAAGACGCAATTTACCGAGTCCTTGACTTTGCATATTAGGATTCCCGTTAATTAATTTACATATTTGACAATAGATTTCATCTTGTAATGATGATCGCATAATTCCTTGTAAAAAGATAAAATGTATTCTGCGATAACTAGTTTCAAAAGATAAATTTTTGTTTGTATGAGAAGGCATATTTTCTGCACTATGAGTACATTTCAATGAGCTCATTTCATTCCCTGTTTTCTCGTTTTGATTAGAATTCAGTGTATTGTCCAACATTCGTAAATGAATTGAATTTGTTTGAAGTGCTGGTGTATATTTCAAATTTTTACACTTTGTATTCATAAGAGTCCGTTTATTTGTTATACATTTTTCCTAAATATTAAAAGAAAAATTAACGCTCAAAAAGATTAGAAGATTTTTTCATTTCTATAACTAACCACAATGAACTAGGGAAAACTTATCAGTAAAACTGTATAATTTTGAATAATGAGGTAAGAAGCACATATGTGAGGATGTCCTGGAGTGTGTGTGATTTCCTGGTGTTGGTTTTCAGGGATTTGATTGATTTTATTTAAGTTAGATCACTAGCTGGTATCACAATACTGGTGTATTAGACTCTTGTTCATGCCAAGCAAAATACTTAGTCACGTCAACCTGGGAAGACTGAGTAATGCTCTGGGTACAAAACTCAACCTAGAACAAGCTAGATTTAGGAAAAGCAAGTCATGTGCTGATCAAACTGCACCTCTGTGCATCATAATCGAACAGATCATTAAATGACAATCGAATCTTTGCCTCAATTTCATCAACTTTGAAAAGGCCTTCGACAACGTTTACTGCTAAGTGATTCGAAAACTACTTCAGTACTACGGAGTTCAGCACTCAAACCCCTTATAAAACCATGTGACAATGCCATATATCAAGTGATCTATAACCGAAAATGCAGCAAAGCCTTTGAAGTGAGGACAAGAGTAAGAAAAGTTTGCCTAATATCACCGATGGTGGTCCTGATTGTGGTAGACCAGATCAGACTGTGGAGAAAGAGAGTAGACAGGAATGTTCTGGACAGATCTGGTCTTACAGGATAATTTGTGTTTGTCACATACACTCGGAAACCTACAGGTGAAAACAAACAAGTTGGCAGGTGAAGCAGCAAAGATAGGTGTTCGAGTGGACATGTTGAAGACGGAGGTGATGAAGGTAACAAATCAACAACAGCAAGCAGCAATCACTATGGACCGGAGAAATTAGAAAGAGGTAACTTTTTTCACTTATCTAGGCAGAATCATTTCAACTACAGGCAGTCTGCAAGGATGAGGATGTTAAAGGCAAACAAGGTCGGAAAGGCTAGGCAGACATTCATCACCTTGAAATCAGTGTCAAAATCTACTGCACTCAGAATAAGGAAAGAAATTCAGATTTCCAACAACAATGTTAAGTCAGTTCTTATGTGTGGGTCAGAAGATTGGAGCGGCGTGGAAAACATTTCTAACAGGTTGCAGACTACTATCAACAGCTGTCTTCGCTCACTACTCAAGATCAGATGGCCAGAAACGATCATCCACAAGGAAATCCTGGAGCAAACCAGTAAAGAACCTATTTTTTAACAGACATGTCGAAGAGTATGGAGACGGATAGAACACATGCTGAGTAGACCATTGAGTGACATCGAGCGCCAGATATCTAGTGGGATGCGAATGAGAAACGGAGAGTTGGGTGTGGGTCCCAGTGTGACATGGGAGAGATCGCGTGAGCAAGGGATGAAAGCCGAGAAGGAGTACTAAAAAGAACAGGACAAAGTGGAGCTGCGCTGCTGAAGCTCTATGTTCCGTTCAGATCTCAAGGGAATAAAGATATAATATAATCATATCTGAAAATGAGCTGTTATATTTGTTTTCAGATATCAGTTGAATAAAGAGAAACACCGAACACCACTTCTTTAACTACACGAACAATATAATTTGTGTAACACAAACAGAATGCAATAACCTCTAACTTAAGTGACAGACTTTAGCTTTTCAACTTCTGATTACATAGAGTCGAAGTTTTACTGTTTATCCTTGCATTTAATTATTATTACTACTGTTATTATCATTCGTTTCTTGCGTTCTGAGCAGGACATACAGCCTCAGCAGCGCATCCCCGATTGTAATCTATTCTGTAGAGTCATTTTCACCTGACTCCATGGCTGCCAGTATGCTTTCACTTTCACTTCACATGCCTTTCTTTATGGAACCTTAGTACACCCTAGTTCTTGAGGGATCGCACCTCGTAATGTACAGGCGGTTGCTAAACTAATTCATGGTGGACGCTGTCGATGAATTTGAGGTACAGAGTTGACTGAAGCTCTGTTATGTTTGACAACGATGCGTAATATTGCAGTTTTGTCTACACTTGATCTGCTTTTCCTGAATAAAACCTATTGTGGAAGGAAATTTGAATCCAGAGCATTCCTTAGTCTCTCCAGCATAGAACAGCCTGTAATTTTACTTGGAATCGATGCCACCATGTTTATGCATCAGTTTCTGCATACATCTTCCTATGGTAGTGTGATAAAGTAGACTTTCCTCTAATCGGCATGTACCTTTTCATCTATCCAAACCTACTGTAATAGTAGCATAATTTTGTGTGCAATGGGCCCATGGTCCACTTCCAGTGCCTCTTGAGGAAATTCATCTGATACTGCTGCTTCATTTACTTTGTGACTTTTGTTTCTGAACTACTTAAGAATACATTGAGCTGATTAAACTGATGTTGTGATGTGTCTGCTTGACTTTGCTCACGTTTGTCACGGGAATGAGTTAAATGAAACCTTCTGTTTCGTCGGAAGACCGGTGTTAGCTGGCTGTTCAGTGTTTGCTAGTGGAATTTCTGGATGAGCTGCAGGTGGTGGCCGATCCCAGAATTGTGTAAAGTGGTCATTTAAGTGTTTCTACTGTCCCAGCTGTTTGCTGATTGACTTCTCTTGACTACCTTTCATCAGTTTCATCTTTGCTGATCGACTCCCGGATAAAAGCTTGGTTATTTGACATAGTGTCGTGAGGTGTCGTTTACCTGCAATTTGTTCTGCTTCAGTTTCCAGTGTGTCATAAAAGCGATTTTCGTCTTTCCTAGAAGTCTTTCTCACTCGTTTGTTCAGTGCTCTCATCTCGTTTTGTTGTTCATCTCTCCATTAATTCGTCTTTCGTTTCACCATCTGCTTTCCTCTACCAGCTTCCGGGTGTCCAAAAAGTTTCATTCTATGTCTTGTCTCTGTTTTCTGCTTTAAATGTCTATGCAGGTTTCCTTCTACGTTCCTCTAAGAACATTCTAGTGTTACTCAGCAGAGGTTTTCTCAATGGTATGTGTTAATGTCTTCGAATTTAGCTGATGACCACTGTGGAGGTGTCCTTTGTGGCTTTATCCTATAGTTTTTGATTGTCGAAATTGAATTGTGGCGTATCTCCAAGTTCTTTTAAAACATTCGACTTGGTCTTGGATTCTTATACTAGATAGTTGCCTCAGACTACACCTGCCTCTCTTCACGAATTTATCAGGCAGACTAGCTTCCCACTTTCTTGAAAGTGAGATGAATTTCATCTGATTTTTATTATGTCCATATTGTGAAACCTACATCACCTTGTTTGTATTCTTGTGCGTGTTCACACTACCTGTAGTCGCTAAATCATTAAAGGACCAGATGTTTGCAAATCATTTTCTGTTTTAATTCACTTCACTAAGCGTCTCTTTCTCTGTTTTGTGTGATCCCAGTTTGACATTTCATATTACCCATTAGAAGTTTGATTTAGCGTTTGTAGAAGTCCTAATATTGTAACGACAGAAGACATGGGCCAGGCAACAGACCGTTGATTCAGAAAATCAACATATATTTATAGATTTTTATGTACATTATTGTCAGCGGAGAAGCAATGTCTTCTGATTAGTTGTTTTCTTGCTGAAGGTTATTCTGTACTGCTCGTGACCGTTTCTCAGAGAGTTAAGCCATATACCTGCGAATCCTATTCGCACACGCTAGGTCTGCTGTGATTGGTTGGTGGGCTCCACAAGGTTAAGCTTTATTATTGTTTTTCTCATGACCGTGATTCGGGAGGTAAACATTGACGTCAAATGTTGTCTACAATTTTGGCTTGCAGCCAGCTCTCTCCGCAATATTTTATAACTGAGTGAAATACACTACTTAGTAAATTTATTGTTCTCATAAAAAATAAATATATCAGGATATATACATTTTTTCCAGCTTAGATTCTAAGGTCACACGTGACTGAAAACATTCACAAGTAAATCTAACATTTTAGCGACCTGAAAAATTTACTATTTGTATTAAATGGAAAAGAACACCATAGGTCTTCATATTAATTTTATGGAAGTATGATCCCAGGTGCAGTTGACAAGTTACCTAGAACGTTTTGAAGATTTGTAAGCTCATGAAAAGAGTTGAATACATTCCACTGCATGTCGTCTACCGTTGTTATATTTCTTTACTATTATTATTATTGTTGAAGAACTGTGAGACTAATGCACTAGGAATTGTACGGGCATATGACCTACACATATTTTCTGCAGAAAGAATAGAAAATTATGATGGTAAGCTGACAGTGACTGATTAAAATAGACATATGAATGGAAGTAATCTTGCTGAACCGTTCTAATTAGTGGATCTTATATTTTATTCCAAGAAAGTGAATCTTTCTGTACGTAATCTTCATTTGAGAATGGATAATCTATGTTCCTAAGATTTGAGACACTTATTTCTTCACCAGAACAATTCAATCAGCAATCGGTCGGGCGGTTTTCGACAAAGAACTTTGTACATATGTGCGGCAGTTCAAGTCGCCACACTCCCACCTTGTAGCACACAAAGCAAGAGAAGAAAGTAAGAGAAATGCATAATATAGTCAGTAAACAGAGGTGTGAGACAAAAGTATAGTAATAACGAAGAACAAAACAGTTTCATTGGAAATCATAAGTAACAAGGAGTGGATGCATCTGCGCCACTGAGGACGATTTTGAGCCATGTCACTAATTGTTTCCAACCATTGGTTTTTACCGTCCCGAGGACCCCAACCAGGAAGTCTAAACCTTCCTATCAGCAATCAGCCTCATCGCACTTATTTTAACTCCAGTGGAAGTCCTTTAGACACAAATATTATGAGTGGTTATTGGTCATTTTATTTTTAATGCAAACTTAGCGGTAATTCCATTATGGAATTCCATAATGGAATTACACTCTACCACAGTGCCCAAGTTTTATTCTTATATCAATCAAACTTAGCGGTGTTGCACTTTTAATTGTCTCTATAACTGGTATACATAATGTGTAAAAAAGAAACAAACAAATATTTTGTTGGTTCATTAAAATTACACTACCATTGAACTTTTTGCCCTACGATATTTTTCAGAAGATTTCTTCCGTTTTAAAGGTGAATAAGCTCCATTTCTTAAGTGTGGATGATTCACAGTAGAATGAATAACATTAAGTGTACAATTCTCCTTTGTTTTATCAGACTTTGAGGTTTCTGGTAAAATTTTCATGAAATGTAAAATTTCCGACCATATAGCTAACGCAATCTGTAAAATAAAATGAAATGGAAATTGGAATCAAAATTTACCTAATAAGTGTATATATATATATGTATATGGTTGTTATCTTCACTCAACTTTTCCAGAATGTTCAAGTGTTGGTTTGTATAGATTTGACTGGTTACAGGATTTAGTCATGAGGTGATATCAGTTACAGAGTCATCACCAATACCATAGGTGATTAACTGTTATCTTACTTACTTTGGAATTCATCGGCCATTGGATCGGGTCCCAGTGGCTGTTTTGTCTACGAGTTTGCCTTGTAACCGTAAGGTTGTGGGTCCAAACCCCGGTGTTTGAAGAGTCCCAAACTAGTGGGACAAAGTTGCTGTCTAGTACTCCTGAGTTTTCTAGAATGCTTAGGAAATGCTCACTATTCTCCTTCTAACGCTCGTAGACTACTTATCTTTGAAAATAACATTGGAAGAAAGTAGTACTTGTGTATAATACTAAAAGTCCTACGCGACACAACTACTAATTGGACTACAATAAAAATTAAATGACTGGACCAATCGACAAAAATACTCAACTTGCAATAATATATATATATAGCACATTCAATGTAAATGTGAAGAGAAAGCATTTGAAATATAAGTTTATTTCCAACGAAAATTATCTCCCATTTAGTACACTTTGAAATTTGACCAAAAGTCAGTTAAAATGTTGTGGGCCGCCTGTAGTTTCTCAATGAGTACCCGAAATATAACGCTAAGTTCAATGAAACAAAGACTACATTTGACTTCATTAACAATTGCATCGAGTTAAATCACTATCCTAAAGTTTATTACAAGTCTCTACGTCGAAGCAGAGTCTTTTGACGTTCAGCTTATTTTATGTTGATGCTGTTCAAACGATTCAGAACTAAGCCTATTTCTTTGAATGGTATCTTAGTGTAAAACCTGTCCTCGAAATTAATCCATACCATTTGCTGGCATCAGACATGACATGTTGCAAAATATTTCAGTCCATGATTTCAGGAGTGCTATTTTTTCACCCCTTTGAATTCCGAGTGGGTTACAGGATGTCCAGTTTGAGCTTTCAAGCTTTAGTAGCTGCAGTGTTTTTTAACGGGATAGGGTTGTCAGCCTCATGTCCAACCTTCCCTCTTTACCACGCTTACTACCGGCTAAATGAGTCGGCCATTTCTTGCATGGTTGGCCAGTATTCTACCACTAAGTGATGTTATTATTGTTATCCATTTAGGCTTCGAGTGGAACATACAGCTTCACCAGTGCATTTCTATTTCAATTTGTTATGTGAAGCCGTTTTCAGCTGGCTCAACAGTTGCCTATAAGTTTGCTTCTCTTCCCCATATGACCTCCCTGAAGTCACCTTTGGGCGCCTAACTCTTCGCTTCCCATCCTGATTCCACTCAAGAACCTAGAGTATACTGTCAGTCAACGGTCTCCTCACTCCTCAGCTGAAGGATATGATCAATACAAATTTATGAAGTCAGTGAAAGAAATTAAAATAGGATGCTTTGAGTGTATTTTTTGTTGATTATCCTGAAGCTGATTATGGTAAACTACCTTAAATACATTGTAAACTGTTATATAACTCAGTGAAGAGACGCTACGTTATGCAAAAGCTTCATTTAGACTCTGAAGTCTACTAGGTAAATTTTTATGTAAAGTGGTTTCTCTGTGACAAAAAAAAAGATTTTAGAAAACGATTATATTTTGAAAGTGGATTCGCCTACCTTATTGTCTTCTTCATCATTGTGAAATAATAATGGTTTTGTTAATAGCTCGTTTGTAAAGTATGGTGTAGCACCTGCTTGAAAATAAGTTGTAGCAAATCGGATAAACTTTGAGTCGCCTTTTTCACTATCATCACTAGATACTTCAACATGTGAAATTGCATAGTCATTAGAGGAACAATTCAATTTATCACATTTAATTGACTTTGATTCATCATATACTTCCGGTATATCAATACATTTAGTTATATTTCCATTTAATACTATATCAGAGGTATTTACGGTGGTGAATAATTGATCAGGTGTTTCACAATGACTTTTTTCATCAATTATCATTAATTTATCTTGTGTTATATCAGTTGAATCTTGTAGTATAGTAATAAGTAATTCATCTGTCTAAGCAGAATAAAGACAGAAGAGAAAAATATTTGAGTTGAGTACATTTTGCATATTAAAAAGTATATTCTCTATCTTTGTCTGATTATATGCATCCTTGAAAAGTATTTCTTTTTGTATAGTTAAATTTCATCTTATGTGTACAGAAAAAACTTATTCATTCCCTCTGTCTACCCTGGCCCACTATAAGGTCACCAGGATCATAATTTTCCGTATTATTATTACCATTATTACCATTCTGTGATATCATGTCTTTATTATCCATTTCTTCACCCAGTTTATTTCACCTCATTGTTACCCTTAATTTTGTCAACCTTCGTGATTTTACACTAAGCCTACCAACTCTGTAACATCTTATTACAATTTACTATTTAGCCTCTTTATTTTATCATTACACATTATCGGTCAGCCCTCACATTCAGTGTCCCCTTTGTTAATGTGTGTTTGTGTGTATTTTGTGTCTATCGCATTTCTCTCACCCCAATGACACTTGTATTCTGTTGACTATAAAACAGCATTATATCACCCAATTGTTCATTCACACTTCATCACATTTTTCTGACTATACACCCTATACACATTTGATTGTTTATGTTAACTAATTGACTATCATCTCAACTTACACATGCACCCCAATACAGTTTCTGATATTATTTTCATTTGCCTTTATTGGCTATATGTACCCTATTATTCATGGATTTATAACTGTAAAGCCTGAAGAAGAAGTTATCGAAAACAATTGTTCGCTCAAAATCTTGTTTTAATTTCATCTTAATTTTTTTGATATTATTATAATAAATATTATTAGAACACGAATCAGTTATTAAGTTGACTAATAAGACGTTGAATCCGACGCAAATGATTTGGCTTTCTTGGACTGTTTAGTAAAAAGACAGCTAGATGGTAAAATTAAAATAAACATTTTCAGAAAGCCGAACAAATTCCGACAGATACCTAGACTACTATTCAGCACACCCCTTTACTACGAAAGCAACTGTGGCCAAGAATTTGATTAACAGAACCCAACGTCTAGTTACTGAGGTAGAGATCAGAAGGAAATTAAAATTATTTCAGTACACTCTTGAATCAAATAATTATCCCAAAGCCTTGATAAAATATGAGGATAAGAATGAATGGAAACCTGTTGCTAAGGGTTGAGTTAGTACAATGGTGGTTCTTTACTGTAAAGAAACATCAGATGAGGATAAAGGGGATCCTTAATAATCATGATATAAGAGTGTATTTTCGTGCGACTAACACCTAATGCTTATCACTGGTGAAAGGTAACGATAAAATAGATGAAAACAACCAACAGAATCGTGTGTATCAGATCAGTTGTGGGGATTGTGACGCCGTATATGTAGGAGAAACTTCCAGACAGGTAAATATAAGAGTGAAGGAGCATATACAATGTCTAAAGGTAATTCCAAAGACCTCTGCAGACTTGAAGAAGATAGAAAACAGATTGGCGATCGCACTGCACTCGATAGAAACGGGACACCAGACCGACTGTGATAGGACTAAGGTTCTACAGAAAGGTTTTGGTTCATGTGAAGAAAGACTGACTGAAGAAGCTCTAGATATATGGGTGAACCCTAAAAGTTTTAACAGATGTGAAGGTGTAATGTTAGGTGATGCATAGCAAGTCCTGATTAATAAATAAAAATCGGATATGTATCACTAATTAATCATACCGATTGTCTTTACCATTGTATACCACATTAACATATAAAATTTCCATATTCAGCTATCTACGACCATGAACTCAAGTTGAACGTAATCACTAAGAATCTGGTGAAAACGTACACCTTGTTTAACAAAAGTAGACTAATATTTGTAAGTCTAAGGTCAAATTTCGATCACAGTTCTTGCAATTTGGTTTAAAATTTGTTGATGCCTGTTTCATGACATATGATTGGACACAGTTTTTACAAACAAGAGATGGCCTTATATATATATGTATATATATCTTTTCAAGTATTGGTTTTGAAGGGATTTTGTTTTGATTGGTTGTAGGATTTCATCTGATGCTCACTAGCGACTGACCCTATTCAGGCAGTCACGTGGTTTTAGTGGGAAGTCGTGACCAGTAGGGTATAGCAGGTCAAAGGTGAGGACAGTTACTCATCGAAGAAGACATTGCGAACTGGGTGCGCTATGTCATGAATTGGTAGAAGTTAGAATTCATGGGCTAGTCACTGGATCGGGTCCCAGTGGCTTAATGGTCTAAAAGCTCGGTATCCTTGTAACAGGAAGGTCTTGTGTTTGAACCCTGTCGGTGGGTGCGTACTGCTGAGGATTCTCAAAGTATGACAAAACAGCTGTCCAGTGCTCTTAGGTTTCCTAGTGGTTCTGTAACTGATACATGTGTTTTTTACTTTAATTTCGATTAGTTTCCCTGAAGTACTACGGACTAATTTACCGAAGGAAACGTTGGAATTACTTATTTCAGTTTCGCTGGGATTTTAAAAATATAATTTTTACATATGTCTACCTCTCACTCGGCGCCCAATTATTTTGGAACTGTTCAGTCAAATCTTGATTACAGTTTTCTATTTATTGGGAAATCCAAAACACTTTTTTAAATAATGAATATCATAAACCCCATGCTGAAATTTTTTCAAACTGTTAAAAATGAACTTGGTTTGGAAATAGTATGCTTTAGATACTAGTTACTAAGATACAAAATTATTGTAATCCTTCATAATTCTAATGTGTTTACATAAAATAGTGTACAATAACAGTGACATAACAGTTAAAAATTGTGCTTACTTGATTGATACCACTTATTGGTTCATATTGCTTGCAGTCAGGGAATTCATCTGCGGTATTCTGGTTCTAAAATAGAATGCAAACCTTCTTATATCTCTTGTTACTTTTCTTCTCATCAAAACTCTTCAACTTCGTAAATAAATATGATACATTAAAATGCACATTTCTTATCTTTCATATATATATATATATATATATATATATATATATCACCGACATTATCAAGAATAAACCCATTTAGCGACAATAGCAATAAAGACGTCTATTATTGGGACAATGAGTAACCTGATTTACATAAAAAATGCCTATGACATAGAAGTGAAGCAGATATTCGTTGAACTAGTCAGTTCAAAAGCGTTGATTTAGATTTAGTCAAATAATGCCAGTAAAATAATGGCTTAGTTGATAGTATGATCTCGTAGCTTAACTGCTGAAGTGTTAAACTCTTTGTCTGTATACCACTGGTTCGAGTGCTACTGTAACCCCTATTTTCATCTCATCTTCACACATCGCTTGTTAAATTAATAACACTTTGCTTACCCATGACTATCAGAAATAGTCTTACTGTCAATTTTTTTTTAATTCCTAGTGTTTGTGGTGCGTCGTATATCTTACCAAGATGTGAAAATTTATGAAGACAGGTTTGAATATCATTGAAAAGTGAATCTTTGTCAAATTGTAACGACAGAAGACAAGGGCCAGGCAACAGATCGTTTATTGAGAAAGTCAAGAGGTATTTGTAGATTTTTGTGTAAATTATTGTCAGCGGAGAAGCGACTTCTTCTGATTGGTTGTTTTCTTGCTGAAGGTTATTCTGTCATCTCTTTGTGGCCGTTTCTCAGAAAATCAAGCCATGTATGTCTGCGAATCATATTTGCACACTTTAACTCCGCTGTAAGTGGTTGTTGAGTTCCTCAAGGTTGAGATTTGTTATTGTTTTTCTCATGACCCCGATTCCGGAGGTAACATTGACGTAAATTGTTGTTTACAATTTTGGCTTGCAGCCAGCTCTCACCAAAACATCACCTTATTGTGATTATTCATTAAGGCAACTATTATTAAGCTGTTGGAGGTGGCATTCCAAGGAGGAGGATATGGAGAAGATTTCGTGAAAAGGAAAGGAAAGCTTGTAGGCAATCGTAAAAGTGACATCAGAGAACCGCGTGGGATGGAGATGTTTCACAGAAGTGCTATATTGCACTAAAAACGCGAGGGATGAATAATAATAATATATCTTATTCGAGCATATTTCTTTTAAGATTTTTGGTCAATAAAGAAACGATAATTTTTATGATCACTGAATATTTTCAATTCAACGACATGCTAAGTCATTCGCTGAATAAAAGTCTTCGGTGGATGATTTTTGGGAAAATATACTTGCAAATATATCTACTATGCTTTCTTCAAGTTATAAGTAGTGGCCTGTTCAATCTAGTTTAAACAGCTCATCTTGAAGGGTTTCTTTTTCACAGTGCATTTAGAACGAAGCTGAGAATACTAAATAATCCAAAAAAAGATAAATAAGGGATTCATGTCTTCGTATAAACCTATATCATTTCCTTTAGCACGCATTATTAAATGTCTTCTTGCTTAGCACTTTTTTCATCAATAAATGCTATGAAATGAGTGGAGTTTCCTCGCATATTAGATAAATTAAACTATCGAATCCCATCTAGATAAGAATTAGATTTTCTGATGGGATAACTTGAATGCTGGATGCCAGTATTGTTTGATTCTGAATGAAAAACAACCAGCATTACTTTCTATACCTCACTATTTAGAAACTTTGACTAAAACTTAATATCTACCTATGTGATTTAACATAAATCAGATTCCCAATTCGCAGTTTACTCAGTTTCAGATGAAATTTTACCACAGTTTCCTTTGAGATCAGATTAAAATATATGCTCTGCTTATTACTGTAAATAGTGATCCAGATAGCAAGTATAAATGCATGACGTGGTGTACTACTGATTGGTGAGCTAGGTCTCCAATAACTGAAATGGCCGTCTCGTGCTTAGATCATTTCTATCTGGCATATAACTAAACATCTCAATAGTATTTAACGTTATATGATTTACCATTTTTTTCTCATTTAACTTACCAGGTATTTTATTTCTTTAATCTTTCTTTTTAATAAATGAGTCCTGTAAGCTTTCTGAATGCGCATAGCTGCATTATGAAGACAGTCCATTTTACATCGAACTAAATAACCTCTCGATAAAGCTTGTAATTGTATTATCACGCTTTCAGATATTTTTCTTTTACATTTATAATAATGATAATATGCTGTTTGAATTTTGATAACTGCGCATCGAACCTGTTTTATATGGATAACAATATGCAATATTTAAAGTAATTAGTTCCCTTTATCTATTGCGTCAAAACAATAAGAAGACGTAGTCTATCTGAAACGTGTAATGTATTCACCCAACACATTTCGGACATTCTGATCACACACGTACTTGTCATACACAGTTTTATAGAAGGCAAGAAGACATGAATCATTACAATACAGGTCAGATTGTGTCATAAACAATGGATAGGGAGATAACGCAAAGATGTGGGTAAGAAAGAAGGGAGAAAACAATGAAGGGAAGGAGTGAAAATATCATTAAGTAAATTGAACATTGGTTCTAGATTGGATTACCAAGTCAGCTTCAAAGTCATAACAAGTAATGTTTGGACACATAAGACAGGTTCAAGCCTTTTCATGGCCAAGGCTTCAGCGAATTCAAGTATGTGACCCAACCTTGTTTTGTATATGGATTTAAAGACATTATTGAAACCGTCTCAATGACGTGCTTCACTATAGATGATGTGGAAATATCAGAGCCTGTTAGAAAAAACTTCTATAAGTTTACACTGATAGACACGTTTGAGTTAATATAGTGGCTTCATAACGCTGTTTTAATGGACAAAACTATGTCTTCTTTGGATATTGATCCTTTATTTACAAATGTACCTGTTACAGACGGTTGACATTTTATGCGACTGCATCTCTAAAAACAGTGTCTTATCACTACTGTTCATATCTTATTCAAAGGAGTTACTGCTTTTATGTACTATCAATGTAAAGTTCACATTCGAGGGCGAGTATTTCCGCCAGATCTATAGTTTTATTATGGAAGTCCCCTAGGTCCATTGTTCGCTGATATATAGATGTCGCATATTGAGAACCTAGCTGAGGAGGTAATTGGAAATATTGTTAGATAACAACTATCCGTTGAGATTCATTAGGCGTTACGGAAGTGTCAAACAAAGAGCTCTACCGATCCATTCAGCTTCCAAAAAGGATGTTTATATATACTTGCCGTTCAGGGGTGATTAACAAAGTCTAGTCACTAAAAAAGACTCAAGGCATCAATTACTAGAACTTACTATGCATACAAACTTATCTTCATAGAGAAAACGAGATCCATGCTGTCCTGTAAACTCTCACAGTATCCAAACGGTAGTGTCACATCCTACTGTGTTTATCAGTTTACATGTATGTGTGGACACACGTACAGAGGCGGACTCATCGGTCTCTGCAGGTTAGGGGTACATAACATATTCCAAAGTGGCTGCAACAACAAATAAAATCACAGAATACAACTGATCCCGGAAATAGATGTCCAACATCAACTATAGTGAAGCACGTCATTGAGACGGTTTCAATAATGTCTTTAAATCCATATACAAAACAAGGTTGGGTCACATACTTGAATTCGCTGAAGCCTTGGCCATGAAAAGGCTTAAACCTGCCTTATGTGTCCACACATTATTTGTTATGACTTTGAAGCTGACTTGGTAATCCAATCTAGATTCAGTGTTCAATTTACTTAATGATATTTTCACTCCCTCCCTTCATTGTTTTCTCCCTTCTTTCTTACCTACATCCTTGCGTTATCTCCCTATCCATTCTTTTTGACCTTGACCTGTACACAATCTGACCTGTATTGTAATGATTCATGTCTTCTTGCCTTCTGTAAAACTGTGTATGACAAGTACTGTGTGTGATCAGAATGTCCGAAATGTGTTGGGCGAATACATTACACGTTTCAGATGCACTTTGCCTTTCTATTGTTTTGTTAAAATACTCATTATGATAAAATCATTTAAGAAAACAAGTCAATTCAATAGTTTTTTTGACATAATAGTGTACAAAAGTTTTGGTTTAAGAAAACTGATAATCATAGATATTACTTCTCGTAAATACTTAGACCGTATATTGAGAACATAATATTCAGTGAAGAAGCTTCTCAAAGGACTTATTATACAACTGTACGAACGTATGTATATATATATATATATATGAGTTTCAAGAAAGCATTTTCCATCAGAAAGTTTCAACAATAGACTACTACTACAGCTAGCAATGAGAATTTTGACAAGATATTTGTGATCATCATAGTTAAACACACCAAAAGAAAAAAACAGGTTAAGTTTTGTTTAAAATAATTCACACAATTTACAATTGTTACAAAGGAATGATAGAGAAATAGTAAGTGTGTTTCGAGCTAAATGCCAAAGGAAATAGATTTCTTCAAGTAATTATCATGTAGAAATGATACCTCACTCATAATATCTGAGAAATTACAGTTTAAACACTTAAAATGATTATGAGCATTGGTGTTGAATTACACGCCTTAAACGATGATAATAATGCAATAACAACAGTGGAATCAATTAAGAGCTTACATAAATCTGCTTAACAGTGTGTTCTGCATTTGTAAATTGGTGTCACATGTATATGTAAAGGAAGATGCAGAGAAATCATACCAATGTCTAACTAATTAATTATGTTAGAAGTAATAAAGTAAACCAGGTTAGACAAATATATCCTTGCAAATAGTTATAGTTCAAAGTGACATAGAAAGGTGAAACATATAAGGCTGCCTTCATTATGCCATCAAGGAAAGGGCATTCGTATAGTTCGCAGTCATTTACTGGTTAAAATATCCCTCTACAAGTGACATTCAGTTGGATTAATTCCAAATATTTAACTTTTTTAATTTTCAGTTTCGGATTGCCTTGAAGTAAATAATATATATCACTTATCCGAAAACTATTTTCAACATGAAGTACAGAATAAGTAAAAAAATCCGTTTATTCAACTAATTAAAAGTTATACTGATTGATATTTCAATAGTTGCAAATGATTTGGCTTGAGACCATGAGATCCCTTCTTAAAGAATATAAAATAACAATTAGCGTCTTCCTTATCTTCACTGATTTATCTACAAGACTATTCGGTGTACATATCTATAGTCTGTAACACCTTATAACAGAAGGTTAAATACACATTAATCGAGGAGAACTATTTCCTGGATGACATATGCCTGTCACACTGATTCGAAGATCTGAAGGTGAAAACCAACGATTTGGCAGAAGTAGCGAAGACAGGATTTCAACTGAACACAAAGCAGATAGAGTTAGTGGAGAAGCCTAACTAACAAAGACAAGCACCAATCACCATCAAATGAAGGAAAGTAAATTCTTTCATTTATCTGAACTGGGGAGGATTATTTCAGCTACATGAGGTCGGTACAAATGAGGATATCAAAGCCGGCATGACAGACCTTTATTACTTTGAAATCAGTATGGAAATCTGCAATACTCAGCATAAATAACAAGATACAATTTGTCAACACTATTGTTAAGCCAATTCTACGATATAGTTCAGATACTTCGCGTATCATCGAAATCAGTTCCAACAAGTTGTAGACTTTAAACAAAGCAACAACTACAGATTTTGCAGAATAAAATGGTACCATATTTTATTTCGTCGCCTTCTCTTCAGCTGCTTACAGGGCAAAAACATTATTAAATGTATCTACAATAACAATTTAACATACTTACACAGAGTTCATTTTAAACAGAAATCAATCGATCGATATACACATACACTAATAATATATATATATATATATATGCAATATTGAACACAATTCCGAGCATTAATAATCATACAAAATGAAAACTTTTTAGTATCTCGCATTAGGATGAAAAATATCCAGTTACCAGGGCAAAGAAAGACTGATAACTGCTTCTTTCTGAACGCACAAATCAGGTTTTAGGCGCTTGATGGAAAAGGCTTCGGCAAACTTAAGGAGCATTGAACTCTTTTGCTTATTGATAATTTTGAATGACTTTTCCACGTCCACCTCATGACCCGTGTCAAGAAGATGCCTGGTGATGGCACTGCCTAAAGCATTTGTTCCCTTTAGACGTAAGCTTTTTGGTACATGTCGTTACGTTGATGACACATTTATAGTGTGCAAAAATGATAGTCATGCTTCACACCTACTAAGATTATTCAATGATGCACACGCCAATATCAAGTTCACTGTGGAACATGAAAGTGACGGGAAGTTCCACTTCCTCGACATCGCCATGGAACGCCTAGAAGACGGTAGTCTTCAAAAGTCAATTTATCGTAAGTCCACATGGAAAGGACAATACTTAAATTTTAATAGCTTTTGTCCAAATAGCTATAAACGAGCACTGGTCAAGACTTTGTACTATAGAGCGAGAAGAATATGCTCTACAGAGAAACTAGAGGAAGAATTTGAGTTTCTTGAAAAGACTTTGAAGAGCAATGGGTACCCTCAAAGGTTTATCAATAAGTATGGAAGATCTGCAGTCGCAAATGAAAAACTAATCACAGTAAGAAAAAAGCCAATCTACTTTGAGCTTGATTATAAAGGCGAAAACATTGCAGCGATGATCAACAGAAGGCTGAGTACATCACTAGCCATAGCCTATCCTGCAGCTAAGCTCGTTCCCGTCTTTCGAACAACTTGCTCTCTGGTGCAATCAAAAATCGATAGATATCCTTCTCATGTTAACTCCAACTGTATATACAAATTTACATGTATCTGCGGGAGCAGTTACATTGGAAGAACAGAAAGAAGAGCATATCTACGATTTTCTGAACATGTACCAAAAAGCTTACGTCTAAAGGGAACAAATGCTTTAGGCAGTGCCATCACCAGGCATCTTCTTGACACGGGTCATGAGGTGGACGTGGAAAAGTCATTCAAAATTATCAATAAGCAAAAGAGTTCAATGCTCCTTAAGTTTGCCGAAGCCTTTTCCATCAAGCGCCTAAAACCTGATTTGTGCGTTCAGAAAGAAGCAGTTATCAGTCTTTCTTTGCCCTGGTAACTGGATATTTTTCATCCTAATGCGAGATACTAAAAAGTTTTCATTTTGTATGATTATTAATGCTCGGAATTGTGTTCAATATTGCATATATATATATATATATTATTAGTGTATGTGTATATCGATCGATTGATTTCTGTTTAAAATGAACTCTGTGTAAGTATGTTAAATTGTTATTGTAGATACATTTAATAATGTTTTTGCCCTGTAAGCAGCTGAAGAGAAGGCGACGAAATAAAATATGGTACCATTTTATTCTGCAAAATCTGTAGTTGTTGCTTTGTTTAAATTCATTAAGGGGAACAAATGTATGGAAGTTGTAGACTCTTATAAGCAGCTGCCTCCGCTCCATACCGAAAATCATATGGCCGACAAGAAGTGACAAAAACAAGGGACTCATGCAATGAAGCTGCTAAAAACCTGTTGTCCAACAAATATGCAGAAAGAAATTGAGTTGGATTGGACGCATTCTAAGGGGACCGTTTAATAATACTACACACTAAGATGGCTCTCGAGTGGATGCTGAATGGAAAACGACGAGATGAGCATTTGAGGGTGGAACTGAGGAGATCACGTGAGGAGGAGATGAGAGCTTATTGGCAACCGTTGAGCCAGATAAAGAGGACTGTATATAACAGGATGAAATGAAGATGTGCTGTTAAAGCCCTATGTCCCACTCGAAACCCAGAACAGTTTTTAATGATAATAATTTGGCATCAATCTAATTTCCCCTCTCTATACATAAATATTACACAGTAACTAACTTTTTTATATGATTTTCTTGCTATCCAACCTCGCACAATAGCCTGAAGATGAATAATTGCCATTTTTGTCATAGTATATTTACGATGTGCAATAAATGTACGCCAATTAGCTTGAAGTTTTGTAGCAGACTGATTCAGAATACGATCACGTTCATATTCTAGTTGTGCATCGTGTACATACTGAAATGACATACGGTAAAAACAATTAAAAAAAGAAGTTTGTTTAAATGCAATGATAACAGAGTGCAACACTTCGTTTTCCCAATAACAATTCGGAGAGTAATTTCCTAATGAAAGCGAATGCAGCAGTATTTGTTAAGGTTGAGGTTTGCTGTTGATTTCATCTATCAACTACTACTACTTATTGTAAATTTTGAACCTGATATGCGATTTATTTAACATAATCGACTGTATCTACTATTTCAGATATAGTGAATGGAAAGTATGCTAACCTACTGAACTAAACCGTTACATAAAATTAATACTTCTCAAAGTTTTTGGACATCAAATGTCTTATAACAGAAGTTTATATTCGACCAACTTTGTACAGAAGACGATGTCAGTGACCAGTAAAATGAGACATTTTATTGATAACCTCACCAGTCTGACAGTTATCTTCAGCAGCAACCTGTAAAATATCTAAATTCACTAGTGTGCTTAGGGAAAGATGTACCGTAGCATTTGATTGATCAGTTTTCCCATATATATGCGACAACATCTCTAGTGTTACATTATTAACACGAATGGGATATTTCCAGGTAATAACCTTTAAAGTCAGTATTAATATATATGTTCAAACCAAGTTCACTTTTAACAGTTTGAAAAAATTTGGGCATTGGGTATATGATATTCATTATAATAAAGGTTTTCTTGTATTTCCCAATGAATGAAAAACAAAACGATATTACTGTTTTTACTGACGTTTCGCTATTTAATGCTAATGGCTCTATCAAAGCATTATTAAACCAGAATTTACAAAATATCAGCATATATATAACAACTTAATCATCGTTCCTCAGCATGAGGTCATTTTTTGTTCTCAAATTGGCCGATTGGTAAAGATAACAAAGCCATCATGTGTAGATTGTTGGATTTGATAAGTGTGTAAAATTATAAAAGTAGCATGTGTTTACATAAGGAAATCGCTTATCACATTCGTGTTTATTTTGTCACTTCATTGGGAAGGGGGGGGGGTTGTAACCAGGTCAAATTCTGTGTTAGTCCGTCATTTCTATTCAGACAATTTGGATTCCACTTGATATGAAGTGCTTCTGATATTAGACGTTCTTTGTGATTTATGAAATTTTTCCGGATTATTTCAATATCGTCAAAATCAATTTTGTCACCTGATTCTATAGCGTGTAGACCAGTGGCTGATGATTTTTCAAGTTTTTCTAGTTCAACCGGATTTCTCGGTGGTCGAACAGATGCTCTACGGTGTCCATTTTATTCTGATTTTGATTTGTCGTGATGTTTGGTTGGTGTAGATCGCACCATATTCCAAGCATTTTATTTTGTAGATATAATTAGACAGAGAATCCTTAGGAATTTTGTCTTTTATATGGACAAGGTTGATTTGTACTATGTCTGACGCTTTGAAGAAAACTCTAAGGTCGAGCTTATTGAGTACTCTTCCGATATCGTCTGACGTCCCTGTTCTATGTGGAATGACGACTGTTGAGGTCCATGTGTTTGGAACACGTTTACGACCATATTTAATGTCAGTGTTGATTTTGTTGATGAAGTTCTTTGGGTATTTGTTTTGCTTGAGAGTCTCAGTAATGTTTGATATTTCTTCTTCTTTTTCTTTCTCATGCGTTATCAGAGAGTGTTCTCGTCTAAGAAGACTTGAAACAACTAATACCTTTGCGCTGATGGGGTGTGATGATCCAAAGTCTAAATATTTATTTGAGTGGGTTTTCTTCCTGAATACAGATATACTAAAATGTCCGTTTTCCCTCCTCGATAAAGTTTACTTCTGAATATAAACGTCTACGACCTTCATTTTTACAAATTAAATGTGTGTACCTACCCATATACTAAAAGGTTCATTTCTCTGATGGTACCTAGGCCTGTCTTCAACGAAGACACGTGTTGGCGAAGGTTGTCTGTGATAACATGTCTGATGGTTAAATTTTTATCACACTTTTATATAGAAAAATAGGAACGGAAATCCACATACTGCCAAAGACTCAGTATCCGCTGAACTGATACAGACTTGTAATTAATGCTAACTATCAATGAAAGAACTAATCTTCCTGTTATTACAGTAACATGATCAGCTTGTTTATTATGGTGTCTAAAATACTGTGCTTCAAAGTCTTACGAAAATCAACTAAAGCTGCAGAAATACAAGCCCAATGAGGACGAAGTAAAATTTCACACCTCAACAAGATTACATCGACCAAATATTCACCCTTTGACTTTAACGTAATATTCAGTTCTGTCTGTAGAGAGGTCATGCATGTCACAATATATGGGAGTGGAAGCAAGGCGAATGCAAACGCTAAGTATGTTTTTCTACTTGAACCTATACAGGTAGGGAACAGCTTTTAGTGGGTAACTGGAACCAGCAGCATATTTGCATTATCGCATCATTACACTCTTGGTGCCATTTTTAAAAGGCAATTTTTGACACATCATAATTATATTAATTCACTTCTATGCAAATTTCTGCACTGATTAACTTGTTTGTCTAATCAAAACATTTTTTATTTTTTTTATTCCTTCATGTTCCCAGTGGAATATAGGGCTTCAAGCTAGTGGCTTGAACTTTCTTTAGCAGTGTTTGCTTTTACAGGATGAGGTGGCTAGCCTCATGCCCAACCTTTCCTCTTCGCCAGCTTTTTAGTTCTGGCTTAGCGAGGTAAAGGAGTGCGTCGGCCGGGGATCGAACCCCGTACCATGTGCATGGTTGGCGAGCGTCCTAACCGCTATGCAACCGACGCTTAAAACATTGCTTGTATTAAAAATACCTGTTGTATGTAACAGATCTCTGTAGTATTTATTTGAATGCTAACACAAAATGTTCAGTACAGCCTCGCTGTTTCCTCTAGTATCTTGTACTCATAGGCTGAGTAAAAATGATAATGTTATGCATAGTTGAATTGTTCAAAATATACGTTATGTAAATGCACCAAAATGGTAATAAATATTATCACAGTATTATATCAAAATTCAATGGTTAACATCAAACCTACCTTCAGGTATATTTTTGACCGACCTAAACAATAATCTTTATTTACTAAAACACTGGCACATACTTCTTGAACTATTCTACTCATTTCTTTACCTTCTTTATTATTTTTCATATAATTTATAATGATTGGATGATATCGATCAATGAATTCAGTAAATTTATGTCGAATAGGATAACCGGCACGACGTATACGTATTGTTTCCATCATACCAGAATAACGTAACTGTTTAAGACAAAGTTCTCTGTCAAATAAATTTGGTTGTTTAACATCATTCGGTTTGATACAACGTACAAAAAATGGCTGACAATTATTTAGTGTACGCATTAGATTGTCTAATGATTTTTTAAATTGAATGCTAAGAGTTGATAAACGTTTACGGGGTTCTGATGTCTAAAATAATAGAAAATTAGAAATAATTATTTTTGTTAAGTGAAGCAAATTATTCCTGGTTGAATTCTTTATATTCAATGCTGGTTAAAGCTTTAATGATAGTGTATTTAAATGATAGTGCCATTTATGATTTTCTTCAACTTCATTTTTCGAGTTTGGATAAGCAGATAGAGTAGCAACCGCCACGAATGAGTTATTTTAAATGAGGGACAGGCCAGAATAGCCTCTTGATTAAAGAGCAGTATGTGATTGGGAAATAATATTTAAAGGAAACAAACAAATTATAAATGAAAAAGACATATTTCTTTTCGTAACTTTATTTGAAAGTTGTATATTTATATTCTTGTTATTCCTTCGGGTTCCGAGTGGAACATACGGCTTCAACAACACATCTCCACTTTCTTCTATTCTCTGCTGACTATCTTCAGCCGAGTCCACCATTGCTCATAATCTCTCATATCCTCCTCTTCACCAAACGATCTCCTCCATGTCACCCTCGCATCGACGACCCACTCGTCGATTCACATTAAGATTCCACTCCAGCAATAGCCTGCATTGAGCGCAATGTCATTCGACGGTCTTCTCAGTGTGTAACCAATCCATCTCCACTTTCTCCTATATATTTGTTGGGCGACCGGCTCTCGGTTAGTTTTTCCCCATAGTTTCTGGTCGGTAATTCTTTCTGGCTGGCTAGCTGGCCTTTTGATCTTCAGTATGGAGCCAGCGAAAGGGTCAGCTGTTGACAAAAGTTTGTAACTCGTTGGAAATCCTTTTAGTGACAAGTATTGTGAGTTTCCAACCCATATAGAAGAACTGACTGACTGACCGACTTAACATTGGTGTTGAGAGTCCGAATCTTGTTGTTTATGCTGAGTTACTGCAGAAGATATTCGAGCTGGTTTCAGGTTGATGAAGACGTTTCTTGCCTTTCCCATTCTAAATGGTGTTAACATTTTCATCCGTTCCGCCTTTGGTTGTTAAAGGCCAAGAAGTCACCCTAAGAACAAATTTTTCATTTCGATTGGCAACGAAACTTAAAAATTTATATATCGAGCAAAATAATAAATTACTTAATCAAAAAACAATCATTGGTAAGCATCGATTAGAAGTGATTACCAATAAAAGTTAAAAGTTCCAAGCGCTTGAAAACAAGAACATTATTCAAACAAGTAGGAGATTCGGAATATTTATAAAGTATATTTTCAAGTTGGGAGTTTGAAAGGAAGGCAGAAACTGAATGAATGAACATGAACTATATATCAAGTTTTCGTATGAGTTGGAAAAGAAAGAGAGGAAAGTTTAAAGCCACGGCAGTAAAAGAGACGGTAAGGACTCTCGCCGACCATGCACACGGTTCGGGGTTCGAATCCCTGCTGACGCACACCCTATATCAATGTTCGGCCTGCGAAATTTGGGCTATCGATATCACATGCTGAAAATTCTATACTTCTACCAAAAGTGCTGTGTGGAATCAAGCTGTAATCAAAAATCAAAATCAAATCCATAAACTACTTCTGTTTGCACACTCTAGAGATTTCCTAGTGTCTGGATAGTAATAGCTGCTGCTGTGGAAGGAAGATGTAGCCGGAAACTCTTCGAATGACTTGGCCTCACCTTATTATAGTACTTTGAGAGATTTTCCTATTGATGTAGAATAATTTGTAAGAACAAAGCGACAAAGAAATGAACTATTGTTTTGTCTAATTTCTTCTTCGCGCTATGTCGGGAATTGGCAGAAGTTAGAATTAAAGGACCATTGGATCGGTTCCCAGTGGCTCAATGGTCTACGAGCTCGCCTTGTAACCAGAAGGTCCTGGATTCGAATTCCGGTGAGTGCATACTACTGAAGAGTCCCAAACTAGGACGAAACAACTATCCGGTACTCCCAGGTTTTCCAGTGGTTCTCTAACTGATGTCAGCTCATGATGAAATCCTCCATGCTTTCGACAATCCTAACAAGATAGCTTCCAAATACGGCTGTTATCTTCTCCTTTAAATTCCTTCAGAAACCCCATGGGACTACAAAATCTCATGATTAGTTCCTCGTTCAGGGATTGTCACCTAATGATGATAACTTCGTCTTAACCTATACAATCATCACTTTTAGTGGCTGTTCAACGTTTGACCAAAATATGCATGAGAGTTGTGGATCAGATCTTCAGCGTCATTTCGCGAGTTGTTATTTTGTTTTTTATTCTTAATATCAGAACCCATATTAGCAAACAAAACAAGTAGATTAGGAAGGCACCTTACTCAAAAATGCATCAACTCAGTTTGCTAAACTTAGAAATAACGTGTAAGCAGATGATACACATAAAAGAAATTTCTCTTCAAAGATGTTAGGGAAAATGGAAAAAATTGATTGAGAATTTTTATAAAATAAACAACAGTAAAATCAAACACACATATTTTAGCCATATTTAACCATTTTCTCTAAAACATTTCCCTTTGGCTAATTCACACATGCGAATAGCTCAGTGGTAACGTCTCTGACTGCAGCACTGGGTGACGCGGATTCGAATCTCAGAAGGGACATGAGTTCCTTCAAGGTTGCAGATATGCCTTGCTGACGAGTGCCAACTAGCACGAAACCTAGGTCAAGCTGGTAAAAGGGAAAGGTTGGGCATGAGGCTAGAAACCTCGTCCTGTAAAAATAAACACTGCTAAAGAAACTTCAAGCCTCTAGCTTGAAGCCCTATGTTCCACTAGGAACGTGAAGGAATAAAAAAATTCACACATAAAACATAACTGAGATTTCTGGTAACAAGATGAATAAAGAGTTATAGGATAAGATATTCAGGCTTTAAACCTATAATTAACCATAATTGTTAGTAAATAAATGTATATATTTGATTTTAATTATTTGCAAAATGATTACAACTAGTATGAAATGATTAATCCGTCCGAAAGTGGAAAAAAACTACAAAGCCTACAACTTACCAATAGGCCTGAATTAGTAAACAATGAACGAAGAAATTCATTTTCAGACTGCAGTATTAAATTAACTAAATTTGAACTGAAAGTATCACGGTTTTTGTCAAGAAATCCGTCGACATAATAATAAACAACACCAGTAAAGTGTTGAATACCGAAACGCTAGGGAAAAAATGATAAAGTATGATAAGCTTTGTGTATCTTAAAGTTATATATATATATACACATATATATATATATATTAAGAACAAGAGCCGAATTTTTAACACAGATGAGAAGTCAGTTCTTCTATGTGGGTCAGAAGCCTGCAATGCGTGTCACGAGAAGCATTTCCAACAGGCTACCGCTAAATTTTATCAACAGCTACCCCTTTCGCTGGCTGGCTCCATACTGAAGATTGAATGACCAGAAGGCCAGCCAGAAAGAATTAGCAACAAGAAAGCATGGGAAAAAACTAACGAAGTTAGAACCTATCGTTCAACAAATATGTAGGAGGAAATGGAGGTGGTTTGGGGACACACTGAGGAGACCGTGGAATGACATTGGATGCTAGACCATAGCTCGAGTGGAACCCGAATGGGAAACGATGAGCTGGTCTACGATGCAAGGGTGACATGGAGGTAGTGTGGTGAGGAGGAGATGAGAGATCATGGGCAATCGTGAGCCCAGCTGCAGAGGATGGCGGAAAATAGAAGAAAATGGAGATGTGTTGTTGAAACCCTGTACTCCACTCGAAACTCAAGGGAACAATAGTAATTTATAATCTTTCTTAAAAATAGTTTGAGTGCTGTATTCTTCTTTAGGGCTTCATATGTGGTTATTACTGAACAAAATGCACTTTTGATTCTTTTATCCTTAATATTCTTTAGAAAGAATAAAAATCCGAAATCAGAATAAATGTCTCATAGTCTCTCTTATAATCATGTTGAGAAATAACACTACTCTCCGTCAAATTTATCTCCGGAAAATATCAAAAAACAGCAACTTATAGTACAGATGTGTCTACTTAGACTTTTTGAAAGAAAAGAGCTTTTTTTCTGATCATAGGGTTGAGTAATAAATTACTATTCCCTGGAAGTTTAAAGACTTTCTCACTGATAACTAGTTTTAAGTTTTACGTCCTTGAAGTAACACATTCTTCACACTGCAGATCAGTCCAAAGCAATCGAGTTTATTACAGATTTGAGTGTGACAAAAGCTCTGTTTTACATCTTTATAATTCTTCCTTATGCGAGCATGTACATACAACTTTTAATGTGTACTCTTTACTTTATACAAACTCTCTTAATAGTAGTTAGTTTCTGAAAGAAACTTATTATTATTATTATTTCCTTTAATTCCTAGAGGAACATAGGGCTTCAGCCATGCGTCTCCATTGCGTTCGGTTCTCTGCTAGAGTTTTCACCTGGCTCCAAGTCTGCCCACACGCTTTCAATTCCTCTTCACATGATCTCCTCCAGGTCACTCTTGGACGACCAACTCGTCGCTTCCCTTTCGGGTTCCACTCGAGCAATGGCTTGTCTAGTGATGTCACTTGATGGTTTCCTCAGAGTGTGGCCAATCCATCTCCATTTCTTCCTGCCTATTTGTTTCACAATCGGTTCCTGCTGAGTTGGTTCGCTCCCAGAGATCTTTGTTGCTGATCCTCTCCGGCCATTTGATCTTGAGTATTGAGCGAAGATATCTGTTAATGAAGGTCTGTAGCTTGTTTGAGCTGCTCTTTGTGACACGCCAAGTCTCTGATCCGTATAGTAGTACTGACTTCACATTGGAGTTGAAAATACGGATCTTATTTTTGACGCTGAATGATGTTGACCTCCACATAGACTTGAGAGAAATGAAAACTTGTCTTGCTTTTCCGATTCTGGCTTTGATATCCTCGTCAGTTCCTCCTGTAGTTGAGACGATGCTTCCCAGGTAGGTGAAAGAAGTTGTTTCCTTCAGGTTCCTCCCATTTATGCTGATTGTTGTCGGTTGTTGCTGTTGATGTTGGCCAGGAATCTTCATTACCTCTGTTTTGTCTATGTTCACTTGAAGTCCTATCTTTGCTGCTTCTTCTGCCAATTTGTTGCTTTTCACTTGCATATCTTCCGGTTTGTGGGAAATCAGACATATATCATCGGCGAAATCCAAATCCTCCAAGGCTTTTGTGTCGGTCCATTTTATGCCTGTTCCCTCGTTGGTTGCCGTTGTCTGCCGCATTATCCAATCAACTGCAATCAGGAAGATCATTGGTGACAGTAGACAGCCTTGTCTCACTCCCGTCCTCACTTCGAAGGATTCCGTGAGCCTCCCGTTGTGGATTACTTGGCATGCAGCACTGTCGTACAGCTGTTGGATGAGATGTATAATTGTCGGCGGCACCCCGTAGTAGCGAAGTAGTTGCCAAATCACCTCTCGATCGACGCTGTCGAAGGCTTTCTCAAAATCGATGAAGTTGAGATAGACAGGTGACTGCCATTCCAAACTTTGTTCAATGATAATCCGTAGGGTGGCGATTTGGTCAATGCATGACTTGTTCCTCCTGAATCCGGCCTGTTCCGGACGAAGTTTTTCATCTAGGGCTTGTTTAATTCTCTCCAGGATGATGCGACATAGTATCTTGCTTGGAATGGACAGAAGCATAATTCCGCGCCAGTTTTTACATTGACTCAAATCTCCTTTCTTTGGCAGTTTGAATAAGTATCCGTTCTTCCAATCCTCGGGTACTTTGCCCTCTTTCCACACCTTCTCTAGTAGTGGCGTCATCAAGTCCGCTGTTGTCTCTGGGTCTATTTTCAAAGCTTCTGCTGGGATTCCATCTGGTCCTGCTGCTATTCCAGCTTTTAGCATCTTGATGGCATTCAGGACTTCGGATTTCGTCGGAGGGTCGATGTTCATTGGTAGTTCTGCTTCCGTTGTTGGTATTGTTGGACGCGTTGTAGGTGGCGGACGATTTAGAAGTCTTTTGAAGTGTTCAGCCCAGTGCTTCCTCTGTTCCACCTCTTTGGTGATTGACTTTCCATTGTCGTCCTTTATTGGCTTAATCTGTGTCGAACTTTTGCCCGAAAGGTGCCTAGTTGTTTGGTATAGTGTAGCGAGGTCTCCTTTGCCTGCAGCTTGTTCTGCTTCGTTTGCCATGGTTTCACAATATTTTCTTTTGTCTTCCCTGGCACTTTTCTTCACTCTTTTGTTCAGTGCATTGTAGCTTGCATTCAACTCCTGTTTCTGTTGCTCGTCGGTGCACTGGATAATCTTTTGTTTCGCCACCCTTCTCTCTTCTATTAGTTTCCAAGTGTCCGTAGAGAGCCACTGTTTGTCCTGTCTCTTTTTTCTGCCTAGGACCTCCATGCAGGTTTGGCTCCACACCGTTTTCAATTTGTTCCAGTGCTTTTCGACGCTGACCTTTTCGTTGGTGTTGATTTGTGTCTCGGCTTTTTCCCTTATGTTTGCAATGAAGATGTCCTTTGTAGCCTGGTCCTTCAGCTTTTGAGTGTTGAACTTGGCTTGTGGTCTATCTGCAGCTCCTGTTTCCCTGAAAGCTTTTAATTTGATTTGGATTGTCCCTTGTACGAGGTAGTGGTCTGAGCCAACGTCTGCTCCTCTTCTTGCTCTTGTGTCCAGTAGGCTGCGTCTCCACTTCCTCGATATTGTGATAAAGTCAATTTGGTTTTTGGTTCGCCCGTCTGGTGACACCCATGTAGCCTTGTGGATATCTCTGTGCTTGTAAACACTGCCACCAATCACTAGTTCGTTGAAGGCGCAGAAGTCGGCGAAGAGTTCTCCGTTTTCATTCATTTCTCCAAGAGCTTCTCTACCCATGATGAGTTCTCTTCCTGTATTCTGAAAGAAACTAGTATCTGACTAACAACCATGCTTAAAATATCAGAATATAGAAATATTACACTGGCATTTCTATGGATAGTCTAATGAATTACTATATGATTAAGTTTACTTCAAAAGTGAGTTGTGTTAAATACATTTTAGTTAAATGAACAAGCCCAGAAAATTTAGAAACTCAAGTATTCGAGAAATCAACTCATACAGATCGAATACCTAATTACAACAATAAAAACAGCATAATAGTTTACAAAAAGGGTTGTATGCAACCATATTGACCAAAAGCGCCAGAATACGCAGTAGCACTCTTGCCTTGAAAAGAGTAGAGGAGAAATGTCTTAAGAATCACTTTTAGGGAACTGGATATCCACAGGAGTTTATCAAAGGCTGCCTACCATCAACGCAACCAACCAACTCAAAATCAGTAAATCTAAATATGAAAACAATTGTCCTAACATATATAAAGAACATCACTGAATCACCACAAAATTTCTGAAATGTTTTGGAAAAGATGTCAATCACAAACCAATGAAATGACATCACAGCGTACTGTGTATACACACTACTGAACAACAAAAGAAGACAAAAACAATATCAACTCAAAGAAAAACTGCCATAAACATGGAAAATATTGGTCAAAGTGGCCGTTCTGTTCGTCTTCTCAGATACTAACATAAACTTGCTGACAAAAACACGATTTTCACTGTCTCAAATGAATGTACACTAACAACCAGGGACAACACTTCGAAGGGGAGAAATGTGAAAATCTTCGATGACGGAGATGCCAAAAATGTCAGTGTAGAGAACCTAACAGCCCAAATACTTTCGAGTAAATAAAGAGGTTACTTGTTATGACTGTAGGGGAATTAAATGAGGCCGTTGTCGCCTTGTTCTGTCTGCGCCTGACTAATATGCCTATCTGCTTCTGGTACCTACCGATTCAGCGAACCACGCTAATATCAAAAGACAAAAGCTGGTCTGTGACTGTGTATTGTAGTACAACAACTACGACAAACTACGACTACGACAACTACGACGGCAATTAAACTTATTTAGGAAATGGTATTTATACATTTTTACAACCAATACAGACAGCTAACAGTATTTGAAATAATTGGTCGTAATAGTCAATAGCAAAATGCGTGGGAATGATGATATACCACTTATACGAGATTAACAGTCGTTAAGATAATTGAACAATAACAAAGTGCCTGGGAAATGATAATATACCACTTATGCGAGATTAACAGTCGTTAAAATAATTGAACAATAACAAAGTGTGTGGGATCCTATCATCACTTAGCCATTTAAATATGATAAGAAGTTTATTTTAAAATTCTGTTATATCTAAAGCCGTATGCATCCAAATAATTAAACATTATATCGGACGTTATTAACCGCGGCTGAACGACACTTTGATCTGTCTGTATAAAAGCCGGTAGTATAATTTCATCGGCAATGACTGTTAGAACAACCATTTCCTTTTGTACACAGAAACCTGGTGGTCACTCTGAATCTACCATGGTAAAATGTCTTACTTTTTAACTGTTATTATTATTATCATTATTATTTTTTTCTATATTTTATTCTACCTCTTTTTATTATTCCTGATTCATTTAAAACTATCTTCTATCAAGTAGCATTATCTTAACTGGTTTCAACAGTATCCTCATTACTATTATTATTGTTAATATTACTCAGTTCGCAATTCTTGATATATTTAAGTTCTTTCTGTGATGACTAGTTGTGATGTGATTGAACCTTAACGCATATTTATCTTAATTTTAATCTCTTATACACCCTTATCTATTTGAACATGACCTGAAAAACATTCACACATGTCGTTTTGCATTATTAAATCAATGCAGTTTATCTGCTTATCACCCATATATCTCCCAATGTAATTCTAATAGTATATATATATCCCTATATGCAGAGTATTCAGCTGTACACGAAAATCTATGAATATCTGCTGGTTTTCTCAATAAACGATCTGTTGCTTGGCCTCTGTCTTTTGTCGTTACAATATGAAATTGTTTAAAGTCACATTTCTGTGGCCTTCTAAGATCATTGTAAATTAATTTTATATAACCTCTGTATATAGGCAGAAACGGAAATTTTATTTATTCCATATCAATTTGTTTATTAGGCATATTACACAGTGAAACAGTATTCGTATTTTCTGGGTGACAAAGTTTTGAACTCAATCTATTGTTGTTCATAATCATACTAATTATAATCACACAATTCCGAAATTTTCGTTTAATAGTTTTCCCTATTCTTTCCCATTTGTCGTAGAGGTGTTGTAGCGTGATACAGACAATGTGTGCCAATGGAATATTATTCTCACATATTCCCACAGTTCAATACTGCATAAACAACAGAATACTATATATATTTGAGCATTCTGCTTAATGTAAACCAAAATCACACGCTCAGTGATTAGTTAGAGAACACAAACTATATATATCTAAATAGTGGTTTGATCATTTGAAAATATACGTTTGCTCCCATTTCTCGCCTTCTGCTTTTACAAGGGTAGTGAGAAAGTTCAGAGTTGTATGATTATAATTAATATGATTGTAAACAGCGATAAATTGTGTTCGAAACTGTCATCCAGTAAATACTAATACTGTTTCACTGTGTGATATATCTAATGAACAATTTAATATGGAATTACATGCTACCACAGGGCTCAAGTTTTAAACATATATTAATATGACGTATTATCTTCCTGTTTGAGGAACTTTTTTTACTTTCAAGAGTTTGGTTTGTAAGGATTAGATTTGCTTATACGAGTTTGACCACGGATTGATATCAGCTGGAGAAGCACTGAAAACCAGCGAGTACTGGACAGCTACCTGTTTCATCATAGTTTGGGAATCATCGGCAGTACGAACCCACTGGGGTCCAAACCCTAGTGAGAAATTGTGACCACTGAGGTTCATCCAGTCGGAAGTGAGGATGGAGTTCCCACCGATGACATGGGTTGGTGGTCGCGCTAAATCAGGGATTGGCAGGAGTTAAAGTTCATGGGCTAGCCACTGAATCGGGTCCCAGTAGTTGAATGGTATACGAGCTTGCCTTGTAACCGGAAGGTCCTGGGTTCGAACCCCTGTGGTGGGTGCGTACTGCCAAAATAGGCATATCTTTAGAAACAAAGTCAACAAGTCTTAGCAAACATTTGTGAAGTAGCTTATCATAATGAGATTGAATGCATAAATATTGCCTCAAATGCAGCTTATCAGTAAATGACGAGTTCGTCAAGAATTGAAAACATTTATTTCCCGAAACGAATTTAAAACAAGCAATGAAGGTTAATAAAGCAGGACTTAATGAATTCATCAAATTTCGGTAGAACTCGTCACAGTAGAGTACAGTATTCAGCTGACGAGTTCGACCGGAATTTGATGAATTCATTAAATCCTGCTTCATTAGCCTTTGTTGCTTGTTTTAAATTCGTACTAGGAAATAAGTGTTTTCAATGGCTGTTAAACAGTCCCAAAGTGAAAACAGATATACGTCCAGTACAAAGCAGTTTCCAATGAAAGTTAATTTACAAAACCTTTTACTTCATACTGTAAGATTTAGGGATATACATGTATATACTCTAAAGGGACATAGCTCCAACTTACCTTATCTGTTTCAGATGTTGTTCGTACATAATATGGATTGGATGAATGTCTTGAGTTAATTTTATGTAAAAAGCTATTATCTGTACCTTGTGGAAATCTACTCTCTTCATCTAATAATGCTAATATATTCATTGGTTGTATAGCAATTAAATTTAATACATCTTGATTATCTACATAATCTATATGATTCCAATTGATACATTCAGATAAGTATTCTTCTTGTTCAAGTTTAAATATATGTCGAACAAAAAATTGTTGAAAATTTTCATTTGCATAATTAATACAAAATTGTTCAAAACTGTAAATATTGAAAAAACAAACAACATAAAGTCTATTTATGCTTCACATTGTAAAGGAAATTTCTTTTTATGTTCATTTATTGTGTATGATTACATTTATACTTCAAGAACTGATGTACTCAGTCGAATACGTATATGAAGGTAAATTATAAAGGCTCATTAGAACATTTTGTGATAATCAGTGTTGGTGTTAAATAACTATCCTATGTAATTCATTAGGAATATCAAATAAGGTCAAAAGCAAAACAAAAATAATGGGGAAGGTAATAATGATAACATAAATACGAAAGAATATAAGGCATCTACAGTAGTTTTACCATATTAGGAGGGGACATCTGAGATCCCTACGTAGGATTCTACACAAAGCATGAATTAGGGTGGTATTCAAACCTAAAAATTCACTCAGGTAGGACGAGTTGTGCAGACCAAAGGACCCGGTGAACCCAATTAAACAAAATAATATTATTTACAAAATACCCTGCAATGACTGTGAGTGAGGTCAACTACATACGTCAAACTAGTATATCGGGGGTAATCAGATTGTCAGAATATGAGAATTTAGCTAAGGTTAGAATGATTGATCCCACGAAGATCAATAATTTATGGAAAAACCCAGCTATAGCACTGCATGCATTAACACAACCACACAACAGGGTGGGAGAGAGTCAAAATTGTAAAGAGTAATATAGGTAGGTGGAAAGAGAGATTGATTACTGAATCCTGTTTCATTGAGTCTACACCCAACACATGCAACAGAAATGATTTAACGCAAATACCAGAGATATGGTAGATATTATTACCAGTCAAATTGGAGAGTAATAAATAATGTTAAAATGTATTTCAATTCACATTATAACATTCTAACTAGTTATTTATTTTACAATAAAAACATCTTATTGACTAACAATACAGGTTTTATTTCCCATCCTATTGTATTTTATTGATAACACTAATATTACTTCCCAATGTACTTTATTTTCCATTCTATTTTGCGCAAGTCTTATATTGAATTTATTCTAATGTCTAATCAATTTTACTCATGTATATAAACGAAGAAAGAAAGTTATGTGAGTACCTTGATATGATCATGAGTAGCAGTAAATTGTGCTCGAAACGTCATCAGTAAATATTACTGTATAACACTGTGTGACTTTATCAAAATAAACTTTTATCCATAATGGAATTATACTCTACCAGAGTGTCTAAATTTTATCCCTAGATTAGTAAGTCCAATAGCATGTATTTGTACAGATGCGAAACACATCATTTTACTTCATTTGATTTCATATTTTGTTGATAAACCTTGTGCAGATTACAGGAAGCTTTAAACTCAGTAAAAAAGCCATTTAACTAGTGACATTTTGAAAGTTTGTCTTTCTGGCGTATCCCTTGTATTTAAACATGATAGTGTATGTATTTTGTTCTTGAATGAGTGGCTACGTTTAAAAAGATATTGAGAAATTTCGTCTTTAAAGGAAGTTTTAACATAAATTAAATATAATGATAACAGGTTTAATCACAAGCTGATATCAGTTAGAGAACAATTGGAAAATCAGAGAGTACTTGACAGCTGTTTCATCCTAGCTTGGCACTCGTGATCAAACCTGTGACCTATCAAACTCTTGTAAACCAACACTTGATAATAAATATTATGATGCTTTGATCAGAAATCAGTGAATTTGAGACAGTCTAAACACTATGCTACTTTCGCCAAAGGCAAGTTCATTTAATGCATTGTATATAAAGATTTGTTTTGGCGAAATGTAATCTAAATTCAGTGTATTAAGATACACTTCCTGTGAATAAAAAATAGTCTATTTAGTGATGCTTTGTTATTCAAAAAAATATTTAACCTAGACTAAGTCTTCTCTGCTCTCCAAATCAAAGGCATCAATTATCATCAAATCCACAAGAGAAGAGGAATTCGGGAACAAAATCCCATTTTTATACGTCTTAGTTAAGCGAACAACCACAGGAAAATTAGAAACTCAAGTTTATAGAAAATCAGTCCTTTGTAGATGGATTGGTGCTCACTGGCCTTTCTGTGGCTTTTGATAGTATTTCTGGACGAGTTGGTAGTCACAGTTGATTCAAGAGTCGTTTGAAATCATCAATCTAGAGTTTCGTTTATTTCTCCTCTATGGTAATAAGGGTTTCTTTAACTATCTTTCATTGGTTTCATCTTCACTGCCGCCTTCCGGTTAGTTAACTAGTTATCTGATATAGTATTGTGAAGTCTATCTTACCTGAGGCTTATTGTGCTTCAGATATGACTAATTCTTTTCTCACATATATGCTTATTTCACTCACTTTTGAATATTGTCTTCAATCAATTCCTTTTCCATGAATACAAATAGTTTAATATTAAATGATAAGTTATTTCATTATTTACTGAAAATAACTAAGCCTACCTTACAAAGCCTTGTCGTCAACACTACCAAAAGCTCGAAAATACTGAAAAGTGAATACATTTCAAAAACCTTTATTTGTCTATGACGTTTGATTACCTTCCAATTCTATGGTTTCATATGAGAGAGTTTAAGTAAAATACCAATGAAACACTGCAATTCGAAAAAATTCACTCAAATAAGATATGAATCAATGAATCACTCACTACCAAACAACTAAGAATTATAACGCCGAATTAATTTCAGTTATACCGTGGAACACATATATTCAGTCAACAAGATGTTTGATGAATAAGACAAAAGTAATCTTATGAACTGCTTAACATAAAGCTAAAGAAAAATTCTGTGAAAAATGTATTTTGTGCTTGAGAAGTCTTGTGGATAATAACCGTTCAATATAATTTTAAACTACAAATATAGCATAGTAATTAAAACCTTTATGGTTTATATCTAGACAAGATTATTAATATTATTATTGTTCCCTTGGGTTCCTAGTGGAACATAGGGCTTCAACTGCACGTCTACCCTTGCTTCTGTCTTCTGCTGTACTTTTCACCTGCATCTATGTTAGTCCATACTGTTTCAACTCCCCTTCACACGATCTCCTCTATGTCACCCTTGGACGTCCCACTCGCCGCTTCCCTTTCGGGTTACACTCGAGCTATGGCCTGACGCGCGATGTCACCCAGCGGCCTCCTCAGCGAGTGTCCAATCCATCTCCACTTTCTCCTGCATATTTGTTGAGCGATTGGTTCTTGTCTTGTTCGTTCCCATAGTCTCTTGTTTGTGATTCTTTCCGGCCATCTGATCTTGAGTATAGAACGAAGACAGTTGTTGATAAAGGTCTGCAACCTGTTGAAAATATTCTTGGTGACCCGCCAAGTTTCTGATCCGTATAGCAAAACTGACTTGACGTTTGTATTGCATAGACAAGATAGAATTTATGAATATTTATAAAGAAATGTACAACACCTGTTAAGTACTTTTTCACTATTGTTAGTTATTCACTCAGTTTCGTTTAGTTGTGAGAACAAAAACTTCCTTAATTGTATTATCAAGTTTCTTACCTATTTGTTGCAAAATTTTCAAATCCAAATATATCTAAAATTCCGATTGTATTACGACCAGGTCCAACTATACTTATTCGGTGTTCGGAACTAATTGAATTACTGACGTTATTTAGATCTGCTTCCATTCCTGGATATGTTATTTGACTTTGAGCATTTTTAACAGGTGTATCACCAGAATTTAGATTCGGAATATTGTTTACATGTGAGTTAGAACTGAATATTTTTCTTGGTGGAGGATTATACACAACTGTATTGATTTTATTGACTATCCAAGTAAACAGTTCATTGTATACCGTTTTTACGAGAGCATCACGAACACCGACTGCATTACTTCTGGATAATGGTGCAGTTACACATTCGCCACCAGTGTGCAGCATTCTCACTGTTATGGACGTTGCCAAACTTTCAGGAGACACCTAAGAGAAAGCACCATGATCTTTCAAGTATATATATATATTGTCATGGTAAATAAAACATTTTAAATAAAAACGGTCGATCGTGTATTGATATAGAATAGTAATCTAAGACAAGATCAAGACAAAATGATAGTTACTTCATTTCTGTACAGCAGTTTCTACGGGCCCATATCTGTGACTTCCATCAGGAGTAAACTGCAGTCAAACCTTGAAATTCTGAATCACTTTTGGCACAGCTATCATTCGCACCGCGCTGCTACCTTGTAGCTGTTAAATTTATCCTACCTCACGGCTGTGATTACAGATCTCTGACTGTATGTATCATCGTCCCACAGACCGTGTTACTTGATGTGCCACGGTGAATAACACTGAGACTTCATGTAAAATGTTAACTTAGCAAACCAAAAACATGTTACACATGTTATAAATCACCGCCTTCCCCAATGAGAGATCCCAGTCGGAACAGACGTTGATTAGGAGAGGGTGATGGGTAAACAAACAAGGACTTGGAGGCAATGCATGAAGTCAGCATCTGTTGGTTTGAACCATACTGGGGGGTACAGATTAATTGGTTCATATTTGGACCAAAATAAATGACGTTTATTATTTGCAATATTCCTTTATAATATAAACATTTATTAGTAAAATTATCATACTTTAAAACTCTTTTGAGTGTGATAATGAAATAGTTTCGCTGATACATCCAAACACAAAATACAATTGTTCAGAAAGAAACAATTAAATACTTTAGGCTTCTACTTCCATGCTCTTCATTGCATTGTAACAATAGAAGGCAAGACACAGAAGCAAAGGTATATTTTCCATTGATCAAACCGCTATTTATGTATACACAGTTTATATTTCTTTAACCAATCACTGAGGTTGTAATTTCAATTTACATTACACGTCATAAAATACTATGTTCCAATAGACACTGTATTCTTTTGTTAATGAAGTATATAGCCGTGGGAATTGTATTCTGTCTCTAACATCAAATAGAATGTTCACATAGACATATCGTATTGTGATGATACTGCAGTATTGAACTGTGGGAATATGTGAGAATAATATTCCGTTGGAACACATTGTCTGTATCACACCACCACAGTATGACTGAAAAACTATATTTAATTAAGCTTGGCATCTAAATAACATACATTTAATGCCCTCGACTGATATTTACCACTAGACAAGATGTCTGTATGCTGTCAATCTTCAAACAGAATATTCTTTTCATTAACTTTGTAGAATAAAGATACAGTGACTTTTGAATATATACCGATATAATGCCTACAATTTTAAAACGAAGTTCGTATTCCTGATGATACTTCTTAACTTGCACTCTCTACTAGGAGCTTAGTTTATTATACATATCTAACAGGCTGGTTTCGTAACATGAAGGTTCTGGATTTGATCCTCAGTAGGGTCATGACAAAGAGGCCCAAACCAGAACGAAGTGTCTGTTCAGTTCTTCTTCCTTTTGGATGTTAATGAAAGTAGCATACCTGAACTGACCTTTTAAAATATAATTTTTCCAAATTTTTTTTCAAAGTATTTCTATAATCAGTCTGACGGCTTAACTATAGTTATTATTGAAATACATTTTCAAAATCAGAATTACCTGAAGTAAACGTGAAACCCATTCCAATTCTGAGTGACTTTTTGAAGAAACTTCACTGGCATCAACTCCATTCACTTGACTGTCAACAAAGTAAACGTTTCCCAAGTGTAAAAGAGCGGCTAATATTTTCCAGATATTGTCGATATCTTCACTAGTGAATGTCAAAACTTTCAGGGCAGAATTGACGCTTGTATAACCAGCTGAATCGTGTCTACCGTCCAATTCTGTTATTCCACCCTAAACAATATAAAAAGGTTTCAGGTAACTTGATTATTCAAAAATTGTGTATAAAGTAATGCGGAGATTCATTCCTATGGTGTTTTAAATAAATATAAATATTTACTATTTTATGTGAATCTGTGTTTCTGAAGTGCACTTTTATTGTTAACACGCCCTCTACTTTACCGCATAAATTCAACCATTTAAAAACCCCTTAGAAAGCTGATAACCCGAACGTCTTTCAGATACAACACATAATGCATACGAGATTTTATTCAAGGAAAGATTCCGATAAAATATACATTAACGCTTAATTCTCTCTGAAGCTCAATTGCAGAAGTAATATTGAAACCCTAAATAAATAATAGAAATTTAAAACAATTAGTTCCCTTTTTCAATTTAGACAAATCAATAAGAAGACGTATTTGTCTGAATCGTGTAGTGTATTTACTCAACACATTTCGAACAATCTGATCATACACGGACTTGTCATAGGAATGAATATATATGAAATTAATAAAGAGTTAAGGGGTGAGAAAATAGACTTAGGTTAAGTTAAAAGGACGTATTGAAGGTTAAAATAACACTGAAGATCACTAAGCCAAATAACAGAGGTAATAGTGCATCTACCCTGGCTAGTATCAAAAGAAAGTTTACCAAGGAAGCTTTAAGTGTGATGACGAATTGTTTCTTTGAACGCACAAAGGTGGTTTAAACTTCTTGATTGCTGGCTAGGGCTTCGAAAAACTTTAGGGTACGCCGCAAACACGTTTTATAGATAGGTTTAAAAGATCTGTTAACGTCAATTTTATGTCCTGTCTCTATAATATGGTGTTTCACAATAGAGGAGTTGGTTGTCTGTTCTCAAAATTCTATTTACTTCTGAAGCCATTTAGGAATATGCTCTGGAGCCCTTACTTGCAGAGATCGATGAGTCCTCCCTATGTGTTTGCGGCCACGCGTACGTTTAAATTGGCAGATAACGTGGGATGTGACATCATTTTTTGCATGTTCTAAGGGCTTAGATGACTATTTGGGCTTCGCATTCTCAATTATTCTGATCTTAGCTGTCTAGAAAGTTTTTTTAACCGCAGAGTTTGATTATTATCTAGTTACCAAGCTGCTATGATCACTCATATAGGTTAGCTTGATATATACGTCTCTGAGTCATAAGAATAGACGTAAACAGCGAAGAAAAATTTCTTTCATTTTCATAAGCTGTAATTATATTTAACTAAGAAATCATAAATTCAATCAGATACTGGTAAAATTTGTCCTCGAGAAACGTATTACGTAATGTAAGGTGTAACCTAGAAGGGGTGACTAATTGGAAGCCGAAAAGAGACAGAAGTCGACATGAAGTAGTAAGTGTGAGAAAATGACCAGTCAATGTGATTGTACAGTGTGGATAGGAACTAGTGGAAAGATGATAAAGTGTTTTTATATAAAATACGACAGGAGATTATTGATCACTGTTCAGTGTTCAAGGGCTTGGAAAATTTGAATTTCTTTTCTTTCAAAAATAAAAATAAAATACGATTTTCCATAATTGTTGCAAAAGTTTTACCTGGTCCTTATTCTGTATTACAAAGTGCTAAATGTTAGACTGGAGGTGAATAGAAAACACACAAAATGAAGGCCTCTTACTTGGATACCATGAGTTTCTCATGAATAGAAAAACATTTTGACTAGGAGGTAATCTGAATTAATTCTATGTACCTTAAGTCATATTCAAAATACTCTCAGTGTACTGTGTACCACGACATATTAAAACAATAGAAATAAGTGTTCTTTTTCTGACTTATTACACAAAGACAACAAGTCTCATGAAATTCTGTTTGAATTACCATTCAGTCGAACTAAGCAGTTTTGAAATTTGTTCCATCCGGTGTTTAGATTGAATTAGCGGAAAGCCTTAGTAGAAGTCTGGTGTTTAAAAATACTCATGAGGATGGAGTATCCCTGATCTTTGGTGAACTGATTTCCTTTAAAAACCAATCACTTCAAGCGCCAGCAACTCATTCAGATGGAAGAAATACTTTATGTGACGGCATTCTAACTTTTATTATTATATAGATGATATATAATATATGAGTTTTTGAACTTCTAAATAAATCCTACAGTATTGCAATTTAGCAGTTATGTTTCTTCCATCTACTAAATTTTCTTATTCAGACCTTCTGATATATTTCTCAGAATTCGTTCTCGGTTGTCCAGAGAACTAAACTAAAGTTGAATCATACAAGGCGATATGATCTAAAATCTTAACATCTATTAGCTTGTGACGGTAAGCGTGAACGTTGGTTTTATTCTTCTGGTTTTATTTTATAATCTAACATAGCTACTTTGTCTTGCTGACTTTAATAACTTAAAAGTAAATTTTCAACCCTTCTGCTACAGGCTTAATATGTATTAAAAATGAGAATAGATCTTAAAAGTACGGGGCGAAATCATCAGTTCTCCAGCTCCTGCTCTGAGCTAAGTTTTCAGTAGGCATTACTAGCAGATCGATACTATAGTGAAATAATTATTCAATAGTTCTTAACTATTAAGGATATTTTACTTGGTTTTTATTTGTATCTGTGAAGATATCCATAAGTAACATAGAAGTTAACTAACCTGTATAAGATAATCGTAATCTTCTGCTTTAGTTAATCCTAATAGATTTTTCATCTCAGATGACATTCCAGCTAACATATAATAAAATGCATGATAATTACGTTCATATTTTGTTTGTGTAACAATCCGTGATTTCTCTAATAAGTATTGATCAATTTTTGCACTGACTATATTGCCACGTTCACGACTAAAATGAATTTCAATATATTTTCCAAATCGAGATGAATTATCATTCCGAACAGTTTTAGCATTTCCAAAAGCTAAAATTTCATTTTTAACAATTTAAATACAAATTATTAAATAACTAATCAAATGTTATTTTAAATGATTACTATAATACTCTGTTTCTTTATGGTTAGAAGTAGTTACAATAATGATAATGATTATTTCTTATGCCAATCAAGTCCTGTGCTGACAACTGGTTGCATTCTTATTTCTCGAACAGAATGCAGTATACTGTATGTAAAAGCAAGTCTTCCTCTACCTTGCTTACTGAGGCTGGAGTCCCTCGAGGTGTTGTTCTCTCTCTTTTTTCCTTTTTCTCCTAACATGACTTACCCCTTCCGGATGAGATCAACTTCGTTAAATATGCTGATAATCTGACTATTCCGTTGACAGTTACGTCCCGATCTGGCTGTTGCAAAGTGACTAACCTTTTGTTGGATATCACCCAGTGCCTAAACTAAATGGCCTTATGTCAAATCCCTCTAAATGTCAAACAGTTAATTTCACCTTCAGAAGTAAACGTGACCTCCAGGAGCTGGTTAGCTCACATGATGCTTATAGCGTAGCATAGGGGACACTGGAATAGAAAACAAGTCAAGCATTAGATACCCCGGAATACTTCTTTCCTCTGATCTTTCTTCGTCATTTCATATCTTGTTGATTTCTAAGAAAATGTTCCACCTAACCCTCTACATGAAGAAGTTGAGACAATCAGATATGTATCACTCAACCTCTTGTTTCACAATTTGTTAACTCTTGCATCCTACTTACTGTTTTTTATCGCTCCCCATTAGTCTTTACCGGCTACTCAAAAAATACTGTGTAGTATTGTGAAGGGTATTATAGGTGGTCAGTGATGCAGGCAAGTGATGTGCTACTACGTCAGCTAATTATTATTATCATTAATAATAATTATAATAATAACAAACAAAAGCTACATTGTTGGATCTCTGTTTTCAAACATGATTGATTAAATCGCATAGTTACGCTTATATTTAAAAAGTGTTAATTGTGAAATAATGGATTCGTGAAATGAATTTTTATAAGAATAGATAGTGATTTACATACAGTGTCACATGAATAAATGTTAGAAAACAGTCTCTTAAGTTATCCTTTGATAATTTACGATCAAGACACTAAAAGAATCGGTATACTTTCTACATTTTTCAACGATCTATATAGCTTAAAATGGAATTGTGCATTTTATTTACTGAGTGAAATCACCATAACCTGGAGACTTAGTAAGATCTTCAAAAGCATAGTTAAGCTTTCGACAGCTGAAAAGTGCAGGAGCACTAATGATCCTGCGACGATCAATCTGAACAGGGCAGTTAAACTGAGTAAATAACATCATGTCCATTAAAAAAAGCGTTGAGTGAAGTGTAACAGTATGGAACAGGATATGTTATTAGTTTTAGCCTAGGCTAGTTAAAGATTAACGTTAGCTTTGAACTAGGGACAGGATAGAGCTAAAACAACCTAATTAAGGAGATATTAGGATTGGTTAAAGTTAGGTTAAGGAAAGACTAGGGTTGGACTTGAATCAGGGAGCCTAATTTACACTTTAGCGAAATTACTGTTTCCAAGGTCACTGATGAGTTCGCGCCTCCTTCTAACTTTCCTTCTTTAATATACTAGTATGTGAAAACTTAACAAAGATGAGATACAGTGCAAGATTTCATTGATATTATCCTTATTTTTAAAAGTGGATAAACTTCAGCTTATCACTTCAGTGATGAAATAATACCTGGTACTCACAACTTGTAAAAACATTTATCTAGTGTTTAACAACACCTCTTATTTTAATGATTAATATGTTGGAAATCAGTTAAAATTTGTAAATTAAGATATTTTATAAAAACAAAACACGTATTTCCCTTGATATCTGGATGGGGATTATTCATGAATTAAGTTATTTATCATAATATACAGCTAGAAGTAATATACAGAATCCAAAATATCACCTTTAGAAATTATCAGGAGTATCATTCAGCTTCCTTGATTCTAAAGAGTAAAATGTTTTGATCATATTAAGAATATTTTTCTTGAAAGACTTTCAGAAAAAAATGTCTACTTTTATTCAGTCTATGAAATATTATAGGTAGCAACCTCCTTTAATGCCCAAACCTTCACTTTGTATACCTAATGGCATATAACTGTCCGTGTAAGTTGGTTGACGCATATTTTCTACACCTAATTAGAATTCATACATATGACCTATGTTTGAAAATAAAAAGCGCACGTAAGAGAAACTCTTCCGTAGCAGCATTCCATTTTAAAATAACCTCTGCCTTCTGCATGCCAACGACCTTTGAAAATTGTTGAATGTTTTCCTAATTTTTCTGGTGCACAAATCTAGTGACTTCATGTTTATTCTTCAGAACGTCAGAATAATACATACCATCCTGCTATCTTTTCATTTGCCTATTTTTATGCTTAAGTCTTTGGGTTAAAGTAAACTTACCTTCCATTATAGGGTTTGAATCGAGTATCTGCTGTTCTGTCCAAGAATGTTGACCACTGACAGCAGCTAAAAACTGTGAAAGTAATTTAGTACTTTCCGTTTTACCAGCTCCACTTTCACCGCTATTAAGCAAATAAACATAAAATAAGGTTTGAACAAGTTATTCTTTTATTGAAAAATTGAAAATCATAGTTTGTTGTCTTATGCATTACAATCAACTTCTATCAACATGTAATTGATACATTTTATGTATTTAAACAGCATCATAAAGGACAGATTTTAACATACTTTCAAATAATAATGAGGATCTAAAGATTGCATTTATAGGCGTTCCATCAATTTTGACGTGAATTTTCGCGGCAAGCCAACACCGCTTGTAGGATTCTTTGAGACTGAGCAGCACCAGTTGGTTGTTTCTTTCTGGTTCTGCTCTAAAATATTGTGCATTTGTAACTCACTGAACTAGCCTTAGTCCGATAGACTGATACACAACAGCAACTACTAAATTATTAGCAGTCTGAAAATCTACGATTATCTCAATGCTTCTGATTAGTAGTTATCTAAATGATTGTCCGCTCCAGTTATTTATAACTAGAATGGCGGCAAAAGGAACTGACTGAATGGGCACTGTGATTACACTGAATAGCACGTTAAGTTGCATTTATTTACATGAGTGATTTTAAAACAAAAAGTGGTTAGTTGCTGGGTTTTATGGTTCGGACAGGTTAGTGACGCGGAGCCTGGGGATTAGAATTCCATTGCTACCTTTGTCTCCACTCCTTTCAGAATCGTTCTAATCGTATGTAATACCAAATGTTATGCTTTTTTGACATTATTTTATTCTGACTGCACCGACATGCCATCATCACTGGTAGTAGGCAGTCTTGTTTTACTTCTGTCTCCACTTCAAAGACTTCTCTGAGCTTTCCGTTGTAAATCACTTGGTATGTGACATCATTTTGTTACGAAGAGAACAAATCAAGATACCAATACCCACTAAAAATTGCTCACACACGCAAATGTTGGTCAGACATAAATATACACACGTTAAGTGAGTGATTCTGAGCAGTTCTCAAAACTGGATATAAGTTATACGGCATGCGATATTACAGAATCATCTATACAGGCCATTTATCAGTAACACAGTGAATAGTCGACTTTTTTTCGTTTTGCCTTTATTTTGATAGAATTTCTATTTATTATGTGACCAAACCTTGTAGGCCGCACGTTTTAATATATATTCTCTACTCAAGTATGTTATTCTTCTACCTTAAGTTCGACTAGTGCATATGATATGCCAAGTGACAAAACTGAGTGGAATCTTCAGCAGTCCCAATAAATTAAAAACCATAGAAAATTTCTCTTGCGTGTTTTGAACAATATACTGCGGATCTGTCTAGTGGTGTATAGTGGTAAGCTGCTAATCCAGTATTCTAGCTATCAATAAATTCCTAATGGCTATTAAAGACAGAGTGATAGTGTTCTTACTTGAAAATAAATAATAGCCTTATTTTGAAAAATGCGTTGATACACAATATAGAATTTTCATCAGGTTTCATATTGTAAGGTATTTACTCCTTGTGCAGAATCTTCAAGTAATATTATAGACGACAATGTATCAAATGAAGTGATATCATTTTATCGGAGGCAGGCTGTAATAATCTACAAGATTTCCCCTCCATCCCCGTCAGAAAATTCGTAGTGAAGGGTTAAAACCTATTTGAAAATGTGCCTGAGTATACTATGTAATTCTTAGACATAATTGTATGATTAAAACAATGTGATATGGGGGTAAGCACAATACATTTTTAGGTGGATAGAAAATTTAGGTAGCCCACTGATTTAAGCAGGCCGCCATGACTCTTACTGTAAATATGAGCGAGTCATCACACCTTTCATTGTTAAGAGTGTTATCTGATAATCAGAAAGTTTTCTTTAAAAATGCTAGAAAAATTGAACTGTCATTATGAAATGCAACATATTATAAAATGAAAAACTTCATATACATGAAAGATAAATCGAAAGAAATTTTCCATTGGGACACATAGAAAATCAAAACAAGTGATTCAGCGAAGAGATTCTTTTCAACGAATTTAATACCAAGCTGTACAATCATATATATATGGCTTTTTAAGGAATTATATCCGATGAGGGAATTGAATCATATATGTGAAAACATAAAATAATAATAGTAGTATGAAATGCACTTAAAATGTTTGTGATTATAATCATAGTTTAATGTGAAGTGGCAAAATAATTAATGTCATATGTAGAATAATTCATAGGATATATAGAAATTGGAAGGAGTGTGAAATTATCGGATCAGTAGGCAAATAGAATAGAAGTAAAAACGTTAAGTAACATTGTGTGAAATTTGATAACAGAATTTAACGTTGCAAAACAAAATTGATTTAGAATGACAAGTGGAACGAGTGAAATAATACCGGGGACAATTCAGTGTGAGAATAGTAATAGTAACAATTGACGTAATAGAGGAACAGTATACAAATTGAATAGACACAATGAAAAAATTGGTAGAGCCAAGATATGATTGGGGATTACCGTACTTTAGCATAGAGGGATTAAGACCATGAAAGTTGGAGGGGTTGAACGAACTTTTTTGTATACAGAGATCTGGCTTCTCTGTTTCGATAGTCAAAGCTTCAGAAATACAGATGAGTCGGGTACGTAATGATTTGGGTAAATTACATTTTGCCCTGTAGATGACTTTAAAGGTGGAGACTGTAGAGATAGGGTGATTATATATATATATATGATTGTACAGCTTGATAATATATTCGTTGAAAGCAGTTTCTTCGCTGGATCACTTGTTTTGACTATTTCAATCGAAAGAAGTTCAGAATACTTATAAGTTTCCATGTATTTGTCGACAACTGAGTTTTGTTTGCCAAATATTGAAGGCAACCTTGACAATCAAATCTATATTATTAAAATTCACAAGTTTAAAAACGATTTCTTTGAATGCACTGGTTGATTTATGAATGAATGTTTGAGTCTTTTCCTTTCGTGAAATTATTCAAATCTCTACAGGTAACAAATTCTCTTGACAGGTATAGAATTCCTAACTTTCTCTAACGGTAAATTAGCATTGATGGATGGATTTTTCGGCCTATCCTTACATAATTCAGTAATGTTAACCTTCAGCTTCTGATAAGATGAAAAGGAACACTTTGCCCTTCATCTAATTAAGTAGTATTTAACCATCATCATTTTCAAATTTTGTCTATACAACAAAATACCTTTCTTTTATGAAATGGTAAAGTTATATTTCTAACCTGATTATTATACATTGATCCATAGCATATCTTCTCATATTACTGTATGCATTATCACCTATAGCAAATAGATGAGGTGGAAGTTCACCAATTTTTCGTTTTCGATACATTTTGATATAATCAGCATTATAAATAGGCAGAATCTGATAGGGATTTAGCGCCACTAGTATTGATCCTGTATAGGTCTGAAATAAACATGAAAACATAAGAATGAACTGCAACTTCAGGTACAGAAGTGAAATTTAACTATTACGTTTATAGGGGACTTGTGATTTCAAATTGTTTGACTTTAAAGTCTTCAGTATTTATCTACAGATTTGTTGGGTGTTTAAATAAGCATATCATCTTAGTTATCCGTATATTCCTGCAAGATAACCTATTTATTATTAAAGCCTTTATTATGCATAGTAAGTTTACACAATAGGCATCATTTTCAGCTTAGTTTATGGTATAATATTTTCTCTACATCCAGGAGTTTCAAGTAAAACAACCATCTCCAGTACATCATGTGACGCAGTGATGTTAGATATTTGGCGAACCATGGACATACCTCAATGATTATAACAGCGAGGACTAAAGTGAATAAAATGCATCATCTCTGATTGAAATTCAGGTAGATCAGTGATTCAAGCAGGTCGCCATTCCTTTTCTTTCGATCAAGTGAAGAATGATTATAAGGCTACAAGCTTCTGGAAGTTTCACTTCAAAATTCTACCCAAGTGTCGATGTGTCTTCTCTAACATGCCATAGACCCTGATATTTTAAGGTTACTATGAGGCTCAAAAGAATTGTTTTTTTTCATAGTTCTGTTATTCGATTGCTTTTTCCAGTGTCGGAAACATATTGTTGCTTTTCTGAACTCGTTTACTGATATACTACTTATATCCATTTATAAGTAGCACTCACTACAGTACTACATAAAATCACTTTATTCACAAATTATTCAGCATTTTAGCACTTTTCAGTATTTACAATGGTGATTTGTTAATTTGTTTAAGTAATTTTCCAGTATTCATCATGTTTGCATATAGTTAGTTGGTTATCATTGTGACAACTAGTGTAATTTTTATTTGTGCCCACAAATCAGTAAGATAAATTAAACTGGGATCAGTCACGATGTAGTAACCCATATAGCACCTATCTTGGTTTATCAGTCATATTTTGAACCAGACTACTAGACTGAATAGCATGAAATTCTAGTGTGTCATACGTTAGTGTTAGATATTAGGAATTGTTTGTTAAATTAATTAGTAAAGAATGCTTATTACTACAATAACACTTATTTTCAACTGAAGACGTATTACAGTAAAGGACTCTGTGCTCATAAGCCAGCAATTGAATTCTTTAAGATGTTACTACACTAGTAAATTTTTCATCAAGTGATACTGACGTAATATACACCTTCTAGATTACGAGTGTAAAGTATTCTACACTAACTGGTGCATTTGATTAACGGGCCATATACTTCCTTTTCTAACCATTCGAAAGCATTAAAAATAAAAATAAACATTATTTGGTTGAAACAAGTTTTAGCAAATTTATTCTTTTATTATTTTCAGATTACAATACAATCCATTAGTCAGTCAAATAATTAAAAAAAACTTATAAGGTCAGCGGAAGATAATTTGAACATAAACAAAACTGGAAAAAAAGTAACCATAATATGCGTATTTATCTATCAGTCTAGATATCAGATTCACAATTAACAAATTAAATTAATAATCCCTATTGAGACATAAAAACAAAGAATTCGGAGAAGAAAGTTCTCTTTTTGACGATTTCATTTTCATAACTGTACAATCGTATACCGTATGATTATGTCGTAAACTGGATAGCAGAACTCTTGGAACTATTAAGTTTGTACCTATTCTTTGTATGACACTTTTGAATTTGTTAACTGCATTAATGATATTATTTTATCAATTAATGTATGCTCATTTTTTACCACTGTTCCATTAAGTGAAACTGTATGCTTCATTGGGCTCACCAATTGGTCCGTTGCTAGCAGACTTCTTTTTGGCTAGTATGGAGAATAGTACTCGTACACCTAATACGAAATGGGCTTCCTTCTACAAAAGATACGTGGATGACACGTTCATTATATGCGATGAGAACTGTGATTTGGATGATGTCCTGAATATATTCAGTGGCAGTCATCCTGCTATCCGGTTCACCTTAGAAAAGTAAACTGAGACGAAAATATTTTTCCTTGATGTGCTACTCACAAGGAAAGCTGAGGGGTCTTTAAAAAGAACTGTCTACAGAAAATCGACGTGGACAGGACAACTGACTAATTTTTACAACATTGTCCCCATAGGCAGAAAAGGAATCTAATCCATTCTCTCTCAACACGGGTCTGGAGAATTTGTAGTGAAGATAGTGTTGTTGATGAACTCAAACAACTGAAAGAAACCTTTATGGAGAACGGGAATCCATTACTCTTCGTCGAGGTCAATAGCAAATTACGTGGAAGAAATACAGAGATTGATAAGGTAGCTAAAAAAGTGTTGCATCTAAACTTAGAATTTACGGGTGAGATTGCGAGTGAGATACTTAAAAATCGTCTGACCAGATCACTGAGAAAAATGCTCTTTGCAGCCACTTTACGAATAACCTACTCTAGACATCCACTGGTGCCTCGATTGTCTAATTCGATGTGTATTTATATGTTCATCTGCTCTTGAGGAACCAGGTACATAGGACATTCGTCGAGAAACATATCGTGCCGCGTTCGAGAGAAGCTCCCAGTTTGGCTGAGCAAACAAGAACGTAGAGGTATTAATTCATCAATATTGCAACACATATTGTATATGATGACCACGCAGGTTCTGGCACATCGCTAAATATAGTCTACGAAGTCCGACAAAGTTTGCCGAAAGGGACACGAGCGCATTTGCTTCGTATAGCAGAGGCTTTGGCAATATATAACATAGAGCCCAGAACTTCGTGTACAAAAACTGTTTGTACGATCTCTCTCGCTACCATGGTCTTGATTTTACCGTGTAATTCACATAAAATCTTTGTTATCCTTCTTCGTCCCAATTTCCATTTTTGTTTTATCTCACTTTATGTTTTTGTATTCTAACATATTATCGATTTTGACAACATTTCACTAATCTTATGTCTCCATCACTTTATATTCACATTTCCTAAAGTACTTAATGTTCCGATCATCTATCTCACACATGTGCATTTATAGCACCAGTAGGCAATACACGGATACCAAGTTATATTTTCAAACGGCTATTTACATATATTCTTTAACCAATCACTGAGCGTATGACTTCGGTTTACACTAAACGACATGAAATACAATGATCATATTATTAAAACAATTAGTCCCTTTGATAAATTTGAATAAGACATTAAGAAGACAAATTTCGCGAGATGATATCAATAGACTTCAATCTTCGCCTACCCTGGACTACTTGACCTGTCTAAATATGATTGGTCATTAGTATGTACTTTTGTTTTTATTTAACTGAGTAATTGTCATGAACTTTATTTTATAATTGTTAACCATGTTAGTTGTAAAGCGGTTGTAAAGAAACTACGAAATGATATCATCTCGCGAAATTTGTCTTCTTAATGCCTTATTCAGATCATATTATTACCATGTATATATATATATATATATATATATATATATTGGTAATGCGTTGTCAAAAAATACAGTTGTTAATGTCGATCAACAGATAAAAGCTGAATGAGCGTAATACAGTTAAGTGATAAGATGAATGGTTTAATGAATGAGTTGTGATTAGGATGATATAGAAGCCTTAGCTGTTCATTTGAAGAAACCAGATTTATTTATACAAAAGAAAATCATCCAACCACTTTTACTGTCGTGGTAACAACCGTGTTGACTTCCAGTGACTTCATGTTTGCGTGCTTGTTTTTGTCCTAACTCTTTATAAAATTTTTATTTTTAGAACTCGTACATAATTCCATATTTTCCTTTGTTATTATGTGCATCCTTAATCGCAACTCACTCATTAAACTATTCATCTTGTTTTCAAGTATTGGTTTTTGTAGGGATTTTGTATGATTGATTGTAGGATTTCATAATGAGCTGGCATCAGTTAGAGAACCATTGGAAAACCCGCTGGGAGTACTGGATAGCTGTTTCTTCCTAGTTTGGGATTTTTCATCTCATTACTCAACTGTATTACGCTTATTCAACTTCTTTTATTTGTCAATAAATGTTTTTTGACAACGCATCACCACTACCCTCTTACCAGTCTTCATCCTCCCTAGTTACAGCTCGGTTACTCGTCACATTTTGAAATTTCTTGACAACAATAACCTTAACTTTTTTTTATTCTTATAGGATAAGCCTAATATGTGCACAAATATAGAAAAATAAGTATATGTCGTTACAATTTTACAGCTAAGTGAAAGAATTCGCTACCGAAAAGAGACTCTTTGCTAATCTACGTGTTTTGTTTTCATTAATATCTGCATGTGGATTATTCATGAATTATAGATATATCTCATGGATACAAAAATAATGTCATCTTGATTGCATCAGGAAACCGTTAACAACTAAAAACCATGTTTCACAAATCACTTCACGAGTAACTATGTATTTTATCTGCTATTAAACCTTTAAATGCTTCAGATATTATTTATCCATCAAATATAACTTACACATCAATGAAGTAAGTGAAAATTAACTCTGTTTCACTAATCATTTTTACTTTACTTTCTTATTGTCATTTATAACTTCATATTTTACCAATCAGATTTTGTAGTGTAGACTTCATATGCTGAATGAAAATCTCATCCTGCATAGAAATTATTGTTTGGAATAAAGTGGTTACTGTTACTATCATTATTACATATACCTGTAGATGACAGTTTCCAGTTATTGACAAACATTTATTATGCACCATAATAGTGACTCAAGTAGCCACACGGAAAAATGTTAAACAACAACCGGAGGTGTTTGTCAATATCCAGAATTATATAAAAAGAAATATTTCCTCTGGTTACAGGATTTCATCATGAGCTGACATCGGTTAGAGAACCATTGGAAAACCACCAGGTAGTACTGGACAACTGTTTTGTCCCACTAGTTTGGGACTCTTCGTCAGTGCGCACCAACCAAAGGGGTTCGAACCCAGGACCTTCTAGTCACACAGCAATCAGGTAGACCAATAAGCCACTGGGACCCGATACAATGGCCCATGAAATATTTTCATTACCCGAATACTTTTTCAATGAACACCATTATACAGCTTTCAGCTAAGATCATGGGAATTTAGTTGTGATATTTACTGGTCACAAAATACATGCTGTTTTCACTTAGGCTGTTTGTGTCTGTTTGGCGGTTTCAGTTATTTCATACTGGTGAACATGATTACACATGATGTCTAACTGGGAAACAAACTGCTAATGGTAGCGCTAACATCAGGTAATCAACTGGAATATTCTGTGCGTCAGTGGTTCACTGGTAGAATGCTTGTCAATCAAGCATATAGTTTGGAGTTCGATTCCCAGCTGATGAACTTCTGAACCTGGCTTAGCCAGTAGTAAGAGTGATAAAAAGGGAAGGTTAGACATGAGGTTAGCAACCCCACCGTGTAAAAGTAAAATAACTGTTACTGAAACTTCAAGCCTGAATCTTGAAGCCCAGTGTTACACTCAAAACACAAAAGAATATAATAACAATAATCTGAACTAATCAAACTAGTTTTTGGTTTATTAAAATTCTGTAAAAAATACTTACATAAATTTGATTTTGACTATAACGCATACAAAGATTCCGAAGAATTCCACCCTCATTAAGTTCACCCAAGTCAATCATATCGTCGACACCTTTGACAGAGGACGGATGCATTAGTTTCATATTGTTGTCTGTTGAAACTTTGAGAATCTGAAAGTGATAGTGTTCTTAGTGTCAGTGAAAAGTCTATGCATTGTGGAAAAGATCAAATCAATTATAATTATTGGTATTAGATGGTTGGAGGCAATCGGCAGGAAGCCTTGGACCCAGGTTTCGTACTAGTTGGCACTCATCAGCAAGGCGTATCTACAACCTTGAAGGAACTCATGTCCCTTCTGAGATTCGAACCCGCATCACCCAGTGCTGCAGTCAGAGTGCCAACTAGCACGACACCTAGGTCCAAGGCTTCCTGCCGATTGCCTCCAACCATCTAATACCAACAACTCAAAGTGCACCGTAATGGCGAGCCACCTAGCATGGTGGCCACATTGCAAACATGACTGATAGAATTCAGTCTGCACCGAAGATAGGACTAGACGCATTACACTAGTTACTGACTAGTGTGCAATCAAAAAAACAATTATAATTATATTTGAATAGTTTACACACAATGGTAAGTTGAAATAATAGAGATTTGTAACTCAGATGAATAATATTGAATTAGTTGTATTCTCTGAACTGGTTGATTTAATTGCGAAGATTTCGTAGTTCTTCTAGACAACATCTTCAGAGCAGGTTTTAGTATAAGGTTAAATTCTCGATGAATGATTTCATCTTATACTAAAAATGCACTAAAGATGTTGTCTAGATGGAGGACGAAACCTTCGCAATTAAATCAGCCAGCTCAAAGAATACAACTAATTCAACAATGATAAGTTTTTTTTGCTCGAAATATTACCAAAACAAAAAACTTTTCCTTGTGTATAATGTATTGAAATATAATTATAATCAATGTGATAGTGTGGTGAGAGCTGTCTGCAAGCCAAAATTATAGACAACAGTTTACGTCAGTGTTTAAGTCCCGAATCGCGGTCATGAGAAAAAAACAATATCAAAGCTTAACCTTGAGGGACTCACCAACCAATCACAAAAGACTTAACCTGTGCAAATACGATTCGCAGATATATGGCGTAACTCTCTGAGAAACGGTCACAAGCAGTACAGAATAACCTTCAGCAAGAAAACAACTAATCAGAAGACGTTGCTTCTCTGCCGTAATAACGCTAATTATAATGTACATAAAAATATAAATATCACTTGATTTTCTCAATAAACGATCTGCTGCCTGACTCTTGTCTTCTGTCGTTACAATAGTAGTCATCAATAATACTTAGTACTTTTCATAAAATAAGTCTAATTTCTAATATTACTCTAAAATACACTGTCATTATGGTAGTTTTATTTATTTTAAATAGCTGATTTAATTGAAAATCTTGTAACTTATGAATTGATTAGTACACATTTCTTGCATTAACTAAACACCCTTATCTGTTTTCAAACTTTCAAGATAAACAAAATGTTACGATTATATTAATGCTTGTGTGGGAATCACTTGCACTAGTAGTTGAGACTATTCAGGTCATTTAACCATACTTCCTGTCCAAACTCTAAGTTCCTAACCATCAACAAGTCACTGTTTTTTGGAAAGCTAGTTTACCGTAATAATACCAGGATCAGTGAATATGGGAAAACCAAATTTCCTTTAGTAGACTAAGTGAGTTTCAAAATAGAATTTCACACAAAAGTGCAGCATTTCAAGTTTTCACAATCCATATAGCACACAAAGGTATAGAAAAGAAAAAAGGGATTCAAATGAACCATAATGGGTAGAAATGTAGAGGAAAAAGAATAGTAACACGGAAAAATATGGGGATTTAATCGATATAGGAGATTACAAAGAGTAAATGCATCTAGGCCATTGAAAATGGTTTTTAGCCAAGTCACCAAGAGTCTCCAGTCATTGGCTTTTAGAATCCTGAGGACCCTAACATTGAAGTCTACACCTTACTATATGGCTCAAACCAACTGTCAAAGACTTTGTGAACTGATGCTAGGTTTTCGTTTGACCACACCCAATTCTTCTTCAACCCAGTCTAATGTTAGCTGACATTGCTCGTTGAGGAAGGCAGTGACTTGTCATACATAACATGTGTCCTAACCATCTCAACCAATTTATTTTCACAACATCATCTATGTACTTCCCTTTCTTACCTCCCTCATGCCAATCGATTAACACAAGAAAAAAGAACGCAAATGTCTGTAGTCAAAGACATGTGGCCTTTTCATGTCTTTCACTTTCATTGGCCATGTCTAAAAGCCACAAAAAAGGACAGATAGAAATTCTGCGCAGTAGACAAATTGGTTTAATTCGTAGGCAGATATCACGTCTACACAAATTTGAAAATGCCACTTCTTCCTATTACTTCCTATTGCAATGCTGCATGCCAAGTAATCCACAACGGGAAACTTACGGAATCCTTCGAAGTGAGGACAGGAGTAAGACAAGGCTGCCTACTATTGCCAGTGATTTTCCTGATTGCAGTAGACTGGATAATGCAATAAACAGCGGGCAATGAGGAAACAGGCATAAAATGGACTCACACAAAAAACTTGGAGGATCTGGACTTCGCCGATGATATATGTCTGATTTCCCACAAACTGGAAGATATGCAAGCGAAAAGCAACAAGTTGGCAGAAGAAGCATCCGGAAAAGATAGGACTTCAGGTGAACATAGAGAAAACAGAGGTGATGAAGATTCCTGGACAACACCACCAACAGCAACAACAACAACAACAGACAACAATCAGCATAAATGGGAGGAACCTGAAAGAAACAACCTCTTTTACCTACCTGGGAAGCATCGTTTCAACTACAGGAAGACGGAACTGACGAGGATATCAAAGCAAGGATCGGAAAAGCAAGACAAGCTTTCACTACTCTCAAGTCTGTGTTGAGGTCAACAGCACTCAGCATGAAAAGAAGATAAGATCCGGATTTTCAACTCCAATGTGAAGTCAGTGCTACTATACGGATCAGAGACTTGCACTGCGCATCATAAAGAGCACCTCAAACAAACTACAGACCTTCATTAACAGTTGTCTTCACTCAATACTCAAGATCAGATGACCGGCCAGAAAAGATCAGCAATAGAGATCTCTGAGAGCGAACCAACACAGCAGGAACCGATTGTGAAACAAATAGGCAAGAAGAAATGGAGATGGATTGGCCATACTCTGAGGAAACCATCAAGTGACATCACTAGACAAGCCATTGCTCGAGTGGAACCCGAAAGAGAAGCGGCGAGTTGGTCGTCAGTGCAAGGGTGATATGGAGGAGGTGATGTGAAGAGGAGATGAAAACGTGTGGGCAGACTTGGAGCCAGGTGAAGACTCTAGCAGAGAACGGAACGCAATGGAGACGCACGGCTGAAGCCCTATGTTCCTCTAGGAATTAAAGGATACAATAATAATAATAATCCTATTACTGCTGATCTACTCCTATTGTTTAATGGTACATTCTTTGCTTCTGTAATTGTCAATGTATGCATATCTGTGATTCACAACAAGAGAAAATTATTATTAAACTAGTGTTTTAAAGTTTTTTTGATTAAGAATCGCTTTTGTTTTTAAACAATAAATAAGTATTGTTGCAATGACCTACATAGTAGTTTGACATAAAGTCATAACATACGGTAATAATCAAAACACTTTAGACACAAATAATTATATTCAGTAAATGCTTTTCACTGCGCTGGAATTGTCATCATGTTCCTGCGAAAACTCATTTTTGAATGACCTCTGTATGCCAATTTGTCACTCATTACGTGAAGTTTTCTATCTGCAGCATTCACATTGTTACTGAAGTTTTTATAGTTATTAAACTAATAAGACAGGAAATTTTAATAAATCCATGTTGACAAAATGGCTTTCCAGATAGATTCAACCATGCCTTGAAAGGTGGTAAATGGATACCATCACTTACTAAGATGTGCTTACATCGAATTTAAATCGTCATAACTGAGAGAAAATTTGTATTTTCAGGCCTCTACAAAGTATAATATGTGAAATTATTTATGCAAATAGAATCTACTGTAACCAGAAGTATAAGATAAAAAGTAAGAAAGAAGATTCCTCAGTAACTTTATATTAAATCGCAAACATTCCTTACTGATTACTCATTTCATGAATGAATTTTAAACCCAGTATACCATACTCTGCGTGTCAGTGGCACAGCGGTTAGGACGCTCGCCAACCATGCACATGGTCCGGGGTTCGATTCCCGGCCGACGCACTCCTTCACCTCGCTAAGCCAGTAATAAGACTGGTAAAGAGGGAAGGTTGGGCATAAAGCCAGCAACCCCATCCCGTAAAAATAAACTCTGCAACAGAAACTTCAAGCCTCTAGCTTGAAGCCCTATGTTCCGCTGGGAACGTGAAGGAATAAAAAAAATACCATTCTCTAGCCTTTGAAATACGGACCAACTGGAACAAATTTCTAACTTGGTAAGAATACTTTCATTGGCATCATTCCCTAGAAGTTCATATGCATTATGGTGAGTATCTGTATATTGTAATTATTGTATTATTTTGAAATTAAATCAGATGACAATACAAACTAATGTGCAAATAAATATCTCACTCGACCGTCATCATCTTCAACAATATAATGATTCTGTTCTATCCTTCGAACAATACCACCAATTGGAACTGATAAATCAACATCTTCTGAATTTGTAAGCCATATATAATCATTCTAAATAAAAGAATAAAACATAGATCTTAGAGAAAAGACGAAAAAGAACAGACGCACAAGTGCAAAAACCAGTGCTACTTATTACTGATAATCATACGTTAAATGTTGGGTTGCAGGGATTTGATTAGTTTCAGGATTTCATCATGAGCTGACATTGATTAGAGAACCATTGGAATTGGCAGAAGTTGGAATTTATGAGCCACTGGGTAGGGCTCCAGTGGCTTAATGGTCTATGAGCTCGCTGGCCTTGTAACCGGAAGGTCCTGGGATCGAACCCCAATTGGTGGGTACTCATGAAGAGTCCGAAACTAGGAGGAATCAGCTGTCCCGGGTTTTCCAATGTTTCTCTAAATGATGTCAACCCAAGATGAAATTCTGAAATCACACGTTAAGTTATACAATTTGCCTTGGTCAATAAGCATTCAATCTCCTTAACAAATCTCCAAACTGGCATCACCATTTTTGAATATCTTCTCAATGTACCAGAAAAATTGTCATATAAAGGTAAATTTTGATAGAAAAACCAATCCACCAAGTACAAATATTTGTTATGCAACCTAAAACGATACAAAATGACTAGAAAACCGTATACCGTACAAGTAACCTGCAACAAAGTATTTTGATCTGCTGAGACGATCTTCTGTATACTTATTTCACTTCAGTGTAAAGAAAACTCGAGCCCTCAACTTTACTCTTAGTCAAACACCTTTGTCAAATTACCAATTTTAATGTACATATTATTGATGAGTTCAAAATACAATGAAACAGAGATTTATTATCTCTTTGTCTGTATTAATTCTTATGTTAGTATGGCTGGTATTTCTACAAACCAACTGATTTAAGGGGATTTATTCTGCCGAATAAATATAGTAATCTATCTAGACAACTAAAACTAGTGGAAGCACCAATTTCAGGAATCAAAAAAGTTCTGATTTAAAGTATCTAATTGCTTATGATTAGTTTAAAATGTATACTATCAAAGCGTAACTTTTTCTCACTACCGATATAAACTACTCTCTTTACAGTGCGTGTAGTGGTATACTCTCTTACATCCAAAGATATGCATTTCAAGGACATCCCATAAACCTAAGATCGTCTATGAATATATGGGCAAAACACACTATGTATATATTTAGGCTTGAACAGAGCTTAAAATTGAATAACCATGTCTTGATAACTATAACTTTAAGCAGTTATGTTGACTAAGTTCAGAACTTTTCAATTCAAATAGCGAAAAGTTTATGTATAATGAGTTCTTTAGTTGAGCTTATTACTTTCCCGAAATTATAGGTTTATAATAAAAACACAGTGTCATACATAGATATACATCAGAAGCATTTATTGATTGCCACTTTTCAAAAGTTTCAATAGTGAGCATCATATTACCACTAAATATAAAATGATATCTCCCTCATTTGACCTAATCACTTCAGAGGATTACAGTCAAATCCATTAATAAATTAAGAATTATTGTCTAAATAATGTCTAATGCTTTCTAGTTAGTGATAATTCTTCAGCAGTTATGTATTATTATATTGTTATTATAGGTGAGTCGGTGGGACAGCGGTAGAATGCTTGCCAACCACGCAGGTGGTTTGGGGTTCGATCCCCGTCCGATGCACTCCTAAACCTCGCTAAGGCAGTAATAGGACCGGTAAACAGGGGAGGTTGGGCGTGAGGCTAGCAAACCCATCCCATAAAAATAAACATCACTGCTACCGAAACTTCAAACCTCTAGTTAGAAGCCCTATGTTCCACTGGGAACGTAAAGGAAGAAAAAAACTATTATATCCCACAGTAAACCACAATATTAGCCTTTTTACTCTCTGTCTCAAAAGTATCATATAAAATTGAATTGATAAGTTCATATACACATAAAATAAATCTGTATGATTGATTTTAATTCGGGTAGGAAGTACATATTCTTCTAACTTGTTTTACAAGGTTCGTGAAACTTTGGTAGTCACTTTTGCACCAATAAAGACTCCTAGCTCATGATAATGATAATAATTGTTTAATTGATTTTCAGGCTTTATTTTCTAGTCAGGAGTAATCTATTATCAGAGAAAGCGACTTAACAGTTGCTTCAAAAAGTAAGAAAGTAATAAAGTTGCTTGTACTCATGATAATTTGTTCACAATCGAATATCATATTACAGAAAACCTATCATTATCTAACATAGTTACTTTTTTCTAAGAATTTTAGCTCTACATCAACTCTGAAGGTTTCTAGAAGCATAAAGCAAAATAAACATGCATCAGATAGAGATTTTTTTATTAAATATTAGAATAATTGTAATCAACAGAATGTTTACTAACGTACCACGTTTAAAACAACCATTATTTAATGTTACCTAAAAGAAACAGATGGTTAATAACAGAATTAGATTCAACTTATAAATGGAAAAAATTAGGAATTAAACGTATTTTATCATTTTGAATGTACACTTTCAAGTGTATCTTAACAGAACAGATATACAGCTACATAACATTAAAGAGACTTCTGTCAACCAAATACATTATTCTAATCCAATAATCGAAAAGGTCAAATGTAATACCGTCTTTATTCGGTAGATGAGTGAAATCAGCCGGGAATACTGAATCGTATTCCTAAGATTTGCCAGTCAGACTTGAATATCTCAGTGATCTGAGAAGCTATATTATGTGGAATGAATGTGCCTGGAGACTCCAGTATAACTTAATGGTCAGTTTGACTACATTTAGGTTTAAAATATTTATTATGACAGTGGTTGGGACATTTAGAATTGATCACTGGTACGAAATACCTAAATATGTGTAGATTACCTGGATTAGACTCACTGGTTGCAAACATTCTGATGCAGAGAGATAACTGTCTTGGTGACCTTAAAAAGAAATGTATTTCATTGTGAACTAAATTCCCTTTATGTTCCACCTATGAATAACCCACCTGTCGACAAAGGAAGTTTTGAATAACCAATAAAGCAACTGTCTAATATGTGATAAGACACTACGTGGTATTCCGTCCATAAGTCGTAATATATGGTCTTGTATACTACTATCAAAATGAGTAAATTAAGATCCCACGCCGTATGGCGTTTTCGTATCTACACGTATTGTGAAACATCAGTCAAAAGTGTTCTGTATTAGCCTTTATCCTTTCTTAGGATATGGAGTATTTTATCAAAATCACCTTTATTATTATTTGACAAAGATATTTTAACTAATTATAAGTGGTGTATAGATAATTTTAACAATTCGTATAGTAAGCAGTAGTGAAATCCCGTAACACTTGTTCATATGGACAGTGAACTAAGAGTAACTTTACCAGGTTGGATATCTACTTCCTGAAAATCCATGTAATAATTTCGTTCAGCGGGCATTCACAGACTGTAAATGTAAGTGAGTGTCAATATAATTTCTCTCAAGATATATTTAAGCATTTATGATTATACGGAAAGCAACTTTATATTTCGCGATGTATTTCTGATACTATGTAGTCAAAAACCAGAGAAGAACCTTCTGCAACAGAAAACTTAACTGGGTTACAAGATATCGTGGAGTCAGAAATTTGGGAATAAAAGTATGATACAAGGGTGTGAATTTTGAACGTAGCTCTTTCGAATACGTCAACTATGTCTTATTTCATTTTGGAAGTCTTGACTAGACACAAAAGATGTAGTCATCGGGAATCTAGGGAGATTCATTATTGTTTTCTACCTACCGAGTCAAAGATATCATTCTTTGATAAATCTGATGCAGTTTTTCTCTACAATGAGTTACACGTTCATAGATAAGGAGGATTAAATCTATTTGAACCTTCTTAACAAGGACGTTGTGCACCTAACTGACTAAATTACTAGATTCAAGGCAAAGATGCAGTGGACCCACCTTTACAAGTTCCTAAGAATATCTGAACACGTGGTCCCATGAATCATTTGTTCCATCGGCCCTTATATAGTACAGTATCACATGATTCTAATCCAAGTCGTGTTCACATATATGAACGATTGTAATGATTACCTCCCCCCGACCTTAATATTTTGATCCCTACTATTTCCTAAGAGGCGTTTCTATAACAACCATAGAAGAGTTCATGAGATTTAATCTTAGTGCTAGTATATTTTTTATCATTTTAAACCTGTCTGCCAAGAATAAATGCTTTTTGAGGATAAACTCTTAATTACACTAGTTAACCAGCTTGCTAGTTTTCTAGCCGGTCGCTGGCCCGCATAAAGAGGGAGGGCTAGCAACCTCACACCACTAAACCTATCAAACTTCTACAGAAACTTTAGCGCACAGAAAATATATTAAAAATGCAAAACATTCAAATAGCAACAATCTTATTCTTCGCTAGAATAGGAGAGGTGAAATGACACAGTGGGCTGGTGAAAGCCGGCCTTCGAGAAGTCAGCCAGCCAGCTGATGTGTCTTCTCTCGATGAAAGCGAGAGTAAGAATGGGGACGTGGAATGTTCGTACAATGTTTGTCCAGGTAACCAAAGATATGCGAAGAAATGGCCTAGAAGTGCTGGTTATCTGTGAGAGCAGATGGAATGGAAGTGGATTATCGAAATTGTCAACTAGAAAGTCGGTAGTCTACTCCGGTCACCCACCCAGACCACAACCACGAGCAAACTGAAGAAGCGAGAAGCTATCAGCTATGTCACCAGTGACAGCCAGAGCCCTAATGCAGTAGGAACCAATTTCATCCTACAGGACAGTATGATTCAACTCAAAAGGAAGGAAGGAAGGTCACAATTATCCAATGCGGAACAAGAGAAGAAGGAAGATTTTTACAGACAACTACAAACAGTAATGGACAACATCCCAAATGGTGACATCAAAATCATCATGGGTGATATGAATGCCAGTCAAACTGGGAACAGATAATGTAGGAAGAGAACTCGTCATGGATAGGAGAGTATCTGGCCCGGCGAAATGAATGAGAACGGAGAATTATTCTCAGACTTCTGAGCTTTCAATGATTATGTGATCGGAGGAAGCGTATACAAACACAAGGATATACACAAAGCAACATGGATTTCTCTTGATGGGCACACCACAAGCCAGATAGATTTCATTTCAATGTCGCTCAAGGAAGTCGAGACGCAGCCTGTTGGATACAAAGCCGAGAAGGGGAACAGATGTGGGCTCAGATCATCATCCAGTTCAAGGAAACTTCAAGGTGAAGCTGAAATCCACAAACAAAATGGAGACGGGTCACTGTAATCCAAGTTCAACATTCGGAAACTGAACAACAGATCAGATCAAAGCAAAGTCGGACACACTACGTGGCATCACTGAGGAAGCCTGCGTGGAAGAACATTGGAACTATCTGAAGGCGATATTCAAGGAAACGTGTACAACTCTTCTAGGATGAAAGAAGAGGCAAGAAAAGGAATGTCTCTCAACGAATACCTACCTGGAAGCTAATAGAAAAGAGGAGATGAGGATGGTGAAAGAGAAGATGACTCAATGCAAAGATGGACAACAGAAGGAGAAGCTGAGTTCAGTAACCAAAATGAGATGCTCAAGGGAACCTGATTAACAAGGAGGAGAAACAAACAAAACAACTGGCTGATCACATCAAAGGACTCTTGAATCGCCCATCAGCTGCAATTCGCCCAGAAATACGAACAGCACAAACAGCACACACAGAACTGCCTGCCAGTGAACATCAATTCTCCAATGAAAGCAGAAATCCTAAATGCGATAAACCTACTGGGGTCTGGGAAGGCAGCATGACTAGACGGAATTCCCCCTAAAGTAGTGGAAATGGATGCAGAGACTGCGGCATATGTGCTCACGCCATTGTTGCAGAAGGTTTGGAAAGGAGGAAAGGTACCTACAGATTGGAAGAAAGGCTGGCTACCACGTCAAGCTGCCAAAGAAGGGCGACTTAGGCCTGCCTGTGCAAGAACTGGCGTGGAATAGTGCTTTTGTCCACGCCAAGTAAAATACTAAGTCGCATCATCGTAGAGAATAAAGGATGCTCTAGATACAGAACTCCGCCAGTCCCACCGGAACAAGCTGGCTGGATTCAGGAAAGGCAAATCATGTGCTGATCAACTTGCAACTCTACGCATCGTCATCAAACAGGCTGTGCATAGAATGGCAATCAAATGGCAATCTCTACCTCAACAGCCTCATTGACTTAGAGAAAACGAAAACCAACAAATTGATTGAAGGGGCTGTTAGGCAACGAAGACAGGACTCCAGGAAAACAAACAACAACAACCAGGAACAGTCATCATCAACGGGAGAGGTTTAACATAGGTTGCTTCCTTCAGTTATCTAGGTAGACAGCATCGTTCTAACTACAGGCAGTGGTAACGGATGAAGATGTCACAGCTGGTCGGAAAAGTGAGATACACCTTCATCAGTCTGAAACCAGTTCGGGTTTCTTCTGCAATAACTCAGCACAAACAACAAGATTCAGACTTTAAACACAAATGTGGAGTCAGTCACTTCTTCTATATGGGTCAGAAACTCGTAATGCGTGTCGCGAAAATGATTTCTGACATGTTGCAGATCTTAATCAACAGCTCCCACTTCTGCTGGCTCCATACTGCAGATCAAATGGCAAGCCAGAAAGAATTATTAACAAGAAACTCTGGGAAGAGACCAACCAAGAGTCAATCGCTCAACAAATATGTAGAGGAAAATGCAGATGGATTGGGCATACACTGTGGAAACCATCAAATGATATCGCGCGCAATGCAGACTATTGCTCGAGTGGAATCCTAATTGGAAGCGACAAGTGGGTCGTCACTCGAGGATGACATAGAGGAAATCGTGTGGGGAAGAGATGAGATATTATGGGCAATCGTAGACCCAGCTGAAGAGGATAGTGGAAAGTAGAACAAAGTGAAGATGTGTTGTTGAAGTCATATGTTCCACTCGGAAGCCAAGGCAATAACAATAATCATGACAAATAAGATTGTACTAAGTCAGTGAACTGTGAGCAAAAGACAAATTTTAGATCTCGAGCAAGTACATAGTGGGATTTCAAAAAGCAGGGTGCAATCAATAAATATTTCGTAGTCGCTTCTCATACTTTTCAGCAAGACACCGCTATCCACGGATTTTTCTTCTGTACTGTGTAATATATGATTCTATTCGAATTAAGAGGCAGTTTTGCTACTGATTTCGGATGAGAATTACATTGCACACTAAATTCTTGTTTCTCAACCCCATTTCAATATTCGAAGCAGTTTTCAGTGATACTGACGTAACAGAACAATTTGCTGCAGCTTGTTTTGGACCTTTTACCGAATATCTATCTTATCTTCTAAATTTTATCGTCTTCTGCATAACTTCAATGGTAGGTTTTGTATAGAGATTCAGATGACTGCATCAGCATACAATCACTT